CTAGTACTTAAAACTCTTTATAATTACTATTATTTTTTAATCGGGGGTATTATAGTTTAACTTTAACCTTTTTTATTTCTTTAATTAAAAAACGATTAAATAGTATTTACCTTATTCGTTTAATTAAAATAGTACCCCGAAACTACCCTTTTTTAACACGTCCGTTTCGAGTCGGGTTTATAACTTAAAATTAAAGTACTTTAGTAACGACGTTTTTTTAAAATATACTTTAAACTTATCGAAAGTTTCTCGTTCGTAAGTCGAAAACGTAACTATTCTCGGTTTTTTTTATTTTATATACCCTTTAAAAGGTTATTAAATAAGGTTATAATTTACGAATACGTAAAGATAAATCGTTTATAAAAGTTATAAAATCTTAAAAATACTTATATATTACGGTAAGACTTCGGTTTTAACCACTTTATAATAGTAGTTATTCGTTTTAAATTTATTTTAACTTTATAACGTATAAGGATAAATCTTAAAAATTTTACTTTATTTATAAAAAATTTACACTTATATAAATTAATATATAATTAAACTCGTTTAAGTCTCTTTAACACTTCGTATAAATATCGTATATACTACTCCCGGGATTAAAAGAATACTAAAACGTTATTTATATATATTATATATATAATATTAATTAACCCTTATAAGGTTATATAAATATAATATTAAAAGGTAGTAAAAACGTTAATTAAACCGAAAAAAAGAATTATATACTCGAAGTAGTTATATCGTATACGAAACGTAGTCTTTTACTTATTACCCTTTTTAATTCGGATTTAATAATAAATATCTTTAATATCGAGTTTAAAGAAAAACTAGGTTTTATTTATCCGATTTAAAATCTCGGAAATTAATAAAAGAGTATACCGGTTTTTTACGGTAACTTTATTTAATCTACGATAATCGACGTAAAATCGTAACGTATTATTCTTTTTTAATATAAATAATATAAGTACGTCGGTTAGTAACTTAAAAGGACGGATACGTCCGTTTTATAAGTTTTTTTTAATATAAAGTCGTAACTTTTATAATTCCCGTTTAAATAACGGGTAAATCGTTTTATATAAAGGTTACGTATCCGGTAAAAGATTTATAATATAATTAGTTTATTTAAACGGTAGAATAATTATCGTTTTAAATATATTAAAAATATCCGTAAAGTCCTTTAACTCGATAAGTAGTACGACTTCTTTATAAGTCTTTTACTTTTTTATATCGAAAGAATAGTCCTCGTAAAGGCGTTTACTTAAGACTACCGGGAACGTTATAACCGTATATACTACCGTCTCGTTTTATATAATTTTCGTAAACTTTTTTAAGGTTTTAATATAAATCTTTAAGGTTTTATACGTAAAACGTTATAGTATTCTTATTAAAATATTAATATTTAACACTTTTAAGTTTATAACACTTAATAAAATAAGACTAATATCCGGACTCTCCGATTTATTAAGTACGATATAAAGACGGATCGTCTTTTTAATCCTTTTACGGAAATCTATAAAAGTAATAAGGATATCTTAAATTTTAAATGTTTAAGTTTTAAAGACGTTTATTAAATACGTTACCGAATCGGGATATTTCGTTTTTTATAGTTAAAGTCGTCTTATAAATTAAATACTTACGATATTTAACCCCGTAATAGTATTTAAAGTAATAGTCGTTTTTTTCTCGACTTTTTTATAATATATTATTAACGTATTCTTTAATAATTTATATTTTATTTTTATTACTTTTTTTTAAACTCGAAAAAAGTAATTAAAGGTTTTTTAACTTAATAAGTTTTTTAATAATAGTATTTTAAATAAGTACGTTTTTTAAGTAGTTATTTACGTAGTATCCTACTTTATTATACTTAAAGTAAGTAACTAAGGGTTTTTTTTACGACTCTTTTTTATTTTATAAACGAAAAGGTTAAAAACCCGTTATATTCCTCCTTTTATCGTTTTTACGATTTTTATAACCGTTCGAACGACGTTAACGTTTCTTTTTTTAAAATATATTTTTTTACGGTTTATCGTCGAGTCGTTTACGACTTTTTTACGAATTACGGACGTTATTAGTAAAGTAATTTCTTACCCGTTATATAAATAATAATTTGGTTTTTACGTATAAGTTTTAAAGATTAATCTTTTTATAATTAATAGTTTCGTTTAACGTATATTTAAGTTAATTATTTAACTTAAAATAAAAAGTTTTTTTTTAAATTTATTAAAAAAAGACGTTATTTACTTCTTTAAAAAACGTAAGTAGTTTAAAAACTCGAATAACGGTTAATTAAGTCGAGAATATATCTTTTTATATAACTTATAAGTTTATATCGACGGGTCGTTCGTAGTAAAAACGAGTATCGTTATTTACTCTTTAAATTTATTTTAAAAACGTTCGAGTCGTCGACGTTTCTCGAAATCTTTAACGTTACGTATATATAAATTTTATTACTTTTTAAACGACTTATTTATATAGTTATAAGTAATAACGACTTAATTACGAGAATTTAAGAATTTATACGGTTTAACTTTAAATATTATTTTTAATTTTAAGATTTAAAATTCCCGGTCTTTAAAAGTAAAATAATTCTTATAAACTTTAAACGATAGTCGTATTTTTAAATCTTTCGATTTACGACTCTTTTATACTTTTTCGTCGACTTTTAAACTATTATTCGATTTAAAAGAATTTTCTTTAAATAACGGGATTAAAGAAAAGGAAGTGGTAGATTTATTTTTAATTTTTTACTTTAATAAAAGACTCGTTAACGTTTTATATTTTTTAAAACTACGATTCTTTTTTCGAGAGTTCGTTTCTTTTTAAACGTTACTAACCTTTTTTTAAACGTCTTTTTTTCGTCGTCTTTTTTTTTACTTATTCTTTTATAATAATACTAATCCTACCACTTTCTTCTCCTTTTTTACTACTAATCGGTACTATTATTACTACTTTAATACCCGAAAATTCGGTCGAGTCTTCGACCGTTAATTATAAGTTAAGGTTTTCGAGGATAAAGTCGACGTTTACTTATAAAAGACTCGTAAAACCTTATAAATACGAACGTATAACTCGACTCGACCCGACGAGGAGTAAGTTTATTACTTCTTTTTTTTTAACTATTATAAAAAAATATCCGTAAAAAAAAGAATTAAAATTATTATAAATAATTATAAAATAAATCTTTATAATAAATTAATTAATAAAAAGTATTAGTTTCGAGAACGAAGGTAGGTGTATATTATAACAAAGACTAATTCTTACCCCTTCTTTCCGGTGGGAAGAAGGGAGTCCTTTTATTTAAGGAGAAAAGGCTTTTCACTAACGTGGCGTTAACGTGTAGTTGGGGACCCGTCACACCGCGCCCTATTATATAAGCCTAGTCACCTAATTCGTGGCCTTCGGTTACGAATCGGTTATAATAAGTACCTTTTATTTTAACCCACCACCCTTTACCGCCTATAACGTAAAGTATCTTTAGTGTGTTAATCACATACTAATAGTACTTATTTTAAATTCCTTATATAATAACACTATTAAGTCTTAAAATTATTTATTAAATATTACGTTAATAGTTTATTTATTTTATAATTTATATTATTTTTTATTTATTATTATTATTTATATTCGTCTTAATATTTTAAAAAGTAAAAAAATATACAGTGTAACTCACAGTATATTTGTAAAACGGAGCGAATTCACACTAGTTACAAAATTTTTATATGTACGACAAGGATTAAAATTTAAAATTTAAAATTTTTTAATATAAAGTATTAAAAATAACCGTTTAAAATTTTTTTAAAAAAATTTAAAAATCGGTAATAGCATTTCGTTTTTATTTAACATTATTTTATTATTATTTTTATATTTTTCATACTTTTCGTCGTGGAGATATTAAGTTGTGGCTCAATGTACATTTTGTATGCGATTGTTAAGTAAAGGTACATTATGTACCGGGCGGAAATGGGTGGTGGGCTAAAATAGAAGGTACTCACTTACTTGTGAATACGACGTATTACAACGCATTGGCCACCATATTACGTCGTATCAGAGCCGGTTGACCGAATTGGCCCGGGCAGGATCTAATATTTTTAAGCTCATCAGTTATCGTTTCAACTTCAAATCCAAACTATCGCGGCGCACGTCAACAGACACGAATCATGGGTTAAGAGAACTTTTTGTTTTGCTCAGTTTTAATCAAGTGCCATTGGCACCCGAGCGTTCTCAAGACTAGACGAATGCCCGGTTTAGATAAACTGATATCACCATTCGCGGTGATATGAAAGGTACTACGTCGTTCTCAGACTGTCATATGTCTCTGTCGATTGCGCAGCCGCTTAGAAATGACAAAAAATAGAAAGTCCGTGGAATATGCCAGTCGCAGACATTCATATTCAACAATCTGCATTGCGACCATGTCTGCCCATGGCTGACGCCTCTCACCCCTCGAGGCCCCCTATGCCTTGTGTCGCGGCTCATTTTGACAGCCTTGAAAATGCAGAAACCCAAAATATCACCCCGGATGGAGTCTAACTCGCTGTGATTGCACAGCAGTTCCGCTTAGAAAACGTGTTTTCGTTGATGATTGCTGAACTCGCGCGGGGGGGGGGGGAGGGGAAGGGGGTGATATTAGCAGCCCCAGGAGTCGGCCTTAAATGGCCAGATTGGCCGTAGACTGCTTTCTTGTGCTTCGTGAGTGGTATTTACCTGTGAGACTGTTTAACTACGATGTGGGACGCACTCAGCTTACCTTGCACCGGCCACTCTGAGGCGGGGCTTCATGAGCATGAAGTACTGCAGTGAGAAGGTCGTTCGACGGAAGCTTGAAAAGACAGCTTGGGTGAGTGATGGAAGAGGTATATATCGCCAGCCCAGTTTCGCTGTCCACCGATTCTACGTTTGCCATTGCTTTGCGTCAATATCAATTCAATTTTTGATCTGCGCCGGATATCTCCATATTGCAATAGTCCCCAAGAGACCACCCCTCGCACATCGCCAACATGACGATTACGCACGTTGTTCTTCTCCAGTTCAAGGACTCGGCTGATGCCGAGGGCCTCAAGGCGGTAGGTGTGCTCTCTCCGATTTTCCAAGCCAGGCCGGCGGCTACTAACACACACAGGGCCTTGAACAGTTTCTCAACCTTACGCAGACCTGTGTGCACCCAACGACGCAGAAGCCGTATGTGCTCTCCATGCAGGGCGGCAAAGACACGTCCATTGAGCATTTTCAAGTGAGACACATTTCCCTTGACGGCGTGTACTCCAGCCTGAGAGCAATACTAACCGTACCTCTCTTTGTCCCCAGAACGGCCACACGCACGCCTTTGTCGCGGAGTTTGCAACGGTAGAGGATCTTGAATACTATGTCAAAGAGGACCCGGTGCACCAAGCTTTTCTCAGGGACACGTTTCCACTCGTGGAGAAAATTACCACTATGAACTTTGAGTCCGGCAAGCTTTAAGGGGCCCAAACGCAACCGGCGCGGCTGACAGAAAGGAGGATGGTCCGAAATCCGGATGTGGCTGACGACAAGCAATGCGAAGGAGAGACCGATCAACTCCGACGAGCCCACTGGTGAGCCGTAGGCTGGATTAATAATGCAAGCTTGCTGGCTACAGCATGGACACAGCAGCCAGCCGCACTGACCAGCCCGCGCCTGTAAACATCTCACCAAGAGGCACGGAGGGGCGCATGTTGCAGGGAGGAACCACGTCCCATGTTGGAGATAAGAGTGCGTTAGCATGGCACCTGCAAGGACGGATGTAGATTCGGAAACAAGCAGTAAAGGAAGCTGGTAGAGGAAGCAAGCGGACATACCAAATACAACATCATCAATTCGAGGCCGAATGGTAGCATTGCAGCATGGCCCCGAACACGTAACCGTGCGGCTTCTTTGGTGCTTTACGACGACTACGAACGAGACCAAAGGAGCTTGGCTTGGATGGCTTCATTCCTGCGAAAATGGGGAATTGGTAGGTGGGGTGCAATGTACGGGCCACATTCTCCGTTTTGCATAGAAAGTAACATCGACATGGGCCACTCCATTGCATCATCTTCCCAACTTGTACGTTGCATCTTGCCCCAAATGACTAACGAAGGGGGGAGGTCGTGCTGGCTGTATTGGTACACGAGATTCGATCGAAGTGCTCCGTATAAAACGGCAGAAATGCCCACCCCTCGAAAGCTCGACGAAACACCTAAACACCTGGGCCCCTGATTTGACGTGCCTGTGCATATTCCCTTGTGTCCTCCACCGCCGCAACAACGTCTCCGCTCTCGATACCGCACGACACAGTGTCACCCACAATGGCCCCGCTCTCGATTCGTTCCACGATCAAGCTGAACAGCGGCTACGAGCTGCCCCTGCTGGGCTTTGGTGTAAGTCAATTCAATCCTAACGCGACATGACCACAATTGCAATCACAACGACGACTGCCACATCCTCCATCCTAACTCATCTGGTGATTGTCGCAAGGATAGCCCACGAATTCCCCTTGCATCTCGTGTTGAATTTCCCGGAGCACACCCACACCCTGTGTGTCCGATCGAATGCTAACTGTTTGCAGCTCTACCGGACGTAGGACGCTGCCTCCTTCACCAACACGCCTTACTCCTCGCTGTGGTTTGGATGCTCACCGTATGTACAGGCCCCCCGCCGAAACGGAAGACGTCGTCCTCAAGGCCTTCGCCGCCGGCTACCGCCACATCGACTCGGCGGCCGCCTACCGCAACGAAGCCGGCGCCGGCGCTGCCGTCCGCAACAGCGGCATCCCGCGCAGCGAGCTCTTTTTCACGACAAAAGTGCCGTACAAGAAGATATCCTACGAGGGCGCCAAGAAACAGGTCGCCGATTCGCTCGCGCTGTCGGGCCTCGACTACATTGACCTGGTCCTGCTGCACGCACCGTACGGCGGCTCGGAGGCGCGCAAGGGCGCATGGCGTGCCTTGGTGGAGGCCGTGGAGGCCGGCCACGTGCGGTCCATTGGCGTCAGCAACTACGGCGTGCACCACCTCGAGGAGCTCTTGGTCCACATCAAGGAGCTGGAGGAGGAGCGGGGCGGCCCCGGCAAGGGCGGCATCCTCAGCGTCGGCCAGTGGGAGATCCACCCGTGGGTGGCGCGCCGCGACATTGTCGACTGGAGCGCCAAGCACAACGTGGCCGTCCAGGCGTACAGCCCGCTGGTGCGCGGCGACCGCTGGGGCGAGGCCGCCCTCACGAGCCTGGCGGACAAGTACAAGGTGTCTGAGGCGCAGGTGCTGATCCGGTGGAGCCTGCAAAAGGGTCACGTCCCGCTGCCCAAGAGCGCCAACCCGAGCCGGATCAAGTCCAATGCAGACGTCTACGGCTTTGAGCTGACGGCCGACGAGGTGGCGGCGCTGGAGACGACAGAGTACGAGCCGGTGTGCTGGGACCCGACCGTGGCGCCGCTGGATGAGTAGGCGGGCGTTGGACATGACAGGACAGAGGGTAGATTTTCTCGAACATGACCTACGTATTTCAGATGCAACAAATAAATTCGAAAGTGCGCAGTGGTTACGTCGCACTTGAGAGTTGAATATCACTCAGCAGTTGATCAGCACGTACTAAAATGTCATTGCTACATGGTTACAGGCAGAATTAATAAATAAAAAAAAATAAAAAAAAAATAAAGAAGAAGAAGAAGACAAAAATGGAAAACCAAAGAGCGGAAACGACACACCGGAGTTATGTAAAGGAAAACCCTGAAACGTCCATCCCCTACTCCTTCTGGCCTGCTGGCATCGTAGCCCCAGTGCCGGCCTCCAACGCAACAGTCGCCTCCTCGTCTTTCAAAGTCATGTGCGACGGCAGGTTGCTGGCGTCCGAGTCTTGGCCGCAGTCGATGGGGCCCATCTCGTTTGTTGGTTCGTTACTTGTAGTAGATGCCGGGACAGCCTTTTCGGCGTCGCTCTTTGCAGCAGCCATCGCCATCGCCGCCTTCTTGCCCTTGTTGACATTTTTCCACTCAAGCGAGGCCGAGCCGAGGACGCTCAGAACGGACAGGATGAGCGCCATTAAAAAGACCTTTTGCAGGGCGGCGGCGTAGGACGCGACGATCTCCGCCACCTGCGAGGGCGAATAGACGTTGCCCATGGTGGCCTGGACGTCCGAGGCGCCGGCGGCGACGACAAACTGCGGGTCGACACCGGGCGCGCGGGCAGCGAGCTGGCCGACAAGGTTCTGCGCAAACAGGTTCTGGGCCACGGACAGAAAGATGGCGCCGGCAAGGGTCTGCGTGAAAATCATGGCCGAGCTGCCGAGGGCAATGTCGCGGCCCTTGAAGACGGCCTGCGGGATCATCAAGGCCTGCTGGCCGCCCAGGCCGATGCCGATGCCGTAGATGACGAGCGCAGCGACCCAGTAGCCCGTGCTGGTGTCGACGCCGAACCGCCAGATGAGGCCCGTGGCCACCGACGAGAGCACCGTGTTGGCAAGCAAAAGCGGGTTGTAGTAGCCCATGGCCGACGTCAGAAAACCGGCCAGCACGGCAAACACGGCCGTCGGGGCCGTCATGGCCAGGATGTTGACGCCCGACTGCTGGGCGGACACGTTCTTGACGGCCTGGAACCAAACCGGCACATAATAGGTCAGCGCAAACAGCTGGCCCAGGGTGCAGAACATGTAGACCATGGCGGCGGCGAGCGAGCGCTGCTTGACGAGGCGCAGGGGCAGCGTGGCCGCGTCGCCCTCATAGAGCTGGACGCTGGCCCAGGCGACAAAGGTGACGGCAAATACCACCAGCAGCAGAATGATGCGCCAGCTGCTCCACGCATACGCGGTGCCGGCCCACTGGAGCGCAAGCAGGAGAGACACGACGCTGGGAATGATGAGGACGAGGCCGACCACGTCAAACCGGCGGAGGATCTGGGGGACGGTCATCTTGCTCAGGGGCACAGGGGCGGGAGCACCGGCTGCAGTGGACGGCTGCGGGGGCAGAACGGGCAAATTCAAGAACAGCATGACGACAGGGATGGCCAGGCCGCCGATGGGCAGGTTGATCCAGAAGCACCACCGCCACGTCACATGGTCCGCAAATGCGCCGCCGATCGTAGGACCAGTGACCTGCGAGATGCCCATGGCCGCGCCCATGGCGCCCGTGAATACGGGCCGGCGGTGCAGCGGCAGGACACGGCCAATAATGGTGAGGGCGCCGGACGTGATGCCGGCCGCCCCCAAGCCGGCAATGGCCCGCCCGACAATCAGGGCCGCCGAGTTGGGCGCGGCCGCACAGATGACGGAGCCGACCTCAAACAGCACGACGGCGACCAGAAACGCCCATTTGATATTGACTTCGGCATAGATGCGGCCAAAGGGTAGCTGGAACGAGGCGGACGTCAACAAATATGCCGAGCCGTACCAGCCTATGTCGGGCAGCGAGTCGAACTCGACGGTAATCTTGGGAATGGCCGTGGCAATGATGGTCCGGTCAATGGCCACGCAGAACACAGACAAGAAGAGGGCCACCATGACCGATAGAAGCTTGAAGCCGTGCGCGTGGTTGTCCTCGGTGGCTGCCGTCGGTGAGCGTTGAAGAGTTGGCTGACCTGGGTCCGCCGGTGATGCAGTCTCGCCCGCCCGGGCCAGTGGTTCGTCGTTTGTTTTTGAGGACATGGTGGGTGTGGATGATGCCGGTGCTGTGTCGGAATTGGATGTTTAGGTTGGCTCGTGTTGTTGATGTTAGAAATGGGACGATTTGGTGATGGTTGGCAGACACAACGACACCTTGATTCCTATGACGGCTATTCTGGCAATGACTATAGCAATGAAAAAACCTAATACTGAAACGGAGCAGATGACGAGGCCTAATATAACATATGCTTGCCCATGAAAAGCTCTCCGGTATTGCCGACCGTGGACGGACTCTCGCAGTCTAAGACGAGTCGGGCCATTGTGCTCTTAACTCCGCACGTTACGGGCCATATTTCACGTACCCCTGGTTTACGATCCCGCATGCAGCCATGGAATTGCCGTCTGGGCGGGCCCGAACGTCTGGCCGATGGCAGCAAGATGTGCCTTCCTGTGATGAAAGGCGTGGAGTTGCACGTCAAAGTGGCCCACCGGCCGGCAGCGGGTCCACCGACGGCAGCGCCCGATTGGCTGAAGCGCCTCAAAGAGGGATCCACAGTCGGGGTCGGCCACTTTCGGGACTCCCGATTGACCGACTTCACGTCTTCTTCATCGAACTTTAGTTGTATTGCTCACATCGTACACCACACCCCAGGCACATTCCAGGTGTCAAACCGTTGCATACGATTGGTAGGGTCGAAGAGTGTGTCAGCTCTGCGCTGTCGGGCAAACTCTAGACAGCTTATTTTTTTCTTTTTGGTGTTTGCTGCGATGTTATTTGCGTGACGAGAAAGACCCTTTTCTTCTTCAATCCACATTGTGGTTGCATCACATCGCACGAGACGACATCACAGTCCCGGCTATACTCATACCTGACTTCATACTCAGCGAACGCCCCTTATTGCTTCCATGACGGCACATCCGCCACTATTTTCCTCATACGACTACAGAGTCCAATAACAGGAAGAAGCGCTCTGACCGAAAAGTGAAAACAACGTCCTCCATCCACTCCCACCCAATAACGTCAACACAAGCCACACCTCACCTCATAATGACCACCGACCGCCTCGGCACATCGGGCAGCTCGTCGTCTCGGCCGTCCCGCGCTGCCACATCTTCACTCCACCCTTCCGACGCGCCCCGATTCCGGCCGCGGGCTTGTGCCAAATGCAGCAGCTCGAAACTCAGGTGCAACTGGTTGTCGGAACCTGGAGAAGCGCCATGTGAGAGGTGGGTCTTGCGGCCGTTATGGCATAACAGGATCGTCCACTCATCCACTAATGATGAAGATGCGCACGCATGAAGACAGAATGCCTCCTTCCGAGTCTCAAGCCCCGAGGGCCACGACGAGGGAACCCAACGTGAGTACAGCCGTACCGCCCAAACAATTGCCATGTTGGGCCAGAACATCCACCGGCCACTCGTCACTAACACCACGACATGACAGCCGCGTCGGCCAACTGGAACAAAAGCTGGACGGCATCATGTCGCTGCTTACTGCTAGCCAGCATGTCCAGCCAACAGCACCTGCAGCTCTGTCCGCATCGACGGCCACTCTGACCGCCACGGACACGCCCCCCAACGCACACGACTCGCCAGCATCTGTTTCAACACGAGGTGGTTCCACCTCTGCGCCCTCACCGGACTCGTCTCGCTCACATGCATCCCAAGCGCACGCGCATTCCCAACTGCCGCATCGCCACGCTGGCAGCGGCACGGCGACGCCCGTCACATCAACCACCTCATCGCCTGGATCCTCTCTTCCCCCACCGCCGCGTGTACAACAGCCGCACCAAGACCAACCTCCTCCGCTGTATCCACCGCCACAGGGGGATCTGCTCCCGTCTCTGGCAAATGTGCTGGGCACACAGAACCCGCTCACCCACCCGCCCACACACGTCGAAGTGCTCCCCGGCCTCAAGGTCACGTTTCGTGATGCCGACCTTGCCCTCGACGAGTACCGACGCACCTACTCCCCGCATTTCCCCTTTGTGCCCTTGGCTGCCAACCTGACTGCATTTGAACTCTACCAGGCAGAGCCCTTGCTGTTCAAGATCATCCTGCAGGTCGTCCTCCCGCAGCCGCCGCAGATGCAGCGCGACGCCAAGCGCTGGTTCCGCGAGCAGATTGCGCTGCACGTCGTCACCAACGAGGAAAAGAGCGTGTCCCTCTTGCAGGCCATCCTGCTGTACGTGGCCTGGTCGGACCTGGGCTTCTACGTGGATCCCAGGGTGACGCCTCTGCTGCAGCTGGCCGCCGGGCTCGTGAGCGATCTGGGGCTGTGCCGTCCTATGCACCACGACCGGAGCGTGACGCTCAATGCGTTCATTGCCGACGCCACGACGGCCCTGTGCGGCTTTGGCCACGTCCGTCCGCCGCACACGCTCGAGGGCATCCGGGCCATGCTGGGCTGCTACTATGTCTGTGCCCTGTCGGGCTCCTTTTTCCGCCGGATCCACCCGCTCCCCTTTACCGCCTACATGGACGACTGCTGCGACCGGCTGCTGGCGGCCAACGAGCATGCGTCCGATGCGCTGGCCGTGGCCCTGGCCCGCATGCAGCGCGTGGCGGCGCGCGTCTATGCCGTCCTGCCCAGCCCGGACGTGGACGCCCCGCCCGCGTTGGCGTTTGCGCCGGTGTACATGGCCATGGCGACGCTGCGCAAGGAGCTGGACCAGCTGGTGCATGGCATGCCGAGGGATGATGGGCGCGGAGGAGGAGGTGACGGGGACGCTGGCGATGCTCGGGACGGTGGGCTGCCGGCCCACGTGCGCAGCAACTGTTTTCTGTGGACACACTACCACGCCACCCTGGTGCGTCTGTACGAGCCGGCCATCTTTTTGCGGCTGCGGACGGCCTCGTCGTCCGCCATTGACCTGGCCGACACGGGCCTGCGGACCGAGGCGCTGTGGAACTGCCTGCAGGCCACGCGGGACTTTTTCGACGCGTACACGGCCATCCCGCCGGACGTTTTGGGCGTCTTGCCTCTGCTCGGCACCGTCCACCTTTCGTTTGGCATCGTCACGCTGACCCGGCTGCTGTCCCTCGATGCGCCCGAGTGGCACATTGGCCAGGCCCGCCTCAGCCTGGATTTTGTCGCCCTGGCCTTGCGGCTGGAACGGCTCTTCCAGGCGGCCGACGAGTTCGAAGCCACACCACCCGGCACGGCCGCGCCGCCCAGTATCCCCCGCAAACGGCGATACGCCTACTATGACTCCCGCACCATCCTGGCCACGCACCGCGACAAGATGCGCTGGATCCGCATTTGGTACACCACCAAGATGCCGCCCGACCCGCACCAGGTGCCGCCGCCGTGGACGGCGGCATCGCACCGAGCGGCCCCCCATAAAATGCCCTGGTCGGCCGAGTCGGCTGCCGCTGTGGCATCGGCGCCCCCTGCGGCTGTTGCGTCTCCACTGCCGTATCCGTTTTCAGGGCCGGAGAACCAGGGACAGGTGCCCCAAACGATGCAGTCAGCACAATCACAAGCCACGACCAACGTGATGGACGTCGACACAGACAATGCCGCGGCCAGCCACGGCAGCAGAAATAGCAACAGCAACACCCCCAACGAACGGCTGGTCGTCTCACCCGGTGCCATGAATATCCCGCTAGAAGAGTTTGACAGCAACTTTTGGAAGGCCATCTTTGACCTGGACAACACATGGGAGCCAATGGCGCAGTGATGGGGCTGATGGATGAGGAAACCGAAAGTTAAATAAACGCGTGAGAGTAGAGGAGTTGGGGGGCATTGTCGAAATTATGTAAAATTATTTTGAAATCTTAAATGTCCTCTTTTATTATACTGCTATTTCCTTGAAAAAGAAATATTAAAAATTAGATATAAAACTTAAAGAGGGGGGCTGATTTAAATGAAATAAAATGTATTAACTTCACGAATAAACGAACACGCCAAAAAAATGAGACAAACGAAGAGCTACTGAGGCAGAAACTAATGGGCATGAGTACTTTCGTCCGGTGTGCTGTGTCTTGTAGTTGCATAACGTGTCTTGCTTTCAGTCAGGGGTGATAAAGTAGAGGACATGGGGCGTTATTTGATTTATGGAGACGGGTGAGTATGCTTTTTGTGTTTCTTGCAATGCCAGTCTCTTTTATTTTTCTTTTTTGCTTCACTGCTTGTTGTATCACAATCTAATATTCTCTTCTCGTACCAGCCCCTTAGTAACGCAACGTCTATCTGACATCAATGATTCAACATATTCAACATGAGAGGGGATTCTTGTCAGTGTCTGTTTTTGTATTTGATAAACGTGCTTTCCCCTCTCGCCCCTGCTCCCGTTAAATCGCCCCCTCGCTCACGAGCCGCCGTGTCGTGGCGATGCTCGACTCCACCGCCAGCTTGGCCACGGCCTTGTGCCGCGCCTCCGTCTCGCTGTACTCGGCACTGCCCACCGCCAGCGACTCCGGGTGCTTCCACGCGAAGGCATAGGTCACGTACAGGTCGTCGGCGTTGCCGCTGGAGCCCGTGCTGATCAGGTTGAGGACGGTGCTGCCATTGTCCAGGGCGTAGTCGACGCGGTGCGGGGCGTGCTCGGTGCAGACCTCGACGACCTGCGTGGGGTGGTCCGCGTTCGGGGCGGCCTTGAAGGTGACCTTGCGCTTGACGACACCGTCGGCGTCCGACAGGACCTCGGACGCCGCGATGGCCGGGACAAACTCCCCGGGCTGGCGGATCTTGCGCTGGAAGCCGGCAAAGACCTGGGCCTCGGACAAGACAGGGGTGGCGCCCGGCGGGTTGACTGGCACGGTATGGGCGAGGTAGATGGTCGTCATTGTGGTGGAGGTGGTGATGGTGTATGTTATTTCTCTGTGTAGACGTGTTGTTGTCGATGAGATGAAGCGAGACAGAGAGACCTCGACGGCAGTCCTCTACTTATACACATCCAGACCACCGCCAATGCTGCTGTTGCGTCGGCGTCTACGAGTCCCGTCGACCGTCAGAAGCATAATGCGTGAGATATGTTTGCGTGTGCTGCTATGATTGGTCTACATTGCCAACGGCTGAACGGCCCAAGGATCATTGTCTGGTGTATAGGTGTACGATGCAATTGAATATGTGGACGATATGGACTGCAGTGCACTGTTACATTGCCGGCGCAGCCTTGTCCCCAGTCCGCCAGACTCCGGCGCGTTTCCAGCCACTGGAGCGCTGTTACGTGCTGCCAGGCGCGGCCGTTTTATTCACGCCGTCAATGCGAGTATTTGGTGGGGAAGTCCGTCCTGTGGTTCGGCTTTTTAAGCGTCACGGCGGGCTCTGCGGGGCATTTGGAACGGGTTTTAGTGGTTTGTGGTGGCTCTAGTTGAGCTACACCAGTAAGATCCTCTAGGCCCGTTAATGCTCCTTTAGGCTCCTTGGGTTCCTTTAGGCTTTTGGGCCTCTTCATGCGCTACCAATGCCCTACGAATCCGTCCCCCATTTTAGCTAAGCACCAGGGCAACGACTGTGAAGTCTACACCAAGGTCTGACATACTCCGCCCCGAGAGCATCCTCTTTGCATCATCATGCGATCCAGGAGGAGCACACTCGTGTGTCCGTACCGTCTCGTGCCATGTCCGGAGCAGGCATGATTGGATATGCTCATAGTGTCCGGGTCAACGAGAGAGCGCAAATGCCCGTCGTCGGCCCGTTAACGCAATATCGACGTCGTATGCTACTAAGCGGGTGTTCTTGGATCCTGTCCTGATTCATAAGTGTTATCTGTTGCTGTCGTCTGTTGCCGTCATCTGTGCCAGTGGTCTTGTCGACAACGTCGCTGATGCAGTCGACCTCGATTGACACGAAGCAGTCGACGCCTTCGCATCCACACTCGACCACAACTACATGCCCAATGCCCTTCGGTGCGTGTAGCTCGCCCATACAACCTGGAACGAATAACGAATGCAAGGCTGCTCTGCAACTAGAGTGCCACCCCCTATGAGTCCACCTGAAGGCTTGGAAACATGATCGTCGAGTCGGGTGGCTGTTCTTCAGGTCTTCGACGTCAGGATGCAGATTGTTGCACATTCCACTGGCGCAAAGCTTGCTGATTAACCATTGTATCATTCTAGGGATACATGCCCAAAAGGAACAAACGAATCGAGAACAAAAAGGACCAGACCAAAGACAGCTACCGACGTTCATACAAAAGATAGCTACTCACAAGCGTCGATCCGATGACGTCGCAGCTCCAAAGGGCCAGTGGGGCAAGCTTGGACCAGAGCATGTGTGCTAGAGGCTTTTGGGGGACTTGAGACTGTCTCGCTCTGCGGATCCCCTCCTGTTGCGGCCGTCCCCGGAAACACTGCAGCGGGCAAGTGATCGCTGTCTGGCGTCTGGGTCGAGAAAGAGCATTCCTGCGTTGCGGCTTCGTTTGGAAACAAAGTTTCTGGGATAGCAGGGTAGTTGCAATGCAATGCAAGACGGAAACAGAGCGGTTGCGATCTTTGGGAAGCTCGAAAGAACGCAGCGCTGACAGCCAATCCACGAGCAAAAGTGTGTGGCTTTTGCGACGAGCTAGTCGCTTCGATATCTTCATCGCCTCATTGCCTCATTGCCTCATGCCTGGCCCCGTTGCCCCAAAGCCCCATTTCTCCCTGTTTTCCCAGCTGCTAGGCGACGCTGAGTGGCGCCGATGACGCACAGGCCAACTGTGTGGAGCTGAATCGAAGGCGGGCCGGCCGCCAACTTTGCGATTTCAGAAGCTCAGCAGCATGCTCTCCTGCCTATTTGCTCTGTTCTTGGCAGCCCCCCCTCTGTCCAGTGCCCGCTCTACACCTTCAGGCCACTGCTCTTTGCCCTCTTCACTCTTTTCTCTTCCCCGGTCAAGGCCACGTTCGTAAATCCCCTCCCAACCATCCAACTCGCACAAAAAAAAAAAACATTCGTCCGCATCCAACCCAAGAGCCTCAAACCGCACCAACCCTGCGATAACGACAACACACGTCCACAGACGCATTCGCTCTTCGACCGAAGCTGCTCCTCCTGCCTCTCGTTTATCTCTCGCATTCTATTCTCCTCTTCTCCCTCACCGCCGCTACCATGGCTCCTCCTCCGGCCGCGGGCTTGCCGCTCACCGAGCGCTTGCTGACCCTCGCAAAGACGCTGCAATGTAAGGATTCCGTTCCGTCAGCAGGCGAGCTGGAAGTTGTGCTTCTTTTCCGCTTTGTCACAGAGTTGCTAACCTGTCTTCTAGTCGGCTGGTTTGTTGGGTGCGTAGAATCGGTCTTGTGCGAAGCTTGAGCTTCCTCGACCTTTCGCCCCATTTTGCGATAACAAGCACACCTGCTTCTGCTTCTGCCTGAATGTCCTACTAACGTCTCCAGCCACCTCACGCTCATCCTCTGCACACTGCGCTACTCGCTGTCCTGGATCCGCTTCAACTACACCACGTTCTGGCCGCGCTTCTCCTACCGCACCGCCTTTGTCGCCGCCGCCGCTACCTACGGCATCGTCGTCTACAAGACCTTCAAGGCCCGCGCCAAGACCGGCCGCGCTCCCGCCGGTGCTGCCGGTGCTGCCGGCATGCTGGCCGACGAGAACGTCCAGTACCTGCTCATGGCCCTCGTCTGGCTCTACTCGCGCCAGTACATCCTGGCCATGCTGCCCTACACCATCTACTCCGTCTTCCACGTCGCCACGTACACCCGCACCAACCTCATCCCGACCCTGGCGCCCCCCAAGCCGCTCGCCCCTGCCGCCAACGCGGCGCCCGATGCCAAGCCCCAGTATGCCACCCATCCCGTCGCCGAGTCCATTGGCAAGTTTGTCAAGCAGTACTACGACTCGTCCATGTCCGTTGTGGCTCTGCTCGAGATTGTCCTGTGGGGCCGCCTGTTTTTGTCTGCCGTTACCTTTGCCAAGGGCTCGTGGATCCTGCTGGCCGTCTACACCGCGTTTCTGCGTGCTCGCTTCTCGCAGAGCACCCACGTCCAGAGCACCTTTGGCCAGATCGAGGCCCGCATCGACAACCTCACGGGTGCCCAGGGCATGAACCCGACCGTGCGCCAGATCTGGGAGACGACCAAGAACGGTGTTCGCCAGGCCTATGCCGCCACCGACCTGCAAAAGTACGTTGGCGGTGCCGCCCAGGCTCCGCGCAAGACACAGTAAGGGGCTACGGGGCGTGCGCGTGGATGCTGCAAACATTAACCACTCGACGACCGCGCACAATCACTCGCCGTGCAACGGCGACCGGAAATGTCGACAAGCGACATAACCAGTCGCTAGGCAACGCTCGGACACGACGTCCACCATACAACAATGAAACGAGACGGCACTCATTTGGCAGACCGCGCATGGCCGTCACAGCAGACGCTCGACTCACAAGAGTAATCAATGAGAGAAGACAGGGGCGAGGTAGGGGTAAGGTTGGAGGCTGTGGTTATACAAGAGTCGGAAGAAGAGAACAAGATGGAACGAGAACGAAGAGGAAGACGTGGGTGAATAGGATGAAGAGTAGTAACGACCAGATGGGACGGCGGACGGTGCGGGTTCTCTCTTTCACAGACGGGAAAACGGAATGGCCCAACGCTGGGCCTTGCCCGCCAGGCGCAAAACGGGTTCAAAGCTACATGTAGTGTTTTATTCTGCTTTTTGCATTTTTGCATTCTTTTGCATTACTTGCATTTGTCGTCTATGTATTTTTGTATTGCGTTTCATTATCGTTAATCTTGTTGCAGCCTGTTCCTCTTCTATTCCCTGGCAGTGTGTCCTCGTGCGCTGTTTGTGTCTGCCTGTCCAATTCTTCAATCCGATGCACGTGCCTATTACGTCGAACTGCTTTTGCCAAGGACAGCGCCGCCACTGGGCAGTCCTCGTACGGCCGATCGGGTTGATCTTGGCATAACTCTAATCGTTGAACTCTGTGAGAATAGCGGTGCCATTGTTACTTTTATTTGCTTTATTGTATTCGTTAAAAAGATTCCTCGTGGTCGTATTGCACAATCCGTTGGCAGTGAATGTGTCTCGTGTTGTTGACGCTGTTGCAGTTGTGCCCTGTATTCCCACGGTGTGCGACGTATAACTTGATTTGATCACTGGAGGCCGCCTAAAATACAGTGGACCACCGCCGCCAATCTCCATCTGGGCTAGGTTCTAAAGGCAAGCTCCATTCCACCACGCTAAGCCCGCATGACGTCGTTCTTGTCCCATCCGCTTGGTGTTTTTGGGCCACGGTCTAGGCGTCATAGCCATCTGCGATGCCCTGCAACGAGGGTTCCGCAACGGCTCAACAACGCCAACACCAAACGTCGGACCGAACCACATTGCAGCGGGACTTTATTGTGACATTTATTGTCTTTTTCGTTTTTGCGTCGTCTTTTCCTTCTTCTTCACTCTTCACCTTACACAAACGACTCCACACCCCGACAATGGCCTCCCTCCTCCGCCAGATTGTCGCCGGGCCGCGAGCCCGCCACGACGAGACCGGTCTCGATCTCTGTTATGTCACCAGCAACATCATTGCAACGTGAGTCTCCCCTCCCAGTTGGCCCCCTGCCTCCCAATTGCCGTCCCATTAGCAATAGTCATCCTAATCAAAATGTAAAAACCGTAGGTCCGGTCCCTCCATCACCTACCCGCAGCTCGCCTACCGCAATCCCCTCGACCGCCTTGTCGCCTTTCTCGACCGCAAACATGGCGACGGCTGGGCCATTTGGGAATTTCGTGCCGAGGGGACAGGCTACCCCGACGAGGCCGTGTACGGACGGATCCGGCACTACCCTTGGCCCGATCACCATCCGCCGCCGTTTCGACTGGTGCCGCTGATTTTGGCGAGCATGAAGCAGTGGTTGGGCGATGAGTACGAGAGGCCGCCGGGAGCCGACGGCAAACAAGGACAAAACAAGGGAGCAAAGGGGGGCGAAGGAGGAGACAAAAAGACAGGGAGGGTCGCGGTCGTCCACTGCAAGGCGGGCAAGGGCCGGTCGGGCACAATGGCCTGCAGCTACCTGATTGCCGAGTGCGGGTGGACACCGAAACAGGCGCTCGACCGCTTTACGGAGCGCCGCATGCGGCCCAAGTTTGGCAGCGGCGTGACCATCCCCTCGCAGCTGCGGTGGATCACGTACGTCGACCGGTGGGTGCGGGCGGGCAAACCGGCCTACGTGGACCGCGCCGTCGAGATTGTCGAGATTCACTTCCGCGGGCTGCGGCACGGCGTCAAGCTAGCGGTCGAGGGCTACGTGGACGAGGGCAAGCAGATCCACGTCTTCCACACGTTCAAGAACCGCGAGCGATACGTCGTGCAAGGGGACGCGCCGGGTGGTGGCGGCCTATTGGATCTCGTGTCAGACATGGCAGGCGGATTTAGTGCAGGCGGCGGAGGCGGTGGAAGCAACAGCAACAACGGCAGCAGCGGAGCCAATCCGCCACAAAGCAGTCGAAGCAACACTGGCGTCCTCAACAGCCCCGTCGTGGACGGCGGTAAGATTCGGCGGCCCAGGACAGACGTGCAGGTCGACAGCGGCAGCAAAGCCAGCAAAGACAGTACAGACAAGACAGACAGCAGCAGCCATGCGGGCCTCGCTTCCACCAACGACTCGGGCCTCAGCATGGACATCAATCAGCTCCAAAACAAGAGCGAGTCCATGCCCGCGTTGGCCGACGCCTCTACGTCAGAATCAACACAGGGACAAGCACATAAGCAGCCCTTCCGCTATGCCGCCGACGACGAACCCGGCGGCCAGGCCGTCATCTTCAGACCCGAGCAGCCCATCCGCGTCCCCAACGGCGACGTCAACATATCCATCGAGCGCCGCAACAAGACCGCCGCCAACATAGGCCTTACCATGGTCACCTCTGTCGCCCACGTGTGGTTCAACACCTTCTTCGAGGGTAACGGCCCCGAGCAAAACGGCGTACCCGACGACAGCGGAATCTTTGTGCTGGACTGGGACAAGTTGGACGGCATCAAGGGCAGCAGCCAAAAGGGCAGCCGTGCGGCCGAGCGGATCTCGGTCGTGTGGCGGCACGTAGAGGAGCACAATGGCGAGAAGGAGGCGTCCCCCAAAGTGGACACTGCTGCTCCTGCGGGCGCGGTCGCCGACGTTCCCCAGATGCGGCCAGCGAATTGGCAAGGGAACAACCCCGAAGACCCCGACGCCAACAAGCACTTGGGGCTGCGACGGGACGACCCGGAGAGCGCTGGCGTGAGTCGCGCGAGCAGTGTAACGGGTGTTCCCGTGGGCGACAGCAATGGCGTGCCCGCTGCCAGTTCACCACGTCATGGCGCCGATGCGAGAAAGGAGCGAGACGAGGACCACGAAGAGGCGCTGGCGAGCGTCAAGACCAGTGGGCCCGAAGGCGAGGCGGACCTGGACGAGAGCAGCCCTGGCGAAGAAGAAGCTGCAAAGGTATCATGACAGTATGAGAAGTCGTAGGAAAGGCGCAGCTGAGAAACATGGAAAACATAGCCAGTAATCATTTAGTTTGTCCAAATCACCAACACAGACGTTCCATCATCACCATTGCAAGAGCTCGGACCTTGGAAGCACGGTCCTGAATCTTGGCGTATGTAAATAATGTCACGTGCAATGACATAAGCCGAACTACCCCAGGCCGGCTACACCCTGCCGCCACCCTTGCCCACTCGCCCACTGCCGCCACTAGAAATCGACGCATCGTCCCTCAAGCACGCCGGCTCTGAACCACGCGCGACAACGACCTCCGGCAAATCCCCCTCCATCCGCCCATCGACGAATCGACCTCTTTCCATCGACTTTTCATCAAAACACCCGGCGCAGATGGTCAGCGCAGGCGCGAGTAATCGAAAGATGCCTTTTGCGACGTAGCGCGAGTGTCTTGTCCTCTATTTCGCCGACCTTTTCCTTCAACCTTCCATCCGCCTCTCCTCCATCTCCCCCTCCTCTCCACTCGACAACCGTCGCACTGTCGGCACCCGGAGCCACATCCGCCCCGCCAAACCCCACTCACTCCGGCTCCGACTCCGAAGAAGACGCCATGGGTGTTATCCGCAAGAAGACGGCCGTCCGGGGCGGCGAGGGCGGCGTCAAGTATGTCTGCGACGTCTGCAGCGTTGACATCACATCCACTGTCCGCATACGATGTGCGCACCCGGCGTGCAACGAGTACGATCTGTGTGTTCTCTGCTTCTCGAACGGCTCCTCCAGCAACGCACACCAGCCGGCGACACACCCCTATCGCGTCATCGAACAGAACTCGTTTCCCATCTTCGACCAGGAATGGGGCGCCGACGAGGAGCTGCTGCTCATTGAGGGCTGCGAGATTTACGGGCTGGGGTCCTGGGCCGACGTCGCCGACCACATTGGCGGGTACCGGCACAAGGACGAGGTGCGCGACCACTACTACAAGATCTACATTGAGTCGTCCAAGTTTCCGCTCCCAGAACGCTGCAGCCCACACGACATGCAGCTCGCCAGCGAGATCCCTAGAGAGGAGTTCCAGGCGCGCAAGAAGCGGCGCATTGAAGAGCGGCGTGAGGCCGCGAAGGCGGCGCCCGCGCTGACACCCAAGACCAAGCCGACGGCGTCGGTGCCGTCGTGCCACGAGATCCAGGGCTATATGCCGGGCCGCCTCGAGTTTGAGACGGAATACGCCAACGAGGCCGAAGAGGCCGTCCAGCTGATGCAGTTCGACCCGGGCGACGGCATCAACCCGCGCACGGGCGAGCTCGAGCCGGAGATGGACCTGAAGCTGACCGTCATGGAAATCTACAATTGCCGGCTCACACAGCGCGTCGAGCGCAAAAAGGTCATCTTTGAGCACAACCTGCTCGACTACCGCGAGAACAACAAGCTCGACAAGAAACGCACCAAGGAAGAGCGCGACCTCATGAACAAGGCGAAGCCGTTTGCGCGCATGATGAACCACGACGATTTCCGCGATTTCTGCGACGGCCTGACCCACGAGCTGTTTCTGCGGCAAGCCATTGCGCAGCTGCAGGAGTGGCGCAGCCTCAAGATTGGCGACCTCGAGAGCGGCAATCGGTACGAGCAGGAGAAGGCGCAGCGCATCCAAAAGGCCATCCCGCTCGGCTCCATGGACCGCGAACGCCTGGCCACGGCGCAGCGCAACAACAAGAACCAGCCGCCGCCCGAGCCGCCCAGTGGTGCCGCGCTGCTGCTGGCGCCCGACCTGCCGATCAACGGCCCGCTGCCTAACGGCACGGCGGCCGTTGCGGATCACGTCAACGGCGACGACAAGGACGGCAAAGACAAGGACAAGGACAAGGACGCGAAAGCCACCAACGGCAGCGTGGTCGTTGCCAACGGTGTCAATGGCCACTATGCAAATGGCATCAACGGCCACGCGAATGGGGTGAATGGCGTCAACGGCGTCAACGGTGTCAACGGCGTCCACGGTGTCAACGGCATCGTCAAGCGCGAGAAGCAGCCCACCGTCCCCATCTACGGCATACCGTCGCTCACCCTCACGCAAGACAACGCGCCCGACCTGCAGCTGCTCACGCCCGAGGAGATTGAGCTGTGCCAGATTGTGCGCCTGCAGCCCAAGCCGTACCTGATGATCAAGGAGCAAATTTTGAAGGAAGCCATGCGCGGCAACGGCACGCTCCGCAAGAAGCAGGCCAAGGAGATCTGCCGGCTCGACTCGCAAAAGGGCGCGCGCATCTTTGATTTCTTTGTCAATGCCGGCTGGGTTGGCAAGGCGTGACAGGGGCGGTGCCGAACAAACACCTTTGACTTTGCCGGCGTTGTTGTACACTGATATCACGTCTCATTCTGTCTCTCGTTCTACGTCTCCTGTACTCTTTATATATGCAAAACGGTGGGGACGGGCTTTTTAGGCAGGCGTTGTGTTTTTACTTGTGTTTTTGGTGTTTCTTCTCTATTCTGTTTTACTCTACAGTATCTCGAGTTAGCCATCGCGTTGCTTTTTGTACTTTGCGCTTCTCATCTACGGTTCTCGTCTATTGGATACGATGTGGAAATAGCAATACATCAGACTTTAACCATGTCAGCTTGGAGACCAAACCTATCATGACAATCAGAAATTTGCAGTATGCAAAAGTCGTCGGGAGCTCTTCTAATGAGCCACCCTACCCTTTAGGGAAAGTAAACTATCTCCATCCCATCTGCATGCTTCACAAAATATACGCCGAGACCCGAAACACGTGAACACGCGAGAAGGTGCAAGTTCGGCTCCGCAATCCACGGCGCCTAGTTGTTTCTCTCGTATTCCCACCTTCCCGGTGACATTCGGATCACTTGCATTATGCGGCTGGCGCGTGGAGTGCCCTCGTTTCCTCTGTCTTTTGCCTATTCGGTAGAAAATGTGCGAAAGCTGCACGTATGACAGGCGACGCAAAGGGCCTATCAATCCCCTGTATGGCGTAGTCTCATGGCAAACACCGAGTGAGCCAACAACTAGCAGTTTTCTGCTGTAGTCGTACACTACTACGTCAGTCAGTCTGGAAAGATGACGCCCATAATTGCACCGTGCTCTGAAAATGGCCACGAGTAGTTGTCGACGGCGTAAGAAAGGCAACGCTTTGTCTGTCATAGAATGGAATTCAGAGTCGTCAAAATCAACGGCAAAACAGGTGGGATTTGCTCTTGTGTGCTGACAGATGGGATTGCGTATCTCGCCGTTTCGCTAACACGGACGCTACTTATGAGAAATCCCTTGAGTCGCTTTCGGGATCTGCTTATTACTCAACACCCGCTTTTATGCACCGTCGGAACGGGAGAGCAAAAGACGAGAGCAACGCCGAGATGGGCCATGAGATGTAGATGCCGTTTGTCATCCGCCCCTAGGCACACCTTTTGTGCGTAGACGCACCAAAAGACAGGGTATAAATCAAGACCAGTTTGTCAGTCCTTCGAGCTTCTGGCTTTGTTTTTGTTCTCGGACGTCTTGGAATAGTGATTTTGTTTCGACTTCATCGTCGACATCTTTATTACGTCAATCTCGATATCATACCCACATCATCGTCAATCTTGGCATCACCGCATCGTCGCCAATAGGCCCCGCTGGACTTTATCTCGCGTTCGCCTCCACGTCCACTCAATGGCTACGTCCAATGACGCCGAAGTGACCCAGCACGGCTGGACGTCCATTGCCCGTGACCCGCAGGTGGTTCTGTCTGGAAAGAGCAATCTCCACGAACCGTCGTCGCTGCTCGTCAAGGACATATCCTTTCCCAGCGACGATGCCCTCGTCGCCCAGGTCCAGACCTATGCCAAGTCCAAGCTCGCACCGCAGACCTACAACCACTCCATGCGCGTCTATTACTTTGCTTCGGCCATCCTCCAGCAGCAGTTCCCCAAAGAAAACGCGACGCTGTCGCGCGCCACGTTGGCCTTGACCGCGCTGCTGCACGACATTGGCACCACCCACGACCACTTGCGCGCCACGCGCCTGTCGTTTGAATTTTTCGGCGGCTACCTCGCCCTCGATCTCGTCGGCAAGCAGCTGAACCCCGCCGCACCCCAGGCGCAGGCCGAGGCCGTCGCCGAAGCCATCATCCGCCACCAGGACCTGGGCACCACGGGCACAATCACCTTTTTGGGCCAGCTCATCCAGCTGGCCACCATCTACGACAACATGGGCGGCAACCCGGGCCTCGTCCACCCCGACACCAAGGTCGACGTCAACAAGCAGTTCCCGCGCAACGGCTGGAGCGCGTGCTTTGCCAAGACGATCCGCGAGGAAAACGGGCTCAAGCCGTGGGCGCACACGACGGCGCTGGGCGAGGAGGCGTTCCCCGAGGGCGTCCTGCACAACAAGCTGATGGCGGAGTTTGACTAGGAGGCGAGCGGTCGGTGGTCGCTGGATGAAGCGAATTGTAGAGGCGTAGCGAATGTGTATGTGTACTTATGAGGAACGACGGCAATAATGAAAGATCTCTGTTATCGGCGACGCGTTCCATGTGGGTGTTGGGAGTTTACAACCCTAATAGGAGTGTTACAGCGGGGTAGCTCATTCCCCAGTCGGGTTATCGCCTCGTTGCCTTTTCCAGAAGCTTCGAACCGAGCGTTGACAAATAAGGAGCCGCATAATGTCTCCTAAAAGGCTGAAAACTCCATTTCCCAGTGGGGTGGACTACGGCGACTGGCAACTTGCGCCGGCTGCTCGTTGTTCAGGGACCTGAACTGTCCGAACAGACGGTATTACTACTCCATACATTGCCATTTAGGAGTTTCAACGGATCGAGGGAGAAATGAGATGATTGTGAAATGAAATCTGCCTCTGCGTTGGGAGGAGCCTTGCCTCACCACCCTTCCCAAAACCAACCTTTCTGTGACCGCTATCGCCAGTCGCTTCTTTATCCTTTGTCCCTGGTGGTATCAGGCGCCTTGTCTCATTTTCCGCATCCGCAACAACGTTATCGACACCACCGTGGCGGCTCTTCCTACTGGTCAACGCAAGGCTGAAGACCAGAAACATGCCACTTTGTCGTTTTGCACATATATCATAGCCAGCGGCCTCGTCTTTATTATAACCTTCCATAAACCTTCGACGGACCAAGCCTCTTCACCGCCTTCGCCATTGAGCGGTGTCGTTGAGTCTCAACCGCTCTTTGCCGTCTGTTGCCACCTCTCGTCCTCTGGTCAGCCTGGATATGGCCGTGGCCTGAGAGATAGACCAGCACATACACACCTGTTTACGCCTCGCTATTCGCACGATCCTGGTCGGCCTCATCCAGCACTGCTTGAATTCGGTCCGCCCAGGCCAGCATTATGGAGGCCCGAGCAAACAGCATCAAGGCCGAAGGCAACAAATGCTTCCAGCGCGGCGACTTTGCCGCCGCCGAGGGTCTCTACTCACAAGCGTATGTCTCGCACGCGCAGCCAAGTCTCTATGGACCACGCCTGCTAACTCTCCCAGAATCATCGTCGACCCCAAAAACTCGGCACTCTACACCAACCGCGCCCTCGTGCGCCTCAAGCTCGAGATGTGGGGCGGCGTCGTCGACGACTGCACCACCTGTCTCGAGCGCGTCCCGGACAACATGAAGGCCCTGTACTATCTGTCGCAGGCCGAGCTGCAGCTGCGCGACTTTGATGCCGCCGTCGCCCACTGCCGCCGCGCGCACGCGCTGTGTGTCCAGAGCGACGACAAGTCGCTGACCAACATCACCAACCACATGCTGGACTGCAAGCGCGCCCGCTGGAACGACATGGAGAACCACCGCTTGCGCGAAGCAGGTGCGCTGGAGGGAGAGATGGTGGAGCTGGCCGAGCGGGAAAAGGCGAGTGTCCTCGCGTCACTGGAGGCCAGCAAGAGCGCCAAAAGCGGCAACGGCAGCGACGGCAGCGACACCAGCGACACCAGCGCCGAGTATGCCGAGATCGCCGCCGAGTGGGACGCAAAGATTGCCCGCCTGCGCGAGACGTTTGAGCGGTCCCGCGCCGCCAGCGCCGTCGAGGCCCGCCGCACCGTCCCCGACTGGGCCATCGACGACATTACCTTTGCCATCATGGTCGACCCCGTCGTCACCAACACGGGCAAGTCGTACGAGCGGGCCGCCATCATGGAGCACCTGCGCCGCCAGCACACCGACCCGTTGACGCGGGAGCAGCTGCTGCCCTCCGATCTGCGGCCCAACCTTGCCCTGCGAGCCGCATGCGAGGAGTTTCTGGACCAGAACGGGTGGGCTGTGGACTGGTAGGTGGTGTGTGATTGTTCGGGCGGTTGTGGCATCTTTGACCTCGTGATTTATGTTTCATTTTTTTTTCATCTTCATCGTTCGGAGACAGCACATCTCTCTTCTCATTTTACTTTTCAGCAAGCTTGGCTTCTGGCCATTGGTTTTGTAATTTTTCACGATTCACGGCCGCGCTTGCATCATATGGCGTTTGTTTTGCATTTTTTACACGACGAGAAAGAGAATGGCAATTTTCATTTTGGCAGTAGTATTTGTAAGTTGGATCTGAACAAACACCATATTAAGTGCAGTCTGCGTTCTCGATTCTGTAATTTCTATTGAATTACATTTTGTTAACTTTTGGTAAGGATTGTTTTTTTTTTTAAAAAAAAAAATCCAATATCATAACTACCGATGGATTTTCAAAAACTAGGGACAGGCCAATCTGCCATGGCTTGACGCTAAATATATCCTCTCATAAACATAAAAATATACGAACAAAACTATCTACATAATCTCGTACCCTCGAACAACTATCATCGGTCTACAACATGAATGCCATTACAAACAACAGAAACAGAATGGCAGAGCCTCCTCTAGACATTAGCCGCAAACTATCCGATTTTGTCGCTGTTGGCGAGGATGTCGCTGTCACAGCCGCGCCCGTTGTCGCTGCTGTACTCGTCTTTGTCGTTGTCTTTCCACTGCCGTTCCCGTTGCTGCCGGCTGCAATGGCCGACGGCAAACTGCCTGTTGCGGTTGTCGGCGAAGCAGCTCTGGTTGTGTGTGTAGTCGAGGCGGCTGTACCCGTGGTCGGGTTTCCTCCGGCCCCGACGTTGTTTGCTAGACCACCGGCGACTGGATGCGCCGGCTGTCCCGTCGTGGCGTTCCGGTACCAGTTGCTCGGCGGATCGGCCAGGCACTCGCCGACCGTCACGAGCTGGTAGCCGAGCTTGCGGGCCTGGTCGATAATGTACTGGGCAAAGACGTGGACGGTGGTGTTGTAGATGTCGTGCTCGAGGGAGATCCAGGAGGACGAGGCCGGGCTGTGCTGGGACAGGATGGTCTGGAAAATGTTCTCGGCCACGGTGTAGTCGCCCTGCCAGTCGCGGGTGTCGATGTCGTAGTTGAGGACGTGGTAGCCGTACGTCTTGAGATCGTCGAGGGCGTCCTGGTTCCATCGTGTGTACGGCGGCCGCAGGTAGGTTGGGAAGACGCCGAGGACGTCGGCAATGGCCACCTCATTCTTGACGATTTGGTCTTTGCGCTGCGCGGCCGTCACCGCGCTCAGGTCTTGGTGGCTCCAGGTGTGGCTGCCAATCTGGTGACCGTCGGCCACCATGCGCCGCAGAATGGCCGGGTACCCTGTCGTCGGATCGTTGATCATGCCCTTGGCGCCGTTGTTGCCGACGACGAAAAACGTCGCCGTGACATTGTTGTTCTTGAGAATGTCGAGCAGGGCGCCCGTGTACAGGTACGGTCCGTCGTCGAACGTGATGGCCACTTTGCCGTTGACAGTGCAGTGGCTAATGTCGATGCCGTAGGGAATGCTGCCGATGAGGGGCCGCGGGACCTTGCTGGTGTCGGCGCCCTTGGGCGTCTGGTTGCCGTCACACGCAGGACCCGCCGAGATCTGGCAGGCGGGTGCCGTGCAAAAGGCGCCGCCCGTGCCGCAGACGCCGGCGGCGGAACAACAGAGGCCGGCTGCACATACGGCGTTGTTGGCTTGGGTGCCGCAGGAGCCACCGGTGGCCACGCCGTTGTCGCGCTTGGCAATGAGAATATCGGTGTCGTCGTACGCATGTGCCCAGGCCGGCGTGGCCAGCAGGCCCGGGAGCAGTTTCGGAATCCACATGGCGAGGCTGCGGACAAAACACAAGGGGAACTTCAAACAGTCGGGGACACCCTTGAATGATGTCACGGAGACGTCAACGAAAGGAGTCATACGTCGTGCACACGGCCATCTGGTGTAAGGCGATGCCAAGACGGGAGTTCCACGTATTTATATATATGAGAATAAAAAAGGGGGTCCCGTAGCAGGAGGCGGAGAATATAAAACTACGGAGAGGCATATATTGCAGAGGAGGGTATAAACAAGCGGCTGGTCTGGCTGAATCCTGGTGCCTGGGTAATGTGTGTGGGAGGGAAGGGAAAGGGTAAGCCGAAGGAAAGAGAAGAGACACGTCTAAAAGAAGCTGGAAGACGCAAAACGTGGACAGGTAAAAGGTGGGCTCAGGAATATGGACAAATGGCAACAGTACACAAGGCGAGGCAATAATTGACCAGAACAGCTAGACGACGAGCCCTTAAGATGACAGGATGGAACCAGCCGCCTGATTGAAAATCGATGGCGACGGGGGACCAACGGGTTAAGCTTAAGCTTTTGGTTCTAGAATACGGTTCGTAAGCCTGGACTTTCAAAGGATGCAGCAATGAAATAAGAAACAGAAGTAAGCCTTGTCTACGGCGCGGACAGATTATGCATACCATGCTTTCTGCTGCCGACGGACCGAGACGATTCTCCGGTCTTTGGAAGTCCATGCATGATGCGACAAAGGAAGGGGGCGGCGGGCAGAGCACACGCTGCTAATGCTGTTGGTGATGACAACCGACCATAAACCACAAAAGGACGATGAAGACAGCCACACATGTGTACGAGGTCATTAAACGCGTTCATCGTCCACAGACTGTCCCTGCGCTGTGCCGGAGAAAGGAAAACGCTTGGCCTTTGGTGTCGGGATGGACCCTGTCATGTAGATTAATTGGTGGACAGGGCTTTGTACATATTGTCTGACAAGAAAGACTCACCGGCGGCACAGAAAAGGGCATAAACGACAATGCTTCGTTCCTACGACATGTCAACAGAGAGACCGACTTTCGAGCATGAGGTTACGATCTAGACCGGTCCATGGCCCCGACCCCAGAAAAGACACCATTTGTGGCTTGAAAGAGAAGAGTTCTTTTGTAGGAGGGCATGAGAAGAGATACGTAAATTATTCAGTTGATTCCGTATTAGCGACCGTACGTGGTGTCCAGAGAAACGCCACAAAGGCCATGACAAGAGGAAAAACGATGGCAGCATCGAGCACGTTTTTGGTAGAATGGCCAGGAGTGGAATAGGCGTTAGGATGGGAGGCACTTGAAGGCACCCAAGTCAAAATAAGCTTTTCTTTCATTCCTTTTTCGGGCGGTTTTGGTGTGGAAGGCTCCGCATCACGCAGCATTTCCTCACCAGCCGCGGTGACCAATTTGGAAGTCGAGTATTCCTTTGGTCCCTGTGATCCTTTTGTGGTGCTTTATTTGATGACGGTTGTTTCTCGTACTACGTGTATGTCGACTTAGTCGCTGTTTGCCATTTTACGCCGTACATCTGTTTTGACTTGAGTCTTCTGTTCCCCTGTTCCCAATATTGACACGGACGTATGCAGCCCACCCAACAAGAGCATGTTTCTCGGCTCTAGGATGGACGTCTGCTCCGTATGCTCTTGATCATGCATGCAACCGCCGGTCCCGAACAGACGTGCTTGAGGCCGTTACTAAGATGACCTGCGGCAGGGTCAGTGCACACAGACAAAGGTTGTCAATGCCATACCATTCCGCCACCAAGCCACAATAATTCAATAAACCGTCGTGGGAGGCACTGCATACGAAGTATGAGGTACGTAATCATTTCAGAGCGGCTTTACGACCTGCGCCACGGAATGGAGAGATGATAGGAATTGCAGCGCACAGCCATTCTGCTTGCCAACGAAGACAACGGCCGCCGGATATCGGCCATTGTCATGATGTTGCTGTCCCTTGCCCCGGTTTTCTGCACATCGTTACAGCCGAGACATCTTGCCGTTATTGTTCCTGGTATTTCGTATCGTCGTTTTGATGGAGCAAGGCACGACTTTGCCCAAAGAGGCAATTGATAGACGATCTAGTTTCGCATTGCCATGGCGAACGGAGCTCTCCGAAAACGGTCTGTCTTATGACATTCCACGTTTCTCGTGCCGGCAACAAACAGGGCCTCGAGGGCGTATCAAACCCCGTTACGTGACTTTGCCGCCGTGCCATCTCCTGCTGTCGCGAATCGAGTGCACTGCTTGTTTCGAAATGGTCGACATCTTGGCTCGCCTGTCTCCCTCGCCGTCGCGTTCTAATCCTCGACCTTCTGACAGTTTGACCTCAACCTTCTGGGCAGTGTTGCGCACGGGTGTTTCTCTGTTTCTCTCCTCAAACTGCCCTCTACGGCTGGCCGTGTATGGAAAACTGGTCACTGTTCCCGCGATGGTGCGACGTACATTCTACGCTCCATCTGCGTTTCGTTTTGCCGGTGTTTGCCACAATTTTTGTATTCGGACTCTGTAAATCGCACCTGCGATGCGAACCGGTGGCGGCACTTCGCGACATGTCCATGACGCGGCCGACAATCGAGTCTTGAGCACGTCGATGAAGGCAGGCAGTGTCGAGGATGTCAGTCGTCGCCCCTGATTTGTTGGTTTCTCCTTGCTTGGTTTCAAGACGCCAACTGTCGGTCCTCGCCCGCCTTTTTTTTGCCTTGGTTGTGCTATTTTTGTCTTGGTCTTTTAGCGTCTCGCCTTCGCTCTCGCCCCCCACTACAGCGGCAGGTCCAGTAAAACCGGCGCTGAAAACGAGCCTGTCTCCCTGTCTAGCCTGTCGTTACAACGTTCCCAGGTCGTCTTTGCGACGGCGCCCTGCCTCCACGAACAAGATCTAGGGCGCGATCTCGTAACCACGGGAGGCCTTTGATTTGCCAAGAAACGGTGTGTTTCCGCGTGCCAGCTTTTTAACGTTGCTAGTCGGTGCCATTTGCGACGCACTCTTCTGTAGTTAAGTGTACATATGCAGTTTCCACCGGTGCAAGTGATCGCTGTTGGCCGGCATGCAAGTCGCCGTCATCTCTTTACAAAGTTGATTGCGGCATTCTTGTCCGTCGCCCTTTTCTCCTTTTGACATCATGTCAGATGACACACATTAGGCGACGACTGACATGTCCAAAGCCAAAAGGCAGACTTAAGCGGAGTCAATAGAGATTGCCTGACCGACGTTCCACTGAGACAGCGCTGACGTTGCCTATTAAACCTCTGCTCGCTTCCGCTGAAGCCGACTATTGCAGCCACTAGTGCCACCACGACGCAATGCGCAGCACTTGCCGGGCCTTTTTCTTCTAGACGGTCTTTCTCGCCCTCTTCCTCAGCCACAATGCACACGAATGCCTGTCTACTTTCACACAGCTGTTTTGTTGTCTCAGCGTTTTTGCTGGTCGTCTTCGTGCTGGCTTGTTTAGTGGCGAGCTTTTCGCAAACCGCACCTCGTATCTTGCGGCTAAAGTCGATGCTGGGGCCTTTCTTTCTTTCTTTCTTTCTTTTTTTTATTATTATAATTATTTACATCGCTTTCCAAAATACGCCCGAGCGTGGGCCAAAACATGTCCTTCGTAGCGACTACACCGCCTCGATCTAAATTCGAAACCGTCCGAGAATCGTGCTCTCTACAAATTCACCTCAGAATTGTTCCAGAAAGAAGAAATCGTCTTCGCCAATTTCTCACACAGTCTCACACGGTCTCACACAGCCTGTAACTGCCCAGCTAGCTGCCCTGCTGCCCTCTCCCTTTTTCCGTTGCGTACAGCAACCAGGCCCCTGTTGCGGCCACTCCCCTGTAACTCCAGTTTGTCTGGCTCCTTCCCGACAGGAGCTCCTGCTGAACCAACCAGACGGCGCCTGCATCGCTACAGGACCCACTTCTCTGCCCCCGTTTGGTGTCTTTTGGATGCCCCTGTCCATCACCACGCCGCCTTGCCCTGCTTCGCTGGCCGTCTGCTGCGTCTTGCTTTTGCCGCCATACCCAAACCAGATTGGCTGGCCGACAGACTGGTTGGGGCGGCTGGGGGCTGCGTCTAGATTTGTCGTTTTCTGTGGTCTCGCCTCCCCACTTCTCCCAAAACTACGTCAAGACCGAGAGCAAGGAAGGTGCGATTTTGTATGTGATGCTACAAAACAGAGTGCGGTCCATACGTATGCACAAAAGGCATACTCCATACAAAATACTCTACAAGAACAAGACCAAGAAGACTGTCAGCCCGTCGGGCAAGAACAAGATTGCACTCCATCTTCAGTCAAGGCTCACCCGGTCGTTCCTTCCCGCCCGGGCTTTTGCAGTTCGACTCCGAGCCTCGCTCATCTGCTCCTCCACAGCCTCTTTCCTACAACAGGACATTTTCCATCTTTCCATCCATCTTCCGTATTACTTCAAACCCGTTTTCTCTTCTCTTTTCTTTATTCCACAACTCTCCTACTCGCAACCCCCGCCAAGTACCCCCGTACTTTTTCTACGACACCCCATCGTCGATCTCCAAACATCCTCCCACGGCTTCTGTCTCAGGTCCAGCCCTCCTGCGTCATCCCTCCTGTGGACGTCCTTTTTGTCTCTTTTTTCCCTTTTGCATTTCCTTCTCTGTTCTCCTCGATCCCTTCCTCCATCTTCCCTCTCCCACCTCCAAAACGTGCGATCGCACTACCTCGTGCAAACAGCTGTCGTTCGCGCAGAGGATCCCAGACGCCCAGAGAAAAAGACTCTCCCACACCCCTGCCACATCCTCCTGCACTTACCCGCCTGGGTCACGCTCCTTCGCCCCAGCGACAGCCGTATCGCATATATCCGGAGAACTCATACGTCGTACACGTGCACATAACAGAACCGCTGTTGTTTTGTGTTTGTGGTTGTTCGTGGTTTTCTTTTTGTTTTCTTAATCCTCCTTCTATTTGCCTTTAGTTCCATTTTCGTCTTCCGAACCATCGTCTCTGGAACCCGGCACAACCTTCTGGCGGCCAGCCAGGCAAACCACGAACTTTACTTTACGTCTGAATCAACACAGAAAGACCGGGCAAACGCAAACAAAGGAAAAGCAACGAGCAAAACGAACACTATACGTGACAAAGGCAAAGAGCAGACTGAACCACTTCATTCCTGTCCTCTTGGATCCCTTGACACCGACATCGTCATCTTCTCCTCCGACATCCCTATGACGATAAACAAAGAACCCAGATCAACATAACATAAATTCGCAACGCAACGCACACACCGCCCTCTCATACAACACCCATGAGAGCACATTGGCGCCCTGCTCGACTGCCATCCGTCTGCGCTCGCCGCACCCTCGCTCGCATCGGCGACCTCGTCGTCGACTGCTGAGGCTCTCCTACTCCGACACACCGACTTCCTTGGACTTCCTCCTTTCCCCTCCTCTCCCACAATGGACAACGTCGCCGACGTCCTCGCCGAGGCGCATGCCCTCTATGCCCGCGCGAACGAGCTGTATGCCCGAGCCAACCTGACCGCCGGAGCCGCCAACTCGACTTCCAACGGCACATCCACCTCCACCTCCTCGAGCCACAACGACCGCCCGGCCTCCTTCAAGGTCATCGGCATCGCCCTGGCTATCAGCTCCGGCGCCTTCATCGGCACGTCGTTTGTCTTAAAAAAGGTTGGCCTGCTGCGCGCCAACGAAAAGTACAACGAGGTGGCCGGCGAGGGCTATGGCTACCTCAAAAACGTCTTTTGGTGGTCCGGCATGACCCTCATGATTATCGGCGAGATTTGCAACTTTGTCGCCTACGCCTTTACCGACGCCATTCTCGTCACGCCCCTGGGCGCCCTCTCCGTCGTCATCACCACCATCCTGTCCGCCATCTTCCTCAAAGAACGACTCTCCATGGTCGGCAAGGTCGCCTGTTTCTTGTGCATTGTCGGCTCTGTTGTTATTGTCATGAACGCCCCGCAAGAGTCCTCCGTCGCCAACATCCAGGAGATGCAGCATTTCGTCATCACCCCCGGCTTTCTGTCGTACGCCGGAGTCATCTTGGTCGGCTCGGCCGCCACTGCCTTTTGGGCCGGCCCGCGCTGGGGCAAGAAGAACATGCTGGTCTATCTGTCCATCTGCAGCTGGGTCGGCGGCCTGAGTGTCGTCGCCACCCAAGGCCTCGGCTCTGCTATCGTCGCCCAGGCCGGTGGCACTCCCCAGTTCAACCAGTGGTTCCTATATGTGCTCCTGGTGTTTGTCATTGGCACGCTCCTCACCGAGATTATCTTCTTAAATGTGCGGCATTTGTGCTCTTTCTGTCCCGCGATGCATATGTGCGTGCGCCTGCTAACTTCACCTCCGTCTTGTAGAAAGCCCTCAACCTCTTTAATGCCGCCATGGTCACGCCCACCTACTACGTCTACTTCACCAGCACAACCATCGTCACCTCAGCCGTCCTCTTCCAGGGTTTCAAGGGCACCGTCACGTCCATTGTCACCGTTGTCCTCGGCTTCCTGACCATTTGCTCTGGTGTCGTCCTCCTCCAACTCTCCAAGTCCGCCAAAGACGTACCCGACTCGGCCGTCTTTGCCGGCGACCTCGACCAGATTCACACCATTGCCGAGCAAGAACAGCCCGAGTCCGAACCCAAGGCCGACGCCATCCGCGGCGCCGCCGCAATTGTGCGTCGCTTCTCCACGGCCCGCCAGAACATGGAGGTCGCCGAGCTCAAGCGCATGCACGAAGAAAAGATGCGCGAGCGTGACGAGCTCGAGGCCATTGGCGAGGACGGCAATCCTGTGCCAAACAACGGCGAGCCCCGCCCGCCCATGTACGAGTGGGACGGCATTCGCCGCCGCCGCACTACCATTGGCAGCCAGCGCTCGCGCTCCCAGACCGTCTCCTCCCGACCCTTTACGCCCGGCCCGCCACCCGGCACCGCAGGCTCCGCCACGCCCCACCCGCCTTTGGGCTGGTCGCATATGCCGACTGACGAAGAGCTGGCTGCTCTCGAACAGCGCTCCAACACCCCCGGCGTCCTGTCGAGCATTGCGGGTACGATCCGCGGGCACGGCTTGGGCGGCCGTGGACGCAGTATGCTGCTGCCCACCTACAATGCCGACGCACACGACGACGAGGAGCAGGCCCAGCAAATGCGGCAGCAAGAGCTGGCACCCAAAGTCCAGAGTCCCATGCACCCTGTTCAGTTGACGGAAATATCGGTCCCGTCGCAACAGCAGCGCGGGCGCAGTGGTAGCGGCGATGAGGACCGCAGCGAACGGTATGGACGTGGCTATGGGCTGCCGTCAGGCAAGACGGAGTATGTCGGCGCCGCAGGCTACGCCAGCAGTGACGGTGCCAGCAGTATCGCACCGCCTGACCCGCCACCGCACTCGGCCAAGCGCCAGTTCTCTTTCCAGAACGTGTTCCGGAGACACCAGCAACACGGTGCCAGCGGCGCCAGCACGGTCGACTCCCTTCCCGAAGACGACGAGCACGATGACTATGACGAGTACGGATCGTCGTCCAATACAGGAGGACACGGGCGCGGCTACCGTCGTGCGCCCGTGACGTCGCGCGGCTACTCGGCACCGCAAGTCAAGGGCTCCACCGAAGAGGAGCGTCTGGGCCTGGTCAAGGGCGACTCTCGGTTGGCGCCTGCCACTCTTCCTACTTATGAAGAGGAGATGGAGGGCGACGACGACCAGTACGGCGACACCGCCGACTACGACGATTATGACGACACCAAACAGCCCATGTACGTGGGAACGGCCACCACGGCGACGTCAGCCCGCTACGGACGCGGTATTACCGGCTCGCCGCCCTCACCACCCAAGGCGGTCGCTGTTGTTGGCGAGAAACGCAGCGGTACCAGCCGAGGTCACGCCGCCAAGGGAAGCGGCAGCGGTAGTGGCAGTGGCAGCCAGGGCTCGGGCGACGAGCACTACACGCGCGGCCGTGGCCGAAAACCGTCTCAAGGCCAAACGGGACCACAGCACGAGTCTCCGCCGCCGCCGCCGCCGCCACCGGGCGGCCATCGCTACAGCCCACCACGCGGCGGTGACGGGGCCTTTATCTAGCCGACGGCGTCCCTGTTTGCCCTATGACGCGGTGTTGACGGCGTTCTTGCATCGTTTCGTCCTTTGGTGCTTTTCGTCCTTTTCGTCCTTTTCGTCAACTTGTTTCACGTTTAGCGAATTTCGAGCGAGTCATCATCTTTTCATGTTTCTGTTTCCACGTTGGCATCCTCTCTTTACTCGCATTTGGCTCTTGGAATGAATGAAACGGGACCATGAACAACAACCACGACGACAACAAACAACACTCTGTATCAGTATCGATATCATCTTTGCGTTTTCTGGGACCTTTGTTGGGTCTTGGTTGTGTCTGTATTTATTTGTACATAGTTTAAGGTGCATGGGGCATGAACAAACTGTACACATTGTTGCATACATTATACGAACTGCCGTGATCTTTTCGAATCGTAGTGAATTTGGCAGTCATAAGCTGCACACACCATGGACCGTAGAGTGTATTTAATATATTTAATGTACCCCGGACGTTGTATGCGATAAAGATTGTAAAAATGCTCCGATGCATACCACGGATGCATGCATCTTGGCGGTGTCTGCCACATGACTCGAGGCTCTTGTGCATTCATTCAATGGGACAGCAAGTCTACAATAATTACTTTCAATTCTTTTGCACAAATACCAACAGATTGCATCTGTCGATTTGACATCTCTTTTCGCTGCGGAGTGTGTCCTTGTTCCTCCGTTTAGCCACGAGGATGATCGTCAAGTCTTGTTTTTCCGTTCATGCCGAACAGCGAGAGACAGACTGCGCATGACGGACGCTGGGCGTACAGCCGAAGACGAGCGCATGAGTGCGAGTTGTAGTAGAGGAGATCGGAAACACAAAACCACAAATACACGTCACCTTTTGTTTTGGACGAGCAGGCAGGATTCGAGGACGACGGCTGTTTGCAGGTGTGCAAAAGGACATTGCCTGGTGCCGCGCTCAATGGAAGAAAGACGAACAAAATGAAGTGGAAAATGGAATCATGTCCATTTACTCGATACAAACCATTTGATATCGTGGACAATCATATAAAAAATAAGCTTGATTCTGCATTGTAAAAGCAAAGGACCTTCCTTTGCCACTTGACCGGCGAAATTTCCCAGCAATCGGATGGCATCGAAAAAACGAGTGTGATAGAACGTCGCAGTACAACACGACGAACAGGAAATATGCCAGCCCAAAGCATGTGCCCCAAGGACCCTCTCTTTTTGGCTCTTTGCGCAGTACCATACGGTTCATTTGAGAGTGTGTCGTCTCGCGGCGGCAGTTGTGCCCACTTGTTCTGTAACCCTGCGATCGCCAGAAAGCTTGATGGACGGCATCTCCCTCTCATGCGCCAGCACACTCGAGGATGCGCACAACATGGTCATAGCCGACAGCGTTGGACAACGGTCTGGACGCAGGTGCTGCGCGGATTGGCCCCTCGTCTCTCTCTGTGTACTCTTGTGTTTTGCTGCATCGTTGAACGGCAGATTGCCCTCGTTGGTTTGTGCTTTGGCTCGTCACCGCCCATCTTCATCCGATGTAAGAACAGACGCATCCCGCGTTTCTGTTTCTTGTTGCGCGTCCAGCTCTAAGCAAGTTGTTTATTGTTCTCGATTCGTCCTATCCACTTTGAATTCTGTGGTCTGCTGTTTTGTGGCTGATCGCTTTGTCTGCCCAGATTTCCGCATCTTGGTTTTCTCTTTTCCCTCACTTTGTGCTCACTTTTGCGGTGCGAATTGCCCATGTGTCAAACAAACGACCTTACCCACTTTCTGTCGCTTGTTACACATAGATCATCTTTCCTTCCCTGGTCCTCTCCCCTGTCGTTTTCTCGATCGTCTCCAAGACTCTTCCTGACCTGTTGATAGAAAGAGGCGAAGCCCAAGCTTCGTCCTCTTGTTTGACCTTCCTTTCGCCTTTTCACACCATCACAGCTCTGTGGCATCAACCGCAACGATGGGCAAAGATGGCCCCAATCCCACGATCCGCATCCTCATGCTGGGCAATGTCGGCGTGGGCAAAAACTGCCTTGAGTCGAGGGTAGGTCTAGCATGTTCCAGAGAACTCATAAAAAAAGTCATTTTAAACACACTGACCATCAGTTCACGACCATGACCTACCCACCGCCGTACAACCCGGCCCTGACCCTCAACAGCCGGCGGTACTTTACGCTGCCGCCCGTTCACGCCGTCGGCGACTGCGAGGCAGAGGACGTCAGAGAGCCAAGAAGTCCGCACTCCGACAAGAACAACAGAAGCAGGGATGCCAAGAAGGTCGTTGTAGCCGCTGCCGAGCGTCCACGCACCACCTCGTCGACAGCCACAATGTCGTCCAGCCCGGCCGCTGTCGATCTCCCCGCCGTCGACCACCCCGACAATGCTTCCTTCGACGACCGCACCCTCGTGGCGTCCTCGACCACGACCGCCTCCTCCCTCTGCAGCGCCTGCGCCCGCGAAAACAACACCTACCTCGTCGAAGTCATCAACTACCCAGACCTGCAGTCGGCCGCCGTCCGCCGCCACGTCCACGCCCGCGCCGACTACGATGCCGTCCTGCTGGTGTACGACGTCTGCGATGCTGCCTCGTTTGACGCCATCCCGACGCTGCACGGCGAGATCCCCGTGTGCACGCGCACGAACCACCACCAGCACCACCGCCGGGCACTGCCGCATGCGAGCGCCACGCGGAGCCGGACGAGCGGGTGGTTTGGAGGCGGCGGGAACGAGACGGGCACGACGGGGTCGGGCGAGATTGTGGTCGGGCTGGTGGGGAACAAGAGCGACGTAGACGATGTCGACGAGGACAGACGGGTGGTGGGTGACAACGTGCCAGGAGATGTGACCATGACGAGCGCGGTGCAGGACGGCGACCCGACCGAAGAAAGTCTGCTGCATCCGCTCTACCGGGAGAGCATACTGTACGAGGAGTTGACGGCACAACGAGAGCAGCGGGAACGACGACAGGCGGCTCGTGCCACGGCCGGAGCCGAAGCCAGGGCACGTACCGCCCAGACACCGACGACACCCTTTCCCACGGGAGAGATGGACCGTGCTGAGCACAGCAACAATACCAAAAGCAAGGCAGGGCTCGAGGCCGCCGCCAAGAGCAAAAACGACGACATCCAGAAGTGGCTCGAGATTAGCCGACCCGAGCCATCTCTGCCGCTGTCGCCATTGTCTCCATCGCCCAGGCCACCCAGGTCGCCCATGCATGACGACGACGAAGAGGACGACGACTACGACTACTTTGGCCTGGCAGGCACCGTCGCCGACATTAAGCCGAGAAAATCGAAACCGACCAAGCCGTCCCGCGTCCGCCAAGTCCCCGCCGCCGACGGGACCATGCTCGCCCAGGCCCTCCAGCTTTCTGTGCCCTTTCTCGAGACCAGCGCTCAGACCGGCCGCCACGTCGAGCATGCTCTGGAGAATCTCGTGCGCGCCGTTCTCCGCGAGATGGGCCGCGACGCCAGCGGCACCAACAAGGCCGGAAAGACGTGCCGGCACAGAGAACGGCTGCCCAAAAAGGACAAGGACAAGCAGGAGGAGAGGCGGCCGAGCCGTACGTTTGTGTCCCTGGCCAGCCCGATAAAGAGATCCATGCCAGCGACAACGCCTGTGTCTGTGCCTGTCTCCGCCCTGTCCGCCCCGCCCACGCCCAGCGAGCACGACATTGCCGCCCAGCGGCCCGAGAGTGCAGCCATGTTCCGGCAGCCAGATGCAGACGTGGGGCCGCTTGCAGACGCGACGACACCACCGGCCGCCGTGGTCGACACAGGCCCGGCCATTCCGCCGCCGCCAATGCAGCGTCGCGCGAGCGTCATGGGTCGTATGCGCAATGTCTTTTGGCACAAGTCGCAGCAGCCAGCCGAGCAGCCGCCCGGTGGAACGGGATCGATGCCGGCAAACATGGCCGTATAGGAGAAGCAACGAAGAAAGCGCGCGTTGGTGGTGGACAAGTCGCGGGCTTTTTTGGTAATATTTTGTTGCTCGTCGGGTTATTCGTTGCTAGCATTTTTCGTTACTATTTCGTATCCCCACTGACTGGATCATCACTGCGGGTGGCCTTGGGATCCTCGCCGGCAGGTGTCAGATTCACTTGGGAGGTTGAATGTTGAATGGATTTGATTATAATGTATTCCAAAACAATGTAAAGACCTATGGACACTCACTCGTAGCCAAAACATCCAGAAGCATTCCCAAATAAATAAGTTCAAAAAAGAAAGAAAGCATATGGTTGACAATAAAACGACAAAAGCGGCTGTGCAAAATTAGACTGGATAACCTTCGAAGCCTTCCAAGCCTGCCTTCCTTTCTCCAACATAGTTTTTGACTCGTGCCAACCCCTTACAGGGCAGCAGCGACGCACAGGGCACCAGCCATGGCCAGAGCAGCGACACCGACAGCAGCAGTGTCCTTGGAGCCGGCGTTGGTCTTGGAAGCGCTGCCGGCCGAGGTGGTGGTCGTGCCCGAGCCCGAACCAGAGCCGGCGGTGGTGCCAGAGCCACCCGACGTCTTGGTCGCCTTGGCCGTGGACTCAGTGGCACCGGTGCCCTTGGTGTGCTCGGCCGTCGTGGTGGCAGCGCCGCTTGAGCCGCCGCCCGAGCCGCCGCCGGCACCGCCGCCGGAACCGCCCGCTGTGGCACAGTAGTCCGACAGGCCTGCGACGCTGCTGCTTTCTTCGCCGGAGGGGGCGTAAGCCTGGCAGGTGCTCAGAATGCTGGCAATTTCCTTGCTGTGGGACGAGTACCAGTCCTCGAGCTCGGCGCTGTACGTGGAAAAGGCCGCCTCGACGGACGGAGGAGGCGTATAGTTGCAGGGATCCGAGATGACAGCGGTCATTTCCCACTGCTGAACCACAGGCGGCGGCGTGGGGATCGTGTCGTAGGCCGACGCCAGTTCGGTGGCGCAGGTCTCGCCGCCACCGGCAGCACCAGTCTGGCGGGCGTCTAGGCCGCGCTTGAGAGCGGCCTGACCCGGGAAGAGGCGCGTGGCCGAAGCGGCCGAGGCAGTCAGAGCGGCGAGGAGGATCGACTTGGTGTACATTGTGCTGGTCGTGAAGGAGTGTGATGGGTGTGCTGTTGAAAAAGAGTGGATGTGTTGAGAGTAAAAGGAAGGTGAGAACAGGATGGACCGAAGATTAAGATTAAAAGATGGTATGAAAAAAGATGATGTGGAGAGAAAGACCGAAGTGAGGAGAAGAATGCAACTGGAGATGGGAACAGCCCCTTCTTTATGTCCTCGCCTCTGGAGCTACTCGTCGTCCCAATAGGCGCAGGCTGCCATCGTCCAGTCTGTGCGTGGATTCCACTCGTTTTCCCCTTTGGGACGCCATCCATGGCTGGCAGGGGTGAAGTGGACGATTAAGCCTGGCCTAGATCGCCAAGCACTCGCTTTACTCGCTTCAATTTTGAACTGCCCTTTTCCCCTTTCTCTTTTTCCGTTTTCTTTTTTTCTTTCCTTTTTTTGGCGTTAGTTTTCAGTTCGTAGGGCAGAACAGATGCAAAAGCCGTCTTTGAGGAACCGGCAAAGCCATGACAGGTAAACAACGCGAAAGCTGCCTCACGGTGCTCCACTCCGGCCAATTCTCCCTCTTCACAGCCCTGGTCTTGTGGCTTTCTGACTCGCGTGTCGGGTCATCGTAAAAGTCCCCTTTAATTTTGTGGCCGCAGTCCAGGTCTTTGCGCGAGCAAGGTCGGATTCCGTAAGACCCAAAATAAAATAAGGTTGTGCATCTGGATCAGCCTTGCGTTTGATGATCCCTTCCTCAGTGGTGTGTGGTAAGGGGTACAGTGGAGTTTGGCGTGGAGCTTTCTCGCGTTACTTTCGGCTTGCTTGTTTGTTCATTGGTTGCTTGACCTTGCTAAAATAGTCTATTTTGTCGAAAAAGGGAAACGGCCATCGACCGTTCTGCAATGGCATCTCTCGAAAGAAGGGACTGGATAACTGTTGGATGGTGGCGTTTCGCTTTCACACCACCAGACACCATCATCCTCAATAGCAGATGTTCTTTTGCTTGTTTTGTTTGCTGGCTCCCTCCGTCTTACACAGGCCAAACGTCTACCTTCACTGGTCCCGTTGTCGTTCAGCCGCTCGACGCTAGCCTTGGAGTTCCGTGGTTCCCTTGAGGCACTGTTGAGGACAAAACGGGAACGAATGGGATCGTGGAGACTTCGCGATGGGCTCGTGATGGTGTAGAACAAGACAGGAATGTCCTCCAACGGGCTTGGTTTGGCAGGCTGTCGGTCTCGTCGAGGGCGGACGTAAAAAGATATGAACACTCTCGGCATGCGGCTTTGTCGTGTACATCCGCTTGAAGATCAGCTATATTGCGAGTGGTGCAAAGCCACAACCTCAGTGAAGATCCGTTGGCTAGCATGGATTCCGTTGCTTTCATTCTGATGATGTTCCTTGGAGGAAACGTCGACTGTGGCAACAAGACATGAACCTGACCTTTTCGTGACACGACACAGGGGACTTCAGCAGCCAGTAGCCGATCAGGTGAGGCTGACTTTCGACTGGGCTGGGTCAGTATTTTGAGTCAAGAGAGTCGACAGAGGTGGGACGAAGGGACAAAGAGACGAAGAAAATAAAACGCCACTTGTCAGTGGACTTGCCGTTGTTGCTATGGTTGGCACTTTCTCGTCATTCGTCGGCGTATTCCGTTCTGACGTGCATGCATCCCTTGTTCCGCTTGCTGCATTTTGCTGTATTTCTTCCGCGTCTCGGGTCTCGAACATTTTGACCCTTTTCAGCTTTGGGCTCCGTCTCCCTTGTTTCCGTTGTTGTTCTTTTGGCACCCGTTGGTAGTGCTGTTGTCAATAGACACGATTGTTTCGTTTGGACATCTGTGCGGTGTCCTGCCCTGTGCATAATGATTATCGTGGTCAAGGATGCGTCAATTGATGCGATACGGAGCTGCAACAAGCAAAAGTAAAAGCGGCCAAATTGTCCGACGCGCGAGTTCACTTACCAAGTGGGGGCTGAAGGCAAGCTTCCACGAGGAATAAACGGCAGGCTGCTCTTTCTCTGCATCGCAATATTTACATAATCTCAGGGAAGGCGCGACCTGAGAGTGGATTTTGGACAATTTCCCGCCGGTTCCCCTCCGTTTCCCATCCTAACTGCGGCAAACTGTGAAGACTGCGGATCTTCTGTGAAATGAGACATAGCTGTTTTTCCCCACTTTCCCGCTGTCCCAGCTTCTCCAGGGCTGTGTCGCTAGCGTCAATAGTCCCTTCTCAAAACAGTATGCTGAGCGAGCTAGTGCAAAAGGGGTAAAAAGGGGAGAAAACATGAACGACAGTTGACGCTTGGCAATTTCCACATTAGGGATTGTTGTCGTGACTTCCAGTCAATTCCCATTGTCCAGCCACGGCAAGTACGATTGGCAAGTACGATTGATTTGACTGTCTCATGTGACCGCAATTGATACATTATGTCTTCAAGGGTCTTCTAGGGGCATCTTCTCCCCATCACGACATGCTGGACGGCGACGCCTCGACTCAAAGCGGTCTCAAGCTCGTCCTTTACGATTGCAAACGCACGCTCCGCCACGACTGCACAACAACCTCGCCCACCAGACCAGACGCGGCCCAGGCATCCTCGGTGCAGTATCGTGGTACATGTATGCCCAGGCCAACGCTGCGCAACTCCGAATGGCGCCCCTTGACGGCGTTGACGAGCGAGAGCGAGCTGCAGACTTCGATACGAGTGTGTTCTGGTCGTTGTGAGAACGAGACAGCAGAGAGGCGATGTCACGGACCGTCTCGGCGGTGGCAGCCGGGGCAAGGGCCAGGTCAGCGACGTAATTGAAACGCGCGAGCCGTGGAGGTGGGAGGTGCAGACGAGGCTGCCGTTGTCGTCATCGTCGGTGTTGGTGTCGGCGGTATTCAGGACGAACTGTACGTGTACGCGCCGAATCCACTGACCCGTTCAAGACAGTGTATCTGTGTCTACGGCACGAGCTTGGTGTGAGGCGTTGGGATGGACAGAGGTGTCGTTGGCCGCGACGGAGTCTGTGGTCGAGACGTCCGGTGCGGCATGCTTCTCGACAGCAAGCTTCCACGGCCCAAGCCTCTTGCTGGGAAACGACCTGGTCGAGTTAGGTTGCAAGCCATCTGGAGTGATCATGGTTTGACCATTTGCGGCGCTGTTGATGCTAGCAACCCATGTTGGACAATCACATCGAATGACCGAGCAAAAGACAGGACGAGGATTGCCGCTTGGCCGACAAACATTGCTGGCCCCGTGAGATTCATGGTGAAAATGCTCAGCACAACGACACTTCACATGATATGCAAGTACTTGTACGTTTGTAGATCGATGACAGAAGTGACTATGGGGGTAGTAAATGGACAAACAAGACCGTCACAAGACATCTTCCCTTTCATGTGCCACTTGGTAAACGCCTTTCTCATTGACCTTCATTAGGTGTGGTGTATTGGAATGCCGTGACAAAAAACATACCGAATATGAATCAAAAAAAGAGAACTTAATCGACGGCCCTGGCGACTTTACATAATCGTCGACAATATTTGTAAATTATGTTCATTAATAACAACAGCAACAACAACCATCCCATTTTCGACAGTCAAGGTGGCCAGCGGCAGAGAAGGGGAGATCATACCGGGGTAATGTCGCGAGGTTTCACCTTCTTATAGCCAAGTTCCCAAAGTCCCAGCCCGGTTCTCGGCTGTTCCCAGAGTCTGGGACTTTCCTTCTTCTACGCCTTCTATTCCTTTTCTAGAAGAATGCTCGGCAACGCCTCTGTACACAGGCTATTCCGGCTATGTTGACCGGAAGTGTATCGTGATGCGTCGGCGAAATGACGATCCATGAAAGATGTGAGCAAGAAGCAAAAGGACGGATGAAAAAAAGACTGGATGAAATGAAGAAGACTGTGCCGGTAGAAAAGTATATCAGGCGGCCATCCTCTCGACCCGTTGGTATATTCTGAATCTGTCCGTCTATTTTTTTTCACATTGTATCGCCTTCCCCATCACATCCTTCACCCCATCCGTCACATCCCTGTTTTTGCACTTCTTCACTCGTCACATCGTGCACGTTCAGGTCACAGCAATAGCACGGTACAAACTCATGATCTGGTATATTGTCTTAATCTAAGTCGTTGCTTGAGCTTGGGCGCCACTCTCTAGTCCGTGTCAAAGAAACTGCCTGTCCCCTTCAGCATGCCGAGGTCGACGCTCCGCATGACCTGCCCATCCAGCCGCCGCACCGTCTCGTCGTAGCGCCACCAGGCGAAAACGACAACAGCGGCGACGGCAGCGTGGGCGGCGACGAGGCCGATGCTGGCGGCCTTGAGGAGGGTCCAGAACCAGACGGCGTTGGGCAGGGCGACGACAAAGGCGCCGCTGACGAGCGTGCGCCACACGAGCAGGCCGCCGCACATGTCGACGGTGTTGCGCTGCGCGACGATGAGGTTGGGCGAGGTGAACTGGGCCGAGCGGCGGACCATGGGCCGCACGGTGGCGTCGAGCAGATGGGTGCCGGCGGCGAGGAGGCCCAGCAGGAAACTCACGGCGGGGAGGTGCACGGCGGGGGCATCACCCGCGGCGCCGAGGGCGGCGGCCGCCACGGCGAAGAAGGAGGCGTGGTTGGCGCGCGCGGCGGCGGCCATCAGGCTCATGCACGAGGCAATGTAGAGGCCAAAGGTGAGGAGGCCGACCAGCACGAGGAGCGACCCGGCGGCGACGGCGACCATGTTGTGGCGCGCGGTCGACAGCAGACGGGCGGTCCACGACGGCCAGGGCACGTTGACCTTGGCGGCCAGACGGCCCAGCAGGGCGAGTCCGCCGCCGGTCGTGGCCAGCACGGCAACCGTGGCCAGCAGCCAGGGGCCGGTGAACAGGGCACCGAGGCCGCGCGGCGACAAGTCAAACGGCAGCGGAGCGAAGAAGAGGCCGACGGAGGCGGCCATGCCCCAGAGCGCGCAAAAGGGCAAGAGGGTAACCAGCGTCAGCAGGGCCGTCGTGGGCGCGGCCATGGCGCGGGGGACCTGTAGCAGGATGGCCACGTCTGTGGCCGACGAGGGGGACGCGTAGGACACGGGGCGCAGGTTGCGCGCGGTCACATAGTCGCGCACGGCCTCTCTGGACAGGACCGAGGAAAACTTGGTGCGCGGGCGCAGCGGCAGGGCCTTGTTGGACCATGCCGACAGCGGCACGGGCGTGTTGAGCGAGTAGTAGGAGCGGTCGTAGGTGGTCTCGGGCACAGCCAGCACGAGACCCAGGGTGGCCACCACCAGAAAGCCGCCGAGCACGGCAAACTGCGTGCCAAACGTGGCCGAGGCCGTCGACGTGGACACGACGCCGCCCAGCAGCGGGCCGCCCCAGGTACAGGCCACGGCCACGAGATCGACCGCCGCCGTCCGCGTGTCCCGCTCGTGCGCAAAATATGTGTCGTGCACCGAGCCCAGCACCAGCACATCAAACGCGCCCCAGCCGAGGCCCTGGAACACGCGTGCCGCCATGCACTGCGCAAAGTTGTGCGAGGGCACCGTGATGGCCCACATGGTGCCGATGAAGAGCAGCGCGGCCGACGCGAGGTAGAGCGGCCGCTTGCCCCACAGGCGGGAGGCGACCAGACACGCAAAGCCGGAGCCGGCCGACACCATCAGGGGGGCCCCTGTGAGGGCGGCTGCCGCCGTGTAGGACACGGCGTATTGCGTCGCCACCTGGCTGTGCACGGCAAACAGCGCTGTCTTCATGACGCCGACGAGGGCCACAAACAGCAGCAGGGTGCCGTAGTGCGCCTCCTTCTTCCAGCGCGGCCAGTTGAGCGGGTCGGCTGCGTCATCCGAGGGTTGCGGGACGAGCTCGGTGCGGGCATGTCTGCCCTTGCCGTACTTGATAGGACGGCGCGTGGTGGTGGTTGTGGACATGGACATGGGCATGGACGTGGCTGACATGTTGCTGGCGTACGACATTGGGCGGGGCCTTGTCGCGGTCGAGCCGCCCATGGGTCCGCGGACGGGCAATATGTCGACACGCAGCGGCTTGGGCGGCTGGTACCGCGGCGGCGACCCACCGGCAGGGACAGCAGGCGGTGGTGGAAGCGGTGCGGTAGGCGGTGCCGAGGGCGGCTGCTTGGGCGGTGTGACGGGCCGTAACGATACAGGCGTGGCTGACACGGTGTGTGGTGGTTGTGATGGCGCATCTTTGGACGGTGGCGACGGTGGCACGGCCAAGACGAGGCCCGGGTTGGCTCTCGGTTTTGGTGGAAAGGCAGACAGGGCCACGTAGGCGGTTTTTGGTGGTGATGACGGCCGGCTTGTCTCTGCTTTTACTGCCTTTTCTGCTTTTTCTGTCTTTGAAATCTTCTCGGCCGCTTTGGACTCGGCCAGTTTGGCGAGTTCACGCTCCAGATACTTTTCAAAGTCTTCGTCGGTGTCTGCGATATCAGCAAATGCTGATGGCTGGCGGCGTTTGTCCATGCTAATGCTGCGTGGGTATTGTTGGTATGTGAATGAGGAAAAAAAAAAATCAAAGAAGAACGATATCGTCGCTTGCCAGCAGGCGAGGATAGGAGGCCGTGGCGGTCATGAAATAGGATCGTGTTCAGTACATAATGAGCGTCGCTTGGATCGCACGTCGTCGGTCGAGTTAACTGTGGATGAGAAATACACAAACCACGGAAGGGAGGAAAGGGTTGACGGCAAAATACACGGTAAAAGAAAGAGCAAACGGAAAAAGAGAAAAACAGAAAAAGACAAAAAGACAGAAAGTGGCGTGAGATGCAGGCGGACGAGGGGGGCCATGGATGGTATTAAAGCGAACGGCGACAGGGGACGAAGGACGAGGAAAAGAGAAACACAATGGAACCCACACTCAAAGGGACAGAAAACTCGGTTCTCGGTCGATGCGTGTCGGATGGCCACAGGAACAGACACCACGGGCAGCGCGGACCATTATGCGGGTCTGTTTCCATCGCGGATCGTGTGTTAGGCACCAAGAGTTGAGTGTACGTCTTGGAAGTCGATCTGTGTACGACGTATGCATCTGCGTGTAAGTGACAGTGCGTGTACAATGTGATGGGGCAGCCCCTGATGGACTCCCACTGTCTCCAACCCCCTGCTTCGTGCTTCCCAGCTCCCCCACCGTCATGCGTGGCGATGCGTGGTGGAGCAGGGCTTCATAAGGCGAGGCAGGGGTTCGACGTATTCTGTATGTGAAGGCATGCGAGGTATGTGAGGGCATGTGAGGGCTTGCAGGAACATGCAAGGAACGAAGAATTTTCAGTACGGTCGTGAAGAGGCAGCGTTGTGGAGAATGAATACGAGTCGGGGAGAAGAAAGCACGTCGTGGTCAAACACCGGATTCACTAGACTGTAGTAGACGACCCGTTTTGAAGAGACATTTTGTGCAAGGGAGCTGTTCATTCGCCAGGCGTGAAAAGCATAAACGAGCAAGGGACTGGAGCAACGACACAAAAGAAAGCAGTCACCGCTCTCTGCAGGAAGGGCAGCTCACACGAAATGCAGTAAGACAAGACGTATTGGGTCCGAATGCAGTCTCCTTTTCACTCTCTGCACAACCAGTGGAGCAGACAAACACGAAGTGGCAAAGGAAAAGAAAAGGAGGAAAGGGAAAAGAGAAAAAAAAAAGGAAAAAAAAAAAGAAAACAGTGTCGAGCTCAGTCTGTGAAATCCTGGTTTTCGGCACTTTTCCCAATCACCAGGGAATGCCCTGGACAGTCCCCCTCCCCCCCGCCCCCGTCCGTCACAAAGGTGTTCCGTCTGATCTGCGCAGGCACCTTGTCCAAGACGTTTTCTTTTTGGCGTTGCATGCGGCTGGGGAGCTGCGGACGCTTTGACCCTTTGGCCCGTTGACGGTTGGAACAGTGGGCGAGACAAAAGAAAAGCCTCAAGAAACATGCGACCACCATCCCTCTGAGGCAGTTAGTCATATTACTACTGTTCTCGCCGGTACTTGTACGACAAACTCAGTACGAATGTACCCCAAACGCAGGTACCACCTGCAAGTGCTTGGCAACATCTTGGTAGGGCGGATGTGGCCAGACCAGGTGCAGGACGACAGGGGCCAGCTCCGGTTGGCTGGGATGGTGGGGAGTGGGCTGGTGGAGAACAGGGATGCCTTCATCCATAAGAACGCCGAAAAGGCGAAGAACGCAGCGGTCGGCCAAGCTGAAACAATACTGAAGCACGCTCTCGTGGATGCGAGAGGCCGGCACGACGACGCCTCGTTATGCACACGAAGACGGAAAAAGCCCTTCACTTTGTCCATAGCAGCGACTCTGGCTCGTAATGTCTGGTCCGTGAAACCGGTCCCTCGTTGCTGCGGTGTACTTTAAGCAGTTCAGAGCGGGTGAGTTGTGGTCAGCGATGCTCATCGCGCAAAGACGATTGTGGACACTCACTGATTTTCATGGAAGCGCTCAAAACACGCCACACGATTCTCATGATATACTTGGTATTACCAAAGTGCATCCAGCAGGCAAAACCAACCGACAAAACAAAATGGCGGCACCCAGCGGGACGGTTAAAATCAAGTAGAGGCCGATTTCCAGGAACACAAACTTGGAAAATTACAAAAATAGACAGCCCGCGCCGCAGGATAAATAGAATACAAACGCAAACCTGGAATCCGGATACACTGTGACTCTGAATCCCGGGACGTTTGCCCGGCGCTGTTTGGGATGGTCGTGATCATGTTTGGCATCGGAGGCGGAAATGAGCACATCAGCAATGCATTGTGAGAAGGACGAGCAGAAGAAACGGAAACAAGACAAACAGCCAGAAAATCAATGCAGTCTCAAGCACTCAAGTCCACTTGGGAGCGTCATCGCCGGGTGACATTGTCTGGTTAACCGCAACATGACCTGCTCTATGTGTCTCGTCGGCCTGTTTGGTGAGCAATGAAATTCATCGAAGCATGATTTGGTGCCAACGGCAACCGGAGAATAATTGGAAATCCGTCACAGCGTAGCCACCTCCCTCGCCTTGGAGGAACACGACCAACACGGTCTGACTATGGCGTTGGGGCAGTGTCGCCTCTGGCGATTTCAACTCCGTCTGTTGTCAGCGCTGACAGCTGCAATGCACACATGCCTGCGTCCAGGTCACATCGTGGATGACCAGTGTGTCCAAGGCTGTCCTCCAAGCCCCAGTTGCGCCTTTCATTCCGTGAATTTGCAATTGACGCGACACTCATGTTTGTCCCGTATGTGTCGTATTTGCCGTTTTCGTCGTGCTTTAACGGTACCACTCTCGCGTTGGCTGGCGAGCACAACTTCGCCCACGATTTATTAGCAAATAACAGTCCGAAAGAAAAGATGTCGTGCTTTTTTAGGAGATAACAGTGCTTCGAAAAAGAAAAGGATGCCGTATCGCCGTTTTTGTTTGGGCACGAATTAGTATCTGTGTTCTTTAGAAACACAAGTCCACTGAAAGCAGGACGTTTCTGCTCTGTAATTTAATTGAACTTGGATGCACCTACCGTAATCCATTAGCGGGGCAACTCCACTGACGGGCCGCTATTTCAATTACGGGGCCTGGTCCTCCTGTAGGGCTGTCTACCACACAAACAATGCATCGCCTCATCTACCATTTTCACGGCTCATAGTGAAATGTAATAGTGCTTGTATGAAATACATAAAATGGTATATGGTCATTGTAGAGTCGGCAGCCTGCGCGGCTCCCAACGCACTCGCTATGCAAAATAAAAGCAAACTTCTATTCTCGAGTCTCGCACTGCTACAACGTCACAGCGACGACATCACCACCCCGCGCATCCCATGAGACGCGTCCTGTGCTTCGACCGCCTCCATGGCCAGCAGCAGCTCGTATGTCCGCACCAGCAGCTCCTCGTACTCGAGCACGAAGCTGACGGGCGGTTCTTCGGGGGGCATGGTGGCGCGGCGGAAGCGTTCGTTGTCGAGCTGGGCAGCGGTGACACGTCTGTCGGCCGGCACAGCCCGTTCCGTCACACGGAAGCGCATGCCGACGTGTTTGCCCGTGTAGGCCCACAAGACATGCTGGTTTTTGTCGGCGATGGAGGGCGACTGTTGCGAGGCAGTCTTGGTTGATGAGCTGGCCGATGCGCTGGCCGACCCCTCCGCTGCCGTGGTGGCCGTCGCACGCGTGTCGAGCCAGTCGCGCCAGACGCGGATGACGCCATCATTGATGTTGACGCAGTTGAGAAACATGCCCGGCTGGCCACTCGTCTTGACCAAGTTTGTAACGGTGCACAGCTGCGAGAAGAGCTCGCCCTCGTCGAGGTGGACGTCGTAGCATACGAGGGGCGGGCCGCTGGCCGCACCGGCGGTTCCCTCGTTTACTGTCTGGAGGGCCGTCGCCGCTGTCCCGCCCGACGTCGTGTCCGACAGCAAAAAGAAATTCATGGTGCGGCGGATGGCGCGGTAGTTGCGCACGTGGACGTCAGATTCGCTTGGCGGTACGGGGCGGAAGCGACTGTACATGGTGGGCAGCCGGCGCAACGTGTCCTCGGGTCCATTGTCGGCACCGGACGCGGGACACGGCAGTTCCAGTCCCTCGGTGCCGAGGTAGGCGCAGTTCAGGTGAGGTGATGAGATCTTGGCGCTGGGGTGGTAGCACGCGAGGATCAGCTGGTGGTTGGCGAGTGCGACGGCATGCCGTAGCCGGCGGTACAGCAGACGTGCAACAACGTTGTGGAACCGGCGGTTGACGCCCGCAAACTTGAGGAGGGCGGACGTGGGAAAGAAGTTGAGGACGTCGTCGAGCAGCTCAGGTGGTAGAGAGTTGACTGGCGGCGGCGATTTTGTTGTCGGGGGTGGTAGGCCGATTATGAAAGCGGGGGATGGCTTTTGGGAGGAATGCTGCTGTTGTTGTTTTCCTTCGTCTTCTCGACGGTCTTGATGACGCGGCTGCTGCAATGGTTGCAATGGCTGCATGGGCTGCCAAGAGGGGTGCATTGAGGCAGAGGCAGTGGTGTTCTGGTCAAAGGCCATTTTGGAGAGGGGCTGCGTGGGTTGTTGATGGTAGATGGAGCGAAATGATGCCATTGTCTCGTGCCGCGATAAGAGGTACCTGGAAGAACGGATGGTCTCATAAGTCCGATAACAATGCAGACAGAGCGGATTGGGCGCCATGACTAAGGACGGTCTGCGCTACTGCGGATGAGTGCAGGTGCTTTTTGGACGTCAGTTCAGAAGAGAATACGCGGTGCAATTTGCCCGAAACGGACCGACGTATGTTGCGTTTATGCATTGTGCAAGGACTGCAACTTATAGGCGTGCGCGAGCTGATGGTGTAGACCGTAGAGTGTTGTCCACATGCTGAAAATAGAACCCAATTAGACAAGCTCGGAGCCGTTTCGATGAATTTTGACTCCGGCTGGAGGTTTTCTCGACAAGTCCAAGGCTGTTTCGAGTCTGCGAGTGTGTGACGCACCTGAATGGTGCCGACGGAGACATCAGGAGATCGAAACCCCGGCCTGACGTGCGGCCGTCCAGAACGAAATACGACACAAACAGGGCGTGGTTGTGGGTTTCCGGGTAAGGCGATAGGGCAGCAGAGGCGAGTGAAGTCCAAACCGGAATCAGTAAGGGTCCGGGAGTAAGCTGACGGTTAGAAAGTTGGGCATTGTGTGGGCAGTTCGTGAGAATCGCGCTTTTCTAATACAGAATACAATCCCACATCCCATTACTATCCCTATCCCTCACCTGTCCTTTGTCCTCTCTGCCATCTCCCTTTACCATACATGGCCAAGCTGTGTACATAACGGAGGTTCCCCTCCTCTAACTCGGCTCAAACAAGGGGGGCCTTGCATTTCTATCTTCACCTCGGTCTTCACCCAAGTCCAAGTCGACCCTCACGTTTTCTTCATCCAACCTAGCTCTTTCTTACGATCCTTTTCGGAACCGCAGACACAATGTCTATCAAGAATGTTGCCGTTGCAGGAGTAAGTGAAACTGCTATCACTCTTTAACCTATAACTGTTATCGTCGACACACCTTTAGTAAACAAACATAGAGCAAGGGCGCCCTCGGTGTCCCTATTATCACGGAGCTCGTCAGCGGCTTTACCGTCACCGTTCTAACGCGCGAGGGCAGTACCGCCATGCCGCCTGCGGGTGTCGCCGCCGTTAAGCCCGTCGACTATAAGTCGGTCGAGTCATTGTCCAAGGCTATTACCGGCCAGGACGCTATCGTCTCCGTGCTAGGCTCTCGCGTTATTAGTGAACAGGTGCCGCTCGTTGAGGCCGCCGCGGCGCCCGAGAGTACGGTGCGCCGCTTTATCCCGTCCGAGTTTGGTATCAACACGCGTCAGACGCGGGGCCAACCTATCGGTGTTATCCTAGACGGTTATATTAAGACCGCGGACTTGATAAAGGAAAAGTCCAAGGTTAAACCGTCGTTGACTTGGACTAGTATTAGTACCGGCCACTTCTTTGACTAGGGTTTGGAGCGCGGCGTGTTTAGTATTGACGTCGACAAACGTACCGCTACTATTTACGACTCGGGTAACGAGCGTTTCCAGGCCACTAACCTACCCTTTGTCGCCAAGGCCGTCGCCGCCACGCTTAAACAAGCTGGTGGTAACCCGGCCTACGACAAGACCGCGAACCAACACTTGGAAATCGCGTCCTTTACCCCGGCACAAAACGAGCTCCTGGCCGCCGTCCAAGAGCTAACGACGGGCGGCGCCGACGACTGGACCATCACGCGCGTCGACTCGGTCGAGGCCCAGAAGACGGGCGCCGAGAAGCTGAGAAACGGCGACCGCTCGGCGATGATAGACCTGCTGGGCGTGTGGCAGTTTGCTGACGGCGCCGGCCACGCGCCCGACACCAACAGCCCCACGTTTGGCAACACGGTGCTGGGGTTGCCGCTGGAGGACTTCAAGGTGGCGTTGGCGGCCCTTCTTAAGAAGTGAAGTAGTTCGAGACAAGTTGTTCGAATTTCCATAGCAACCACGAATGCTCTAGGTCTTTGATGAACGAGCTCGAGGACCCCCTTGGAATAATGTGACGATCAGTAAATGTCTCTCAAGAAAATATTGTCCAGAAATATCGAATGGATCATATCCGCGTGCCGCGTAGAAATGGGCCAGATCCGAAAACAGAATTCTTCGTTACTACGACCTGTATTTACCAATACTAACGTTTAAATAAACAGAAGATCCCAGCGCAATTCATTACAGACGGGCGGGTAGACTGACAGCAGACTCATGTCTAGCGCAAGTAATGCTTCTGGATTGTCGTAAAAATCCCCACACACACCACGTAAGAGAGTCGACAACGTAGTTCGCGGCATGTTGTACTGCCTCCAAAAAAGGTAAGGAAGCTGTCGTAATCCGAGACTGAAATCGAAGCTCCAGGCGTTAAACCGGGCAAGGCGTTTGTAGTGGAGCTCGAGCGCCCTGGTGGCAGCACAGCATCCGGTTTTCGCGACACGTCTGTGTTGTTGGCGATAGGCTCTCCGCACCACCCAGCGCGATTCGCGACACACGGTCCAGAGAGCACCGTCATCCATGAGGTGAGCTACCGGAGGCCGGCCCGTAAGGCTGCCGCGAACCTTTCTGAACGTAGTGAAAAAATGAACGCAAGGCGGTGGCGCGGCTGCCGCCTCCCACACCATTATGCGGATCTCAGCCGGCAGACGGATGAAATTGCGAAATACGGCTTCGTCGCCTGATTGTGTCGCTCTCCTTCTTGTTTTCTGTTTTGGTCTAAGCCGTGTGATTTTGGCGTCTTCTTGGATAAGCTGTCGAGAAACTGTGTACAGGCTGGTCGTAGACTGGAAAATTCTCCTGAGGCCTCTCAACTCCATAGCTGGAGGTTGATATGTGATATCACGAGTCCAGTCGAGACTTTTTATCCCGTCTGTGCTGTTCCACAAGTCTCTGTATAGGCGATTCACCTTGTTGTCAATGAGATGGAGTTTTGCATCGACTAGTTCAAGCCTGGCAGCTACCGAAAGATGATCCATTGTCGTAGATGTGGGCGGCACCAAGAGACATTTTGACGCGAAAATGTAGGTTCGTGACCAAAATAAAACAGGATCGGGGACAGAAAAACGGCGCTCCAATTCGTTTTTATCTTTTTCTAATGTCGTATTACTGAGTCTAGGTAGAACCAAACATGTGAGTGGCAATATTCCTTACACATATTGGAAAGGCAAATGCCTGTTGGTAATTAGTCGGGTCGCACTGCTTTACATTTTCACGATATGAGAGCGCCATTTAGCGCACCTTCGAATCATGCAGCTCATAAATCAGACCATGTATGGTTGCATTCGCGTCTCTCGACAATTTGGTCGCTGGCAGTGAGGAGAACGGCCTGAACCGCGGCGGCTACTTGACCTTCAATAAGACAAACGCAAAGTGCCGTTTGTGGTTGGACACAGATAAATCAGCAAAGAAGGGAGAGGAATCAGCCTTCCCAGAGGATCTCCTCAGAGAAACCGACGTTGGGTTTTGAGACGTCAAAATGAATGGCAGTCATTTCACAGCGAGAGCCACATGTAGCGACAGGAGGACCAGTAAACTGGATCGTCATACCTGTGGCAGTCGAAAGGATGACATAAGATCCTTTACCGAATTAGCAAGGCCTGTTTCTGTTGCAGTCGGATACTGCCTCGCAATCGACTGGATAACAGCACGCGAAAAGAGCACTCGCAGTTGCCTAATGGCCAACCAACTACTCACTGTTTTGCAGAAGCCAGCCGCTAGAAATCAGAAGGCAAGAGACGCACTACTGCATGCAACTTACTGTTGTGTGGATCCCTTTGTAGAAGGACGTTGGTTGCGCCTTCTCAGCAAGGCTGATCTAGCGTCACTCCTCGGGTCGCGCCTTCTAGAAAAAGCCGGCCAAGGCATATCGGAGGACAACAGTGGGGACGCAAGCTCCATCAATGGCCGGCCCACCTAAAAAGTGTGCGGAGTACAACATACTCAAACTTCATATGCTATTTTTGGACCTTGCCCAAAACGAATGTCACAGTATCAACAAACGCAAACAGATGCCAACACACGCGCTCGCGTCCGCAACACATGGAGAGCGACTGCCTCAAAATGGACAGGGTAGCAGACATGTTCGGCCAGGTAGACCTTGGCCAGCAAGATGCTCCCGATGGTGGTGCCCCAACACGCACATCGACCGCCGCCACCCTGCCCGACGACTCCCCCGCCGGCCTCGTTGCCCGGTGGGCGGTCCTGATTGCCGAGTACGAGGCCTTCCAGGACGCGCTGCGCATCGGGGTCCAGCAGCCGCACTGGCCCGGTGTCCGACAGTACATTTCCATGCTGCACGCTGAAGCGCGGCAGACAGAAAGGCTGGCGGCCGGCGCCTTCGAGGACGAGCCCGAAAAGCGACGGGGCGAGATGCGGCTGGCCGTGACGACCCTGGCGGCCAAGGAGGGCATGTGGCGGGTGATCAAGACGTGCCGGGGGGTGATGGCTTTGGACAGGCGGTTCCCAAAGCCGCTACCGTCGTTGACGGTGGTAGCGGCCGCTGCGGCGGGGCCGCCCCAGGAAGGGACGCCGGAGCGCACGAAGTGGGTTCTGGCTTCACAGCAGCGCAGGAGACGGATGTACGACGTATCAGCGGACTCCGGCAGTCGCACGGAGGGCATGTTTGTGAATGCGGTCGTGGACAATGGGCGGTCGTGGATGCGGGTGTTAACGACAACAAATGCGCAGCTTCTGGTTGAGATGGCCGAAAACGGGTGGGAGTGGGGGTTGGCCGAGGGCGAAGATGACGAGGAGCAGGGCGATGATGCTCTCGCGGACATCTCCGACATGTCGCTGGTCATCCTGGCACTGGGCCTCATCGAAGCTGCCCACGCCAATTGCGTCCGGGGGGCGTATCCTCGCATTTACATTCTCTTGACGCGGATGGACGAGACGGTGGAGGACGACGGGACGGCAAGCCAGGAAGAGGTCGAGAAGAAGAAGCAAGAGTGTGCAGAAATTGCCCGCTACTTGGGCAAAGTCCGTCGCGGTCTCACCGCACGGGCAGCACGTTTGCCTCCCGACATTGACGACTGCCGCTTGCAGATCGAGATCCACAGCGCCCGCGACCCCCGGACGACAGCCCAGCCTCCGCCTGACCTGCAGGTCGCCCTGCAACGTCTGCTTCCCGACTTGTCGAACCGTCTCACGCCCACGCTCAACATCGACACGTCGATTCTGATTACGCTCACGTCGGACATTACGAACTCGTCGGTCGAGGTCAAAGACTGGCACCCCTGGCAGCGTGTCGACGAAATCACGCGCGAGGCCAAGCGCCCGGGCGGCGTGCTGCGGAGTCTCATGGAAGATGCTCTGCGCGGTCGGCGTCTGGTGTGCACGCGGGAAGCGGCGCAGGCGTTCCGTGTCATGGTCTACGACATGGCACAACCCAGCGAGCAGGAGCGTGCTCGGGTGCTGTTGGGCGAGGGCGACAAAGCAGGTGCCGATCGGCAGACGCTGGTCAACCGGTACCGGGAGCTCTCGGCGTACCCCGACGCCATCCCAGATGACCTGATGCTTCCGGTTGTGGTGGAGACCAGGCCTTGGGGCCTGGACACGATCATGTCTGTGTCCGGCTTGCAGTCGCGTGACGCCACCCCGACGCTCGCGCAACCGCCGCGTCCATCGCCCGCTCTTCCTGCCGTGGCGTCGACCATCGCCAACGAGATGAACGACACGCATCCCACACTATCCGTCTTCTTCTACGGCTGGGCCATGTGCTACACGACAATCACGACCAACCTGGCGGCCCGGAATCGCATCACGCGCTTGCTGGAAAGGCACCGCACCTCGAGCGCGGAGAAGGATCCTCTGATCTGGGTCTGTCGCACGGCTCGGAGTCTTAATGCGACCAACCCGCGCGACGGACGAAAAGAAAACCTCAAGTGTGGGAAAAGAGGCCCAAGGTTGCGGAAATGCAACGGTGCCGCGCCGAGTCAACAAGCAAGCCGACAAGCTTGAAGGCACGGCTGGTCTTTCTTCGCCTCATCCTGCGACCGACGGCAACTTGCGAGAGTGACCGCACGCAAACCCTTGCTACTGCATCTTACTTCCAAAAGCCAGTGGGTTTAACCAAATTCATGCTTATGTCTAGGCCAGAACTTTCCTAGACTAATCCGTTGGCATACTCTTGATCTTATCGTCCAATTTCATCCCCGGCGTGTTTTGTTGTATGTCAAGCAAAAGAGATGGATGAACTCGGATGAATATGCGCAGCATCGATGGATAGACGTAAGTACGGCATCTCTTTATTCCGACAAGACAAAGGCACTCTTCCGCTCGGAACTCGATGAGGTTGTCGTCAATGGTGAGTTCCTTAATACTTTGCATTTGCGGGACAGGGACGCTAACAGCTCCTGTGGCGGATATTTTCCACTCCTATAAAATCTGGATCACTACTTTAATGAACATCCAAGGACGAAGACCCTTGGTAATTTCATTACGATACTGTCGAAATATAATATATGTGCATACATATTGTTCTCCATCAAAGAAATGTGAAAGAAACCTTTAAAGTGGAATTCCGAGCAGCAACATAAAAACAATCCAGGCTACCGACTGGAAACGATACTTCGTCACCGGCACGGATCTTCTCCACGTCAAAAATAGCAGAAGCATGGCTACTTTGAAGTAGTTTTGCCTCTTTTTCTGTGAGTTTTACTATTCTGTAGCGTAGTTTCTTGGGTTCCGTGCCGCCACAAGGCACACTTAAGCCGTCATACTCAACCTGAATTTCAAAAGGCTGAATAACGTGTAGTTGTGACATGGTGCCTCCTTCGACACTACTCGAGTAGTTTCATCACCGCCCTTGCAGGCTCGATGATTCGAGAGGTTTGTACCGCTGTCAAGATCACCGAGCCTCCCTCATGCACGCGATGTCGCTTTAGAGAGTTAACAGCCTGTTGAAGTGTGCTTATGAAGGCTTGTTTTGGCTTGTTCCAAGTGTTTGGGACCAAACGAAGGCGGCAAAGAATACGTGTCTGGCACATCGACAAGATCGCCGTGAACACATCTCCCTCCACGCTATTTAAGGAGTCGCCAACTTCGCTCAGAGGTTGTCCAACCCTGGATAGTGGCTCCAGGACGCCCTCCAAGCCAGTTTTAAGCTTCTGGAGAACTGGCCTACCACCATCCCATACCCGCTTGTTTATGGCAACCAAAGCACGGAGGGATGAACTTGTCTGATCCTCCTCGATGCAAACAGCCGCGATATGGTCGGGATTGTCCGAGATGCTGCAGAGAAAGGAGAGAGTGCTCGCCAATTTGCGTTCTTGCTCAAACGAGAGGATGTACCCATCCTTCCACTTGATTCTGAGCTCGTTGCCGACGTTATTCTTTGCCGGCTGCAGGGGAACCGTATGGAAAGCGTGCAAGAGTGCAATGTTCTCGGCACAGACCACCGCGGGTTCTAGGGAAGGAAGTGACATCTTCGTATTTCCTCTTCAAGTTGCTGAATCACACAGGACAAACGAATACGCATGTCGAATAAGTTACAGGCAAAGATTGGATGGCCGGCCGGGGGTGTATCTGGGCACACCCTTTCTTTTGTACCCGTCACTGCCTGTTGAGTGTTCACAAGGCTACCCCTCCCCCTCTTGTACAGTTATGTACGTGTTTGTCATACTGTCCAATGGGAGAAATATATTCTATGCACATGTGAGCTGAAAAACATACAGCGCTTCGCAATTGCGTGTGAGCCACAGTTCTTGGAAATGGACTCGTGGTCCAATAAGAGTGAAGATGGGTTGATGATGGCTCCAAACGTTTGGTAGATTTACTAAATACGATTTGCATGAGGCGAAACCTGTCATCAGTACCGAATTGCCTGCTATACATTCCGTGAAATTTAAAGCCTTCGATAATAAAAGTCGACCTTTAAAGTGAGATATTGCTCTATCCACGAGTGAAATGTATTTTACATAAGCGAATAGATGAACTTATGAATTTTATAATAAAAAACTGACGCATTCTCAAAAAATGGCAAAAGGGTCCAAGATTCGGTCTGAAATGCCTTTGGACCAACCCCTCCTCAAACTCCGTCGTCAGTCAGAAAGTGTGCTAGTGCTCGTACGTAGTGTCATACCAGACATCACAGCTATCAAGCTTAGCCATGTAGTCGTTGAGAAGGGTGAGGCCGCGCTCGACGGTGGAAAGTTGGCTGGATTTTGAGTTTGAGTCTTGTTGGGAACCGTCTGTGGCGAGGATCATGGAGCTGTTCGTGTGTGTGGTATGTCGGCCGCTATTTTTTAATATCTCAGTGTCTTGGCTGTTGGATGTGAGGACTACGTCTGGGAAGGTCGGCCGGTCACCGACGGACCTGTCGATAAACGTCCGACGAGAGTCAGTGGGCATAGTGAACTTGTTCGCCTTCAGAGAAAAAGAAGGTATCGGCAAGGGAAGGTGGAAGAAGTAATGTCCAACCAGGCTGTCAGTATGGCCAGCCCAAGGTGTTTTGATGTTGGAACAGAATTTCTCTGCAAACCCTATATTACAAACATGCTACTAAGATAAATCAGTGCTATACACCCTTTGCGGTATATCGTTTTTAAGAAGCAAATACTAATCAACGCATGCCGTTATATGACTTATTGACCTAGACCTGGCTGAAGCTTAGTGTTTTGACAGTAAATCACCACGTAACTGCTACTTTAGTAATGAATAGTGCCACACTAACAAGATTTCACTTTTCCGATATGTGTAAGGAATATCGCCACTCACGTGTTCAGTACATATCCTAGCACTAGGATAACAAGAAGAGATAAAAGGAATTGGAGTGCCCTATGCAGTGCTTTGCTCTGTTTCTAGACACTCACCTACACACACGTTTTACCTTTCGCATGTTGCCGTTCACAACCTACAAATAATGGATCACCTTCCGGTAGCCGCTAGACTTGAGCTGGCTCGCAGGAAACTCCGTCTCATTGACAACAAGGTGTACCCTCTTTACAAAAATCTTTTGAGAAATCCCTATTCCACGGGGCTTTTCGGCAAGCAATACGATATCGCGGAACGGCCTCGTATTATGGACTTGGCAGGCCTAAACAAATTATCCGAATCGGCGGAAGATCTTGCCTATCTTTGTCAACAGCTCATCCAAGAAGACGCCAAAATTACCCGACTCAGGCCAAAACAGAAACGGAGAAGAGGGAGTAAGGGAAGGGGAAAATCAACAGATGTTAAAGAGATTGTACAGCCCTCATTTCCCAATTTCAACCATCTACCGGCTGAGATTCGCCTCATGATATGGGAGGCGGCAGTGGGACCACCGCCTTGCACTCATTTCTTCACGACATTCAAAAAGGTCCCGAGGAGCCCCTCCGGCCTCCCTCCAGTGGCCTATCTCATGGACGATGGGGGCCTTTGGACCGCATGCCGCGAGTCGCGCAGAGTGATACGACTGGCATATCGCAAACAGCGCGTACGAATTGCAAAGACTGGCTGCTGTGCTGCCACCAACGCCCTCGAGCTCCACTACAAGCGACTTTCCCGATTCAATAGTAGCAGCTACGCGTTCAGCGTCGGGCTGCGTCGACTGGTTTTTATTTTTTGGCATATGTTTACTATTTCGCGCCCGTCCTTGCCAAGGATGTTACGTATTGTATTGGGGGACTTCTGTGAACATTCGGAATCATTCTTTGCGGAAGATGGAAGTTTACTTCCGGCCTGTTGGCCGGTGCGGAACGAGTTACGTTGGGATCTCATGTTTAATTGGCCTTCATCACCCTCGAGATAAGATACAAGATAATAATACGAAAATGTTAAAACCATTCAAATTAATTAACTTTCGTTACACGCGCTTAACTCTACGAAAATTATTTAATTAAAAGAGAAGGGTGAAAGGTAAAGAGGGCGAGGGAAAGGAGAAAGAGAAAAGGGGGGAAAGGAAAGAGGAAAGAGCAAATAGTAAAAAGGAAAGAGCAAATAGTAAAAAGGAAAGAGCAAAGAGTAATAAAGGAAAGAGCAAAGAGGAAAGAGCAAAGAGGAAAGAGAAAGGGGGAGGGGGAGGAAAATGGAAAGAGTAAAGATGAAAAAGGAAAGAGTAAAAGAGAAGGGAAGAGTAAAGAGTAAAAAGGAAAGGGTAAAGAGGAAAGAGCAAGGGGAAAGAGCAAAGAGGAAGAAGGAAAGAGCAAAGAGGAAAGAGTAAAAAGGAAAGAGCAAGGGGAAAGAGCAAAGAGGAAAACGGAAAGAGAAAAGAAGAAGGGAATAAGCAAAGAGGAAAGAGCAAAAAGGAAAGGGGAAGGAGTAAGAGGAAAGAGAAAAGACAAGACGAGAAATCACAATTCTTCACTTTTATCCCTTTGTTTTCACTTTTCATCCCGACTAGGCAAAGCCACCGACCAGCAGAACACCTCCTACAATCACACTACCAAAATAGTAACATGGACACGTTGATCGACGCTGCCATGTCTGTAAGGGATACGTCGCTAGGAACTTCGACGGAACCCGTCGATGGAGGGGCCCCTTCGGGGGCAAGCAGTGACCAGAGGACGGCGCCCCCGGCAGTTCCAGCCGATACTACGACCGCTGTCGAGTCCGCGTCCGAGGGTGCCGACCGGTCCGAGAAAATAAAGAAAGCCAAGAAGGCGTTGCTTCTGGCCGAAGTACGTACACTTCATGAGAAACCACCCAGTCAACTGTATACTAACCAAAGTCTTACGAACAGTTGGCCGTGTCGAAGAGGGAGGCGCATGTGGCGGTACAGTACACGTAACATATATGGTCATATTTGCGTTCTTCTACTAATACAAAGTGGTAGACTATACGGGGACAAGTGGCAGTAAGTTACAGATATCTTTACTCAAGCCTCTAGAACGATATTTGCTAACAGTCTTTAGGTTCTCGAGGCTCAGTTGGCTGTGAGTACTAGCTATATATACACACATAGGCACAGCCTTGTCTATCCAACATCGAAAGCTAATTCGATTATATTCTAGGCCAAGAGATCTATTCTAGATGTAACGTACTTTATTCACCTGCGTTATATTATAACTTCTCACTAACAGACTGAAAGAAACAGGAATCTCTTCTAGCGGTACGTTACTCATTTCTAACATGTATTATTTACTTTTACTAACTTAAGTTTAGAAGCTCCGCGAGGTGAAAGGCGCGGCTAATGTCGTGCTTATGGATTATGAGAAATGAACCCTCCAGAAATACAGATATAAATTTATACAATGAGCGAATAATGTATAATTATCCGGAGAGAGGAAAAGAGTCTTAATAGCGAGTGGCAAAAGACCGATTCACAGATGTCAGTTAATTTTATTTATTTCAAAACGTCAACACTGTAGTACTATGCATCCAACCACGCTGCCCCTACCCCTTGTGTCTGCCGGACAAGAACCCCCGGACAACGTTCAGAGTCAGCCGTGCCACATTGTTGTCATATGCGTCCCAGGCCAGCGAGCAGTACCAGTTGATGCTGCCAACACTAAAGACGGCGCCGCCGCCGGTGGTCTTGTAGTAGACAACGTCGCTGCGGATGCGGTCGGTCTGGGTGCCGAGGGTGTTGAGGGCCGGGTAGCTCAAGTCCTCAATGGCGATGCCAAACTCGTCGCTGTGGCCGGTGCTGGAGGCCAAGACGACGGCGGCGGCCGGACTGCCGTTTGCCGTGTCGAAACGGTCAATCTCGTCGCCGGACGCACCGCCGCCGAAGCCAGCCACGCCAAAGAGGCCCGCGCCCGTTGGTCCGTCCGGCCCGTCGGCCGCCTCGTCGGTGACGCCGTCAAAGATCCACTGGAACTGGGGCTCTCTGGACGCCTCGGTGCGCCGAAACGGCACACCCAGCCCCGTGCCCTGGGCACAGAACCCAACGCCGAACAGCGTGTTGCAGCTCAGACCCCGCGACCGCCACAGGCCGCCGCGCTGGCCGGCCATGCAGGTGACGTGCTCGCCGCCGTGCAGCGAATAGGGGCGGACGCCGACGTCGCCGCGGCGGATCTCGAGGCGGTGGGGCGCGTGGTGGTTGTTGACGGCGCCGACCCAGTAGAAGCCGTTGCCGCCCATGTACATGAGACAGCCGCCGGCCCGGGCGTAGGCGTTGTAGGCGCCAAACGACTGGAGGGTGGGGTACTCGGGGTGGCAGCCCGTCATCACGGCCGCGAAGCCGTGCAGGGCCGACGCGCCGCGCGCGTGCAGGTCGTGGTCGGTCAGGATCTCGTAGGGGATGCCCTGCTGCTCGAGGAGGCCGACCATGAACAGGTCGGCGGAGAACTCGCGGGGTCGCGAAAAGGCCCACATGACGTAGCCCGGGCGCATGTTGAGGATGGGCCGCTTGGCCGTCGAGAAGCAGACCCCGGAACTGTCGTTGTGGCGGTCGTAGGTCGACAGGCCCATGTCGGTGCGGCGGCGCATCTTGTAAAACTCGCCGCTCTTGACCGTCTTGTCAATATCGAAGCCGGGGCCGAGGTCGGCGGTGTTGACGCGCGTTTTGTCGTACAGGCGCTCGTTGGCGTAGGCCAGGTAGGTCATGGTGGAGAAGACGAGGCAGACCTTGTCCTTGTTGGTCTCGGGCGCGGACCACTGGTTGGGGCGGACGAAGAAGACGATGGAGTCGGAGTCTTTGCCTCTGCTGGACTCCGTCGCCACCTCCACGGCATACGCGCCCGACCGCGCCGTCTCGGGAATGGTGACGGTGAAGTCGGTGGCCCAGTCGGCATCGTCCATATCGTCGTCGTGGAAGTGGATGGCGCCGTAGCCGTACTTGGCCTTGGTCCAGTCGTTCTCGGAGCCGTCCCAGTTGTAGCCCGGGAGGGCACGTGTGGGGGCGTTGATCAATGTGCCGTGGCGGCCGTGGCCCGAGGTGTCGACCATGGAGTTGCTCTGCATGTCAAGGGAAAAGTCGTACTGGGCAAGGGAGCGGGGCGTGGCGCTCTCGAGAGCTTTGATGGAGAGACTGTCGATCCGGCCGTTGAAGAAGTCGGCAGCCCGCTTTCCGTCTCCCTGCGCAGCCGCTACAAGAAGAGGTCCCGTCGTGAATGGACGGGCGTCGGCTGACAGGGCAGACGTGGACGACGTCGCCGCTGGAACGGCCTCGGCACGGAATGCAGTCGGAGCCAGGTCCAGCTTTACATGGCTGCCCTGGATGACGAGCTTGACCTTTGCCCACACGTTGAGCGCGGGCTGCAGACCAGTGGCCACGGTCTCAATATTGTCTCCATTTCCGACACGGAAGTCCAGGGATCCTTTTGTGCCCAGAGTTATGCTGAAGCCTGTCTTTGTCTGCTCGTCGAGTGCTGACACCAATGTCTGGTCGTGGGGACACGCCAACAGCCACGGCTGCACGTAAAAGGACACTTGCACACCGCCGGCGGACCCCGGCGGACACCAGCTCGTCACGCGGCCATACGATCCTGGATGTGCGGACTGGAACCGGCCGGGCTGCTTGCCGCGGGGGATGGCAGTGACTTCTTCTTCAACCTTCTTCGGAGAATGCTCCAGGTCGATGCCCTGGATTAACCGGACGGTGCGGTATGTGTACTCGGGTTCTGTGCAGGAGACCTAGCAGTGTTAGAGGGGGCAGATTCTATAAACGACTGTTCCTGGTGCGCACAGCTCTGAGGTACCTTGATGGAAATTGTGTCACCCGGTGCAGCAATCCATGGCTCGGCGTAACCAATAATCTCTACTGGGTAGTCCTTGTCTGGCTGGAGGGCCATGATCGTCGATGTTGATGTTGCCGTTGTGTGATGACGAGAAAGGACTCTTGCTCCGAGTAGGAGAGGTCAAAGGCAAAGGAAAGGCACGATGAAGGCAGGTATGATGCAAGGACCCGGAATGCACAGATACCGGGCTCGTAGAGGGTTCTAGTCTCCGGTTATCGCACACTGGAGAGCTTGCAGGTCGGTAGACCCTTGCAGCACGTCGTATCGTCGAGCGTTGGAGAGCACCGACTGGTTCGAGTCACTAGGCCAGGAATGGAGAATCCGCTGCCACAAGCTCGAACAAAACGCAGTTCTTTGCCAAAGGAGGAAGTCCTGGGCCTATCTACAGTATCTCTTGTGCATCTTGTGCTCGAATCCACGGAATACGTCGGTGTATGAGGCGCACCTCCGCAGACGACATCGTCGCATCGTTGCGTCGTCGCGTGTTTGATCGCATCGACAGCTTCAAAGCTTGTGTGGGTCAAGAGCAGGCGACCGCTGGAGCGTCCCACTGCTGCGGAACAGAACTTCCTAATTCAGACACAACATGTTGCCTGGCCAGCGATTGGTCAGCTGTCAACGTCCCGACACGGTCGGCTGTCTTGCCACATTGGATGGGCTTGGTTCGTACTTACGGAATAGTGTCTTATAGCGTGCGAGTTCGTCGTCTGGCTGAGGCTAGCGTGGTTCCGACAATGTCGAATAGCGGATGTCGAACAGCGGCTGTCGAGTGTCGACCGTCTAGCGTCGAGGTTTACAGTAGAGTGCCGATTGTCGATTGGGGACTGAGATTGCATGTGCCTTTCCTGGTTCGCTTTGCGTATCGTCAGGTCAACTTCTGGAATCGATCCAGGCCATCTGCCACCGGCCAGTTTCAATGTGTTCAAATAAGAACTATTGATAAGTCGTCCGAGACCAAAGTTGTCCGCCGAAAAAGAAGAAAAACAAATAAACAAGTCAGTCAAATCGACTGCCATCCTGGAGGACTCCTCCACAAGCCATGACTCGGCCTGAGCATCCACCAAACAACTCCTGTTTTGGTTAGTTCGTCCCCTCCTTTTCCCCAAAGAATGTGCAACACCGACGCTTTCCTTTCCTACGTCTTGTCTTATTCCACATAACCCGCACACTCCAGAAACGGCAATAAGGGACACGCAAGTTTTGTCTGGACAACGTCCCTCAGAAGCAACGATGCCGGACAGCAAGAATAAAGCACAATCAAAGAATCCAGCTAGCTGGTGTCAACCGAACTGTCTTGCCGATCTCAGACAAGCAGACCGGGTCACGCAGCACGAGCCAGAATGGGACTAGTTGCAAGGTCAATTGGGGCAGTTCGAGTTGTGGTCGTTTGCCAGTGCAATCGACAGAACAGTGGAGAAACGACCAAATTGTATGTCGTACATGCTGAACACAAAACGACTCTTCCTTTGTTTCGTGACGGTAGCCCCGAGACAGACAACTCGGTCCAAATAGGCGAAGAAGCTCGGAGGAAGGAGGAAAGGGAGAAGGAGCCCAGGAAACTATCACAACATGGATCCAGTGCTGTCTTGTCTCTGCCATTGCCACGCTGCCTTTACCAGATCTACCATACGGCGCCTCCTGCTTCCTCCACACCTCGCCACCCATCTAGCCATCCTAGCTTTCACATTCACATTCACCTTCCCCTCCGCTATCTAGTGGGCTCGATCAACCCAAACTACAACCACAAGCACCAACGCTAGTTGCAAAGCGGGTCATGATAAGCGTCTGTCCCAGGATTGAGGGTGTCTGGCGTCCCCATTTTCATTGCCCCCATAGATTCCCCCGGTGTTGTAAAAGTTGAGCCTCTCACGTGGCGCCAAAGTGGAGGACATAACGAGAACGAACAACAACGAAAGAGGAGAAAGAGAGGAGACAGAGGAGAAAGAGAGGGGTCTGAGGGGAAGGGGAGATTCACCAATCTTTTATTTTTTTTCTCTTTACTGTGGACTATCTTTTTGAGATTGTTCTTGGCCGACCTTGTGATAACGGCTTGCAGGGTCTTTCATTTTGTTCTCATCCTACATCTTGATGCGAGTTACGGACGTGCACGAAACACTATAAGGACCACCCCCAGGACCCAAAGATGGCTTCACAGCCCCTTCTCCCGCGCGCACGCGGCGGACCTGGAGCAAATGCCAGCAACAGTGACCCACGCAACAGCAACCACAACAATAACAACAACGACAACGACAACGGAAACACAACCACGACAGCCACGGACGCGGCACGCCGTCGTTCACGCAACGGCTGCCTGACGTGCAAGCGGCGCAAGGTGCGGTGCAACGAGCAGCGGCCGCGGTGCTACCACTGCCAGCGGCTGCGGTTTGATTGCGTGTGGAAGGAGACGCCCGGCGCCGCAATGTCTATATCTCAGGCGCACTCTGCTATGCCGTCGTCATTGGCGGTCCAACCACAGACACAGCCGCGGACCCTGCCACAGGCGCAAGCACAGTCCCAGGTGCAAGCGCAGTCGCATGGCGAGACGTCGCCCTCGCGGAGCGACACCGCAGACGGCGCGCAGCCGCCGCCGGGACCCGCCAGCGGCCCATCTGGTCCCGGTACCGGAACCGGAACCGGTACCGGTACTGGAGCTGGAACAGGCCCCGGGACGGGCAGCGACCAATCTCCGTCGTCGGGCCTCTTCGACTTTGCGCAGTCCATTGTCGACGGCACGCTGGACCTCTCGTCGTTTCAAGACATTTACTTCCCGCCCGTCAACCTCAACGACTTTTCCATGCCCATGGCCGGCGTGGAACCGCATCCGCACGACCAGCACCAACAGACACAAGAATGGCTGCTGGCGCCTGCCCCCACACAGTCGCCCGAGCAGACCACCACACACGCCGTCGCCAACAACGCCGCCGCCGCCGCCGCTGCGACAGGCCCGCTGGAGATGCTGCCGCCGCAGCTGCCCGACGTCGACCTGACCCTCAACCTGCCGCCGATTCTGGACCCCATCGAGAACGGCCCCAAGTGCGCGTCCGTCAAGGCGCTGTTCCACCGCATGGCCACGGCGTCGCCCATGTTCCGCGCGGCGCTGAGCGCGTTTGCGACGATCCAGGCGACGACGACGGCGGCGCGCGTGCAGTACAAGCAGTACTACGACCAGGCGGCGGCGGCGCTGGCGGAGCGGCTCGACGAGGGCTGGCATGGGGGCGATCGGACCGGCACCAACACCAGCAGCAGCACCGGGAAGCACGGCGACATGCGGCACATCTTGGCCACCATCTTCTTCTTGACATACATCAATGTGAGTAGAGCCAGTGCAGACGGGCTTTGACCTCGCATCCAATTTGACGACTGCATTTGCTGACGAAACAACCACCCAACCCACCAGATGCTGACGGGCCAGCTGGACATGGCGTGCGACAATCTGGAAAAGGCGCACCAGACGCTGCAGCGGGCCGGCGGCGTGTGTGCTCTCGGCGCGGTGGAGCAGCGCATTGTGTCGTGGCTCCGGCTGCTCGACGCCCGGACGGCCTCGGCGGGTGGGCCAGGGCTGCTGGTCAACGACACGTCGGGCATCATCTACCCGCTGACGCCGAGCACGGCCTCGGAGAGTGCAGAGAACATGGACCGCGGTGGGGGACCGTCGACAACCGAGACGGGGAGCATGAGCACCAACGGCATGAGCGGCAACAGCAACAACAACAACAGCAGCAGCAGCAGCGGCAGCAGCAGCAACACGGAGACGGCGACGGCGCACGAAGTCATTTACGAGATGCTCTGCCAGCCGGGCATCGTCTTCTACCAGGAGGTGCAGACCATCTCGGTGCGCATCACGCGCATTGCCCACGCGCACCGCAGCCGCGGCAGCGTCGAGGACGAGACGGAGGTCATGGCCATTGCGGCGACGATCCTCAAAGACCTGGCCTCGCTGTACGCCCGCCGGCCGGCCATTATGGACGCCGCCGTCCGCGCCAGCGAGACCAGCGGCGGCAACAGCAGCGAGAGCCTCACGAGCCTGCTGTCGCCGTCGCTGTCGTCCGACATTGTCCGCGCCTACCAGACGTACATGGCCAGCTTTTACGCCTGCTACATCCACCTGCACCGCGTGGCCCACCGCCACTTGGCCCGCTCGCAGTCCGTGCTGACGGCCATGGACAAGATCAAGACCATGGTGCACGCCATGGTCGCTGACGACGGCGAGCGGGGCGGTGGCAAGGACGGCGGCAGCGAGGACGGCGGCGGTGGCGGTGGTGGCCAGATTATGGTCAACATGCTGTGGCCCCTGTTTCTGTGGGGCAGCGAAGAAGACGACGCCGACGAGTGCCGCTGGATCCTGAAGACGATCCGCAGCCTGCACCACCTCGTGACCAACGCCAACATGACGGCCAATGTCCTGCAGGAAATCCAGACGCGGCAGCAAGAGGCCGGCTGGCGCGTGGACATCCGGTCGGTGTGTCTCGAGCTGTTCAATACGACATTTGCAATAGTATAGCTGGCGGGTGGCAGTATATATATATATATATATGTATATATATGTATATATATATATACTTTTATATTGATTGAGAATGGACTATGGAGTTTCCCAATTCGACCCATTATTCGTCAACTCGTCACTTTGTCAACCGCTTCATATCATCAAATTGCATCATCCACATCCACATGTGTTGAGCAGGTCGATACTCTGCTTGGACCCCCTACACTCGTCTCCTTGACCATGCTTAACAGTTGATGCCCAGCCAGGCCGTGTCGACGCGCAGGTAAATCAGCTGGTTGTTGAGGCCCTCGTAAAACAGACCCACGGTGCCGTCGCCCAGCGGCGTGATGGTCGAGTAGGACGTGGCGCCCGGCGAGAAGACGGTGCCCGTCGACCACGTGTTGCCGTCGTCGCACGAGAAGCGCGCCGTGCCGTTGGCCCGCGACGTCTTGCTGTTGGCGTTGGTGAAGAGCAGGATCTTGGCCTGCGCCGAGTTCTCGGCCGCGCTGGGGTACAGCCGCGAAATCTGGCCGTTGCACGCCGGGTCCGGCAGCTGCGTCTCGGTGCGCGGCGTCGTGTACGTGAGCCCGCCGTCGTTGGACAGGGCCACCTTGCGGTAGCCGCTGCCGTCGCTGGGCCGCGAGTTGAGCATCACCGTGCCGTTGGACAGCTCCACCACCTTGTTCTCGTCCATGCCGACGCCCGTCGGCGTGCCCATCTGCCACGTGGCGCCGTGGTCGTCGCTGTAGACGCTGTACGCCTGGTAGGCGACGCTGCCGCTGGGCTGCACGACGCGGCCGAGGTACTGCTGGATCAGGCGGCCCGCGTGGGCGCCGTACTGCAGCTGGATGCCCTGACCCGACGCCGCAAACTCGCCCAGCACGGCGCCAACGTCCGAGACCGACCCGACGGGCGACCCGTTGGGCTTGACGGCTGACGTCAGCAGCGGCGGCACGCCAACCTGCGACGACGCCACGGGGGGCAGGTTGGGCTGGTTGGTCGGGTCCGTCGACCAGCTGAGGCCGCCGTCCGTCGACACCGACACCTCGGCGCTCGTAATGTTGCGGCTGGTGTCGTCGTGGCCCAGCACGCTGCTGGCAAAGCTCGCGTCCTTGGAGAAGACGTGGAAGTTGAACAGCGTGCTCGTGGCACTGTCATACACATAGCTCGGGTCGCTGAACCCGTACGCCAGCGCACCCGTCCCCGCGTTGGCCGCCTGGCCCTCTGCAATGTACGTCAGGGACCCCCACGTGGCGCCGTAGTCCGTGCTGCGGCGCTGCAGGATCGAGTTGGGCGCCGGCGCGTCGGCGCCTGTGGGCCGGCCGTCAAAAGCCGCCAGCACGACACCGTTGCCCAGGCTCTGCAGGGACACGATGCGGTAGTAGTTGAAGGGGCCCGAACTAGCCGTGGCCAGCGTGGTGTTGGTGATGAGGTCCGAGGAGCGGTGCGCCGGCGCAGCAGCCGTCAACACAGCCAGGCCAAAGCTGGCGAGCAAGGAGGACCGCATGGTGGCAAAACTGGGGAAGAAAATAAAATAAAATAATTTATAGAAAGAAAGGAAACGATGGACTCTGGCGAGACAGTTCAAAAAGTCTGGTGAGAGAATGGACTGCCTCGTGGATGTGGAGATTTCCCCGGATTTGGCCCAAGAGACGTCTATGGACATACTATGTATTTATACTCCGAAATGAACTTGGGGGACTGCTGTCAACTGTCAACAATCATGACGGCATTTGCGTGCGCAACCTGCATCCCCTGTTTCCCATGTTTTGTCGATATCTGGATAAGCGGCTATGTCAGACCGTATCAGGAGAAGCAAATCACCGAGGCGCTGGATAACATGCTCAAAACGTTCTCCCATCCTTCCACTCGAGGTCCACCCGTAGTCCACTCGCTGTCCACTCGCAATCGCGGCCATGCGAATAGCTTCACTTTGTCTACTTGGCACACGTCGTATCTACCAGTTTGATTGCAGACGTCGTAAAGCGTGGAGAGTGGATCGCTTCCCCGCATTTTAGTGTATCTACTGCGTATCTGATCGTGACTGACGGCGCCGGTTGTACGAAGACGCGGTGCTGCTGATAATGATCACTTGATTGCTGTCTGCGGAGCAGTGCTCGGCGTTGCTGTCCACTGTTGTTTATCGTTGGCCGCGTTGGTGGCGCACGCAGAGCCGACCGTCGGGTGCCGACCGCATCGGCTAGCGCTGGCGACGCAGTCGGTTGCACCAATACGCGGCCGGCCGCCCTGCATTTAGCGGCTGCACGTCGCGTCCAATTGTCTCCAGCGGCGGTCGTCATGCGGCATCCAACTCCAATCGCAGTCGATGCTGTTGGCCAGTTCCTTCATCGGAGCTCATCCGAGAATGGCAACGCGACCAAAGCGATGCGAGTAGAAAAAAAAAAAGGAAAAGGAAATCTGCTACCGATGTCTCCAGACTAGACAAAATCAGGAGAAACTGATAGGCCATAAAAGCTACGTCGGCCAGTTGAGCTATTACCGCGCCAGACCAAGTAAATAATCAAGGCACGCCTAACCCGAATCTCACGCCGAAGGTCCGAAGCCAGCCCTTGCAGATAGACGTCTCACTTGACATCTTCGATCTTCACGCCCACCACATCCCACCACATCCCACCCTCCATCTCTCACAGCATCTCTCACAGCATCATGGTCAATCTCCCGCCCGGCGTCGCCAAGTCCCTTGAGGACACCAAGGTCGACTATGTCCGCGTCGGCGACAGTGGCCTCCGTGTCTCCGTGCCCATCGTCGGCTGCATGAGCATCGGCAACCCGGAGTGGGCCGACTGGGTGGTCGGCGCCGAAAAGGCCCTGCCGCTGCTCAAGGCGGCCTACGACCGCGGCGTCAACACGTGGGACACGGCCAACATCTACTCCAACGGCGACTCGGAGCGCGTCATCGCGCAGGCCATCCGCGAGTACCAGATCCCGCGGCACAAGCTCGTGCTGATGAGCAAGGCCTTCAGCTGCGTCGGCGAGCAGCAGTTCCACGCGTACCCGATCCTCAACGAGCTGCGCCGCACCAAGGACTACGTCAACCAGTTCGGCCTGTCGCGCACGGCGCTGTTCACGGCCGTCAACAACACGCTGGCGCGCCTCGAGACGGACTACCTCGACTTCTTCTGGATCCACCGCTTCGACCCGGACACGCCCATCGAGGAGACGATGCGCGCGCTGCACGACCTCGTGACGGCCGGCAAGATCCGCTACATTGGCGCCTCGTCCATGTGGGCGCACGAGTTTGCCCTCATGCAGTTCTGCGCCGAGAAGCACGGCTGGACCAAGTTTGTCGCCATGCAGAACCGCTACAACATGCTCTACCGCGAGGAGGAGCGCGAGATGCTGCGCTTCTGCCGCCGCACCAACGTCGCCGTCATCCCCTGGGGCCCGCTCTGCGAGGGCCTGCTGGCCCGCCCCCTGTCCGACCGCGGCTCCACCGCCCGCTCCGCCGGCGACGCCGCCACGCCGCTGCGCCCCGAGGCCGAGCAGATCATCAAGCGCGTCGAGGAGGTGGCCGCCAAGAAGGGCTGGACCATGTCGCAGGTCACGCTGGCCTGGACCCTCAAGCGCGTCACGGCCCCCATCATCGGCTTCAGCAGCGTCGCCCGCCTCGACGAGGCCCTGTCCGCGCGCGGCAAGGAGCTGACCGCCGAGGAGGAGGCCTACCTGGAGGAGCCCTACAAGCCCGTGGAGATTGAGGGTCACTTTTAGGCGGGGGGACGAGATAAAATGAACTAGTTTTCAAGTACATATATAATAAACTAATGACGTTCAATGGTGCGTGTGTATATGGAGTATAACGCAATCGGAGTGACCTCGTGAGAAATTGTTCTTTTGTGACTTTAACCGTACGAAGCTGGCGCGCCTGATTCGGTGATGTAATCACTTGTCTTACACTCGTTGGGGCTCCAGATCAAAAGCTGACAATACGTCGCCGTTTATTTATTTACTTAGTTTTTGTTAAGAAAAGAGTTTGTCATTTTATAATCTTATTTTTTAGGTGCATTTTTCATACGATGGTTTACTTATTGATATATTATATAGATTTTCCAATTCGTTTGTTAAATTAGTAAGTAGCTAAACCTTTTCATTTTTATACATGGCTCTCCGCTTATTTCCACGATTATTTCGTATTCACTTCCAGTATTTTAGCTTCCATAACAACCCCGTACGGACGATGAATCGTGGTGTACTTGGAGATTGTTCATTTGGCCAAATTCACATCAGCTGGCCGACAAATATACTCTGCCCATAATCAAAAATTTGTCGTTTGAACACCGTGAAGAATATTATGGACAAGATAGACGACTTTGCGAGGAGCCTACGGAAATGCGCAGGCGGGTCCAATTCAATTTTCTGGACGGACCGATAAGAATGATGAGTGTGGATGGGGTCGGCCAGGGGAACACGCTGCAGTGGACACGCAGCTCGCCAAAAGGTTGTTTTTCAACTGCTCGTAGCTGCTCAAGCTGCTTTGGTGTTACTCGGCTGGCCTGCTCCTGTTCGGTACGTCTAGACTCGGCCAAACGGCGTGCATCTCGGTCTTTCAATATGCCCGTCATTGGAGCGCGCTTGTCTGAAGCATAAGTGACGTACAGACTGTTGGCATGTGTCAAGGCAGTCAAGCGCAGTACCTAGACAGCTGCCGTGTCATCTCCCCGCACCCCGCGAATGGGCGTACGTACAGGGGTTGTTAGCGGGCCTGTGCATCTCCACTCGATGCTTCATTCGGCCATATACCAAGCCACGCCTTACATCGTGCTGAAAGTGCTGCCGAGAACGTGCTGCCGAAAAGACAACCAGCCGTGGTCGCTTGATCTTGTTCTCCCGAAGACGATCCTAGTGCAACAGCCTGTCCGGACAGAGCTCGTTTGGGTCACGACCGTTTCCTCGGCGCCGGAGGTGCCAAGTCCCATGTTCCACAAATGGAAGAAAACACAAAACAAAAGTACAATACAAACGGCAGGGGTTTGTTGCAGTGTCGCATCGTGATCGGCGGTCATATAAGCCACGGCATGGCCTTTTCTCGCGGCTCCCTTTTGTCCCCAGCACATAGTGCAGAGCTTCTTGTCCCCAGCCAACATCCCTTATCCACCTCCCAACATGGTCTCCTCGTACGTGTCCGTGCTGCTGGGCGGCCTCGCTGCTGCCGGACAGGCCAGGGCGGGCAGTGTCGACTCCTTTGTTGCCCACGAGCAGACGGTTGCCCTGCAGGGTGTACTGAACAACATTGGCGCCGACGGCTCACTGGTGCCCGGCGCGGCGGCGGGACTGGTGGTGGCGAGCCCGTCCAAGACGAACCCCAACTATTTTTATACGTGGACGCGTGACTCGGCGCTGACGCTGCGGATGCTGGTGGACGAGCTCATCTTTGGCAACACCAAGGTGCAGGGCGTGATTGAGGATTACGTCAAGGCGCAGGCGGTCCTGCAGACGGTGTCGAACCCGTCGGGCACGCTGCTGCCGTATGGCCTGGGCCTCGGCGAGCCCAAGTTCAACGTCGATGGTACGTCAAGGTGGCCGGCGTGTTTCCTTTTCTTCTTGTCTGTCGGCAAGCTGACCTTCTAGGTACCCGTTTCAACGGTGCTTGGGGGCGTCCCCAGCGCGACGGCCCGGCGCTGCGTGCCATTACGCTCATCGACTACTGCAACTGGCTGCTCGACCGCGGCGAGCACAAACAGGTGTCGGAGGTGATCTGGCCGGTCATTGCCAACGACATTTCCTATGTTGGGCAGTACTGGTGAGTTTGGTATAACGCAACCGCAACTTTGTCTCGAACGCCGTACAGACCTCCCTCTAACATTCTTTAGGAACACGAGTGGCTACGATCTCTGGGAGGAGGTCTACGGCTCCAGTTTTTTCACCACACAAAACCACTACAAGAGTCTCGTCGCCGCCCGTCAGCTGGCCGACAAAATCGGGGCCACGTGCACTGGCTGTATCGAGGCCCCCAACGTGCTGTGCTTCCTGCAGACGTTCTGGAACGGCGACTTCCTGACGGCCAACATCAACGTCGACAGCGGCCGCTCGGGCATCGACGCCAACACGATGCTGGGCGCCATTTCCGTGTTTGACGTTGCGGCCGACTGCTCGCACCCGAGCCTGCAGCCGTGCCACAGCCGCTCGCTGGCCAGCTTCAAGGTGTTTGTCGATACCTTCCGCAACGGCAGCCTGTACGCCGTCAACGAGGGCGTTCCGTCGAGCGCAGGTGTGGCCCTGGGCCGCTACCCAGAAGACGTCTACTTCAACGGCAATCCCTGGTACCTCATCACACAGGGCGCCGCCGAGTTTTTGTACGACGCCGTCGCTCAGTGGACGCGCCAGGGTGCCATTGCCGTCGACGCGACGTCCGAGGCCTTTTTCAGGGACCTGTACCCGGCGGCCAGGGCCGGCGAGACCTACCGCAGGAACGCCAAGGACACCACCAAAGGCAAGGGTGCCCCGCCGCGCGCTGCCTTCCAGGCCATTGTCCACGCCGCCACCGCCTACGCCGACTCGTTCGTTGCCGTCGCCGAAAAGTATACGCCCCGCGACGGATCGCTGTCCGAGCAGTTTGACAAGAGCACGGGCCAGCCGCTGTCGGCCATTGACTTGACCTGGAGCTATGCCGCCTTTGTCACCATGGCCCGCCGCCGTGCCGGCCACTACCCCAAGTACTCGTGGACCCAGTCGGCGCCTGCGGCAGTGCCGTCGGTCTGTTTAGCCTCATCGACCAACGGCGTCTACGCCCCGGCCACGGCCGCCGGCGCCCCCAATGTCACTGCCAGCTGTACGAGCGGCGTCCTCTTTGTCGTCAACGCCAGCACCTACTACGGCGAGAACGTGTACCTCGTCGGCAACACCACCGACCTCGGCGCCTGGGACCTCGCCAACGCGCAGCCCCTGTCGGCCAACAACTACACGTCCGAGCGCCCCGAGTGGTTCGCCGAGGTGCAGATGACGGCCGGCGAGTACGTCAGCTACGTCTTTGTGCGCGAAGAGGACTGCGGCCAGGCCAGCATCTACGAAACGGTCAACCGCACGCTGCTGGTGCCGGCCTGCGACGAGAACGCAACGCCCAATTCGCCGCCCTTGCTGACCACGGACAATGCGTGGACCGGGCCCACTGGCAGCTCGGGTGGTTGTTAATGGCTGGTTGCCCTCTCCCACAGTCGTCCTCATAGACCCGTAGTGATTTGACCCCAACTAAATCTGTCCGGGCTTCCTTGTCTACGGCCTCTTTGCGCATTAGACGGCGACATTCGATGCGGCCTGGATCCCGACGCCCAAGACTACTCTGTTGATGAAAGCGTTGGCGAGGATGACGGAGGAGGTCGGAGGTAAAGCCACTCTTCTAATAATTCTCACTCACAGGCCGGATCGATGCCGTTGCCGCCAATCGGCATGACAATCTAATAAAATAAAATAAATAATCCCAGTTTTCGCAGAGAGCCACATTTCCATGCTCGTCGACCACGTCTACACAATAGCCGGCCTCAAGGGTTTGCCTTTCTGCGTGTATTGCTTCTTTTTTTTTAAGAAAAAAAGAAAAAAAAAGAAAGGAAATACAAACCTTGCCGTGTGTGGCATAATTACCGCACACCGTAATAATACCAACCGTGTGCCGCCCATCAGCAGGCTACTATATTGAGTGCCGCACTCATGCGCCGCAGTACGAAATGGGTCCGTTTAGCTTGTCTCGGCGGCTGCCGCAAAAACAATATCAAAATCACATAGGCACGAATCGTACGATGCAATCGTCTCACCACGCCCACAACTGTCACCAGTTGCACCGGCCCTACCATCCCCAACGACCCACCTATTCCTGGCCCTGCACCGCCTCCACCTACCATGGGTTCTACACCTCTCACACTACTCCCCTTGAGGTCGCGCGAGGAGGCGCACCAACAGCGCTGGGGTCCAACCATCCGAGGCATGGTCGGTTCGGGCCTCGCGTGCTGCGGCTTCGTGCTGTTCCGCTGTGTCTACGGCGACGACGACGCGTGGGCGCGCTTCCTCGACACGATGAAGCAGCGCGTGCGTGCGCACGTTCAGCGCGATGCCGTCGCCGGCCAGACGTTTGCTCGGTATGTGGAGCCGGCCCTGGCGTGGACCGTCATCGAGGACGAGACGACGCTGGCCAATGCAACCAAGGAGCAGGTGCGCAAGCGGTTTGTCGCGTGGCGCGACGAGCAGTTGCGGGACACGGCCTGGCACGTGTCGGTCGCGCAGGCCGGCTTTTACAAGGATCTGCCACGGTTCAACTACTGTCTTTGCGTCGACCAGGCGTGCCTGGACAGTTTGGGAGCGTATCGGACGGTGGAGGACCAGCTGGGCGTCTACGAAGCCGGGCCGCCGGCGACGGTGGCCCTCGTTGCGGCGCCGTGGGCGAGGCCATTTGCGCCGCTGGCCGATTTGCAGAAGCAGGACAAGTGGCTGGGCTGGGGGACCTTGTCGTCTCGCGGCCAGCCATCCGATGACGACGAGGACGACGAGGACGACGAGGAAGAAGTGGCAGAGGACGAGCTTCCACCCATCGAGTCGTCCACATCCGTGAGTTTCTTTCACCTCTCCCGTCAAGCTGTCTCTCCACTAATATGGCAACCGTCTACGTGCTTTAGTAAGACGTCGGCTGGATGTATATTGAAGTCAAATCACTCGTGGGCACGTACGACATGCTGCATGGCGGCGACAAGTGGGAGCATTACTATCTTCGGCCACCGCTGGTGTATCCCAGGCACCAGTTTCGGCGGCCAGCATTGGACAACCTGTAGTCATAGATGTTATACATCGGGCATGAGTTTGAACGTGTTGTGGCCACTCGATAATGTATACACCACCACGGGCGGCGCACTTCTGCTGTCCCTCCTGTCCGTTGCACAAGTGTTGGGCCAATTTGCCTTTGGCTACTTGTCCGATAAGATCCTTTTACGTCGTAGGCGCAGTAGCTGCAAGTGCCTATGCAAGGCTTGGAACGTGCGGCTGCCGTCGGCCTTGTATTTTTTACAGTGGAGAATTGTCATTTACAGGGCGTCACTGACGTCAGCCGTTTCTCGCTAAATAAAAGCAATAAAAATATCCAAACCATGCAGTAGTATACTTCTTTCTCACCAGCGCAAAACACATTTGATACATTGTTTCGTATGCCACGAAGCTTCCAGGGCTGATCGCTACCTCAAAAATGAGTGACACGGTTACTTCAATCGAGCTTCAGACGCGCACACACGATGCATCCTTCCAGGGACCGTTCCAGGGCCACGATGCACATCGCAGTCCCGACGAAACGGTTATTCCTGGATTGAAGCCCGTCGACAAAGGGCGCGATGCATGGATGGTATTGACTGCTGGTTTCGTCTTCGATGCCTTGTTCTGGGGTGCGTCTCCGGCCGCTGCAGAGTGATGGATTGAGCGTGTGCTAACCGTCTGCCAGGATTCCCAATGTGTTTTGGTGTCTTCCAGGACTATTATTCGTCGCGTCCAGAGTTCGAGGCCGACGCCGCCAACGTCACCATCATCGGCACGGTCGCACAAGCACTCTACTACCTGGGTGCGCCCTTCTCTGCGCTTTTGGCAAAGCGGTTTCCCAAGTACCGCCGCCAGCAGATCTGGCTGGGCTGGCTGATGTGCATCGTGGGCCTGCTCGCGGCGTCCTTTGCCACGTCGGTCACGGGGCTGATTGGCACACAAGGCGTTCTGTACGGCTTTGGCTTTGTCATCCTGTCGTACCCCATCATCAGCATGATCAACGAATGGTGGGTGTCGCGCAAAGGCATGGCCTTTGGCCTGATCTCGGCCTCGTCGGGTGCTACGGGTGCCGTCATGCCCTTTATCATCACGTCGCTGCTGGCCAAGTACGGATACCGAACCACGCTGCAGGCGTGCGCCGTGGCTATGACGATCATGACCGGGCCCTTGATACCGCTGCTGAAGAGCCGCTTGCCGGCATCGGACCAAGCGCAGCTGGCGCGGACCGAGTGGTCGTTTCTGCAGAAGCCGCTCTTTTGGGTGTACGGCATCGCCATCCTGACACAGGGTTTGGGCTTCTTCTTCCCCGTCAACTTCCTGCCCACGTATGCCTCGTCCATTGGCATCTCGACCACGGGCGGTGCCCTTCTGCTGTCTCTCCTGTCCATTGCGCAAGTGTTGGGCCAATTTGCCTTTGGCTACTTGTCCGACAAGAACCTCCCGGTGTCGGTGCTGGCTGGTGTGTGCTGCACCGTGGCAGGCGCGGCTTCCTTTGTGCTCTGGGGTCTGTCCACGTCGCTGGCCTGGCTGATCCCGTTTAGCATCATCTACGGGTTCTTTGCCTGTGGATTCGGCACTATGCGGGTTGCCATGGGTCGGGATGTCCGCGGCGACCCGCTGGCTACCTATGCTATTTACGTCTTCTTGCAGGGCGTCGGCAACATTTTGGTCGGTCCCATCAGTGCAGCTTTGACGAGAAAACCCGTCTCCATGGCTGACTACGGCTGCGCAAAATACGCGGGCATTATCCTGCTGACGGGAGCGACCTCCCTGCTTGCGACTGCATTTATTGCCGGCTGGCATCTGTACAGAATTGTTGAGGATCGGAAGACGAACTAGGGTTTATATGGAAAACTTTGTATGGAGGAAGTGCCTGTGATGCAATTAATTTGTCTCGACTCTGGATATAGGAGTACGAATTTTCAAATGCATTGAAACTTTCATGTCTCCAGGTTTTCATCACTTGACCCTTTCATCCATACTATCCTACTTTCATCGCCCTGGCTACAATACCCACTGCCGCCCTTCTGCCAGATTTTGGAACGCGCTTCAAATGATTCGCGCATCGCAACTTGTTCGGAAGCCGAATCCTGCAGCTCCAGCTCTGATTCTGGCGCAAGTTGGGCAAATAGCTCCAGGAGGTTGTATCGTTGGAGACGGTCCTTGTCCCAGAGCACATACGCCCTTTCTCGAAACCCAGCGTTGTTGCTGTGCATGAGAGTGTCGTGGACACATAGCTCTTTGTTGGCCATCCACCAAGCTTCAAAGGGACCTTTGTCGGCATCATTTTCAGGTTCGGATGGCAGAAACAGCGCAGCTCTCTCCTTTTCCGCATAATCTTGAAGTGGCGTGTCATCGTCGTCTCCGTCGTCGTCGTAGAGTTCGGTCAATGCTTCGTTGAGATTTGTATGGCCTAATCCGACTGCTGACCCTAAAAGCGTATGCTTAGCGTCGTAGGATGTTTCGTTTATGATTTGATGGACAAAGCCGAGGCCTTGTGAGAGCTGTATGGAAGTATGTTAGTATATTGGAAGAATAAATAATAAGACCAGGATGAGGGTGGAGGAGTTTACCCATCGTTGCCTTTGGAAGTTTATCAGACCAGGTGTAAGATAGTCAACACCAAGCTCTCCAAAGTCCACGTCATGACCGACGACTTCACGAGACGCTTTTGATGAACGACAAGATGTTAGCGGTGGCATGTCGTTTTATACTATTTTCGTAGAAACCAATACCGCGAGTAAGTAGGACGGAACCTGTTGAAAATTGCAGCTCAAGAAAGTCTTGCACGCAGCCAATCTGCTCGTTTTCCCACGGCGGAAGCTTGTGCAAAAACGATGCACCTCTGCTCTCCGAGTTTGAGGGGCGCCGGAAGAGGCGGAAATACAGTTCCATTCGATAAAATGCGCGACAGAAGCGAATATACTCGGCCGGCGACAACGATACATTCCCCGATATACGCGGTTCTCCAGCCCTGAGAGAAAGACGCGCCCATGCCGTGCTCGAAAACGCCGTCACCAAGTCATGAATGATGTCGTGTGTACGACTCATTTGTGACAACCGTGGACGCTCCATCGCCAGTGGCTGGCTTGTCACCGTGGCCGACCTCGTTTGCGACTCCAGGTATATCTCGTCATGCAGTTTATCGAGCAGTGCCTGGACCGGCTGAGGCATCCGTGTATCAATCCGCGATGCTTCCATCACGGCGACTGCATAAGGGAGCAACACCGGGGCGATTTGTTGCTGCAATATGTCAACCGCGATGTGCGGATTTTCCTGGAAGCTCGTGTGGAAAAGGCGGCATGTGAGGAGCGCAGATGACAGATCCTGCAGACTTCCTAAGTGCCGAAGCACCGTATTGATGATCTCACATGGAAGTTGAGTGATGCCGGGGAGTGCCATTGTTGACGCGGTTGTTGCTGTTGATGTCGTCGACATTGTCGTAAAAGCCAAACGGGGAGTATGATGGAAATGGTCTTGTATGTAGTAAGGTCGCTCGATACAACGCCGAGTGATTATACCTGTTCACGGTACATGATGCATGCCTTTGTCCCGCAGACATAATCTGCCCCGCCAATTGACATGGGCCCCGGGTGCAAACTGCAGGGAGCATGTTCAGACGTTCGTTTTGTGCACCAGACACAGCCAGCCGCACGCCCCATTTCACTGTTTTCTTTGACACCACCATGTTGATTGGCTCCCTGGCCAGTCTACAATTGCAACCGCGTTTTCTGCTCTGGCCCAGACCTTGCTCCAAGCCTCTTTCCAGACCCAGGCCTCATGTTATCGTCGGCATGATAATTTCGAGATTGAACGTTTAAAATATGCACATTGGGTTGTACCACGGTCAATAAGGCATCATCTTAATACTCTTGTATTTTATCGGGAGGTTGGAGCTGAGTAGGATATTAAACGTAAAGGACCTTTTAAGATAAGTGAGAGATACATATACACCTTTGTGAAGAACACACCTGGGACTGCCTTTCGCATTAAGCAGCACGGCTTTCCGGGCTGACTTCAATGACGACCTTTCCGATATGCTTTTGCGCTGCCAAATATTGGACCGCCGTGTTGGCGTCCTCAAACTGGAAAACCTCGTCGTCGACTTTGGGGTGGAATTGCCACTGCTCAATCATGCGAGCCATTTCCTCGTAGTGCGCCCTGGACCCCGCCAGCACGCCCCGGACGTTGGCCGCACGCGGCAAGACATCCATAACGGACGGGCCGGCCGTGCTGTCGCCCGTCAAGAACCCGGTCACGGCCACCGTCCCATCGTACCGAATGGCCTTGAGGCTCTCCCCGAGCGTCCCTGTCCCACCCACGTCGACGACCAAGTCCACGCCCTCGCCATCAGGCGTCAGGCGGCGCGCCGTCTCACCCCACAACGGGTCTTCGTTGTAGTTGATGACCGTCGTGACGCCGAGGTCCGTGAGCCAGTGCTTCTTGGCGTCGGAGCTGGTTGTGCCGACGACGACGGCACCGAGACGGACAGCAAATTCGGCTGCAAACAAGGAAACAGCGCCCGTGCCTTGCGTGAGCACCCAGCTGCCCGGTTTGACGACCGCCGCGTCCGGGGCGCCAAGGCCATACGGGGCGAGAATGTTCCACGCCGTGACGCCGGCGACGCCCAGGGTCGACGCTTCGACAAAGGACAAGAAGCGCGGGAAGCGCGCTACCCAAGACGCCGGAAGAACGGCATGCCGCCGCAGCAAGCCGGGCATGAATCCGTCACCGGGCGCCCCGAAGGTGGCAGTGGTCATATGGCCTGATTGAAACAATGGCGCGGGAAGGACAATCACCCCGTCGCCGGCGGCCACGGACGTGACCGAAGCACCCGTGGCGAGCACAACGGCAGACGCGTCGCAGCACGGAACGAGAGGAAACTTGGTGGGTAGAGGGTAGGCGCCCTAATGGAAGGTGAGTATTTCAAGTATCAAATGTGGAACAAGTAAAACCAAAACAGGCAAGAAACACGTGGAATGACAGCACTGCTCCTTTCGTACCATTGCAATCGCAACGTCTCGGAAGTTGAGCGAGACCGCTTTGATCTCCAAAAGGACGTCTTTGTTCCCGAGAGCCGGGAGAGGGACGCCCTTGTTGAGTCGGTAGGCGTTCTCAACACCAGTCGGAGCAGCCAGGACCCATTCGTCTGTTTTTGTGGGAAGAGCCATGGCGGTGTTCCGATGATAGAGTTGTGGAAGTCAACAATGTAGTGTAGGTCAATGTAAAATAAAGTGGCATACTGACTTTACGCAAATGTGCTGTTCGGCGATAATACTTCCGGCCAAGAGGGAGAGGAGGCAGATGTACTTATACAAGTTCCTTAACAAAGAATACATAGTCCGTGCAATAGAAGAATCGACAGGAAACAAAAAGAAGACCAAATGTGGCCATTCTCACTATTGACCACGTCAAACAATCTATTACTAAGTTATGTCGAGGGGAAGTGCTGCTAAAGCAGACGTCCAAGCTGAATAATGTAAGGTGCAGCAGGCTCCTGCTGCGTATTGTTTATGTCGTATGTCGCATGTCGTATACTTTAAGCCAGACCAAATTTAATCTATTACCGATCCGACCGGTTTGGTCACACAATTTGGTCGAACATTTTGGTCGAACAAGTTTGTAACAAATTCGGCCGACTCGCTCGTCGTACCAGATCCCGATTCAGTTTAGTGCCATAATGTACCGTCAAGCTCCATTACACGGCGACGTGGGAGAGATCGGCCCTTATTTATCAGCCGGCTATCTGTTCTCTAACCACCGCTGCAAATGCACAGCCGCGTGCTATCACAGTCCACGATCTGCGGGGACCTGTGCTTATTCGACCATGTCTGCCGACAATACAGTGGAGGCACGCGCAATGCAGGGCGACGATATTCGCAGGAAAGTTGCACACATCACAGCGGTCCTACGTCATCGACATGGCGACGCTGCGGCCGCCGCCACCGCCGCGGTCGATGAATTCGTGGCAGCATGCAACACTCTCCCGCCCGGGCCTGGACAGACAGCCACAGACCTCGTGTCCGCCTTGGGTCGCAGTACATGCCGCCGACTCGAGGAAGCTGCTCTCCGGAGCTTTGAACGGCAGCTGCGGCGCCGGACCCGGCCGGACGGGACAATGCCGCATATGCCCCGCGCGCTGGCGGAGCTGCAGTCGGCTGCCAAGGCCTGGTGTCTGTCGCCGCTGGTTCTGCTAGCAGAGTTCGCCGATGCGCCCAAGTCGGACCATTTTTGGCGCCTCCTAGCCCGATTGGCACGCTCCCGTAGCCAGGGCGCCTGGCCGGACGTCCGCGAGCGCCTGCAAGCCGCACGTCACCGCCGCCGATATGACCGTCTGGCTCGCCGTCAGGGCGTAAGCTACATCCAGCCGTGGGCCATTCCCGACATTATGGATGTGTTAAAGCAGCACGAGAAGGAGTCGGAGGAAGGGCAGGACGAAGAGGAGGAGCGCGAGGGGGAGCGCGAGGAGGAGCGCGAACAAGAACAAGAGCAGAGGCAAGTCCACCAGCACGCAAACGACAATAATATTGCGAGAACAAGACAGGGCAATGCAGCCACTGGACTCGCCTCCCATCGACCTACAGCGCTCAGTGACACGCTGGATAGCGCCAACACCACATTACCAAAACCGCATGGGCCGAATTCTGACGGTGTAAGCGGCGAGAATGGCGCCACGGAAGCCGGTGATGCCACGTTGTCAGACGCCATATACGTCAGCGGCAGTGAACAGACCAACGTGTGGCGTTTCGCCTATGGCTGGTGGCTGCCGACCGACGTCGTCCACCGGCTATGTAGCTCCCTCGTCCACATCCAGCCGAACGTATTCCAATTCGCTGCATCTGGAGCTGGAGTCGCGTCCTCTGCGGATGGGATGAAGGGCATATTGTCGCCATGTCGCGCCCAGCCCGATGGTGCCACGAGTACGATTATCGTGCCTGTCCGTATAAAGATATCGTATCACTGGATCCTCGCCACTTTATGCCCTTTCGAGAAAGTCGTCTCCGTATACGATCCGCAGCCTGGCAGCCCCCTGTCCCACACAGAGATAGCAGCCGCCTTGGACGACGTGCTGACGTACGAGCAGATGTCGTCGGGGGTCGAGACACTCGCCGTCGCTGACTGGGCGTTGGTCATGCGAAGCTGTCCAACGCAAGTGAACAGCATCGACACCGGTGTCGCAGTGATTGCATTGTCGCTGTATTGCCTCGTGGGCCGCGCCATGCCCACGAGTATGGACAGCTGGCTCTGGCGCCGCATGCTGGCCTTTTACCTGACCCGGCTCTCGCCGGACGACGCCGCGCAAACGACCAAAGATATTGCGCTGGCCACGTTGTTTGCCCAGACGCTTTCGGCCCGCAACATCCATACGCCGGCTGACACTACATCGACGAACCCTTCTGCCTTCGCCGCCGAGCCGCCGCCGCAGCAGAGTGACGGAGACAAAGGCCATATGGATGCGGGAAGGAACTTGATAGGCGGAATCCAACAACAGCCGCTCGTCGGGCGTAACATTCACGCACAGCGCAGCAGTGTCATTGAGGGACGAGCAGTCTGGGCGGCCGCGGCACAACTGGCCAGCCGAGCCAAGACAGACGCACGGAGAAAGCGAGACGACATTGCCAGCGAGCTGCAGCGTGTGGTCGATGCGTTGTTCCATCACAACACGCAGTCGGACACGAGGAGACATACTCGCCACAGAGATGCCAAGACAGCCGTAGAGGGCGACGATGATACTTTAACCACGTCGGTACGCCGTCTTGAGGCGGCCGTGAAGACAGCGGAGGCGGACATGGCAGGCATTGCTGCAGTCGTGAATGGAATTCGTGCTGTCTTGGATGACCTTGACACTCTTCTGCCCAGTACACGACGTCAATCTCGGACTGGATCTCTAGATTAGGACTCTGAAAACTCGTAATTACCAGCGGGCGCCCTCGAGTAGACGAGAGTGCCCATTTTTCTGTTAGCTACACTTCAAGAGCCCATATCCGCTTTTACATTGTTAATCACGTAGTCGCGTCCTTCGACCAACAAATGACTTTGTAACAATACACGTGATGTCGGTGGCCCCAGTGTTCTTTAATACCGTAAAGTACGGAGTACTCGCTTGGCGGTTCGGCAGCCAAATAATGAAACGAAGTAGACTTTTAATTGGCCTCGTGAGGCAATATTTGGGGGTAGTATTTGCGCTGCCTGGGAGACGACCGCCAGCGCCATTACGCCACTTGCCAGCCAATCACTATGCGGTTTTCGAACCCTGACTAATCCAGCACGTGATAAATTCGCTCTTTGTTTTGACCGTTCGCTGAAGTCCGCGCGATGCAAAGTCATCGAAAGCCTTACCCAGTGGGACTTTTGTGGTCCAAAGACCCATCATCTTCGCAACCATGGAAACAATCGAACAATTGCGGGAGGAGATCGAGAAGCAGCGCCGGCGAGCCGAGGAAGCAGAGGCCAAAGTTCTTGACGGACAACGTCAACGTGAAGCGACAGAAGCACGCGCGCTCGCCGAAAAGCATCGACGCGAAAACGCCGAGAAAGCCGTGGCGCGAACCGACTTCCACACCTTCCTGTCGCTCTGTCACAACAACCTGAAAACAAACCTGGTCATCCAAGAAGATCCGGCGTTGTCTTCGGCTGGCACGGTCACGAATGTCGACTCCAAATACTACCCCCTGCGCCTCAAGCCGTGGGCCGACTTTCCATCGTTGCACGACCAATGCCAGAGACGTTTAGAGTCTCTGTTCAAAGACAAAAATGTCTTTCCTGCCATTGCCGGCTTCGACACCATGAACGAGATTTTCTCATTCGACGAGCCCTTGGCCGACGAGAACGACGTCAGGCTGATCCAGTTTTTGAACGTTGAAACCTGCGCCAAGAGAGTTCTGTTTCAGTATCTCAAGGAGGTCAAGTCCGAGCCGTCTCAGACGCGTGACGACAACGATAATACCGATGCCGACCAAATAGCCGCTCTTCCCCTCCGCGTCTACTTTACAAACACGCCGTATGGGATCCTGTTAGATGGACCTGGCGACAGTGGTGAGAGCCAGCACAGCGATACACTGCCTGCCTACCAACCTGCCATGTTGGAGGCACAACAGAAGGATATCGAGGCTCGTGGCCGTTTAACGGACGACGGACCACCTCCGGCGAAGCGTATGTCGTCGCCCGTGCGGAAATTCCACCCGGACCAGTGGTTCATGCGTGTGAATGGCAACGGCAGCGTTGTTCCCGTGTTTGTCGTGGAATACAAGGCGGCGCATAAGTTGCGCGGCTCCACGCTCAAGCTGGCCCTGTCCTCCGACTCTGACACCGACACCAACGCAGGCACTCGCACGAGTGACACGCGCGACCCACAAGGTCTGTTCTCATCCGCAATTCGCCAACATCTGCGCAACAAGATCGATCTGGGCTCGAAAGACCGCCTAGATGCAGAAAAGGCCACGGCACGTGTAATTGCTCAGGCTTTTCACTACATGGTGGAGTTTGGACTGTGCTACTCGTACGTGGCCTCCGGCGAGTCGATGATCTTGTTGTACTTTGATGCGGCAGACGTCCGTACCTTGTACTACCACCTGGCCGTTCCCCTAGATGAGGTCAAGTCGGATGCCGTCGCAGATGTTCGGCGTTCAGCAGTGTCGATGGTGACCACCATGGCGCTGCTTGCACTAGACCAACCTGGACTCAGCCAGAGGTGGAAGAAATACGCGGTGAGTGTGTTGGAACGGTGGCCGGCTCCGTACGAGGAGATACGTCCTCAGGACAACAACAGTGGAGAGGAGCACACTGGAAAACTGAAGAACCGTCCACGACTCGCGCCTCGCCAAAGCCAGCAGACATGCAACGACGACGCGGCGCAGCAGCAAAACCAGCGAGGGGACGATGACGACGACGAGAACAGCGACCGAGAGTTTCGCCCGCCGCGATCGTTTCAAGCATCGACAACACCGGCGAAGAAGCAGTACGCGACACGATCAACGGGCAAAAGCACCACCAAAACAACCGAAACAACCAACACAAGCAATATGAACAACGCTACCAACACAAACAACACCATAAGCCCGAGGCGCCAATGCGAGGTGCTGCCCCACTGCAACCAGGGTTGTATGTTGGGTCTACGCAATGGGGGCGCCCTCGACCGTGCCTGCCCGAATGTGCAGCTGCATCCGTCGACCGAGGACGGACACCACACACTCACGCCCGTACAATTGTGTAATCGCCTGCGAGAGCAGCTGGCGCACGATATGGACGAGGACTGCGAGGCGCTGGACAAGTTTGGCAAGTTTGGAGCCATCGGCATGCTGTTTCGGCTTACGCTGCGAAGCCATGGCTACTGCGTGGCCGCCAAGGGGGTGCAGCGCGTGCACGCGCAGCGACTCCAGCAGGAGAAGGCCATATACGACCACCTCCAAGAGCAGCAGGGCACGCTGGTACCCGTCTGCCTCGGGATCATCGACCTGGTGGATGTGTACCGGACGTCGTATGGCGCGCACGTCTCCCACATGCTGGTGATGTCGTACGCCGGCGAACGACTCTTCTCGAAGGCGGCCGGGCCGATGCCGGACAACATCAACTCGCTTGTATACAATGTGTGGTTCCGACTGCGGCAGCTCGGTGTCGATCATGGGGACGAGCACGAGCCCAACCTGCTGTGGAACGCGCAGGAGCAGCAGCTCGTGTGCATCGACTTTGAGTGGGCCAAGATTGTTGACTGGGAACAGGAGAAGGAGCGGCGGCGGGAGCAGAGGCGGGAGTTGAAGCGAAAGCACGCGGAGGACGACGGCACTGGCATCAAGAAGCTCGTTGCGTGAAAGAGGCCATCGATGTGGATGTTGTGGACGGTAATGATTGATGAGTAACCAAGCATGACAACAAATCATGAGATATGAATACTGAAAACATCACTTTCGGACACGGCGAGTTCTGTTTACAATAGTGCACAAAAAACACAAGTGGTTAGACATCTATGTCATGTTTGTCCAGGCCGAGGCTTGGCGGTTTGATCATGCCAGGCAAGTGGAACAAGGCAAGCCAAGACGGCCAAGACGGCCCAGCCAGTGGCACGGTCCTTTCCAACAGCTTCAGCCCCAAAAGCTATTCTCCGCAGTGCACTATAAAACGTTGACTGCATATCCCGTTGCAGCCTGCGGTTTGAGTCAACACACTCCGAATACCGGAAACGAAAGTTGCAGTACGACATGTGGCGGATATACGGGTACATTTTTATCACAGTACACCTAGCACGGCAATCGACTTGTGACGTTTCCAATTATGATGCATTGATGCTGAATTAAATAATGACAACAAAAGAGAAGAAGAAGAAGCACCAGTCACCACGACACACAAACACCACCATCACTCTCATCGCCGTCCAGTCGCTGGGCAACTATCCGCGCTCCCGTTCTACCTAGTACACGTACACAAACTGGTCGTTCTGCTTGTCCGTCAGATCCAGCTTGGCCACCTCGTCGAGCTGCTGCTCCTGGCCCTTGCTGATGACGACCTTGCTCTGCATGGAGGCGTCGACGACGTCGGCCGACTTGCCGGCGGCGATGCGCTGCTTGCGCTTCTGGCGGTTGAGGAAGAGCAGGTTGGCGACCTGGAAGCAGCAGGCGGCGATGAGGGCAATGAAGATGCCGAGGACGGCGCGGATGCCGGGCTTGTAGTAGGGGGCCTGGTTGGCATTGAACAGCAGCGGGCCGGAGAGGGCGCCGGCGGAGACGCCGGCCTGGACGACGGACAGCATGGAGGACTTCTTGGTGGCGCCGGCGGTGTTGGCAATGGCCCACGACAGGATCAGGGGGTTGGCGGCGAAGAGGAAGGCGCAGAGGTAGTAGGCGACGAGCAGGGCGGGCTGGGACGAGTGGGTGCGGGGCACGGCGTAGAGCATGGCGGTGCCGGCGATGGCGGGGATGGTGAAGGCGACGATGACGGCGGACTTGATCTTGGCCTTCTGGGCGGCCCAGCAGGACAGCAGGATGATGACGAGCTGCATGAAGCCAAAGGGGATGTTGAGCAGCGAGGTCTGGAACTTGTCGAAGCCGAAGCCCTGGATGATGAGGGTGCCAAAGGCGCTGGTCATGCCCGAGGCCATGTTGGGCAAGATGATCATGGCGACCCAGAGCCACGACTTGGGCTCGAGGGCGACCTCGAGGACCTGGTGCCACTTGAAGGCGTGGTTGATCTCACCCGTCTGGTTGACGCGGAGGCGCTCGACGCCCTGGATGCGCTCTTCCTCCGACAGGAACCGGGCCTCGGAGATGTCGTTGTCGAGCTTCCAGTAGACGATGGGGGCCGAGACGATGGTCAGCAGGCCAGCAAAGAGGAAGATGCTGTGACCCGAGTGTTAGCAGATGGAAGTATACGAAGCAGTGTTGTGCAAAAGGAGACGCAAGACGCAAGACGCAAAGACATACATTTGCCATGGACGCAGCAGATCCGACTGGATGTGGCCGAGGCCGTAGGAAATGGCAGCGGCGGCCATGGTGGCGACGCCGTTCATGCCGTTCCAGATGGCAATGCGCACGGGCTGCTCGGACCGCCGATACCACAGGGACGTCATGTAGGTAAACAGCGGCAGGCAGCCGGCCTCGAAGAGGCCCAGGAAGAAGCGAGCGGCCAGCAGGCTCGGGAAGCTCTTGCAGCTGGCAATGCTAGCCTCGGCGATGCCCCAGCCCAGGGTCATGGCGGGCATCAGGATCCGCGGCGGCACCTTGACGATGAGCATGGCCGAGAAGGGCTGCCAGGCGAGCTGGGCGATGGCAGAGATGGAGCTGACGAGCGAGTACTGGTTGCCGGTGAGGCCGGTGTCGGCCTGCAGGCCAAAGAGGGCGCTGGTGGACAGCACGGCCTTGTCAAAGACCTGCAAAAAGTAGACCCAGGTCAGGAGGGCCAGGATGACCTTGTCGGTCTTGCGGCGGATGCGCTTGTTCTGCTCGTCGGTGAGGTTGACGAGCACGGCGGCGCCGGTGGCGTGGCTTGTGACGTCCTCGACGGGGGACAAGGTCTTGACGTCCTGGGCGGCATCGGCCGTCTCGATGTCAGAGGATCCCATGGTGGGTGGTGTGTTGGCTGTGATGAGATGGATGAGATGGATGAGATGGAGGAGACGCGATGGTATGTGATGGGAATGTAGAGGGGACACAGAGAGGGAAAGGGGAAGGAGAGATATAGTACACGGACGAGTAAAAAAGAAAAGAAAAAAAGAATCAAGTGTCAGTCAGACCAATACTCAAAGAAGGGACTGGCAGGATTGATCAACAGAAACACACATCAACCAGTGGATCCGCGGCATCTTATATACATCCAGAGGCCGATGTGATGGGAGGAATGACAATACTGGCGGGCAGCATGCACGCAGATACGGAGAACGGGCAGCAGCACACAAACACTTGCAGAATGTGGCAATTGACAGTCTGGGGTAACCAGGTGAGTGTGGGGATCGCTATCTGCGTGGCGGGTGCCAATCTGCCCTCCGTGTCCTGTGGTTGGTTACCGTCGGGCTTCTTTTGTCCTCTTTGGTCCTCGCGTGTCCTCTAATTGCGCTGCTGCCCACTCTTGCCCACTCTTGCACTTGTGCGCGTGTCTTGCCCCCCCAGTTGGCCCTGTTTCTCCAGTTTCCAGGGCGCCCTATCAGCCACTATCACCACATGGCTCCATATAGCCTGCCGACGTCTGATAGCGGTAAACGGGTCGATGCAGGGCGTGATACGTTATCCTGGGGAATCCTGGGCGATACGGAGGAGAGCGTGGAGAGAGAAAATCCGACGCGGTCGCAAAGGGCCAAAGGACGCAAAACAGTCGCCTTTGGCCGACTGTGTCCGACTGTGTCCGACTGCATCGGCGAAGAAAGTTGCAAGGCGTGAGAGCCGATTGGCCGGATAGCGCCGGGGCCCGATTCGCTGTCACCCCCTGTATCCGACAGCACGTGGAGTCCGCTAGCACCATCGCTACAGCCGCTAAAGGTCTCGCTAACATTATCGCTAACCCAATTGCCCTTAGCGCCGGCACCCTCACAATCAGCGTTCTGTGTTCGTCAAAGGTGCTGCATGTCACTGTAACCTCGATCCTCTCTGTTGACGAACTGTCCCAGCAGACCGGTCAACGTCTGACCGTCTTCCACCTCACACTTAATCGTGTGCTGCTACGCTACTACCGATGCGATCGCATCGCGTCGGTGGCCTCGCAGAGACGCGTCTCCGGAGCCCAATGGGCCGAATCGAAGCACGAGACCCTTTGTCGCTGCACGTCATCTCGTCCTATCTCCTCCGCATCGGCGTCGGTCTGGCTTGGAGACGGGGGCAAGTCTGTTCGAGACACTACTTAATACGATAGGCATCTTGTAAAGCTTTATCATTATCACTTTTGAATGTAGCAAACTCACCGTCGGCATCATTTATCGTCCTTGTGTTATCGTCCTTGTCATCACCACCACAATCACAGCCATGTCTCCAACAAGCCGATTTTCGTCGTACCCTCCGGGCATCCACGGCCCGTCCATCACCTTCTTCCAGGACACTGTCCAGCAGGAGGTTGACTGGGAGACGCAGGAGAAGCACTTTGAGTTTATGATTAAGCATCTGCACGGCAGTACGTCTCCGCATCCTGGCAAAACAAAACAGTACCATGGTCCTCGTTGATCGTCGTCCCACTGACCCTTGACCACCTACCTCTGCAGTTGTCCTGACCGGCTCCAGCGGCGAGAATGCGACGCTCTCGATTGAGGAGAAGAGCCAGATGGTCCGCAAGGCCCGGGAGGTCGCCACGCGCCTCGGCAAGCCCGACTTCCCCATCACGCTCGGCGTCATGGCCGGCTGCACCCGCGACATCCTGGCCCAGATCGAGGCCGGCCACCAGAACGGCGCCGACTTTGCCCTCGTCCTCGTCCCGGCCGTCTTCCACTGGTCCATGACCAGCGACGCCGTCCTCGACTTCTTCAAGGAGGTCGGCGACCGCTCGCCGCTGCCCATCATCATCTACAACTTCCCCAACCTGCTGCATGGCATCGACGTCGACCCCTTTATGCTCGAGGAGCTCGGCCGCCACCCCAACATCTACGCCGTGAAGCTGACCTGCGGCAGCGTCGGCAAGGCCACGCGCGTGGCCGCGCAGTTTGAGCCGTCCCAGTTCACGTCCGTCTCGGGCATGAGCGACTGGCTCGTCGCCGCCCTCGCCGCCGGCAGCAGCGGCTGCATCTCGGGCGTCGCCAACATCTTCCCCAGCGTCATGATGGAGATCTACCGCCTCTACACCACCGGCCACATGCAGGAGGCCGTGGCCCTGCAGAAGAAGCTCGTCATGCCCGAGCTCGGCATCGCCACCTCCGACGTCAGCGGCATGAAGTGGCTGACCGCCTGGGCCCGCGGCTACCCGGAGACCAGCGTCCACTGCCGCCGCCCCATCCCGCGCTTTGTCGACCAGGCCAAGAAGGACCGCGCCCAGGGCCTGCTGAAGCCGCTGCTGGCCGTCGAGGAGGAGTACATTAAGAAGGCGGCCCAGGCCAGCGCGTCAAAACAGACCAACGGCAACTAGGCAACTAGGATGGTAGAAGGACAGGAGCTGGGGAAATTATGTAAAAGTCGTCTACTTTCTCAAAGATCATGATTTTCATTTATTAAACTCAAAATATATCTGAGATGTCACATGTAGTTTTGTTGGCTTGGCTCCGGTTCCTTTTATTTAAACACGTTCTCTGTTACTATTATGTTGCCCTCTTTGTAAGCCAGACTACCAGTATTGAAGTTTTGTCCCGGCGTCGTAGCCATCCGGGGTTCGGGCACTGTGCGGCCGGTGCTGGGTCAGCATTGCCACAGTCGATCTTGACGGGCGGCGTCGCTTCTACGCAGACCACGAGTACGAGGAGGCAAAGAGTGCGCACAAAAAGTATCGGTAAGCACATTCGGCGTGTGTAGGCGGGCATGTTGGACGGCACCTGCCAGATGAAATGCAGCATGTTGTTAAAAGTAGCTAGAGATGGAGAACCAAGGACTGGGAGAATGAATCAAATGGTATCAAAACAAAAACATAGCACGACACAAGACATTCCACACCACGTTCACTCAGTTCCACGATTCCCTCAGCTTTTTTTCATAGTCGGGATCCAGCGAGCGCACAATGTTGCCGGGAATCGGGTCCTCGACGAGCGGAATCGATTCGGGAGGAATGTACTCCGTTTCGTCATCGTATCCGTCCAATTCGCGGTCGATCGCGCGGGGGACATGATATTTGTCCGCGTCGTCGGCCGTGCTGCCCCATCGGTGCTTCAACCAACCGTTGTACGCCGGCCAGCGCCGGCGGTAGACGAGTGGGATCCATGCTCCGAAGGAGTTGAGAGTGCAGCTCCAGAAACGGTACATGGGGCTTCGCGGCTTGGTCTGTCGTGGCCGTACGTAATCCGGCAGCAGCCAATACGAGTTAACAATGTGCGACCGGCCAAAGTCGATGATGACCACGCACTGCCCGCCCTCGTCGTCGTCGCGCAGAGCCGCATCCAAAACCAACACATTGCGCGGCTCGAAGTCGTTGTGGGCCAGCCCCAAAAACTCGAGCTCGCATCGGCTCTCCATGGCCTCGGCCATCAGCTCGAGGCGGCGCGGGACAGGGATCGTGTCGACCACGCCACGTTTCAAGAGGGCAAACATGCTGGTGCCTGCAATGTACTCGATGATAATGAGGCGGACAGGCCGCGTCGCCGGGCGGTCCGCACCCCCAGACGCGTCCTTTGGCACGGGCAGATCGAGTGTGTACGAGCCGTAGTACGTCGGCGTGTACCGGCCATTCGCGCCCTCGCCGTGCAGATGCTCGTACGCAGCCACCTCGACGCTGTAGTCGTGGTCGGCGGCAAATGACACGTCGCCAAACCAGGAATCGTATTTGTCGTAGTAAGCGGCATCGTAGATCTTGGCCACGTAATTGTCCTCGTTGTCGCCCTGGCCGTCGACGCGACACCGCAGAATCTGGGCCCCGTGGCCCACGCGCGCGACAATCTCTTCGGTGATGTGCAGTGTGTAGACCGTGTCGTAGTCATGTTCGTTGTCGTCGTTCCCGTCCTCTTCATCACTGTCCTCGCAGGGAGGCCTCTCTTGGGGTGGGTGGCGGAGACACCGCTCGAGGTTCGAGAGCTTGTACAGTGTTGGGTCCCTATCAAAATCGGTGTCCTGTCGCAGGCCGGGGGAAATTCTGTACCTCATTCCAAACGGCGGTGGCGCGCGATGCTGTCGAATGGAAAAGGAGCGGCCGACTTGATAGGGGAAATCGTCGGGTCGCGGGGGGTCTTTCTTCGACTGATATTCGTACATTTCGTCGCTTGCAGATGTAAAGGAGGTGGGATTGCAGTCTGGGTATTCTGCGGGGTCTAAATTCAAACAGAAGCAATTGCACATGACAGCTCATGTGGGTTCCATCAGAAAGGTCGCCGTAGCCTCGCCTCATTGGCTGAAAGGAGAACTAATCATGGGTCGCCTAGAACCGCTAGGTCTCTGGAGCAAAAAAATAAAAATGCAACAAAACTAAAACACGACATACGTTATGACCATTAAGATCATAAAATGAAGACTGTTCAAATAGAACGTGTATGTACCAGCCTACACGACAATTCAAAATGGGATTGGCGACCATGAAATCTGGGATGGGGTAAAGGAAGCCTTTAGGCAAATAATTGGAGAGGGGCCTTCAGGGCGCCTCTGACTCAGGGGGGAGAGCCGGAACGACAGAGACTGCGCGTCTAAAATCACTTCACCTAATCTTGCCTACAAAGGACATGAAGCAAGGCCATATTTTGCGAGGCCGCTTCTTGGAGTGACAATACAAAACAAGGCCTAGTTTGTTTTTTTGCACACCTCATTCACGCCGGGGCACAGTGACATTTCTCGCCTAGCCGCCGGCCTACAGGCCATGGCCCTATTTGCAATAAAAGTTGCCTCCTCAGAAATAGAGTCGAATCAGAAAGACGAAGGTAGTCGCGTTTCGCTGAACAATGCATTGTGACAGACCAGTGTCGTGTTTGCTGCGTCGGGTATTGAGAGGCCAAGAGGAAGGCCTCCCCCTACCAATCACCAGGCCAAAACAAAGCGGCGAGGGCATTCACGACCATCCAAAATAAGACCGCGTGTAATTGTTTCATGAATGGAAATGTTGTAACGGCACAGATCAAGGTGAGGTGCTGGACAAAATGGGCCTCGTCAAACACTAACTCTGTGTATAATTCAGATGTGCTGCTACAGCATGTCGAGGGCAATTTGGTATAAAGAAAGACAGAGCCACCACCCGCAAATCAAAGACCTGTTTTTGTTTTTGTTTACGTTTACCAGTAGATACAACTCTTGCCACCACTGCTGATACGAGGCCTTCATATTTCCCCATGCCAGTTGCACGTTCACAAGACCGTTCGGGCGTTGAAGGCTGAGCTGTTCTGAAGGATCTCTCTTGCCTACCAATTCTTTCTTCCATTTGTTTCATCGTGTCTTCGATCATAACCCCACATACTTGCTCTCTCGCTGTCAACATGGGACTACTTCTGGACAGCTTTGACGAAGCGCTCGAGCTTGGACGCTATCTCGTTACGCCCCCAACTCGTCCCCTAGCAGTTGCCTCAGGTGAATCTACAAGGCGGGCAGAAGAACCCAAGGTTCGCATCAATGTGCCTTTTTCGGTATGGAATTCATTTGCCAATGCGGCACTCCAGGCAATGGAAGCCGGCAGGCACTTTGCCAACGAAAGTTCACCAAAGTGGAACGATGCCAGGTACATTGACGTGGAGGGCGATGTTGCCGAGGCCTCGAGCATGTATCTCCTCCACGCTATCGACAGTGTTCTATCAGCGTATCTGCCTGCTGGGTCGTTTCGATTCATGTCACAGCACACTCTCCACGGGGACAACTTCTCGGTTCGGGCTGATCGCATTTGGGGTCTGGGCATCCCCGACACCCTGGACCTGGGCGCCTACTTTGCCATTCTCGATTTCAAACGGCCCACTCTTATTGACCCAAATGACTTTGGCAGAGCCTTGACTTGGTATGAGTTTAACAGGCGGAACTCGACCGGCTATCTTGCACCTAGCTTTGAGAACAACTCACAGGTTCTCCTAAAACAAGCCGTTAGCTACAGTAACTTGTATCAAACCAAGTTCGTCGCCTTTTTCGACTGGCACACGCTGGTGCTCGTCGTCCTCGCGGATGCCCAACGTATCCTCGGCGGCCAGTATTGCTTCGTTACAATCGTGACGGACAGAAAGAAGATGATGCGAGCGCTGTTAGGTTTTCTTGTACGGGCATACAATGCGCGGATCAACCCTGTCGAGGACTACACCGACCTTGCGGGCAGTGGGAATTTGGAGCAGACAGCTCTATCCAAGGGGAAGCGCGGAACTGGTGGCCTCGGCAGCGGTAGCGGCGAAAGCAGTCGCCATCGTCGCCGATAAGGTGCTCCCTATTGCGTTAAGTTTTCTTTTCTGTTCTTGCATTCGCATTCTATCATCGCTCGCGTGGGGTTTCGCTCTCATTTGTTTTGATTTCTTATGGTTTTTCCTTCCAATGATTTCCTGTCTCTAGGTCTCGTCTGCAGTTTCAGTCTGTACTTTTGCTTTTCTATACGAGTTTTTCACAATGTCGAAAAAAGTATCATCTTGTCTGCTGCTCGTTGCTTGCATCAGTGGGAACATGAATGTGTATTTTGGGCGTGTTGGTGGGAACTGGCTCAGGCCCAGTTACTACACATGACATACCACGAAGGAATGTCAAGCACGTTGAGCCCTGGCCTTGAGGGCGCTATTGGACGCTCCAGTTCGAAGATCTGATTGGCACAGCTAACATCTCCTAAGCGACCTGGAAAACCCCTGTAAGGCTGGCCTGCCTCCCTGGAGTAGATTCTGTTGAACGTTTGTTTAAACTGCTTGTTACTGTCAGTATCCACTAAAGCGGTCACTGCTGCGCTTAGCCACGATAAGGACGGGCCAAAATGTAAAAGTGAAACGCTTTGTGATACGTCCGGATAACCGAGAAGACGACACGGGAAAGTATCCCAGCGCGATACTAAGCCGTACAATATACTATCTCTATACTCTTTTCAGCAAAGCCCATCTCACGATAATACCACGTTGTCCAAGGTGCTTGCCGGCGAGGTGAAAAATATGAGTTCCTTGACAGGCCTACATAGGTCCGGGGCTATTCAGGCGATTTGGCCCCTTTACCACATCCAGTTAGCGCTAAGGCCCCGGCCGCTCCCGCCAAGATAAGATCCCTGTGTGGATGATTAAACCTCAAGACAAAAAGGGCTGGAGCATTTTGCCTGCCTCCCGAAGAATCCAGCACTACACCGACCAGGGCAGCCTCGTCGCTGGAGTGCTGTGATATGGGGCTTTGACCACGGCAACCGCAACACGAGCAATCCCGACCAACTTCCGTTTTTTTTAGCCGCGGCGGCTTTCCCGGTCGCCATGGCTTCGCCCACGAACAGCTTTTCTGGGACTTGCACTCGGCGCCCGGTCTTGTCGATATTGGTTCGAAAATAAAATCCAGGACGTGGACGAGCTGGCCGTGTGCTTTTTCGGCCTCAACCTTTCTATCCCCGACCCTACTTGTGAACTCATTGGAGCCGCCTGTGCTCCCTGGGCTTACATCGACCAGTGCGTCCAAGGAGGGCTCAATCTGCTGCCAAACGGTGGCCCTCTGGATGGTGGGCTGGCCGTCGTCGAGGGATCGCATGCCGTCTATGCCCTCTTTGTCGGCTGTGGCAGCACATTGACTACAAGAAAGGTCCAGAGGGCGGACCAAGTGTGGGCAACAGAACCTAGACGCCGACATGTCCCAGTGGCTCGAGAACCGGGGCCGCCATCAGCCCAAGCTCGCGGCCGATACCGTACGGCTGACGGTTGGAGTAGGAGCCTTGGCCACCAATGTGCTCGGTGCCTTTGCGACGTATTCGGTGCTGAAAGGACTGAGTGTCTGTAGTACAGGATACAGTATTGATGGTAGGACGAAAGGCGTTACTGAGGACGTCGCTCATCTACATCCTGTCGCCAAGCTCCTTTCCGGAGTGAACCATACGGAACGTGGGAGGCGTCTGTGCTCCAGTGATACAACTGGAAGTGATGTGTTCCCATACTCGCCCTGCCTGCAATTTACATGAGCCTGGATTTGCGCCAGTCCAGCGGTACGGATAGCAGTGTTTGTCCCAACAATGCGTAATCAGCGCTGTGCTCTTGGGTAACCGAAAGATAAGGTCATGGAGCACATCGAATGCAGGGTAGCCGTCGGATAGATATTTGATCTCGGGCCGTCCGCACGTGGTTCTCAATCTTGGCGACCGGCGGGCCGTTCGGATCGATCGGTACAGCGGTAGAAGAGGGAAAAGGTAGAGGTGGCAGGTGAAAAAAACCAAGGCAAAGAAAATAAGAACAAGGCCACGGGGACGGACGAAAGCCAAGACGGTTGTATGTATCTATGCCGGGCTTGGCCCGTGGGCTGTCGAGGACCGGTGACCGCCGACGTGGAGGTGAAGGTGGAGTGCGGCAATGTTATCTGATCCCGTCCACGCGAGGTCACCCAACCCCTGCAGCATTTTACCACGGGCGTATGATGTGAGCGCAATGCCGTGGTAGACACTCCGATGCGGCCACTGTTCCGTTGTTGTTTTCTGTATTCTAGACGTCGTCGTGGGCCCCCGTCGGAGCGACTTACAGAGGACGGAGTACACATCTTCCAGGTCTTGGAACGGGCTGGGTGGGCGCCAGACCGGCGGCCACCAAGCAAACCGCCCGGCCGATCACCACGTCTTCGCAGGTCAGAGGAGCAAGGAAAGTTATGCCATCAGAGGACACTGAAGGATCGTGAGTGATAACATTGTGCTCGTCATATTCAGTCAAACGTTACAAGTTGACATTGGGAAGGACCGAAAATGTAACAAATTCTCTTCAGAACACCAGATATGGCGGCATTAGTCGACCATCCAGCTGATTCACAAACTAATCCAAGGCAGCACGAAACCGCTGACGGCAGCGATGAAATCTTCCCGACTGCAAAGCTTGGAGAGGCCATGGTATCGATTATGAGACTGTCTGCTATCTACTGACGTTGTCGACGATAAAGTCTACGAAACTGACTGACAAAAAAGGGCGCAAGAAGCCTCGCAGCAAAACTGGATACGATTGAAGATCCTCGTATCGATTCGCCGTGTTTGGGTCAACTTGGTCTCGGTCAAAGCTGTCCGTTTTCTGGGTGGACATGCTCACCGCTCCATCCATCACAACACGACGACCTCACGTCTAGCATCGGATGCAAAGGTCTTTTGTAGAAGGAATTCAGAGTCGCCGCGGTGTCTTTCATTCACTTTTCTTGTTGATCGATCTCGCAAAAGTCCCTTCGACCCCTCCCTGCCAAGAGCACGAGAACAGGAACAAAGAGGCATCGTTCTCATGGTTTTGCGGTTCTTTGTCAGTGTCTGCTGCAACTGGCTCGGCATGCCCGGTTGGCTCCGACGGTAGACATTAGCATTCGTCGTTGGACCCACGACGGCCATGACGATCGTCATCGCAAAGCCCAGGCCAGGTGCTTTTGTTCTCAAGTTTGCTTGATTGTGCTTCTCTCGTGCAGCTGCATAAATACGAGGACCATATCTTTTTTGCTAGTACTTTGCTAGTACTTTGCTAGTCCCCTCTTTGTTCTTCGCCCTCGACCGAGTTAGGGTTCCTTTGTATATTTGTTTTGTTCTTGCTTTTTTTTCCTCCTTTCTCTTCACCATTCAGCTAAACCGCACCGGCATGACGATGCACACGAAACACGGCCAACTCGGCAAACCATCTTCCATCTTGACAGCCTTGTCCGTCATGCGTGACGGCAGTCGTCTCATCCGGAAAAAAAAAGTCGGATATCGGCCGACTTCCTTGAATCCATATTGCCGTCCCTGCATTTTCTATGGTTTCCGCATTGGTTCTTACTGCATCGTATTTTAATTACATCGTACAGGGAGGCATGTTGGCGGTTACAAAATGAACAAAGCTTGCGTCTTACACGGTAGATCCTCAACCAATATTATCGACCCATATCAAAACCTCCAATATTAAATAAAATCCGAACCAAAAACAACATTCAGTTCAGTGGCACTCTCCATATTCATCCTCGTACTCGTTTCCTGCCCAGATCTGCTGAAAGATCGGCACCACTAAACGCCACGCCGTCTAGGCCCTAGGTCGGTAACAGGCGCGAGTGTGGCGACGAGCGGTGCGCTGTACGAGGCCAAGTAGTGTACGTTTCAACAAAAAAAATAGAGAATAGGCTAGAGGGAACACGTTAAAGAGGAAATAGAGGAAACCGGCGAAAAGAAGGGTCGTCCACCACAACGGCATCCTGCCTTAGCCAGGTACAATGGGAAAAAGATGGTGCACACTCGATGTGCGGGTGGCTTTCAGTGGCTTTCAGTGGCTTTCAGTGGCTGAGTGGCTGCTGTGGCTGCTGTGGCTGCAGCAGTGCAGTGGCTACAGTGCGCACTCTATGGATATGCCAACGCCACGTTCGATGACATGAGAGGCTTGACCAGATTTCGGCGGTACCGGTGCTGACGGCTTTCACGAGCACAGAAGAGACGTCTGTATGAATGTATTACAACGTAGTATTTCAATATTTGGCGCCGGCGCAGCTGTGTCCGACTGACCTCATTGCGCTTTGTCCATTTGCGCTTTGCCTTTTTGATCCAGTCCGTCGTAGTGCCGCAACCCCGCAGTATTGGACAGACCCTTGCCACACTTTTCTTCTCTTTGGGATGCAACGACACCGTTTGACATGTGCAAATCCTACAAAACGCCGTCGAGCCTGCAGCGCTGTCAGACGAGGGATCAAGACGAGAGCAATGGGACATGCAAAACCATGTCGCACTCGAATGGTACAGAGAAGCGAGAAGCGGCAACAAGGCCAACAGGGCAGCGAGACAAGAAGGCGGTAGGAAAAGTACAAAAGAAACAAAAAGACGAGAAGAATACCAGAAAAACCGCCGAAAAAGACAGGACACCCAGGCCTGTGTCCAAAGCACTTATGCGCCGGTTCCACTGCACTCCACACAGCACTCCACCGCCGACAGGTCACGCTCTCTTCCGTATTGCCTATCGTAAGATGCGTGGATGCCTCGTACGGGACCGGCTCTCAAAGAAACGTCGACTCTGCTCTACCGTCTCCCCTCTACGCTCCACCCACTTGCCCACCGTTGTGGCGGGCAGTCCCACGAGACCTTCCATGCTCGACCCCGCGAACCGCTAGGCTGCAACAAGCATCTGCAGATGGTGCTGTGCTGCCTGCAATGCTCTGGTTGGGTGAAGCCGCCGAGCTTCGGTTTGTTTTTCCTCTTGTTCCTTTGGTCATTGTTTCTCTTCCATCGTCCATCCGCCGTCTCCGCCACGTTTTTCCTTCTTCCTTTTCATCTCTTCCTCCTTTTTTCTTCCTTCTGTCGCCTTCCCTTTCGAGTCCGTCGTACTCGTATTCTCGTATCTCCACCGGCAAGTCGGCATGACATTTGTGGCTGGGCATCGATCTGACAGTAGGCGACTCGGACGGTATATCAACTAGATACATCGTGATCGTGTCCCATGCTCACTGCGCCATGCTCATTACTCAACTACCCATGTGCAATGGTCAGTTCAATGTTCACTCTCAAGAGTACCATCGCACTGCGATCGGCCGCATCCACTGGCGCTTTGTCAGGATCCCTTGTTCTTGCAACGCAGTACTCGGCAGTGGGCAGTCCCGAGCGTCCAGGTTTGGTTCCCAGAAGGCCATGCTGATCGTTCCGAAGTAGGCATGGGCTAGCCAGCGTCTTTTCACGATACTGTGGCAAAGCCTTGCGAAAAGAAGAAAAAAAAGAAAAAAAGAAAAATGGGCAGAGACTGACGCTGATGTTTCGCCAGCCAACTGCGACAACCCGGAGAGCCAGCGAGTCTAGCGAGTGCGAGTTCTGGGCGCATTCTCCACCCACACCGTGTGTTTGCGGGGCTGACAACATGACGCAGCGGCAAACACGGCGTATTAGTGGATGGTATGCGACCATCCAGACAAGACGCCAAAAAAAAAAAAAAAAAAAAAAAAAAAAAAAAAAAGAAAAACTCGACCAAAACATTGACTGATGTCATCCCACAGATGCCAACATGGCCGAATGCGGTGAAATGCGATCAAATGCGGCCAAAAGAGCGGCCAGCCAACAACCAACAAACACCAAAGTGTCTAGCGTGACAAATGGCTCGACGACGAATCAATAGACCAACAGGGCCATGTCACGACATTATGCGATCTGAATTCACATAATGCATTCTCGGTCCCTCCTCCTTCTGGTAGTGTGCCCGCGTGCAGCGCCAGCCACCGTCCACTGACACCCAGACACGCAAGGTGTTTTGCCCTTGCTGCACGTCTGCAGTCAGGTCTGCAGTCTGCAGTCTACCATTCTGCACTTCTGCAAGCCTGTCAAGGAAATGCACGTCTGCTGTTGGTGCCGAGGCCAACTCCAAAAAATCCCTTCCAATCCAATCCTGTCGGTCGCCCGAAGTCAACAAGCCCGACAAAGCGGGGGACTGCAGTTGGGGTCTCGTCTGGTGGTCGTCTTGTCTGTTTCTTGTCTGCTTTCTTCTTTCGGACACTTGCGAGTAAGACTACCACGTATTAGTCCGCTCTCTTTTCCGCCACCCTCACGACCAACACCCCCTCCGGACGGAGCGTCCTCCACAGCACCCCGTCATGGACCATTATGGTCCTCTGGTCATTATGGTCATTATGGTCTTTATGGTCTTATGGTCTCCTCCGGCTCTTCTTGTTGACCCGTTCCCACGCCCCGTCCCCACAACCCATTGCGCTGCTCTGTTGGTCTTGGCCATGGTCTCGGGCCATGCAAGCTACCCGTTCTCGTTTTTGTCCGTTTGGCCCGTTTGTCCTTTTCCCTTTTCCCTTTTCGTCTATTTCCGTCCTCTCTCGCTTTGTGCTCTTTGATGTAGTCTCATGTAGTCTCGTGTAGTCTCGTGTAGTCTCATGCATTCGTAGCTAGTCTGCAGAAAGAACCTGTACCAACGAGGACCTGCAAAGCCGCAGCTCTCCGACCAGCTCAGGTCCGTGTTGGTCTGTCAGCTCATGGTGTGCTCTTCGCAGCTTATAAAGAGGCCATTGTCCGGCTCGCCCCTCCCGATGCCATGCACCCAAGGAAATATGTGATTTGCTCTTGCTTTTCGATGGTATTTCATTATTTCCCCCTTTCTTTGTTTTTGCTGGTCCCTTTCCTTACGGATATACTGTGATTTAAAGCTAGTGCTCAGGCCGCATTATACATCTGCAGCATCTATAGCCATCAGCCACCTATCACCATCTATAGTCTCGTTGTCTGTTGTCTTCTACTCCGCCACTTCTCCTCCCCCAACGTCATGCATTCGTTTGCTGTCCTCGCCCTGGCGGCGGCGAGCCTGCCTTCCGTCCTGGCTGCGCCGTCTCCCGTGGTCGAGCCACCGGTCCCAGCTGCACCGGCCGCACCCGTCTACGACTTCCAGAGTCGCCGTCTGCTGGGCATCCCCCCGAGCAGCGCGGCCAGCTACAACGTGACCGACCAGCCCATTGCGCCCACAGAGGACCCCTGGTACACCGCGCCCTACGAGTTTGGAAACGAGGCCCCCGGCACCATTCTGCGCGTGCGCCCGGCCCCGGGCAACTTGAGCGCCATCACAGGCAACTGCTCGTCGGCCTGGAACATTCTGTACCGCACCACCGACTCGCGCTACTTGCCGACCTGGGCCGTGACCACGCTCTTTGTCCCCTTTGCCAACACCACGACAGGGCGCAACGGCTCCCTCCTGTCGTACCAGATCCCCTACGACTCGGTGTCGCTCGACGCCAGCCCCAGCTACGCCCTGTACGCCGGCGTCGACGTGGACATTAGCGAGTCGCTGGGCAAGGGCTGGTTTGTCAGCGTGCCCGACTACGAGGGCCCGCTGGCATCGTTCACGGCGGGCGTGCTGTCGGGCCACGCGACAATCGACTCGATCCGCGCCGTTCTTCGCGGCGCCGCGCGCTTCGACCTGCCGGGCAACACAAGCTATGCCATGTGGGGCTACTCCGGCGGCGCGCTGGCGAGCGAGTGGGCGGCCGAGCTGGCGGTGCAGTACGCGCCCGAGCTCCACTTCAGCGGCGCCGCGCTGGGCGGCCTGACGCCCAACGTGACGAGCGTGCTCTACTCAGTCTACAACAGCGTCGAGGCCGGCCTCGTGCCGCCGGCCATCCTGGGCATTTCCAACCAGTTCCCCGACGTCTACCAGTACATCCTGTCGCGGCTCAAGACGGAGGGGCCCTACAACAAGACGGGCTTCCTGGCGACGAAGACGTACTCGCTGTCGCAGAACATTGCCACCTACGCCCTCCAGAACATCTCCGAGTACTTTGAGGGCGGCCTGCAGGACATCTTCAGTCCCCAGGCCCAGCAGGTCATCCACTCCGACGGCCTCATGGGCTACCACGGCGTCCCGCAGATGCCCCTCTACGTCTACAAGGCCATCAAGGACGAGGTCTCGCCCATCAACGACACGGACGCCCTGGTGGAGCGCTTCTGCGGCGTCGGCGTCAACATCAACTACGACCGCAACACCAACGGCGGCCACTCCGCCGAGGGCACCAACGGCCGCGACGGCGCCATCACCTGGCTCAACAGCATCTTTGACGGCAGCTTCGCCACGTCGGCGAATGCGACGGGCTGCTTTGTTCAGAACGTCTTTGTGAACGTGTCGTCGTCGCAGTTTTAGGCGCTGACGGGTGACGCAAGAACGTCATGTATATAATTACGAGCACATGAGAAATGTACATAAAGGGCGAATGCTCGATTTGGATCTGGCTTTGTGATTTTAATTCTGGGGTTGGATTGGGTTGGTCTGCTCGGTTATTTGCTTTGCTTATCGTCTCGCTGTTGCTACTCGTTAATTTTGATTCCGTAATACAAATGTAAAAGTCATTTATTATTTACGAGTTACTGTACACAGTACAGACATGCCGTCCGATTAAACAATCTGACTGTTAGATGACGTCGCTTTCCCGATCCGGCGATGGTCCATGCGCAATTCTGCGTCAGACTGACACTTGTCGCTGCCAGCCCTGTAATCCGGGTGCATACACTGAACACGGCAATGATTGTCCGCTAAACTCCGTCCTTCCGCTCAACCAGAGAAACGACACAAACGCACCCCATCGATTTACAGCATCAGAACTTTGTGTTCGTCCCGACACCGTCCTCGCCACCACTAACCCGTTTTATGGTGCAGATAGTTTGTGTCATCAACGGTCATCTACGTCGCGGCCTTAAGACTGGGGTAGCACAGCATCGTGCGTTTGCGCGACGACAAATGGCAAGGTCAACTTTATTTCGTACCTTGCTACCAATCTCTCTCATGCCCGGTCTGCCGGTCCAATTGCTTCTTTCAGTTTGCATCTCATTCGGGTCTAGCCTGTAGGTGAGGCGAAGAGCTGCTGGATGTGCGGTCGTGAGGATGTAATCTTAGAATTTGGCCCTGCCAAGACGGTCCAAGGACACGATATGGTCAGCAAAAGAATCCGCAGCATTCCGGTCGCATTGTACTCCATGCGAAAGGGTCCCCTTGACGATTTCTCGTAGGGCAGGTAAGGCGATAGCGAAAGGGAGACCTCGCTGAAAAGATGAAAAGAAGAGCAGAGGACGGAGAATGACAAAGACTTGAGATTCATCGTCGAAGATTCTGGCTCTACAACGAACGCAGACAACTCGTGATCCTCGCGTCCGCATTGCCCATAACACACAGCACACAGCATTCACACCAGATCGTCAACACCGACAATGTGTATGTTCACGACATCGTTGAACGACCGTGTACGGCCAGAAGAGCATAGAGGGCAAGGCTTTTAAAATTGTCAGAGTACAATGCCTCTAAGCAGTGTATGTCAAGTCCTGTCCATCAAAAGTCGTTACGCTCATCCCGCGTGATGTTGCAACCGAAACGCCATAACCGTAATATGCCATACCATACCCGTACCCTGCCGATATCCTATCTGGCCATGCTTTCCCGTGCCCGATGCCTGTCCGTTTGCATGATCCCGTCCAGTCTTCATATTCACACTGCCCCATGTCTTACCGAATCTCCTCGTCCCGCAGGAACGTCGCCATGCTATCCGAACGCTCCGGTGCTCCGGGCAGCCCGTCCGGTGGCAGGGTGATCAGCCGCTCAAACAGATCGTCGTCTTGCTCGTACAACGCCTCGCTGACCCGTCCCAGATGCTGCTCAAGCACAAGCTGACGCTGCTTCTCCTGCGGATGCAGCTGCAGCTGCAGCGTCCGCGCCCTGACGAGCGCCAGCTCGTCCAGCGCGCTGTCCGCCGGCGGCGCGTTCTCGTCCACGGCATACAGCTTGATGCCGCGAATGTGCGTGTCCTTGCCGTTCTGGTGGTTTTCCTTGACGCGGATCTGCACGATCCAGCAGCACAGCGACCGCCCGTCGGCACCGCCGCCCACCTGGCTGAGGTCAATGTCCTGCCACCCGACGGGCGTGGTGAGCGCCAGCGACGCAAACTCGAGGAGGTCGTGGTGGCCGGTGCCCGCCGACAGGACGACCGACGTGGGCGTGTACGACTCGTCCTGGTTGTAGTCGACATAGAAGCGGATGGCGCGGATCTCCACGCGCCGCAGGAAATGGATGGTCAGCAGATGCGGCTGCGGGCCGTCCGACTGCCAGTACTTGCCGAGGTCGTCGTGCAGCAGTTCGTCGACGCCGTTGCCCGGCTTGTGGCTGCTGACGCTAAAGTGGGCCAGGTTGTTGATTTCCTTGAGGCCGAGCACCACGGGGTCAAACGACACGGCGGCGCCGTCCGCGTCGTCCGCGTCGTCCTCGTCGACCACGTCGACGCCCTCTTCGCCGACCGGGCCGTGCAGATCGTCGTCGTCCTCTTCCTCCTCCTCCTCTTCGTCATCGTCGTCCTCGTCGCCAACCGCCTCGTCGTCCGAGTCCGAGTCCGAGTCTGAGTCGGCAACCCGTTGCGCGGCAAACTCAAATTCGTCGTCGGGGCTGTCGTCGTCGTCTTCGTCCATGCCCTCGTCGTCGTCGGCCGCAGCGTCCTGTCCCTCGTGGTCCCCGTCGTCTTCATACTCGTACGAGTCGTCTCCGGCCAGAGCATGTCTCACTGCTCCTGCTCGCGCGGCCGGTGGAGGCCGCCCGCCCCGCAGCCGTGCCATCTGAGCCATCTGAGCCATCAAATCGCCCGCAATTGCGTCGTCGTCCATGTCCGCGTCGTCCTCTTCCGTATCGTCCGAGGCGGCGAACTGGTTGCCGTAGGGGTCGACGGCAGGTGATATGCCCTGTGTGCCGCGGGCGTACCTCAAGTTTGGTAGAGGGCCGGGTGGGAAGGGGAGAGAGGGAGGTGTTGCCCTCGCCGCGGCAGACGCTGAAGCTGAAGCTGAGGCAGCTCGAAACCCGCCAGGACGGTCGTATCGCAGAGCCTCTTCGCCGCGCCGCGCTGCCCGTCGTGGACCGCGTAATGGATTGCTCGGGTCCATGTGCAATATGCCGTCGTGAGTTGGCAGATAAAAAAGGTTGTTGGCTGTCGCTGTGAGCTGTGTTTTGGTTGACTTTGGAGGGGAAGCTTTGAAGTCAGAACTTGGAGAGCTACACGTGATTGCGGTCGAATTTCGCGTTTTGCGGGCCTTTGGGGCACTTTGAGCCATTAGGCTCCAGCGCGTCGCGACAGGCTAACGGGTAGCCCAAGCCCACTTTAAACTGCCCCAGTACTTACTGAATTTCGGACCTTTGCATCGCATCGCCAACATTCCTCGACAGGACCATCTTGACAGTCTTCCGTGGACTTGGTTGCTGTGCACTCCCCATTGACCTCATTGTCAAAAACAAGACAATGGTCCGCAACGCAGGTATGCTGACCCCTCTAGCTCTCCTCGTGCTCCTCGCCCTTCTAACAAAATAGAGCCGGATACAATCCGCATCCTCGTGGCCACCGACAACCACGTCGGCTACGAGGAGCGCGACCCCATCCGCAAGGACGACAGCTGGCGCACCTTTGACGAGATCATGAACCTGGCCCGCACCGAGGACGTCGACATGGTCCTCCTCGGCGGCGACCTCTTCCACGACAACAAGCCGTCCCGCAAAGCCATGTACCAGGTCATGCGCAGCCTGCGCCAGAACTGCCTGGGCATGAAGCCCTGCGAGCTCGAATTTCTGAGCGACGCCGCCGAGATCTTCGAGGGCGCCGTCGGGCATGTCAACTACGAGGACCCGGACATCAACATTTCCATCCCCGTCTTCTCCATCCACGGCAACCACGACGACCCCAGCGGCGACGGCCACTACTGCTCGCTCGACCTGCTGCAGGTGGCCGGGTTTGTCAACTACTTTGGCCGCGTGCCCGAGGCCGACAACATCAAGGTGAAGCCCGTGCTGCTCCAGAAGGGCGCCACCAAGCTGGCCCTCTTTGGCACGGGCAATGTCCGCGACGAGCGCATGTTCCGCACGTTCCGCGACCACAAGGTCACCTTCTTCCGGCCCAGCCAGCAGGCCGCCGACTTCTTCAATCTCATGGTCGTCCACCAGAACCACCACGCGCACACGGCCACGAGCTACCTGCCGGAAAACTTTTTGCCCGACTGGCTCGACCTGGTGGTCTGGGGCCACGAGCACGAGTGCCTGATCGATCCGCAGAAGAACCCCGAGACGGGGTTCCACGTCATGCAGCCCGGCTCGTCCGTGGCGACGTCGCTTGTGCCCGGCGAGGCCGTGGCCAAGCACGTGGCCATTGTCAGCGTGACGGGCAAGGAGTTTACCGTCGACAAGATCCCGCTCAAGACGGTGCGGCCGTTTGTCACGCGCGAGCTTGTGCTGGCCCAGGAGAAGCGGTTCAAGGACCTGGCCAAGAAGCGCGACAACCGTGCCGAGCTGACACGCCGACTGATGCTGGTCGTCGAGGAAATGATTGAGGAGGCCCGTGCGGAGTACATGGCGCTGCACGACAACGGCCGGGCCGACGCGAACGACGTGAACGACAACGGCAACCGCAACGACGATGGCGACGGCGACGACGACGATGAAACGCCATTGCCTCTCATCCGCCTCAAGGTCGAATACACCGCGCCCGAGGGCGGGAATTTCGATTGCGAGAACCCGCAGCGGTTCTCCAACCGGTTTGCCGGCAAAGTCGCCAACGTCAACGACGTCATCTACTTCCACCGGCGCAAGACCACGGCGGGGCAGACCAAAGCCGGGACTGCTGCGTTGCCGGGCGGTGTGCGCGACGCCGCGGCCGGCGTCGATTTCAACGCCATCAAGGTCGAGGCTCTCGTGGACGAGTACCTGGCCGCGCAGTCCCTCAAGATATTGCCGCAGGGCGAGTTTGGCGACGCCGTCAACCAGTTTGTCAACAAGGACGACAAGCACGCCATGGACACCTTTGTGGCGGGCTCGCTGGCCAACCAGCTGAAGGATCTGCTGGCCCTCGGCGCCGAAGACGAAGAGCTCGACACGGCCATTGAGCGGCTGCGCGACGAGCGCGAGCGGCAGTTCCAGGCGGGGCTGGTCAAGCAGCGGCACAAGCGCCTGTACAAGCCGAAGCCGGATGACTGGGACTCGGACATGGAGGGCCACTGGGAGCAGCACCCGGGCGCACTGCTGGATCCTGCAGAATCAGCGTTGTCGACACCGGCGCCAGTGCCGACACCGGCGTCCCATGCGCGGTCCCAACTGGACGCAGTGCGGGCACGCGCAGGGCCGAGCAGAAGCATTGACGAGGACCTCATGATGGACGACTTTGACAGCATGGCCCCGGTTGCCGTGACAAAGACGACGGCAGCGAAGCGGACAACAAAATCCGCAGCGGCGAGCTCATCTCGAGCCAAAGCAACGACGTCAACACGACGAGCCCCGGCTGCCAAACGCAGCGCTTCGGGCCGCAAAAAGGGACCATTTGAAGACTCTGAGTCGGAAGAGGACGACGTCGTGATGGACGACGACGACGATGTCGACGAAGAAGAAGAGGCCGACGAGATTGAGGACGACGGGATGGAGGAGCCTGCACCACCACCCACGCGCCGCGGCCGGGCAGCGCCCGCCAGAGCGCCTGCCAGGGGTGCGGCAGCAGCCAAATCTGCAACAAGCAAAGCTGCTGCTGCTGCCGCGAAACCGGCGACCGGTCGGCTGCGGCAGACCACGCTGCAACTGTCACAGTCCCAGGCGCCGGCACCGTCCCAACGGCCACGAGCAGCGGCCGCGGCCACGACTACAAGACGCAAACGGGCAGCGGTCCAGGAAATCAGTGCGGACGAGATCTCGGACGATAGCGACGACTTTGAGCCACCGCCGACCACACGGACAACGCGGAGGCGGTAGCCCTGCTGGGATGTACGAGTTGTAATGTGTGGTTTTTAATATCTTGTGCGGCATGTCAATACATAGCGAAATTGCACATCTTTAAAATGAAGCGTTCCAATATCAAATCATTCTGTGTCGACGCCTTGGCCGTATCCTCTGTCAAGGCTGGCGGTACTCATAGCGTGAAACGTAGGTAAGAGACGCCCCACTTTGGCGGTCGACGGGCGCATTTTGCTGGCGCAGTCAACGGCAGCCCAGCTTCACGTCCACATCGTACCTTTTTGTCATCTCCGCCGTCCGGTTGCAACCTTTGGCGTTCTCCATTCCGCGTCACCTCCTGCTCTGCCATCATGGCCTCCATCGCCACCCTCCAGCGCATGACCGCGGCCCAGCTCGCGGAGCGCATCCTCGCCAAACCCACCGCCCAGTCCCTTGCCATTGTCGACGTCCGAGACGATGGTCCGTTCCAAATGCGCTCCCTTTCCCCTGAATTCGACTTGTCCAGTCACTGACTTTGCCCTTGCAGACTACATCGGCGGCCACATCAAGGGCGCCCTGCACTTTGCGTCGGGCAGCCTCGACGCCACGATGCCCACGCTCCTCCGCAAACTCGAGGGCGTCGACACCGTCGTCTTCCACTGCGCGCTGTCGCAGCAGCGGGGGCCCGGCGCAGCGCTGCGGTACCTGCAGGAAGTGCAGTCCAAGGCGGACGGCGCAGACGGCGCAGCAACGTCGCCCAAGCAGACGGTCTACGTGCTGGACCGGGGCTTTGTCGGCTGGCAGGAGGTCTACGGCGAGGACACGCGGCTGACGGAAGGGTTCCGGAAAGAACTGTGGGCGAGCTACTGAGCGAGTAGCGGTGACTTGTCCGGTGGCTTACGACAACAGGTAGCGGAAGGCAACAAGTGAAATGGCTAGATATCTTTGGGGGGGCGGCAGCCAGCAATACACATGAGGCGAATTAATGCCGTGACGCAGTCACAACAGACACTGGTCAACTTGTTTACAAAGAGGGATGGCAATACGTACAAGTAGACGAAGGATGGATAAACTATGAGTTGATTTAAGGAATCGTTCCGTTGATGTAGAGGCATGGTCCCTTGAGCTTGAATTAGTTTTAGTTTTTTAATTTTATTCATAAAAAAATCACTTTATCGCCTCACAAAATCCAATAAACTATAGAATGTCTAATTTATCCATTTAATACTTCAAAAATATATATACATAAATAACATATCTCTGCGTTCATGTGCCACGAGAAGAATCAATGAATTCACTTGACCTGTCAATTGTCTTTTTGACAGCCTTGCCGATTCGCGATCAGGTTAGCTGCAACAAATGGCCACTGCCGATGTAGGATCTGTCTGGGCGGTGGAACAAGCCGCTAGGTCCCTGTTTGGCCCCTGGTCGTTGTGCTTTTCCCCACTGTCTTTACCGCCTGTTGTCAACAAACACCCCCACCAACCAGCACAGACGACACGGTCGAGACGTTCAACAGCAGGAGTCGTGTGCCATTGGCCCATTCCCAATTTCGATTGATGCAGACCGCATATCTTTTCTATGCTCCGTGTTGCTTCTCGGGTATTGTGACAGGTGACCGCTCACGTCACTAAATCAACAAGCACACAGAACCGCGACAAAGTCCTTAACAGATAGATTATCCGACTCGACTCGACTGAATTCGACACAACTCGAAACAACGTCACGCATCACTCCAACAACTCCTCTCCACAACTCCCTCTCGACTCCTCCACCTCCCCCCTCTCTCGACATGTCCCCATGGCCACAGTGTCGTCCACGTCGCTGTTGTCTCGGACGAGGTCCGGCCGCCTGCCGAGCGGCAAGTCTGCCGGCCACGACGCGGTGACTGCCCATTCGGCCGTGTCCTCTGCGTCCTCCTCTATCTTCCTCTCGACATCCTACGTCGACGTCTTCCTCACCAACCTCCGCCTCCTGGACCTCGACCTCCGCCCCGACTGGCCCGGCATTACGGCGCGCACGTTTGCTGCCAAAGATGCCACCCAGGGCCAGAAACGCCGCATCCAGAGCGTCGAGTGGGCGCTCTTCCACCTGTTCTGCTTCTGGGACCCCGACGAGGCCCGCACCAAGATGCAGCCCTACTTCCCGCCAGCCGACCAGGTGCAGTCCGTGAATCTGCGGGCGGCCTTTCTGCGGGCCCTCGAGACGGCCAAGAAGACGGGCGCGCTCGGCCGCGACGCCATCCTTCGAAAGACAATGCTCGACGAGTGCCGCGGCGAGCGGCTGGAAGAGATTCTGGCCGTGTTTTCGTCGGCCGTGCTCAAGCGGGTGGTGGGGGACGGCAACGGCGGGGACACATCGGTGGCCCTGCGCGCGGCCCTCGAGAACCGCGGCTACGCGGCCGACCGGACACAACTACATGCCCTGATCCTCGCCTACAAAGTGTCCCTGAGCCGCACGCTGCGGCACAAGGAGGCTGCGCGCGCGCGGTACCGCGACTTTGCCGAGCTGCTGGCCCTCAAGGAGCGCAGCATTGCCCGGCGGAGAGAGCTGGCGCGCTCTCTGGAGGACGACGACGACGCCGTTCCCATTGCCGACGATGTCAAGCTGCGCCTGCAGCGGCTGGTGCGCAACAACTGGTCGGGCAGCGAGGCATGGATGAATGCGCTCGTGTATGGCGACGACCGCACGCGCAAAGACGGCCTGCTGTCGACGCCACCCGACCGCGTGTGGCGACGCGTGCAGGCGGGCCGGCTGGGCGAGCTGGAGAGCAAGACGGAGACGGGGTTGCTGGACCAGTTCGACCGGCGGGTGGCGGCCCAGAAGGAGCGGCTGCAAAGGTGGCAGGAGTACAGCCGGCGTGTCCTCGGGAAGCACCAGCACGAGGCCCGTACCGACTCCAAGAAGCAGACACCAGACCAGCCGCAGGCCAAAACGACAGCGGGCATCGACTTTGGCTTTGACGCACACAGTGACCTGCACCCGACACTCAATCCGAAACGAAGCAGGGGCGACGCGCCGGTCGTACCGCCACGCAACGACGACTATGCCGACTTGCTGCGGAGTTTCCACCGCGACCTGGCCAATGTCGACATGCCACGAGACGGCCCGGCTCCGCTGGCCTCGTTTCTGGACTCGCGGAAAGCAGCAGCCAATGTGCCGGCGAGAGGACACGCGAGGGCAGTAAGCAGAGAGGCAGAGGCAGATGCAGATGCAGAAGCAGATGCAGACGACATGGAGTCTGACATTAGCGACATTGACGAGCACCCCATCGTCCAACAGCAAGATCTAGTCCTCCAACAACAGCAGCTGTCGGCTCCGCCCAGCGAAGACGCCGAGTCGCCTACCCGCCGCCGCGTCCTCCTGACGAAAAAGAGCATGACCTTTAGTGTCAAGTCGTACCACTCGGACGACGAGCCCTCGCCGCCTCGCGAGTTCCTGTCGCCCAAAATCAAGCGCGCCGCCACCATCCAGGTCGACCAGCCGTTGTCGCCTACCGCGCGGAAGCTGTCGCCCCAGTTGAGCGAGCCGGCACGGCCGATCCGCCGACGCCAACAGTCACCGCCCATTCGACCACCTCCCAGCCGAACATCGCCCACGCGCGCAACACCCGCCCCAGTCATCCCTCGCACACCGTCGCCCGACCGCTCACCGCCTCCACCGTCGCCGCCATCCGACGACGACGGTCCCTTTGAGCTCGTGTCGACTCCGCAGCACTCGATCGTCTTGCAGCCGCCGCCCGCCGCCGACGGGCCAGCTGCTGTGGCTTCGTCTGCTGCGTCTCCGTCGTTTGCAGCGTCCCCCACGCAGGACCTCGCCGACCAGATCCTGGCATCCATGAACAATGCGTCTCCATCGCCCGTCAAGGCGAAGCGTCCACGACACACCTTGTCCCTCGCGGAGCGGACACGCATGACCATGGCCCGGGCATCACGGGCGGGCGGCGGCGTGCGGACGGTGGGCGACAGCGACGACGAGTTTGGCGACGACGACGGCGACGTGTACGACGACGAGAACGCGTTCCGTGGTGAGCGGGGCCAAGACACGCCCGCGAACCGCCACCATCTTGCCGCCGGGGCGTCCCTGTCGGTACGTACGACGGGCGGCAACAGCAAGACGACGAGCAGACCGGCGCGCAAAGACGGCAAAGACGGAAAGGCGGCGGAGGAGGTGCCGGACGAGGCAGCCGCGACGAGTAGTGCTACCAATGGCGACCGCTACGAAGACTTGGTCGCCCGCACGCGGAAGAGCATGGCCGGCTTTGAGGCCGCCCGCCAAAAGGCCCAGCTTGACCGTCGGCGCTCGCAGCGCAAGAGCCGGCAGTCGTCGTTGGGTGTGGGCGGCGGACCTGCAGGCGCGTCGTCGTCGACGGCCACTACACGACGCGAAGCCGCTGCCAATGGTGGTGGCTACTTCCCGCCGGTGGACGAGCACGGTGGCGGCGGCGCGTACGAGGAAGAAGATACTACGATGCTGGCCGAGGAGCTCATGTCGGGCGGCCAAGACGACGCCGAGGCCATCTTCCGTAGCCGGCCCAAGATCAAGATGAGCCCGATACCCAGCCCAACGCGCGAGCTGCAGTTTTAGGAGCGTATGTGATACAATATATGAGTTACGAGTCGTCCAGTTTTGGCAGTGGCTGTGTGGTTGTGAATGTAATAATGATTTTGTGCAATCGTATTTCATATCGTACAAGGGTTTCGTTTCCCTTCCCCCTCCTCAAACAAACCCCCCCTACCATTTACCATCCCTGCCGCGTCAACTCCTGCACACGGTCCACGTACGCCCGCAGACCCCGCCGGAAGTTGTCCCGCCTCCTCTCCCAATTGAGCCGCTTCCGTCGCAGGCCCTGCCGCTCGTGGAACCGCTGCTTCTGGAAGTCCGCCTGCACCCGGTTGCGCGTGCACAACACGTTGAGAAGCATAAAGGCCTGCGCCGCGTCGACGTTGCCGGCCACGTACACCGTGCGGCCCGTCTCGGGGCTCAAGCGGAACCGCGTATCGTCGCTGTGTGCCGACCGGCTGCTTCTGGCCGAAAGGCCCATGTCGAAGCTGGAGAGGCCGTTGCGCGCCGAAAAGTCGTTGCTCGACCAGTTGGCCCACTGCGCGGGGCTGTCGGACGAGTACATGTCTTTCAAGGGGTTGGAGGTGTCCGGGGCGGCGGTCGTGGAAGACGAGGGCGACGCTGATGCCGATGAGGGCCCTGTTGGCGGCGTCGTCGCCTCTCGTTTTGGTGGCCAGGCGGGCTGGGCGTCTTGTCCCGATTGCCGGGGCGGTGCGAGGCGCATGGGTGTGGTGGACAGCGATCTGCAAAGGGCAAAAGGAGGCGAGCCGGGGCGAGCAGCGCCAAACATGCGCGCAAATGTGCTCGAGGCTGTCGCTGTCGTCGACGTCGACGCCGACAGCGCCGTCCGCGCAAGCCGTGAGAAGTCCATCTGTTGGGGGAGTTAGAGGCAGGGCAAGTCAATTGGTAAGAGGCAGATCTCAGGCCACAAGACAAACTTACTCTGAATAGTCACACCACGATATCGCAATGCGGGTCGAATCAATTGTCAACAGACAAACGTCGCCTGTCGTGCTGTCGAGCTATCAACGGAAGCTATGAAGTTCTACTCACCAAAGACGCCCCGCTACCAGAATTTATCCGGCGATACAATTATCCGAGGCCGAGTCGCGCTGAGCGCTGTAGTCCAGCGTCTGATGGAGTATTACAGTGGAGCACAGCAGAGCAACGTACAGGCGCCTGCCAGCCTCCACGCTACTGTTGTTAGCGTTTTGCAGCGACTTTTGGTGGCCTTGCAGGGAAAGCGCCCGTTTCGCGACAGGCTCCAATCGTTTTTCTCTTCTCTCGTGGTTGACGATCGTTCACTGTACCACGCCATCACGTTGCACAGCCGGCTTTTCTCTTATCCTTTGAGGAATTGGAAAAGCGAGCGGACGGCCGATTGGGCAAAGACCAGCGTCGACGCATTCAACGCGAGCAGTAGCAGCTGTAAGGCTCGACTGCGAAGCCGAGCAAACAATCACGAGAGCGTCAAGCAGCACGTCGAGCACGTCGAGCACCATGGCATACAATCCCTACGGTGGTGAGTACCGCTTACCTCCTGATTCAGATAAGAGTACTGTCTTCCATTGACCACTGCTAACACTGTGCGTTCGTCCAGGCCCCTACGGCCAGCCGCCGCCCAACTACAACCCGTACCCCGGCGCCAACCAAGGGCCCGGCATGGGCTACCCGCCTCCAGGCATGTCTCCTGCTGCTGCTGCCAATGCCCCTCCGGGTATGGCTCCTCCGCCTGGTGTGCACCACCAGCCGCCAAGTGCGCCACAAGCTAATCGACCACCAAGCGGACCCCATGGATATGGAGGCGTAGGGGCAGGCCCGGGAGCAGGCGGCGGACGTGGCCCGCCCGGTGGTTACGGCGGCCCGCCTGGCCACTACGCACCATCCTTCCAGCCCCCGCCCAGCCTCCCCGGCAACATCAACTTCAACGCGCCCGTCATTCGCCTCGGCGGCGCCAACGGACCACCCCCCGGCCCCGGCGCCTCGTCGCTCCCAGCGCGACCCAACATCCCGCCCGGTCCGAGCGGCTACAACAACGGCATGCCCACGGGCCCTGGTGGTGGTGGTGGACGGCGAGTCGGCGAGCCGGATACACCTCTCTCGGCACACAGTCACAGCGGAAGCGGTACACCGTTACGGCCCGATTTTCGCCAAGATCGCTTTGGCGGCGGCGGCGGCGACCGATTTGAGCGAGGCGACCGTGGAGACCGGGGAGACCGATTCGACCGGTATGGTGGGGACCGCAACGACCGATATGGCGGCGACCGAGACCGTGACCGTGACCGCGACCGCGACAACAGAGGCGAGCGCGGCGATCGCGACCGCAATGGCGGCCTCGAGCAAGCGCGTGCGGCGATCCGCGATACGATGCATTCACAGGCACCACCTACAAACGACGAGAAGCTACGGACCATCTTTGTACACAAGGTGCCCGCGGCTGGTGTAGGCGGCGAGGCGGGTCTGCAACAGCTGCTGGGCCTTGCGGGTCGGCTACGGCGGTTTGATGCAGGCACATCGCATCTGACGGACAGCAAGGACTCGCTGTTTGCGTTTGCCCAGTACGAAGATGCCAATGCGCTGGCATCGGCACTTGCTCTCTTGAAGGACGTATATGTGCCAGTGGAGAGGCAAGTGAACAAGGAGCAGGATGGCAACGAAAACAAAGACGAGGAGACGAAGGACAGCGGAGATCAGGAGAAGGAGGACAAAAAGGGCCACAAGGACGAAACAGACGATACAGAAGAGAAGGAGGAGAAGAACGAAGGTGACGACGGCCCTGATGACACAGACGACCCATTCAGGGGCATCAAGAAGGTGCGGCTGCAAGTCGCCGTCGACCCGGTCAGCCTCAAATACATCGAGTCGTTCCAGGAGAAGCAGAGCGACGAGGCCAAGGCCGAGGCGAAATCGAAACAGGACGCACTGCGGCCCGCGTTCGAAAAAGCAGTGCACAGCCTCTTCTTCCCGCCCAAGATCGACCCAGCCACTGCTGCCGCCGCCGCCGCTGCTGCCACCGCCGGCGGTGCCAACGGCAATGGCGATGTCATGATGACAGACATCAACGGCATCCCGCTGCTGACCGGTAGCGGCCTAGATGGCCTTGAGGGCCTCAACATCCCGCTCGGCGCGGCTGCCGCTGCCGCTGCCGCCGCTGCAGACGCCACGCAAGAAGACGAACTGGCAGACGTGCCTGCCGAGATGCGCGAGATGGTGGCGGCCGAAATCGCGTCGTTCCGCGAGCAAAGCACGAGGCGCGACCTGGAGCGGCTCAAGCGGGAGCAGGAGATGGAGGAGCTGGAGCGGCGGCGGAACGGCGAGGACGCGGCCGTCCCGTCGCGACAAGGTCGGCTGGAGTCCCCGGGTCCGACGAACAGCGTGCCACTGGGTCCCCGCAGTGGTGGCGGCGGCGGCGGCGGTGTCCATCCGTCTCGTGCAGGGTTCGTCAACGGCGGCCGTGAGAATGGCGACGACCGCCGCGACCGACGGGACCGTCGCGATCGCGATCGCGATCGTGACTCCGACCCCGACACGGAGGCCAGCGACGACGAGCTCTACCGCCGCGAGCAGCGCAAGATCCAGGCCGAGGACGAGCGGCTGTACAGCGAAGCCGAGCGCAAGTGGGCCACGCGCGAACGGCAGCGGGCGGCCGCGCTCGAGCGCGAGCGCGAGCGCGAGCGCACCGAAAAGGACAACGAGGCGCGATTCCGCGCGGACGCCCTGGCGCGCGACGCCGCGTGGGACGACGAGCGCGAGGCCAGCCGCAAGACGGTGCTCTACTACCGCGACCACGCGGCGTGGCTGCGCAAGCGGGCAAACGACCGGGCCACCGAGGAGGCGCGCGACGCGGCGGACCGGCGGGCCGAGCAGGACGAAGCACGCAAGCAGGCGGCGGCGATGGAGGCGGTGCGCTCGCAGGCGGACTCGTTCCTCGACGGCATGGGCATCCACGGCGAAGGCCATGGCGAAGGTGCGGACGCAGCAAAGCACGAGGCACAGGCGGCGGAGCAGCAAAAGGTCACCATTTCGTTTGGCGCGGCCGCCCAGCGCAACCAGGCGCAGCGCGGCGCCGCCACGCGGCGCACGGTGGCAGAGGTCGAGGGCCTGCTGGACGACGGCGAGCACGAAGGCGCCACCAAGCGGCAGCTCGTGCCCATCAAGTTCGAGCCCATGGCGGCGTCAGCGCGCATGTCGGACGAGGAGATCAACGAGGCCGTGCGGCAGCTCGTGCAGGAGATCCCGACCACGCAGGAGGGCCTGTGGGCGTGGCCGGTCGAGTGGGCGTGCATGGACGACGCCGTGGTGCGCGACAAGCTGCGGCCGTTTGTCGAGAAGAAGGTCGTCGAGTATCTGGGCGTGCAGGAGCAGTTTTTGGTGGAGGTCGTCGAAGAGCACCTGCGCAAGCACGGCACGCCGCAGGCGCTGGTGGAAGAGCTGCAGGAGGCGCTGGACGAGGCGGCCGAGGACCTGGTCAAGAAGCTGTGGCGGATGGTCATTTTCTTCACAGAAAGCGAGAAGAGGGGATTGCCGGCGTGAGGTGTTGGTGGTTGCCGTGTTTTATTAACAGGGGCCCCTGGAGTCTACAGTGTGCATTCGGCGCTGCGTTGCCGTGTATCATAATAATTTGAAATTTGGACTTGGGTCCCATGTACGACATATGGACAACTGTTTTCATGGAAGCGTTTGTGTCGTAATGGTGATGTGAGTGTCGTTGACATGGGGCCGGCAGACAAGGTGTAATTAGTGTGTTTAGTAAATTTTTGTTGGGGTTACTCCACTGTAAGCGGCCACTATGCGCCAAGCTGCCGGGAGACTACCCACAGTTATCCACACCGTCAGACACTCCGATGCGGAGAAGCGATCCCGGCCAACCGAGGCCCAGGTTGATGGAGCCCATTCGTTGATAGACAGATAGCTTACCCAGATGCGAAGAAGAAATTCTGTGTTCTTTTGTTTGTCTCTCGTTGCATTCAAGCATTTTATTTTCTTCCGTTTGGACAATCACATCTTCTCTCAGCTTCGACCAGTCGACTGTACCTTGCTTACTTCCTGTACTGCCACTCCACAATGGCCGCACACTCGTTCTCCCAGCCGCCGACCGTCCCCGACGTGCTCGTCGCCTTCCCGGCCCAGCATGTCATGCTCGTGACCATCAACCGCCCCCGCCAGCTCAACTCGCTGCCGTCGACCCACCATGCACCGCTCGACCGCCTCTTTACGTGGTTCGACAACGAGCCCGCCCTCCGCTGTGCCGTCGTCACGGGCGCCGGCCGGGCCTTTTGCGCGGGTGCCGACCTCAAGGAGTGGAATGCTCTCCACGACGCGGCCCACCAGCTGGGTGCCGCCCCGCAGGCCCCGACGGCGCGCTGGACACCCGCCGGGTTCGGCGGCCTGAGCAACCGCACGGGCAAGAAGCCCGTCGTGGCGGCCGTCAACGGCCTCTGCCTGGGCGGCGGCATGGAGATGGCCGTCAACTGCGACATGGTGGTGGCGGCGCAGTCGGCGCAGTTTGGCCTGCCCGAGGTGCGGCGCGGCGTGGTGGGGATTGCGGGCGCGCTGCCGCGCATTGTGCGGACGCTGGGCCGGCAGCGGTCGGCGGAGATGGCGCTGACAGGGCGCCACTACAGCGCGCAGGACATGGCGCGGTGGGGCATCGTGAACACGGTGGTGGCGGACGACCGCGTGGTGGCCGAGGCGGTGGCGATGGCGTCGCTGGTGGCGGCCAACTCGCCGGACGCGGTGGTCGTGTCGCGGGAGGGCATGCGGCTGGGCTGGGAGGGCATTGCGCCGGAGCTGGCGACGGACCTGCTGGAGCGGGGCATGTACGGCATCATAGACGGCGCCGAAAACATGAAGGAGGGCGTGCTCAGCTTTGTCGAGAAGCGGCCGGCCGTGTGGAAGGGGAGCAAGCTGTAGGCGTGTGGCTGTGTGGTGGCATAGGGAGCTCCACGGGGGACATAGACACAGAGGATGGACTGCATACTGTCAATGTTTTGGCTTTCGAGGTTGGCTTGTCTGTAAATATTTCGTGCCGTTTCCTCTGTAATTCAAAACACAGCCGAGATGGTGTCAGAACATGGACATTATACCACGCCTTCTGCAAGGCCTCGCGTGCACGCACCGGGTCGAGAGACACCCCAAGCGACGGCACATCGCCCAGCGACAGGATAGTCAAATATTGCTGCCCTTTCATAGGCCTTCTACACTATCCGTCGAAGCTGATTCTGTTCCTGTGCCCTATTTGGTTATTATTATGTTGTGTGAATAGAGCGAGTTTTAAATGTGACTTATCCATAAGTATTGTTACTAGTCGGATCGGTCCGTTCGGCCACTAGCTACTCGTTTCGGTGGGTCGATTAAAGGGCATTGAAAGACTGACGCTTGAAGTCTTTTATTGAATCGCGAGAATTTATGGTTGGGCTGATACACGAGATAGCTTTCAGTCAGTGTAAGATTTCAGAAAGTTGAAAAATCCGAGACCGCACACCAGACAGTTGCAATCTGGAGAAGAAACTCCAGCGAGTCTTCATTGCGAGGATGTGCCGTATACTGCCCTTGATCATTATTCGCCCTCGCCACATGTACAGTGTCCCACCTTTCTGGTTGCAAACAATGCAAGACACGTTAAAAGATACCTGACAGGGGGCGCGTTTAATACACTACCTACTTCGTATTCGACAACAACTGCTTTTCCATTGAATAGGAATCAATATCATATACCTGTGGTAAAGAGACAGTTCTACTTGATTACGTAAAGGACTCTCCTTTGAAACGTGTCGTCCCGCGCAGTAAAGGCACCCACGACTTGAGCTGTATTTCTAGAGTACCAACGACGAAACCAGAGTGCTGGAAAGGGGGATGCAGTTGCGGTGAGTCATAGCTGGCCTACTTTGCGCCGTCCCTACCCCACGACAAACTCAGACTGCTTTTGGCCAGGAACAGTAGATTTGACCTTTTCTCTACGAAACAGGTACGAGCTTTTTCTTTCTGTTTTACGGTGTACGAATCCAAGACGTTAAGCATCCAACCTCGAGCACGCACCATCAACATCAACATGGCTTCCGACGGCCGCAAACTGCCGCCATGGGCCCCCCCTCCGCCGGCGCTCCCCGACGCCCAGCTGCCCCGACTCAAAATCTACAACAGCCTGACGAGGAGCAAGGTCGACTTTGTCCCAGTCGACACGACGGGCCAGACTGTGACGTGGTACTCGTGCGGCCCGACCGTCTACGAAGATGCGCACTTGGGCCATGCCAAAAACTACGTGTCGACCGACATTCTCCGTCGCATCATGCAGGACTACTTTGGCTTCCGCGTCAAGTTCGTCATGAACACGACCGACATTGACGACAAGATCATTTTGAGGGGCCGCCAGCAGCATCTGCTCGCCCGTTTCAAGCAGGAGCACACCACGGAAAAGGATACCTTGGTGAGCGATTCAGTGCTGACCGAAACGAGAGCCGCATTGCAGCGCTACATTGGCAAGAATCTTGCGTCTCTGCCGCGGGACACGAGCCCCGAGACGTTTGTTGATGCAGTGGACAAGGCCTACGGGAATCATGGAAGGTCCCCACAGGAGCAGGCAGTCCCCGTACCTGCGACCGTCGACGAACTTTTGCTGCGAGCACACATTGCCACGGCTAGGGCGGCTGTTGATGCACTCGTTCAGCCCAAGCACAAGCAGACGCCGTCCGAGTTCTACAGCAAGACAGACGACATCCTACTTCCGTATCTAGATGCGTTGCATGGCGCCTCGGTGGACTCGACCGACTATCAAATGTACCTTGCGCTCACACAGAAATACGAGCGCCGCTTCTTCGAGGACATGGAGGCGCTGAATGTCCTCGCACCGGACACACTCACCCGTGTGACAGAGTATGTCCCACACATTGTGCGATTCGTCGAGACGATTGTGGCCAATGGCTTTGGCTATGCGACCACGGACGGTTCCGTCTACTTTGACATCGAAGCGTTTGAAAAGGCAGGCCACACGTACGCACGGCTGCAACCATGGAACAGAAACGATCCCGCGCTCTTGGCGGACGGTGAAGGCTCGCTGTCCAAGGGAACGTCGTTGAAGCGAAGTGAAACCCATTTTGCGTTGTGGAAAGCGAGCAAGCCAGGCGAGCCCGCATGGCCGAGCCCTTGGGGTCTCGGACGCCCAGGGTGGCACATTGAATGCTCAGCCATGGCGTCGGATGCGATTGGCAAAACGATAGACATTCACTCCGGAGGCATGGACCTTCGCTTTCCCCATCACGACAACGAGCTTGCTCAATCTGAGGCGTACTGGTCGACACCAGGCTGCCAGGTACAGTGGACAAACTATTTTGTTCACATGGGCCAACTCAGGTATAGCACCCGACATTGTCCAGCATTTCTTTTTCGTTGAGATAAAAGAAACAAGGAAACAAAAGAGAAACGAAGGAAAACTGACCAGATTTAGAATTCGAGGCTTGAAAATGAGCAAGAGCCTCAAAAACTTCACGACCATCCGCGGTGTTCTTGCCGAGAAAGACTGGACGTCACGCTCCCTCCGCATCTGCTTCCTCTTGATGCCCTGGCACGACGGCATCGAGGTCACCGACGATCTCATGAAGGCCGTCGTCGGGTGGGAAGGCAAGCTGAACAACTTCTTTTTGAAAAGCTTGGACTTGTGGAAGCACGCCAGCAGCCCAACGACGGCAGCTACAGACGGGGACGGCACGGGCGCAGCAGACCAGCAGTTGCTTGGTGCCCTTGACAAGGCAAAAGCGGATGTCCATGCGGCGCTTTGCGATTCCTTCAACACGCCGGCCGTTATGCGCGTCCTCTCCGACATTGTGACGGAGGCGAATGCGGCGACGGACGCACTTTCGGACAAGACGGTCATTGTTCTCGCCCGCTGGGTGACGCGCATTGTCACCATTTTTGGTCTGGATCCAGAGGGCGATCTCGGCAATGTCGACCGCATCGGGTGGTCCGGCCTCGACATTCCTGCGCTGGCAAAGCCCTTTGTCTACCCGGCATCGCAGTTGCGCGACAGCGTCCGGGCATTGGCCGTGTCCCACACGGTAGACCATGCCGCGATTGTGGAGCTCGCCGACGGCATTGCTGCCACAACGAATGCGCAGACAGTAGCCGTGGCCGCGTCCGCGTCCGCCAATCCATACGACCAAGTCCTCCAGCAGTTCCGCACCGATGTCAAGGCTCTTGCGGCCCAGCAAGCACCGGCAGCAGACCTTCTCGCCTTGTGCGACCAGCTTCGCGATGTCCACCTCTGGAACCTCGGCATCTACCTCGAGGACCGCATCCACCCCCAGCCGGCATTGGTTCGACCGCTCGATACGCTTCTCATGCAAGCGCGCGCCGAGCGCGAGTCGGCTGTCGCCGCAAAGGCCAAGGCCAGGTTGGAGAAAGACGCAAGAGAGGCGGAACGGGAAAAGGACCTTTGCGAGCGTGCCAAGGTCGACCCTCTGCAAATGTTCAAGGACTCGAATGAGTATCTGGCATGGGACGAGCGTGGCATCCCCACCGTGGACGCGACAGGAAACGCCGTGTCCAAGAGCAAGCGCAAAAAACTGGTCAGAGAGTGGGAAAAGCAAAAGACGGTGCATGAAGAATGGCTGGCGACGCGATAGGTGCAATAGGCGGCGTAGACATTACGGGGAACATTGTTGAAACATGGATCGCTCGTTAGAGGAGAAGGCCGTAAACTTACTGCCAAGAGCGAATAATACCCATAGGCTATGGCTAGTTCACTGGTGGGCAGAACATGGAGATGTATGGGGTAATAGATCCGGGGTTGGCGCATGCCTTGGCCGGCAACCCCTCCACATGTTTCCGGGGTATCCCCACATCCCGAGGAAATGTTTATGTTCGACTTCATGCTAATTTCTTCGCCATCTTGCCGTGTTTGTCCATCATCGACAGGAACAAATGTCAATACCCTGTCCACGCGGACCTAGTCACGATGTTCGACAAGCAAAGTGCGTGTGGGTCCATTGACGGGTTTCATTCAATAGTATTATGAAAAGAATGTATTGCTTGCCAGATACAGCTCACGTTGTTCTCGGAGTCATGACATGGTCAACCTTCCGGTATCCGCCTCATCCTGTTTGTCGCGCGCTGTCGCTCGCTTCTCCCCTCACTCGCCCACTTCGCGGTCGCCCTTCCAGTGGACAAACGTGCGCATAATGGCCCAGTCCCAGGTCGCGAGGCGGATCCGCTTTCCGTAAAAGAAGAAGAGCAAGCTAAACAAAAAGACGCCGCCGGAAATGGCAGCCATTTCGCCAAAAGCGGCGACGTAGCCCGAGTGGGAGATCCAGTCGTTGGTGTAGAAGCTGAGCAGGAAGCCAAAGAGGGCTTGGGTCGAGTTAGTCTTTGCTGTTGTAACGGGAGCGGGGGGGCAGACACTCACACTTGAAGGTGTACTGGGTCATGGTGACTTCTCCGGCAACGGGGCGGTAGCAGTCAATCATGTAGACGATGGAAATGTTGCCGGCCTGGACAATGGTGAAGTTGACTCGACGTGTTAGTAAGCTTGCGTATAATTAGAATACATATTGTCCGACATGAGGGCCACCTACTCAAAGCAATGCCAATGACGGGACACATCCAGTGCAGCTGGTTGCCGATGCCGACGCCGTACAGAATCAGGGCCAGGGGCCCCGTGACCAGGCTGATGAGCATGGCCGGCAGCCGCATCTCGGGCTCGCGGATGCCGCCGTTGCGGCGTGTAAAGTAGTCGGCGACAAAGTCGGACAGGGACCCGCCGAAAAAGACGGCCACCACGGAGCCGATGACGCCGGCCAGGTAGCTCAGGCCGACCTGCCACGTGGAGAAGTGGTAGAACTGCGAAAAGGCCACGGACACGTTGCTGGACATGGCGACGAGAAACCCGATGCTGACGGCCATGACGAGGGACGCCCACAGCGCCGAGGGCAGGATGATGAGCACAATGGGCCGCAGCGACAGCGTCCAGAGCGCCTCCGAGGTGTAGGACGTGGGGCGGCTGCGGACGATCTCGGCAATGGACGGCCGCTGGCCGACGACGCGCTGCGTGTTGGCCGTCGCCGCAAGGCCCTGCTCGATGCCGGCCATGTCCTCCTTGGTCTCGACAACGGCGGCGTCCTCTTTGGTGGCCGTGGCAGGACGACCAAGCTGGTCCGGCCCGCCGTGCCGCGGAAAGGTCGTCTCCGGGAGCGTGAAAAACATGAGGACGGCCGTCGCGGCCACCAGCGCGCACGACAGCCAGTACACGTTCTGCCACCGCTGCGTCGTCGCCGTGATGGCGCCCGCCAGCACCGAGCCCACGCCCGTGCCGGCCGACAGCGTGCACGTGTAGATGACCATCATGGTGCCGCGCTCGTGCACGAAAAACAGGTCCGAGATGGTCAGCGGGCCCAGCACCTCGCCGGCGCCGGCGGCACACCCCAGCAGCGCGGTGGCCGCCAGCATGCTCGAGTAGCTCGTGGCGCTGGCGGCCCAGGCGGTGGTGCCGATGAAGAGGAGGTAGGAGCCAATGTACACGGGGCGGCGGCCAAACTTGATCATCAGCGGGACCCAGACCAGGTTGCTCATGCCCATCATGAGGGCGCAGACGGTGATGAAGTAGGCCGCCTTGGCAATGGCGGCCAGAAACGTCGGGCCGGGCGGGCCGAAGAAGCTGATGGTGATGTTGGTCAGGACCGCCGACGGGCCGGCCGCGCTGAAGGTCGACAAGAAGATGGCCCAGACCGAGAGGCCGGCGACGTAGTTCTTGTACCAGCGGGGCCAGTTGAGCGGGTCGCGAGGGTCGTCGGACGGCGTCGGGATCAGCAGCACCTCGTTGGTGTGCTCGTGCCGCAGCCGCAGCGTGCCCAGCTTGTGCTTGTGGGCGTGTCTGTCGTCGTGTGCGGCCATTGTTGTGTGTGCGGCGGACGATATTTGATTCTTTGGTGCGTCTGGTTCGTGATGTGTCGCGTCGTGTCTGATGGCCGGGCCGCTGGACGGTTATATACTTGGCCAGGAATTAATTTATACGAGCAGACTAAATAGTGTATATTGTATATTGCCGGCCCCAGCACCTCTTTCGAAGCAAGAACAACCAGGGATGTGCTTAACAGGCTGTCTGCGGAGTAATCTGTTTCCTCTGCATGTTCTTCTCCTCTTTGACGGCGTATTGCTTCCCCATCTCCACTTCCCCGTCATTCTTTGTCTGGATCCCTAGCCACAACGCGCTTGTTGGTATGCTCATTCCATCTTGTGAATGCTGTTCTCGATCTCTGGGGAACCCGATGCCGACTAGGGCTTCACGAGAGCGGTCGGGTAGGCGTCACAGCCGTCCTCCACATGCCGGGGTGATGGAGCTCCCCCGCAGTTGGCCGTTTCCACGTCTAAAATAAGCAATAGTTCGTCTCATTCTTGCAGCCGTGCAAAAAAAAAAAAAAAAAAACAGTCTCGGCAGTATTTCATTTATCTCGGTTCTCCGACTTTGTTACTTTTCGGTGCCGTTCATCGAGACTCACAGACCACGCCCGCGCTGCCCATCGTCGTCCTTCGTTAGGCGAGCGGCTCTGTCTCCATGGTTGTGGTTGTTTTCGTTTGTGCCTCGAGTTGCTTCCTTGCAGCGTCGTCTACTTGTGACTCGCTAATTGCATAGATGCGTCATACGGGAGACCATGGTTCAAACACGTCGAGTTGTAAGACTCACACCTCCCAGATGGGGTCGACTCTGTCGCGAATCAGATGGGATTGTCAAAATGAGTCACCTACGCGACCTTGTCTCTGCGGGCGCTAAATATGAGGGGTTGCGGCCCGTGCCATTGCTTTCGACGTCAACTCCATCTCTGATTAGTGTCTGCACTTGATATCACATCCACAGCCATGACGGACACGCTCGCCAGCGCTGCGGCGAAACTCCAGCTCGACGAGGAGACGGGCGAGTACGTCTCAAAGAACGAGCTGAAAAAGCGGACGCAGAAGCGAGCAAAGAAGCTGGCCTCGGAGGCGCGTGCAGCCCAAGCCAAAGAAGCTAGAGAAGCAAAAGACGCCCAAGAAGCCAAGCCAGTCACTGCTGCGGCAAAGACAGCTGCCGAGCCCATTGACCCCGAGTCAATCTTCAAACAGGGCTTCCTCTCGGACGTCTACAGCCTTCGTCCAGACACTGACGTCGTAACGCGGTTTCCGCCCGAGCCCAACGGATTCCTACACATTGGCCATGCAAAGGCCATTCTCGTCAACTTTGGGTTTGCCAAATACCACGGTGGGAGGACGGTATGTTGCGCCTCGTGTCGTTGTTGCCCTGGAGTTCTCATGCTGACGCCATGGACGCAGATTCTGCGCTTCGACGACACCAACCCAGATGCCGAGAAAGAGGCGTATTTCACCGCCATCCGGGACAACATTCGCTGGCTAGGTATGTCTGTAGCGTCTGTTCCCGTGATTGAGCGAGCTCTAATGTGTACTGTATAGGCTTCAAACCGAATGCAATCACCTACACCAGCGACAATTTCGACAGGCTCTATGACCTAGCCGAGACACTCATCGGCCTCGGTCGGGCCTACGTCTGCCACTGCAGCAAAGAAGAAACGCAAAAGCAGCGCGGCGGCAAAGACGGCAAAGACGGGCCCCGCTACCGCTGTGTTCACGCTGAACAAGATGCATCCACGAACCTGGCCAAGTTCCGGGACATGCGCGACGGGAAATACGAGCCAAAAGAGGCGTTCTTGCGCATGAAGCAGGACATCACGAACAATAACCCGCAGATGTGGGATCTCGCGGCATACCGCATCCCGCAAGACAGGACACCGCACTTCCGCACGGGCGACAAATGGAAGATCTATCCGACGTACGACTTTGCCCACTGCCTCTGCGACAGCTTCGAGGGCATTACCCACAGCCTGTGCACGACCGAATTCACCCTGTCGCGCGAGAGCTACGAGTGGCTGAACCACACACTGGGCGTGTACGAGCCCATGCAGCGCGAATACGGCCGGCTCAACATGACGCATACGGTGATGAGCAAACGCAAGCTGAAAACACTTGTCGAGTCGGGCCATGTCCGCAGCTGGGACGACCCGCGCCTGTTTACCATCAACGCCCTGCGCCGACGCGGCATTCCCCCTGGAGCGATCCTGGCGTTCATCAAAGAGCTGGGCGTCACCACGGCCAAGACGACCATCCAGGCATCCCGTTTCGAACAGGCGGTGCGCGGGTATCTGGAGACCAGCGCGCCGCGCTTGATGCTGGTGCTGGAGCCGCTGCGTGTCGTTCTCGACGACCTCGGCGACCTGGAAGGGCAGGCACTCGACGTGCCGTTTTCGCCCAAAGACCCGTCCATGGGCAGCCGCACGCTGCACCTCACGTCCACGGTGTACATTGACCGCGCCGACTTCCGCGAAGCGGACAGCCCCGGGTATTTCCGCCTCGCGCCCGGCAAGACGGTCGGCCTGTTGCAGGTGCCGTACCCCATCCAGGCCACGAGCTTTACCAAAGACAGCCGCGGCAACGTCACCGAAGTGCGCGCCGTTCTTGTGCGCGACAGCATGAAGCGCGCCAAGACGTACATACAGTGGGTGCCGGACGGCGAAGGCGCCAAGACGGTGGAGGTGCGCGTGCACGGCCCTCTGTTTACAGCGGAGAACCCGGGCAGCGGATCGGTCGACTTTCTGCAGGAGATCAACCCCGACAGCGAGACCATCTACGCCGAAGCACGGGTGGAGGCGGTGGGACTGGAGGAAGTGCGGAGGCGGGCCTTGACGCCGCCGACAACGACGAGCACGGACGGTGGCCGTGACGAAGAGCCGCTGCTCGGACCCGAGTGTGTGCGGTTCCAAGGCATGCGTGTTGCCTACTTTGTGAGTGTGCCCACTTCCCCTGTATATGCTACATGTTGCTTCTGTGTCTAACCTGCCAGGCCATGGACTCGGACAGTACTGACGACCGGGTTGTTCTCAACCGCATCGTGTCACTCAAGGAAGATTCTGCAAAATGAACGGCGGTGGAGTGGCAGACTTCATTAGCGAACTAGTTGACTTGATATTCGTGCAGCGAGATGACGCGAATAGGCCATTTCGATATCGTGATGCGCATGTTGACCATTAAGGCGACATATAGTTTTAAATCAGTGCTTTAAAAGCCCTGGAGTCCAGACCCTAGCAATGAACAGATACAACACCGTTGAACGATGGTCGGTGAATCGGACACGCGTGATTTCTGCCGAGAACAATAATGCGTTTTGCTATATTGCGCCTTTTCCCCTCTTATTCCTACGGTCGTTCTTTTTGGCTGCCTCTCTTCTGTACAACGTATATTGGCCTATATTGACCTATATCAGACGTATATCAGACGTATATCAGACGTATATCAGACGTATAACACATTACTATCGGCCAAGAGGGAATTTAGGAACATACGAGCGGAACTGGCCCAAAATGGAACCCGTGTCCCCTTGTCGATAGCATCAATGCAGCCTGTTGTTGAGCACGTTTTAATTATAGGTTCATTGCAACTCGACACCACCCCTCCGCCCCTCCGTCTTGGTTTGCCTGCAGCTGTAGCTATGCCGTGATAACAGCCAAGCCGCCAGCAGATGAGGGGAAAGAGGAGGCTGGGACTGTAGATGGCGACATTCGTTTACTTTATTGGTCGTGATCGAGCTGTCATATTTATGACTTGCACAGTCACGGCAAACTAGACTTGAACGTACCTTTTTTTTATCAGACATTTTACTTTTATACACCGAAGCAATTTTTTTCATTTCTCAGTATAGGCCACATCCCTCGATGATGCACATTGCAATCGGCACCGTCCTGATCCTTCTCTTCGCGGAGAGGGTCGCCGCAGTCGCCGTTGGGCCACGCGCCGCCGCGACGACGTCCTTCCCAGGGCCTTGGATCACCGTCGACGCCGCCGGCCATGTCGCGACCGTGACGCCCTCGCTGAGCGGCCCGTCAACCGTCTCACCGCCGCCCAGCGTGCTCACACAGCCGACGCCGTTCGTCCTGTCTCTCAACGGCCACGCCACGACGACGACGGCGGCGCCGCCGGTCGCCAGCGCCACGGGGCCGGGCACCGCGGGCGCCTTCATGGCCTGCCACGTCGGCGAGAGTCTAGTGGCCGACGCCCACGCGCCCTTTTGCCAGCCGCGCGCCGGCAGCCAGATCGCCACCAACCACACGTACTACGTCGTCTGGGACCCGTCCGGGTTCGCGGCCAACCAGACGGTCGAGGTGCAGGGCGCGTACGCCAGCGTCGACACCGACGCGCGCGGCGAGGGCTTCTCGTCGGCGCAGCTGGCGGCCTCCAGCGGATTCTATGCCTGGACGGTGCCGAGCGCACTGGTCGCCCTGTACGGCGGCGCGTCGGGCCACGTCAACGTGACGCTCGCGCTGGCCTACAACAGCTCGACGTCCAACACCCTCCTTCGCCTCGCCGGGCCCAGCGTCCTGGTGACAAACCACGTTGTGCTGCCGCACCAGCAGCGGCACCACGTGGGCGCCGTCGCCATTGCCGTGCCCGTGGTCATTGGCGCCGCCGTCCTGGCCCTGCTGGGCTTTTGCGTGTGGTCGTACCGGCACCACGGCCACCTGCCGTGCATCGGCGGCTTTGTGTCGCGGCGCACGTCGTCCTTTTCAGCCAAGGGCTACGGCGCGCGGCAGAGCTACGGCCAGCGGACGGGCGCCGCTGGTCATTTTGGACCGCCGCAGGGGCCATACGGTCCCGGTCTGCAGGGTCCAATACATGTGCCGCCACCGCCGCCGGACAGCAACTATGGTGCTGGGCCCATCAGCGCGACGCCCACGGGACGAAGCAATGTGTTCCGGGACGAGCTGAAGCGGCAGGAGGATGCGCGGTACTGATAATTCTGGATTGCCGTTTTAATTTCATTTTGTGTGCTATCTTCCGTCTAAGCTTCACAGCTGTCGCTTGTATTCCTGTCTCTCTTTATGCTTTTCTGGCGGGCGTGCGTTAACGGGGTTTCCGAACGTTGTTGCTGCCATACAGTTACCAATTTCGTCGTGTCCACCATGGTTTATTGCTTAAAAAAAGGCATAACAGTAAACGTACCCAAGAGAGACGACAACGGCCATGACCTGTAACTTTATGCGAATGGGAGACGCAAATGAAATTCTATTCCACTAGGTACGTCGGATTCATAACAGAGACAGCAGACACCACACAGCCAGCCGAGCACCCGACGTTGACTAGCCCCTTGGCCCGACCACCGTCCCCCATACGTCATCTAGTATACATACACAAAGTTGGGGTTCTCTCTGTCGGTCAGGTCGCCAAAGGCCGTCTCGTTAAGTCCAGGAACAGTGGAGGCACCTGCATCTGCATCCCCACCAGCGGCCCGGAGCGCCGCCCGCTGGCGCTGCTTGCGCTTGTTCTCGTAGATAAAGGAGTAGCGAAAGACAAAGAAGAGGAGGAGCTCGATAATGTTGGTCACCAGCAGGGAGCCAATGCCGAGGGCGTACTTGGGCGCCTGGTCGGCCTTGTAGAAGAAGGGGCTCGAAATGGAGCCGATGCAGGAACCGAGCCAGATGATGCCGGAGACAATCATCTTCTTGGACTGGCCGCCGGTGTTGCTGGTGACGAGGGAGAGACAGATGACAAAGGAGGCCTGGTACGAGCCGGTGAGGTAGCTGGTGTTGTGTTGTTAGCGTCAGGTCGTCACATACAGGTCGTCACATACAGGGTACAGGGGACGAGTGGCATACAAGCAGATGAGACGGCCCACATAGGCGTCGTCCGGGGCGAGCAGAAAGCCCAGGGCACCGGCGATGGTGGGCAGCATAAAAACGGCACAGACGAGCGTGCGGCTGTTGGGCGGCATATAGTGGTTGGCCAGGGCCCCCAGCAGGATCCAGACGACGACGGTGAAGCCCTGCGGGATGCCCAGCAGGGCCGTGTGCAGCGTGTCGAAGCCGAGGCCCTGGATGACGAGCGTCGAGAAGTTGGAGATGCCGCCGTTGGGCACGGCCGAGACGAAGCCCAGCAGGAAAAACAGCCACGTCTTGTAGTCCAGCAGGGCCTCGCGGATGTGGCGCCAGTTGACCCGCGTCTGCTCAAAGGTCGACTGGTTGCGGCGCATGCGGGCAATCAGCAGCAGCGATTCGTCGTGCGAAAAGCCGCGGAACTGCCCCGGGGCGTTGGGCAGCAAGACGAACAGGGCCAAGCCCCAGGCGGCGCAGAGGGCGCCGACAATCAGAAACTCGTAGCGCCACGAGGCCAGGTGGCCGTGGATCTGGCCGATGCCGTAGCCCAGGATGCCGCCGCCGGCGACGCCCAGGCCGTTCCACAGGTACCAGGCCGAGATGCGCCAGGGCTGCTCGTCCTTGGTGTAGAACATGGACGTGAAGAGCATAAAGGCCGGGTCGGCAATGGCCTCAAAGGCGCCCGAGATGACGCGCAGGACGGCCAGCGAGGCGAAGCTGTTCACGGCGGCCTGGACCATCAGAAAGACGCCCCACAGAAAGATGTTGAGGGCCAGGTAGTAGGCGGGCGGCGAGCGCTGCAGCAGCAGGTTCGAGGGGATGGACCAGACGAGCCAGCCAAAGTAGAAGACGCTGGACAGCCACGAGTACTCGTCCCCGACCAGATGCAGGTCCGTCTTGATGCCGAAGATGGCGGCATACGACAGCGTGGTCTTGTCGACGTAGTAGAAGAAGTAGCACACGCCCAGGATCCAGAGCAGGCGGCGGTCGAGCTTGCGCACGAGCTTCTTCTCGTCGGCCGGGTCGATGGCGGCGTCGTTGGGGTAGCGGGCCAGAGCCTCTTGGTACAAGGCGTTGTCCCGCCGGTCGTTGACGCCGGCACGGCCACCGATAGCCGTGAGAGAGGTGTCGCGGTCCTTGGCCTCGATGTCCGGCTTGAGGCCGTCGTCTTCGACATGGTCGGGCAGCACAGCCGTGGCCTTGTCTTCATTCATGGCGAGTGTGGTGTACGGTGTGCGGAGAGAGTATGAGGACTTTGGTGAAGGGAACAGGTTGAGCAGTCTGAAAGAAAGAAACGAGAGAGGGAAACGACAGTTATAAAATGGGGACGAAGAATATTGAGACGTCCCGCGTGGGTTATGGTGGAGTGAAAGACGATGATCTTATAATAGTAAGGATGTCCGTCCATTTACATACGACCTTCGTTACTGGTCCGCACTGAACATCAAGGTCAAGGTCTCTCCGGGGATTGCATGGTATTACACCGTCGCTTGACTTTAACAGAACGCCAATGGAGGAAACGGAGAAACGAGACTGAATCCCCAGATTTCCAGTGCCCCTTCCGCTCTCTCCAGGTTTGTTCTTGGTCGTCTGGATGGAGTGTGGGGATCGAGATCCGGGGTGAACGTGGAAGAAGGAAGACGAGGAGGAAGAAGGACAGACATAGTCTAGGGTCTCGAGAGCAAAAAAGGTTGGCGTTGTCAGACTTGGCCTAATGATGCAGTTGAGACTAGCAGAGGACGTGAAAAGGCGGAGGAAACTGACTACCTGGACACGAGATAATGCCGTAATGCCGAAAGGTGTAGTTCGATTGGCTGGCGTAAAATGTGGAGAACAGCGCCTCGTGGCTTGGAAGATCATCTCAGACGATGCCGGCTTTGACACGCATGTACTGTCCGAATCGCCGGTCCATGATTTATGATTGGTTGAGAGGTGCATCAATGGAGACCAGGAATGTACCGTGAGTGAGGATCCAATATCAATTGCCGGGTGGGGACAAAGAGTATGAAGAACGAGCTGGAGACTGCAGGACGGGAGATGGGAGACATAACAGAACATGCCACGAGGAGACCACTCGAGACGCGCTTCGGATGGGAATAGAGCGAGCTGCCGGAGTCGGAGTGTTGCGTTTATTCACCTCTTTGCGTAATGTCTTAAATAGAGGCCCCCAGGCTCGTGAACACCTCACCAAGGTGATCGTTATGACTCTCCTCACATTTCTATCTCAAGTCCGCACGTTACATACAATCCACTCTCACACAATGGCAGAGCAGACCAATGGCCACGCCAACGGCATCCGCCCGTCCATTGACGACGTCCGCATCGAGGCAGTGGAAACGTTTGGTGAGTACTATTCGTCTTATAATGTTACTCGTCACTCACTGACAACCAGACCTCCGCTTCCCGACCTCGCTGGACGCCTCCGGCTCCGACGCCATGAACCCCGCCGGCGACTACAGCGCGGCCCATGTGCAGCTCAAGACCAACCACCCCGGTCTGGTCGGGCACGGCATTGCCTTCACCATAGGCCGCGGCAACGATCTGGTCACGGCAGCCGCCGGGATGGTCGGCGAGCGGCTGGTCGGCAAGACGCTGGGCGAGCTCACGGCCGACATGGGCAGGACATGGCGGCACCTGGTAGCGGACTCGCAGCTGCGGTGGGTCGGCCCCGAAAAGGGCGTCATCCACCTGGGCACGAGCAGCTGCGTGAACGCGCTGTGGGACCTCTGGGGGCGGTACCTGGGCAAGCCGGTGTGGCAGGTGGTCTGCGACATGTCGCCGGCGGAGTTTGTGCGGTGCATCGACTTCCGCTACATCGAGGACGCCCTCACGCCGGCGGAGGCGGAGGCCCTGCTGGCGGCGCAGGCGCCGACCAAGGCGGCGCGCGTGGCCGACGCCCGGGCCAACCGCGCCGTGCCCGCGTACAGCACGCAGGCTGGCTGGCTGGGCTTCTCCGACGACCGCCTGCGGCAGCGGCTGCGCGACAGCCTAGCGGCCGGCATCGACAAGTTCAAGCTCAAGGTGGGCGGCAGCGCGGCGGACGACCTGCGGCGGCTGCGGATCGCGCGCGAGGTCATTGGCCCCGACCGCATGCTCATGGTCGACGCCAACCAGGTCTGGAGCGTGCCCGAGGCCATTGCCGCGGTGGCGCAGTTTGCGCCCTTCCGGCCGTCGTTTGTCGAGGAGCCGACCAGCCCCGACGACGTGCTCGGCCACGCCGCCATCCGCGCGGCCCTCAAGCCGCACGGCATCGGCGTCGCCACGGGCGAGCACGGCATGAACCGCGTGCTCTTCAAGCAGCTGCTGCAGGCCGGGGCCATTGACTACTGCCAGGTCGACGCGTGCCGCCTCGGCGGCGTCAACGAGGTGCTGGCCGTGCTGCTCCTGGCCAAGAAGTTTGGCGTCCCCGTCGTCCCCCACAGCGGCGGCATCGGCCTCACCGAGTACACGCAGCACCTGGCGCTGCTCAACTACGTCGCCGTGGCCGGCGAGAAGAGCCTGCTGGAGCACATCAACTCGTTTGCGCACGTGCTGCGGCACCCCGTGCGGCTGGCCGCCGACGGCTACTTTGTGACGCCCTGGGAGCCCGGCTACAGCGTCGAGTACACGCCCGAGGCCATGGCGGCGTACCAGTTCCCGGAGGGCACCTTTTGGAACAGCAAAGAAGGGCTTGCCATACGGAACGGCCCCAAGCGGTAGCCAGCAAATGTGGCGATGCGTGGTATTAGAGTAGTGAATAGCCTGCGTTTAGGTACACGTAAGACGATAAAACACAAAATTTTAATTTTAATTTAATTTTTTTATTCGTAGAATGCATACGTTCCGCCGGCTTTGTACACGTGCATATCCCATACTTATCTCACGCCGACGGAAAGAGGCTCTGAAACAAGGCGTCGTCGTTGAGCCAGTCGTCAAACAGCGTCGCCTGGTCTGCCGTCCAAGCGTTGTCCCCTCCGTTCCACATCCATAAGTTTAAAGGGTCTCCCGGATACACCGCAAGACTAGACGCATCAAGGCCGCCCGTATCCCAGTTGCCGGCAGGCCATAAGGTGTCGCTGTTGCCTTCCAGTGGAACAAGAGTCTGCCGCAGAAGTGGGTCAATACGTCCCCAGCCAGTATAGTCCAGACTCTGCTCCAACGGGACCATGCTGTTGCTGTGCGGTTGAGAAATTGCGTCCGTCATGGCCGTCGCCTGGGTCGGTGTCGGGTCAACGCCTACCGTCGCCTCTACCGTGGTCTCCACCGCGTGCACAGCCACCTTGGCTCGCTTGCTGCCCGTCGCCGTCTTCGACTCGGTGGCCTCCATCCCCTTCCTCTTCTGTGCATCGTGGCCACGGCGGGTCCTAAATGGTTGTGCTTGTGCTCGTACGCGTGTTCTTGCTCGTGTCCGACCGGCCGTTGCTGCCAACTGGAAAAAATCGTGGTAAAACTGGGCGTGCCAGTAGGTCTGCCCGAGCTGTCTGAGAGCGGACATGCAGGTGGCGAACCCGCGTGCGGCGTCTTGTGTAGTGTCCCTACGGTTGTCGTTGTTAACCTCGTCGTCATCATCGTCGATCGTAGGTTCGCGCATCAGCAGAAACTGGACAATGAGAGGTGGCATAACGGTCGTGACGCTGCTATTGTCAGTATGGAACGCGCGTTTGCTTATCGGGGTAGTACGCACACTTGAGTAGGACAATACTTGACCAACGACCGCTGCATGAGCCCATCCAACAACTGCGTCGATTCGTGGGCCAGCGCCTGCATCTCGGCCGACGGGACGCGTGGAGCAACCAGCGGATCGCGGTCCATGCCGCGCGCACTGCCGTTGTTGGCGCCGGTTTGTAGTATTGTGGTCAAGACGACGCTGTTTGTTGGGTCAGGATGCTATTCTATTCTAGGAGGAACACGTCGAGATGAAACATACTTGTGGATGAGGTGAAGGAGGGTCTGGTAGAGAAACGAGATGCTGCCAGCCAGTGGCGTGTCTCGTTCGTTATCATTGTTTTGGTACTTTCCAGACACGGCAGCCGGCTGTCTTCTCGACGGTGGACTGAGGTGAGCCGCCCAGCTGGCCAGCGTCGCCCGACATACAGCGACTTCTTGAGCAAGACGGTCTGGCGACGAAGACGCCGCCTCCTCGCCAACAGTTGTCAGCAACAGGACGCCCTCGACGCACTGGCACAGCTTCAGAAAATCAGCAAAGACGGCCTTGGTCGCGCGGTCTTCGTCTGTGTCGCCGTCTTCGGCCAGATCAGCCGCCGTCGGCAGCGGAACATTGCAGTCCCGGCTGTTGATGTGCATCGGCCGGCGTGTGCCCAGGGAAATGAGCCGGTCGCGCACAAGACACGCCCACCAGATGCGCTTCCACAGCCGCGCGTCCTGGGCGGATGGCCCATCGGCCGTGGCCGCCGCCGCCGCTCGGTGCAGACCCGCGCCCTGGGCCAGCCCAATGGCCTGGTGCGCCCACAGCCACGTGTGCCGCTGGTCGGCCATGGAGGCGTAGTCGTGGCTCAGGAGCAGCAGGGACTGGATGGTGGCAATGTCGTCGGGCTCCCAGCCAAACTGGTGGAGGTGTTTGGCGCGGGCGGCCAACGCACGGCGCGCCTCGTGGCGGGACGCAAAGCCCATGGCCGTGAGGCGGTCCTGCGCGACAAACGCGCTGGCCGTAAACACAATCGACTGCAGCAGCAGCAAGCTCGGTCCGGTCTCCCGGCCATTGGCACTGTCCTGCACCTCGTCGTCACGGGCCGTCTGCCGGTACCGTGCCAGGAATGCCGGCCGGTCGACCACGGGGAAGAATGGATGGAACACACGGAAGTACGTTGCCACACAGTCGTCGAGTGCGTCGCGCGGCGGCAGGAACGCCCCCTTGGCACGCAAATACTGCGCGTCTTCGGCGCGCGACTGCGCGTCATGTGCTGCCCACTCGGCCGACTGGTTGTACGGCGCGATTGGGAGTACGAGCCGGCGGTCGCTGTCGGGGTGGTTGCTGTTGCTGTTGTTGTTGCTGTCAATGTTGCTGTTTCTGCCACCAGACATGGTCTTCCGTGCAGTCCGTGATGTCGATGGTGTCCCCGGCGATGCCCTCCCGACGAGAGCAAGTCGGCTGAAGAATGAAAAGTGCGGAATCTGGTGCCGCATGGCATGTTCGGAAAAGGCCACGCGAGGAGCCGGTGTGAGGACGGACGCTGAAGCAGATACAGAAGCAGTCCGTGTCTGTGTTTGAGTCGGCGACTGTGCCTGTCGTATCTTCGTGCTGCATCCGATTGCGTTGCCGGTTTGGTCCATACGCACTGGATGCACTGGAGGACTTCGGTCCGTCACACCTGCTTCCGCTTCCGCTTCCACTTCCGTCTCCCCCTCCGCCTCTACCAGCCTTACGGCCAGTTTGCTCTGCCGCTTCTTGCGTGGTTGCAGCATACACTCAAACCCACCCTCGCGGCAGTGCCGGCAGGGACGGCCGGCCGTCAATGCATCACACCGTGTCTTACGTGCACGGCACGTCGTGCACGCTTTGGTTGTTCGTCGAGGTCGAATGGGTGTGTCCATGTCCTTGAAGAGAACAGGCATAATAGAAAAAATTAAAAGTTGAAGAGGAGAATAATAGACCGTTTCCCTAATGTCGGCCAGGATGGAGAAACCCAACAACGGCTAACCAGGAACGTTGTCCTTGCTCTCGCCTGGTTTGCCCTAGCGTCGGTTAACATTTGTTCGCTCAGAACACATCAACAACGCTATCCTTGCATTAGCTTTGCGGGGTCAATAGGGTCTAATGTGGGCAAACAAAGGGGATTTCATTCTTGGGGTAGAGATGTGTGTCTCATCTCTCGTATCTATTCGCCAAGTCGACATAGGTGCGACTAGTATTATATGTGCCTTTATCTGACAGTCATCGTGCAAGTGAATAACGTTTTTGAAATAAAGAAAACAGTAAAAGGAAATTTCAGACAACCCTCTGTTTGAAGGATGACGGTCTATATGGGTTGTGTAAGAACGTGACAAAAGGAAGTGCAAATGTACAAAACGAATGAAGGAACTATATGTACAGGTTGAGCAAAACACTCAACATGCAATATATATACAGACAATCCTCTTTTGGAGGACAATCCTGCGTCAGCAGACATTACCCTTCAGCAGACGAGAGCATCTTGGCTTCATCTCTAGTTGATGCTCAGCATCGAAGAAGTCCCGACGGACGTGCTGTTCGACCAGATGTACGACCGGCTGCTTGTGGTGATGGTCGAGAAACCGCTGCTGTATGATGTCGCGCTGCTGTATGATGTCGTGGCGCCCGTCGACAGCGGAACAGACACACTGGAACTGGCTCTGGAACTGGTGCTGGCGCTGGCGCTGGAGCTGGGGAGGACCGACGCAACACACAACACCTCGCCGGGCTGCAAGTTCGTGCAGTCCTTGTTGATGCCCGCGGTGGGGTTGAGTGCCTGCAGTTCCGCAAACGTCAAGCCGTACTTGGTGTCGATGACGTAGCACGAGTCGCCGCCCGCGACGGTATAGTACTGGGCGCAGGCGACGGGCGTCGGGGAGGCGGACGCCGAGGCGGCCGACGAGGAGCTCGGTGTCGAGGCCGAGGTGGCGGACGACGACGCGGAGGTGGTCGTGTTGTCCGTCGACACGCACAGCACCTGGCCCACATTGAGGTTCGTGCAGTCGGCGTTGATCGCATTGGGGTTCCACGCCAGCAGCTGGTCAAACGAGATGCCGAACAGCGTGTTGATCTTGTAGCACGTGTCCTGCGGCCGCACGGTATAGTAGCGCGTGCACTGCTCGGGCAGGCAGACGGACTGGCCGGCCGTCAAGTCGCAGAAGCGGTTGAGCGCCGGGTTGAGCGCCAGGATCTGGCCGACCGTGGTGTTGTGTGCGGCGGCGATGTCGTAGCAGTCGTCGGTCGGCTGGACGGTGTAGGGGTTGCTGCAGGGCGTCGGCGACGGCGTCGAGGACGGGGACGACGTGGACGGTACAGACGACGACGGCGACGGGGTGGGCACACCCGCCAAGACCTCCTTGACCAGGTCGGCATACGACTCGGTGGACGTCGCGGACGCGTTCGTGTTGGTGTACGACAGGTACTCGTCCCACAGCATGACGCCGCCAAACGACGGGCTCGAGCCGTACGTGTTCAGGATGGACCGCAGGGTGGCCTCGTCGAGGTAGCCCGACGCGCCCTGGTCCGCCGGCAGGCCAATGTACAGCTGGGCGTGCGCGCTCCGCGTGCCCGGCAAGAAGGCCACCCACTCGTCAAAGTTGAAGGCGCTCGTCGTGCCGTCGCACTCGGGGTTGTTGTAGAACTGCACCCAGATGAGGTCAAACTGCGCCTCGGCAATCATGTGCTTCATGGGCAGCGAGGCGTCGGACACAATGGGGCACTGCGGCGCGCCCGTGACGAGGTACGGCGCGTCCGCGGCCCAGTACCCCCGCAGCTGGTCGATCAGCGCAATCCACGGCGCCTCCGACGGGAAGACGGCCTCAATGTCAAAGTCGAAGCCGTCCACGGCATTGTGCACCGTCGCGCCGAGGTCAAACGGCCGCGGCCCGCCAAACGTCGCATTGTACGGGCCGAAGGCGCCCCACAAGAAGTCGGCAAAGTACCGCCCGTTGGCCTCCGTCGTGACGTTGTAGTTGGCCAGGACGGCGTCGAACACGCCGCCAATGGACAGCAGCACCTTGGTGCCCAGCGCCTGGCACACGGGGATGCCCTCCTGGATGTCCGTGCAGCCCTTGATGAGGTTGGACGCCTCGCCGTCGACCTCGTACGTGGTGCCCGGGCAGTGCGCCGCGAACTCCATGCCCGGGTAGTTGGTGGCTCCGTCGTTCTCGGGCGACTCGTTGATAAAGGACAGCGTCACGTAGTCGAGGGCGTCCTCTTGGCAGACTTGCGCGAGCGTCCGGTCGCCGCTCTGGCCCCAGTAGACGTTGAGCTTGCCGGCCGCGAGGGCGGGCACGGCCAGCGCGGCCAGCGCGGCCAGCGTGGCCAGGGACAGGGCCCGTCGAGGCATGTGAGGCATATTGGCGGCGAGGCGAGGCGAGGTGAGGCGATATGGAAGCCGTTGGCGACAACTGCTCTACGAAACGAAACATGACATTCAAAACACGGGACAAACATTTATATCTACAAAGTGCCATCCCAACTGTTGTCAAATACGGCGAACACGAGTCAACGAGGACGTCCCGCGGACTGGCTGAGCCACGTTCTGCTCATAATTGGTAATTAAAAGGTGCAAACCGGGGACCGCATCTGGGGACGGGATGAATTTGTGTTTCGTTGTGATTTCCGGGTAAGCTCGTGTGCACGTGTGCCTGGAGAGGACCAAAAGCGGCAAGGTTCCCGTGTGTTCCTGCATATTCCTGCACGATCCTGGCTGATCTTGACCGAGCGGCACGTTGCATCCAAAGAACAGATTACAGATTGTCGAGAACCCGACATTCGTGGACCCGAAAACTTGCGAGAAATGAAGCCTTGTGAATTTGCAGCAGAGACGATGCTGTGTACTCACTGTGTTGTTTTCTCCCTGTAAATAGAGAAAGTGAAAATGCCATGTCGCGTCCAAAATATGTGCGGCGTGGGCGCATACGAGCGTAAGGAGATAAATTGAACTCAAATCATAGATCCTCCCTGAATCCTTTGCAATGTTACAGAGTCCAGATCGTCGTTAAAAAAGTGGCTCCTTCTTTTTTGGGCAGTGATCGATCAAAACCTCAACCCTATTACCCACGTGCTTCTTCCTCTCCATCCGAGTTGCCAACTCTCTTGCGCGCTGAGAGCAAAAGCAGGGCTGCAATGTCCCTCGGTGAGACTCCGTAATTGCTCTGCATCTGATATGCTAAGAAGACTGTGTCCGTGCTTCGTATGAAGCGTATTCTCGACTTTTCCGAGGCCCTGTGCTCGGGTTAGTGACAGCCGGGACTCGGGCTATTCTACGGGCTATTCTACGGGCTGTTTTACGGGCAGTGGTGGCGCCGTTGGGCGCTAAACCTCTCCAGTCAGCGCCTCTGAATGGCAGTCATGTCCACTGCGTTGATTTTCGGCGGTTCCGCCGACGACCCGCGAGACGGCAGGCCATACGACGTAAAAGGATAAGCTTTCACCGCCTAACCTGTAAGTGCCTCATATGTCGTATTGCTGCGTGTAAAATAGGAGGGCGCCCCGCTAAACAGCCCAAACAGGCAAGAGCTTAGGGGTTCCTGTCGTGCAACCGCCAAGTGCTCGCGCAAACTGGGGAGGCCACCCCACCTCTTTCGCTTTTCGAAATGCGGGCAAACATCGTCACCATAAGAATCAAGGAACGGACGACGGCAACATCCGTGTTTCGTACTCTCACATTCACACTCGTTTTGTGTCCCAACAGGTTGACGTTGCTGGTCTTTCTTCTTATAGCCCGTCTTGCTCCTGATTTTCTTACACCAGAGGGCATCTCTTGAACCGCTCTGTAGCATCGCTCCCCGACAGCCCCGCCAGCTTCAGTGTTCAGCGTCCACACCCGTTTTTTTTTTTTTTTCTCACAACCACACACGTCGCAATGCCCGACGAAATCCTCAACGACATCTCGCACCGGCGGTACAGTCCGCTGACCGGCGAGTGGCTCCTGGTGTCGCCGCACCGGACCAAGCGGCCATGGCAGTAAGCTCCTTCGTCCCCGCGTCGAAAGAATATGGAATAGCCGGACTGGAACATACTGACGACCGTCTTAGGGGCCAACAGGAGGCCCCCTCCAAGAACACGCTGCCCGAGTACGATCCCCAGTGCTACCTCTGCCCGGGCAACAAGCGCGCCCAGGGCGACGCCAACCCGGTCTACGACAACACCTTTGTCTTTGTCAACGACTACAGCGCCGTCAAAGAGACCCAGGCCGCGTACGCCCCGGCCGCAGAGACGGGCAAGGACGGCGACCTCGAGTCGCTGCTGCTGCGCGCCGAGGCCACCACCGGCAAGTGCTATGTGTTGACCTTCTCGCCCAAGCACCACGTGACCCTCGCCGACATGGCCGCCCGCGACATCCTGCCCGTCATCCTGACGTGGACGCGCATCTACGCCGCCCACCTGGCGCCCACGCACCCCGTCTACGCCGCCGCGACGCAGTTCTTGGCGGCCCACCCGCCGACGTCCGCGCACGACACCGTCCCGCGCCCGGCCCGCCAGCTGCGCTACATGCAAATCTTTGAGAACAAGGGCGCCGCCATGGGCTGCTCGAACCCGCACCCGCACTGCCAGATCTGGACGACGTCGAGCCTGCCGCAGGAGCCCGAGAAGGAGCTCACGCAGATGCGCCGGTACCGCGCGACGCACGGCCCCGCGCGCCACCTGCTGGGCGACTACGTCCAGCTGGAGCGGGCCAAGCAGGAGCGCGTCGTCTACGAGAACGACGCCTTCCTGGTCGTCTGCCCCTGGTGGGCCATCTGGCCCTTTGAGGTCCTGGTCGTCGCCACGCGCCACGTGCGCGCCCTCGTCGAGCTGTCCGACGCCGAGCGCGGGCACCTGGCCGACGCCATCCAGGAGGTCACGCGCCGCTACGACAACCTGTTTGAGACCAGCTTCCCCTACTCGTCGGGCATCCACCAGGCGCCCCTCGACACCCTGGGCGCCGACGACGAGGCCGACAGCAGCTGGCTGCACATGCACTTTTACCCGCCGCTGCTGCGGTCCGCGACCGTGCGCAAGTTTTTGGTCGGCTACGAGCTGCTGGGCGAGCCGCAGCGCGACATTACGCCCGAGCAGGCGGCCGCCAAGCTGCGGGCCTGCGGCGGCGAGCTCTACCGGAAGAGATTGTAGGCCGGAGGTGTGGGGTTGAGATGTGAGCAGAAAAAATGAGCAGCGGCGTTAACGGTTGAAGGTCAAAGGATGCATGGAGACGAGCCAGAAAGTAGAAAGCATCTATCATGAGCAAAGCACACCGCGCGAAGTAAGAGCCTGTGCCAATAGCAACGCGTATTACATTACAAAACAAAGCCTCCTTTTCTCCCTGCATCATGCATGCCAATCACCCCCAGCGGTTTTGGTTGTCAGCGTCACAGCCAACACCCTACACCCTACGCCGACACGTAGTGGCTGTACTGCAACGCCATCCAGATGCTGCCGCCCGTGCCGGCAATCAGCGGAAACAGCTGAGGGCCCGTCAGCCGCAGCGTCTTGTACACCGTCAGCTCACTGATAAAGTGCACCGCCGCCACCACGTGCGTAATCAGCGCGAGCTGGTACAGCGCCCGGTTGCCAATGTCGTGCGCCGCGTACATCCGGACGAACCCGGCCAGCATCGTCCACGTCCCAAACAGCCGCGCCGCCAGCGGCGTCACCTGGTCCTGCGCCTTCTCCGTGTCCTTGCCCGTGGTCGATGCCACAATCAGCTTGTGGATGCTGTCGTCGTTGCTCTTCTGGTGGCTGGGCACAAAGAGCCCGTTGTAGATGCGCCGGGTGTAGTGCAGCGTGGCGAGGTTCTGCAGGGAGTTGCCGACGGAGACGATGCCCACCTGTGCGCAGGGAATTCAGTCAGTAATTACGTTTCGCCCGTCTGCAGAACGCCGAGCCTGGCACTAGAACTAGAACCGACCAAGAAGAGGTAGTATGGCATCAAGCCCTGCTCCCCAGACGGGAGGTACGACAGCACGGTGTCCATTGCGTTGCGAAAGTCGAGGGGTGAGGGTCGTCTGGTCGCTGGTTCGGCGTGTCGAGAAATGGTCAGCCGTGGTGGTGAGCTCACTGCCCCCTTTTATTTTTTTGGGGTTTGTTTGCTAGGTCGTTGCAACCCTCCCCAGCATTGAGCTTTCTTATTGGCCAACCGCGTGCGGGCTGTGTTCATTGCCGATGGGAACGAACGCCCTAAAATCCTTCCTCCCCCCAACGGTCGCATCGTCCGACGAAAACGAAAACAATAAAGACACGAAACATTTCCGTCTGTCTACAAACATACACTCTGGACAAACGACTTTCTCGACTTCTTCAACGGCAATCACCATGGAGGCCATTCGCTCTTTTGTCGCCGCCATCCCCAGCCCGGTCACGGCCACCTTTACGGCCGTCGGCGCCCTGTACCTGGGCAGCAAGGTGCTCTCGCAGCTCGGCTTTCTCCTCAACATCTTTGTCCTGAGCGGCACCAATGTGAGTTGCCCTGTGTCTTTTGTTTTCCCGGATAGCCTCCCGCCCATTGTCTGCTTTCCCCTCTAACCCCTCCAGCTCCGCAAGTACGGCAAGAAGGGCACGTGGGCCGTCGTTACCGGAGCATCCGACGGCCTGGGCAAGGCGTTTGCGACCCAGCTCGCCGCCAAGGGCTTCAACCTCGTCCTCGTCTCCCGCACGCAGTCCAAGCTCGACGACCTCGCCGCCGCCCTCGAGGCCAAGCACGCCGACCTCAAGACCAAGGTCCTGGCCATGGACTACGCCAAGAACGACGACAGCGACTACGTCCGCCTCGCCGACCTCGTGCGCGGCCTCGACGTCGGCATCCTCATCAACAACGTCGGCCAGAGCCACAGCATCCCCGTGTCCTTCCTCGACACCGCGCCCGAGGAGCTCGAGAACATTGTCACGATCAACTGCCTCGGCACGCTCAAGACCACCAAGGCCATCCTGCCGGGCCTCGTGCAGCGCAAGAAGGGCCTCGTGCTGACCATGGGCTCCTTTGGCGGCTGGCTGCCCACGCCGTACCTGGCCACCTACAGCGGCAGCAAGGCCTTCCTCCAGCACTGGAACACCAGCCTCGCGGCCGAAGTCAAGCCCAGCGGCGTCGACGCCTACCTCGTCCTCAGCTACCTCGTCGTCTCGGCCATGAGCAAGGTCCGCCGCCCCAGCCTGCTGATCCCCACGCCCGACGCCTTTGTGCGCGCGGCCCTCGGCAAGGTGGGCCGCGGCTGGCAGGCGTTTGCGGCGACCTACACGCCCTTCTGGACGCACGCGCTGGTGCAGCACGTCGTCGAGAACACGGTTGGTGTGGGCCACCACCTGGCCGTCTGGTACAACCTGGTGATGCACCAGGACATTCGCCGGCGCGCGCTGCGCAAGGCCGCCCGCGAAGCCAAGAAGACGACGTAGGCGGTGGGCGAGAACCGGGTGCGTTCGCCGTGCACAGCTCCAACTGGCCCTTGGGCACACGTTCTGGCCTTTCGAGGCCCGTTCCCAGCCCGTCGGGGCACCCATTGTAATCCTCCGTCTTTTTCCCCAATACAACATGAGCCATGTTTATCGTCATCATCATCCTTTCTGCTTTTTATTTCGGGCGAATCATTCACTGGGAAAGCACTGGCGCAAATCAAGCAGCCAGGCTAAGCAAACTGGAAGGACAAACGGAGTATAGCTAGAAAATAAACTTATAAATGTAATTGCAATCGCATTCTTTCTGAAACTCGTGCCAATCCACCAATTGTGACCTAATGTTTCCCTTAACCTTTGAGATCGTAGTCAGTCTCACGAAGCACAGATGTGCATTCGTTGCTCCTTCCCTCTCTGCTCTTTCCTCATGGATTGGTTGGTGTGGTGCCCCACTCAGAGCTCCGATTGCTGTTTAAGGACTAGCGTCTTTTGCGCGACAACTTCGCGTCCTAGGCAAAGGGGAAAAAATTGACCACTGGCCCAGCCTCACATTTTACAGCTAAATCGTAGGAGGCACGACAGCACGACAACAGCACAGCACAACGACGACCCAGCCGGCCAGTGCAGCCATACCGAACCAAGTGACGACTGCCGACAAATCGTCAAGCTGATCGAACGCTTTCTCCTACACTCAAGCGGCTTACAGCGGCCGCGTGCCGACGACATCGCCAATCCAAGCTTGGACGAAGCTATCGACGGAAACGCCATCCGGCTTCTGTCGTCACACGCCGCACCCCATTCACTGCTCTCGACATTGGCACCTGCAGTCATCGATCGGAAGCTCCTCTGGACTCTGTCGTGCATCTCCCAACCAGAGGAATTGGGAGGCAGACCTGCCGTTGGACTGCCTGGAGGCAAACAACAACCCGCTGTAGAAACGGCCACCATCCAACACACATCACCGGCGGCCATCGCCCCGTGACAGCACACACCCTCGCCCGCCATGGCGACGCTGTCCACCCCAAGGCGCCAGATCCCCGGCTCCTACTTTGCTACGCCCGGCCCGGCAGCCTCGTCCCGGCTCGATGGCGGTCGGTCGCTGTTTGACCCTGCACCAGCAGCTCTCTCGGCCTCGTCTGGCGTTGGCAGCGCAACCACATCCTCGGCCCAGCTGCAGCAGCAGCGGCAGCAGCAGCAGCAGCAGCTACAACAACAGCAACTCTCCCAGCGGCCAGGCGGCAGCGCACAACAGGCAGACTCCGTCATGGCCCTGCCCGCACCGGCTGTGCTGACACCCGTCCAAAAGGCAGCCGGCTCCGTCAACCGGGTGCTTCAGCTCGAGGAGAGCTACCCAGACCTCGACTCCTACTGCCGACGTGCGTCCCCCTGCCCCCTTTTGATATTTATTGTTTTTGTCTTGTTTTTTGGTTTCGGTTTTGTTTTTGCGTCTCCTCATATATCGTCCCCCCTGCTAACGAACAACTCAGCCGGCGCTTCGTCCGAGTACGACATCCACGGCGCCGAGTCGGCATGGGCTCCTTTCCACAAAGTGCAGACCTACCCCATCCCGGACCAAATCTTTGAGCGGTACAACGTGTCACAGCTGGTCACGTCCATGGGCCTCTTCACCGAGATCAACCACGCCTACGCTTGTATCGACAGCAGCCTGTTTCTCTGGGACTACACGCAGCCGAACCCCGAGCTGATCGGCTTCGAGGACCAGCCGCACGCCATCACCGCCATCGGCCTCGTCCCGCCCAAGCCCGGCGTGTTTGTCAAGAACATCAGCCACGTCCTGGTGGTCGCCACCGAGGTCGACATCATCCTGCTGGGCGTCGAGGCCACGCCCACGCCCACCGGCTCCAAGCAGATTTCGCTGTACCAGACCAAGATGTCCATCCACCGCGGCGGCGGCAACGTGTCGTTTATTGTCGGCACGGCCGCGGGCCGCATCTTCCTGGGCGGCCGCAGCGACACGGACGTGCACGAGATCTTTTACCAGCAGGAGGAGAAGTGGTTCTCGAACCGCGTCGGCAAGACCAACCACAGCCACCCGGGCTGGTCGTCCGTCGTGCCTGCGTTCCCCGCGGGCCTCGACTTCTGGACGCAGAAGAACAGCGAGAGCCTCGTGCAGATGGTCGCCGACAACTCGCGCAACCTGCTCTACACGCTGTCCAACAAGTCGACCATCCGCACGTACCACATCGAGAGCCCCGACCGCCTCACCAAGGTCATCGAGAAGCACAAGAACGACTGCCTGCGCGACATCACGCACATGATCAACACGTCGCCGCTGCTGACCGACCGCATGAGCATCGTCGGCATCAGCCCCATTGCCATGCAGGAGGCGTCCAAGCTGCACCTGGTGGCCGTCACAAGCACGGGCTGCCGCCTGTTTCTGAGCGCCACCAGCTCGGCGTCCTACACCATGAACTCGTCCAACACGGCACCGCAGTCCATGCAGGTGCAGTTTGTCAAGTTCCCGCCCAAGGAGGCCGGCGCCGCGGCCCCCGTGGCCCTGGCGGCGGCGAACGGGTTCGCGCGGTCCGCGGCCAGCGACCCGGCCATGGTCGACCTGCAGTCGCGCTCGCTCGATCCGACGACCAAGGGCGCCCGCTTCGCGCCCGGCTTCTGCTTTGATTTTGTCGTGCGCAACCAGGAGCTGCGCCTCTTTTTGTCGGCCCCCGAGACGGGCAAGATCAAGGTGACCACGCCGGCGTCGGCCCTCAAGTACTACGAACACGGCAACTGGATCAGTCTGGGCCGCGCCAAGGACGCGCTCGACGTGGGCCTCGTCACGCAGCCCTTTGCGGCCGCCCAGCAGCCGCTCGGCTTCGGCAACGAGCTGGCCGTGCAGTTCGACGCGCCGCCCAGCGAGTTTGCCATCCTCACCAACGACGGGGTGCACGTGGTGCGCCGCCGGCGCCTGGTGGACATTTTTGCGACGGCCGTGCGGACACTCGGTAGCGACGACCTGTTCGACAAGGAGATTCGCAAGTTCATCCACCTCTACGGCCGCGTGGAGACGGTGGCGACGGCGCTCGCCGTCGCGTGCGGGCAGGGCAGCGACCTGCGCGCGGGCACGAGCCGCGCGACGGACCAGACCACCGAGGACCGCGCCAAGACGGCCTTTGTCAACTACGGCGGCCAGCCGACCGTGGCCGAGACCGACAGCAGCGCCATCACGATCGACTCGGTGCGCCTGTCGTCACGCCACGACGCGCTGGCCCTGTACCTGACGCGCCTGGTGCGCACGCTGTGGGCCGCCCGGGTCGTGACGGTCAACCACTCGGCGGCGGGCGTCGTGGTCGGGTCGACGGTGCCGACGAGCAAGCTGACGGCCGTGCAGGAGAACCTGGAGCGGCTGCGGACGTTCTTGAAGGCCAACGCCGGCAGCATCCAGGGCCTGTCGGGCCCGACGGACGTGCGGCGCCGGGCCACGCGGCACGAGGAGATTGCGCTGCAGGCCGAGCACCAGGCGCTGCACGCGCTGCAGAAGCTGATGGAGAGCATCTCCGAGGGCATCTCGTTTGTGCTGATGCTGTTTGACGAGCGCGTCGCCGACATCTACGTGCGCCTCGACGACGGCACGCGCGACCAGCTGCGGCAGCTGACGTACGAGAGCCTGTTTGCGCGGCCGGCCGGCAAGGACCTGGCCAAGCTGCTGGTCAAGGCCATTGTCAACCGCAACATCGAGAGCGGGTCCAACGTCGAGACCGTGGCCGACGCGCTGCGGCGGCGCTGCGGCAGCTTCTGCAGCCCGGACGACGTGGTCATCTTCAAGGCGCAGGAGCAGCTGCAGCGCGCGTCCGAGCAGATCAAGTCGCCGCAGGCGGCGCGCGGCCTGCTCAGCGAGAGCCTGCACCTGTTTGAGCGCGTGGCCGGCAGCCTGACGTACGCCAACCTGACGGGCGCGGTCGCGCAGTACGTGCAGCTCAAGTACTACGCGGGCGCGATCCAGCTGTGCCTGATGGTGGCGCACGAAAAGGACCGCGGCAACGCGGCGCTGGCGTGGCTCAACGACGGCAAGCCGGACGCGGACCCGCGGCGCGCGCCGTGGCAGGAGCGCAAGCGGTGCTACGACCTGGTGCACACGGTGCTGCGGCAGCTCGACACGGACTCGGCGGCGGAGCCGGAGCAGATTGACGGGCGGCCGACGCTGGCGTTCACGAAGCGCACCGAGGCGTACAACGTGGTCAACGACGCGGCCGACGAGGTGTTCCACTTTGACCTGTACGAGTGGTACATTGAAGAGAACCTGACGGACCGGCTGCTGGCCATCGACTCGCCGCACGTCGTCACCTTCCTGCAGCGGCTGGCGGCGACGGACGTGCACCACGCCGACCTGCTGTGCCGCTTCTACACGCACCGCAGCCGGTTCTTTGACGCGGCGCAGGTGCAGTTCAACCTGGCCGGGTCGGCGTTTGCCATTGGCATCAAGGACCGCATCACGCTGCTGAGCCGCGCCAAGGCCAACGCCAGCGTGTCGTCGGCGGGCGTCAGCGGGCAGCGGCAGCAGCAGCTCAACCACGAGGTCACGGAGCTGCTCGACATTGCGCACATCCAGGACGACCTGCTGGAGCGGCTGCTGGCCGACGGGCGCATCCCCGACGAGCGCAAGGTGGAGATTGCGGCGGACCTCGACGGCGGCGTGCTGGGCCTCTCGGAGCTCTTCAACGGCTACGCCGACCAGGCCGGCTACTACGACCTGTGCCTGCTCATCTACAACGCGGCCGACTACCACAACCCGCGCGTGATTGCGGACACGTGGAAGCAGCTCATCAACAGCACGCACGAGGAGATTGAGGCGCGGCTGGCGGCGTACGAGGAGGCCGTGCGCACCAAGACGAACGCAGCCGTGGCGGCCCTGGGCCCGCCGCCGCTGCCGTACGAGGCGGTCTCGGTGCAGATCCAGACGATTGCGCACCGCACGTCGCTGGACGCGCTCATCTTCCCCGTCGAGACGCTGCTGGGCACGCTCTGCGAGTACGCGCTGACGCGCCAGCAGGACGCCTCCATTGGCGCCGACCCGGCGTGGCCGGTCCTGCTGTTTTTGCAGCTGCGCGTGTCCCACGCCATGGTCGTGCACGTCCTGGAGCGGCTGCTGGACGCGCAGGAGGTGCCCTTTACGGGCCGGCGGCGGCGCGTCGTCGTCGCGTGGATCGACACGGCCGTGGCGCTGTGGTGCCACGACGTCGAGGTGACGGGCCAGGGCCAGGTGGGGGCCGGCGACGCGCTGGGGAGCGGTGGCGGCGGCACGTCGTTCGGGTCCGGGTCTGGGTCGCAGCTGGGGCCGTGGGTGGCCGACCTGATGGCGCGGGCCGAGCGGGCCATGACGGACCTGCTGGCGTCGGCGCGGGACGCGCGGGCCAAGGAGGAGCTGGAGCAGACGCTGCACGAGACGCGGCAGCTGCGGGCGCGCGTGGACAGCAATGTGCGGCCGGCGCGGTCGACGATGCGGTTCCGGTGAGCCAGCGAGGCCCCCGAACGAAGTGAGCCCCGAAGGGGGGGAGGCGCTCACAAAAATGCTAAAGGAAGGGGAAACATACATGTGTTTTGGTCGATTTGCCATTTGTCTCTTTTGCTCTTGTTGTTTTGGTTGTCGGTCGGGATTGCGGTTCATGTCATTATTTTGTTTTGTTTCCACTTTCCACTTACTTTCTTTGTAATTAAATTACATTACGTCTGGTCTCTATTGTTTTTGTTTTTGTTTTTAATCCCGTGGCTTAACCGTACCTACGGAAGGCAATGTAGCAGAATCTGCTTTTTTTCATACACGTAGTAACATCATTTCCGGTAGACGTTTCGATTGCGTGACTGAGCTGAAAAAATACATTAAAAGGGCGCAACTATCAACACGCGCAAAGAAGAGAAAACTATCCAACAACGCCACGCCGCCCATCTTCGGCAGTCAATCATCCGCCCAATAGTCGTCTACGCCGCCGCCGTCCACCTCAAACGTCGTGCCCAGCGCCTCCTGGCCCTGCCGGATCATCTGCTGCAGCCGGGCATTGAAGGCCTCCATCTTGGCGTCCGACTCCTGCTCGGCCGCCAGGTTCTGAGCGGCCAGCCGTTTGGCCTCGTCGCTGAGGCGGGGGCTCTCGGTGAGGCCGAGGGACGTGTCGGCGCCGAGGCTTGCAGGACCACCGGCCGACGTTTGTTTTGGCAGCAGCGGCGACACGCCGACGCGGCCGCTATGGCTCCGGCGATGTGCGTGTCCATGGCCATGGCCGGGGCCGTGGCCGTTTTGGGCAGGGCTGCCAGCAGCGCCAAGGGCCATGCTGCTGGATCGTCCGCCAGCTCGACTGGTAGGCCGTGGTGAGGCGGCAGCCGCGGCTCGCGAGAAGGGGTTGTAGCCTGCATTGGTGCCGCCGGGTTGCGGCAAGGGGATGCGGCTACCGCCGGGGCTATTGTAGGAGGCTGCGTATGGACGCCGTGGTGAGACGGTCTTGGCACCACCGACTGGAGTGGAGGCCCGTGGTGAGGCAAATGAGGCAAAACTGGCAGGCTCGCGTGATGACCACGACGGACTGCTGGTCTGGGACACGCGGGCAACCGACGCGGCCGACGCGCCGCGGCGACCGTGCGGGGTGGTCGTGGCGGCACCGGTGATCCGTGATATCGGAGTGTTGATGCGCCGTGACGCTGCTGTGCTGGGCGTCACCGTCGTTGTTGTTGACCCTCGCGTGTAGCTCGGGGCTCGCCGGTCCGGTGTGCGTGTGTCTGCCGCGGCGGGCGTGGTCGAGGTGGACGCCCTCCCACCGCGCAAAGGCATCTTTTGCCCCAGTCCGTGTCCCTGTCCCTGTCCTTGTGCAGTCGACCGCCTCGGTGTTTGTGCGTAGGCTTCTGTCTGTCTCTGCTTCAGCGTCGGATCGACAATGACCCAGTTGCGGCCCAGCTCGTCGCCCGCAGCGCTGACCTGCCGTCGCTTGCCGTTGCGCTGCGGTGTCGTGTCGCGGTCGCGGTCGTCGTGGGTGAGATTGGGTGTTGGTGTTGGTGTTGGTTCGTCTTTGTGCTTTTCACTTTGTGGTTGCGGCGTCGGCGTCGGCGTCTCTCCCACGATCTCCGTCGGTTTCGGCTTGCCTGTCTCCCAGTCGTAGCTCTCGCCTCCTCCCGCATGGAACCCGCGGAAGGCGCCCGCTGTGCAAAACTCCCAGACCTTGCCGACGACGTTGCCGAGTGCGTGCAGCACCGTCCAGCGATCTGCATCGGACTGCGCGTCGTCGGTTGCTGTTGCTGCGTCTGCTGCGGCTGTCGCATCATGTGGGCCCAACGCACGTCGATACTCGACGTCCGAATAGACGCTGTCGTCCATGGCGTCGTGCAGGCCAGGAGCGCCGTGAATGTCAATCTGTCCGGCCAGCGTGTAGAGGTGCCGTCCGCCATGCTGTCCGTTTGTTGCATTCGCATCCCACTCGGCCAGCGGTGTCGACTCCCGTGAGTCCTGGGCGGCGCGTTTCCGCTTGGCGCCATGGTCGGCGACCGACGACACGTCCGAGTAGAGACTGCCGGCCGACCGTGCCAGATCGAGGTAGGTCGAGTCGGTCGGGGAGGACGCAACGGGCGGCCGAAAGACGTCGGCACCGAGGGCGCGTGGCGTGGGAATGGCGTACGGTAACGGGTTGTCAAAGTGGTATGCGCCGGGCACATGGAACTCGGGACGCGGGGAGCCCGCCATGGCGGCGGAGGTGCAGCGCAGCGAAGAGGTGAACGTGACTCGTCGAGGATGATTTGGAAAGGCGTGCGGTGGCTCGTGACCGCGCGTGATGTCGTCGTCTCACAGCACGCGCTCTCAGCAGCGCATGCTGGCCAACAGGAGGCGAGGCTGAAGATCGAGATGGGACGTTGGGTGCGGTCGAGCACGCCGGAGGTGAGTGAGTGGATAAGGTTGCTGCTGTCGGTGGTCTATGGCGTAAAAAGTCGAAGAAAGTGAGGCTGCACAAAGAGCGGCGGACGTCACGAGACTGACGTGAAGGGCGATAACTGGTTGGAGCCTTCTTTGTTGGGGTAGCTGTGCGAGGTATGGCCTGGGGCCGCTAAGACGCCTGCAGCAGGCAGACACTCGTCATCGGGCAGTCGTGTGGCTTGTTGGCGACGTGGGCGACGTGATACTCTGACGAGGTACGACGGGCCCTGTCACTAAGAATATTGACTTTTTGGCGACGATAAGAATAAATCTCAGACAATGCCGACTCGGTCGATCCATCGAATCGAGGCCAGACGCAAGCACTATTACAGCACAAGTGCCGTGCTCGACAGCCCTGTGCCGGCCGAAAGACCGCTAAAAATTAGGTGGAGCGTGCGTTGCCCAGCAATCGCAGTAAACAAGCGCGGCTTAAAGTCAACACGCGCTGAAGGAGTGACTGCGGGTGGAAACGACGGCGAAGTAAGACTAATTCTTTATATTTAGCAAGCAATAAAACAAGAGTATCAACTTATTAACAGGAACAATGTCCTGGAGTGAAAGAGTAAATGAGACAATATTGCGAAAGAAGAATCTACATAGAATTTATTTATGTTTAATTTATTTTAGATCCAGAACAGAATAAAAATAACAAAGGCAATATGAGAGGGACATTAAAAAAAAAAAAAAAAAAAAAAAAAAAAAATCAAGAAAGAAAGAAAAACAAAACTCTGCAGATGCACAGTCACTCACACGTCCATCAACAGGCCCAGCCGCCTCAAATGTTCTACATCGTCTTCTGAACGAAAGCAATCTGCTGTGAGACAAGACAAAGACAGATCAGATCTGGCAAAAGCGGCTGTTGAAGGCACAAACAGTAAGCCGAACATCTCTGATCGCTGATTGGCCCACAGGGCCATATGCCCCAGCGCAAACGATATGCGATAGTGGACCTCGCGGACTCTGTGTTTACATGTCGTAGCGGGCGTTGGCGGGGATGTCTAGGGGGCCTTAGTAGTTTGCGAGTGCCAGTTTTGCCTCTTCCCTCCTTCGTGCTCCAACTTTAGAAGCAACACGACGAAAAGAGAAGAAAACGAGCAAGCGGAAGACAAAGAGCCAAGCGGGAACGGCATCCTTGAACATCGACACACAGAGAGTTCGCTGGTCGTCCTTCGTTGCCTTCGCCACTCCACCAATCTCGACAGATTGTCTCCTCCCACCCAACCACGATGGCAGCCAACAGCAAGCCGGCGCCCAACGGCACGGCAATCACGGTCGAGACATTGATTGCAGGTAGGCCAGCCTGCGTCCAGAATGCACCCTGACGCCCCGCTAATGCCTTCGTCACAGAGCTCGGCGTGGTTCCGACGCCCAAGGTTGCCGGCGAGTGGACGGTCGACAAGGCCACGGATGCCATCTTTGCGCCGACCGGCGGCGACACGCACAGCAAACCGGCCCCCGACACGTCGTCGCCCCTCCCCTACTTCCACCTGCTCGAGCTGCTGAAAACCACCAAGCGCGAAGGCTGGCGCCGGTTCGGCATCACGCACGGCGAGTCCATTGCCGACCACATGTACCGCATGTCCCTGATGGCGATGCTGGCGCCGCCGGCGCTGGCCGCGCGCCTCGACATGAACCGGTGCATCAAGATGTGCCTGGTGCACGACATGGCCGAGGCGCTCGTGGGGGACATTACGCCCGTGGACGGCGTGCCCAAGCCGGAAAAGAGCCGCCGCGAAGCCTCGACCATGGACTACATTACGGGGACGCTGCTGGGGCAGGTGGGGGGTGGTAGTGGGAGTAAGAGTGGGAGTAAGAGTGGGAGTGGCGACGGTGACAACGACACCGGCGCCGTCGGCCGCGAGATCCGGGCCATCTGGCAAGAGTACGAAGACGCCGCGACCCCCGAGAGCCATTTCGTGCACGACGTCGACAAGATGGAGCTGCTCCTGCAGATGCACGAGTACGAGACGCGCGGGCAGGGCCACGTCGACCTGGGCGAGTTTGCGTACGTCGCGACCAAGATGGTGCTGCCGGAGACGCGCGCGTGGGCGGCCGCGCTGCTGCAGGAGCGGGCGGCGCTGTGGCAGAGCCGCGGACAGGCACCGCCCGGGCAGCCGACGATGCCAGAGCTGGAGGCGGCGGCGACGCCAAAGACGAACGGTGTCGACGAGGCCAATGGCCATGCCACGGTGAAGTAAACGGCGCAGAGCGTCAGAATACGAGGGAGCTGGGCAGGTGGATGGGGAATGGCCAGCAGACGGTAGAGCATAGAACAGACACTGGCAACAGCATTGTATTTGCATTTCTTTTGTGGTTTATATTTTACTTTGGAACAAGAGAGCAACCGCGAGAGCGGACGCAATGAGAGCAACAGCGCTTGTGACTGATAATAGACTTGTTGGACGACGTAGTATTTGTCGTCCAAACCGCTCATGTTCCAATGGCTTATTTGCCATCACATTTACCTCTGTCGCGGTTATTTATTTCCAATTTATCTTTTGTGCCATCATTTATGGGGCTTTCCCGGACCTGCGCGGTGTTGACAATTCCGCCTTGAAGGCACAGCCAATCCAAGCCAATTAAGGCAGACATCACCAATCACTAACACCACAACATCACAACGTCCCTGCGCAATCCCCAGAAGCCTCGCGTCAGGGATTGCATTTCCCAAGCAATACCATTTTTGGCCGGTGCCTAGCTGCTAGCAAAGAATGGCGAGGCTCTCACAGGTAGATAAAGGAGATTCATTGCGTTGTTGCGAGACATCCACGCACAAACGGCCTCGAGAAATCCTGCAGCCTGCTCAGGCACCGAGATATTTCAATGCAAGGGAAGGCATGGGCTCGGCGACGATAAATACTCTGTCTTCGGGACTGACGTTAAATGAATTTAAGAATGTGTTGCCGTACTTCATTTCAATCCGACCTCTTGAGAAGATCATCAACGGCCACGACCAACGTTGACTGGCCCTCATGTTGACTGCACTTTTTATACGGAAACACCGACCCCGACGGGCCGGGTTACGGTCGGCCCTTGCAGCGGACGATGCTGTGGAGAAGACGTCAGGACCGAGACCGATACCAGCACAGCCAGAGCCAGAGCCAGAGCCAGAGCCAGAGCCAGAGCCAGAGCCAGAGTCAGGACCTACCCCGGAATCCCCAGGTCTTGCCGGCCACGAAACATCATCTCCCACAACGGCGGCAACAATGGCCGGTCCCTCCACTGCTTCCACCACACCCCGCATCACTTTCTCTTCGCTGCCCGCCGAGATTCGCAGTGCCATCTGGACCGAGGCCCTGCCGCGGCGCGTCATTGGCCTGCGGCCGTTTGAGGCCGACGACGACGAGTACGCGCCGAGCTCTGCCCCGCAGGGGGACAGCGTCGCCGTGGTCAGCGCGCGTGCGCGGGCCAGCGTCGGCAGCCGCATGCCGCAGGCCATGGCCAGCACGTGTTTCGAGTCCCGCGCGGCGGCCCTGCGCAGCGGGCGGTGGACCGTTGGCGCCGAGGGCCAGCCGGTGTGGTTTGACCCGACGCGGGACACGATCCTGCTGAACAGCAAGCGGCGGGTCGACTACATGCTGCTGGGCCGGGCGAGGGCGACGGGGGGGGACGCTCACGGACGCCGGCGGACACAAACGACCACGAAGGTGACCACGACCACGACGACGTCGCTGTCTGGCGCGTCTCGCGCGCGGCCCCGCCGCTGGCGCCCCGGCCGCCGCCGCCGGGCCCGGCCCCCATCGACCCGGCGAGCACCGTCAGCATCGCCGACCTGGCCCACCACCAGCTCGTCGGCTGCCTCGACGAAGCCGTGCGCGGCGGCGGCGGCATTGCCGTCAAGCACGAGCTGCTGCAGTCGCAGGTCGGCGCCGCCATCTTTCCGCTGCTGCAGCGCTGTGCCGCGGCGGCCGCCCAGCGCGGCGGCGCGAGGTCCCCCTCCCGGTCCCCGGCACCACCACCACCACCACCACCGCAGCTGCTCGTCTACTTTGACGAGATTGTCCTGACCGGCACGCGCGCGCAGGCCGTGGCGAGCGGCCTCTTTGGCAGCGCGGCGGCGCCCGAGGAGCACATGTTTTTTGTGCCGCTGAGCGACCGCGCCGCCCTCCAGCGGATCCACGCCCTCTGCAGAGCGCGCCGCCCCGCGTCGGCCGCGTCTGCCGACACAGCGCGCGAGGGACGGGCCCACCTGCAGGGCAGCCTGGGCGGCCTGCGCATCGGCAACGCCGGCTTCGTGGCGGAGCTGCTGCGGCCGTCGCACACCGTCCAGAACCTGCGGATCCTGGCCATGCGGTTTCTGTACCACGCGAAGCAGTGGCGCGCGGACATGTCGGACGAGGCCGGCGAGGTGCTGATTGCGCGGGCCCTGGAGGCGGGGATGCCGCCGCTGGAGCAGGCCATTCTGTTCCGGTTCAAGGAGGCGCCGGCGTTTGCGGGCAGCGAGCAGTGGGCATATGAGCGGAACAATGCGTGATGGGGGCGACGGCGGCAACGGAAGGCAACGGCAAGGTGAGCATAGCAAAGGAAAGAGAGCAAGCACAGCGACCATTATGACGTTCATTTGCATGTTACATGTACTGAATAGTAAAGAAACCGGAAACCGGAATATCGAACCCTATAAAATTGATCCTCCCAACGCCTGGTATCATATTTTGTGTCAATCACGCTTCCCTCCCCCCCCCTTCACCGCGGCAGGTGGGCAATGCCGTCCAGCTCGTCCATGTAGTCGTCCAGCCCGTCCAGGGCATCCAGCCCGTCGAGCCCGTCGAGCCCGTCCAGGTCGTCCAGGTCGTCGCCGGCCGTCGCGCTGCTGAACAGCACGCTAAAGTCGGCATAGATTTCTTCCGAGCCGTCGTCGGCCACATCGTCGTCCATGTCGTCGACGGCGTTGGCGGTGCTGCTGTGCTCGTTTGCGGGGAAGGCGTAAAGGCAGTCGTTGTCGTCGTCGGCGTTGTCGTGGCGGCTGTCCGGTTGGTTCTCCTGCCGACTGTCCGGCCGCTTCGGGTCCTTGACCGGCCGCAGCTTGGGACTCCGCGAGACGGCCCGGACAATGGGGCGGTGCGCAGCCAGTGGCGGCGCGGAGCGGCTGAGCGCGGCGGCCGGGGCAAACACGGCCGACGAGCCGGCGCCGGGGGGCGCATACATGGACAGGGGGGGCGTGGGGGACGCGGGGGTGGCGGGTCTTTGTGTCGTCGCTGTCGTCGTCGCCCGCCCGGCCATGGCGGCCGTCGACACGGGCACAATCGTAAACCGCGCATTGGCCATGTTGGCCATGAGCGACAGGGGAATGCCCGTCAGGGGCCGGCCGGCCGTCGACGCGGCGGTGGCTTCGGCATAGAGGCGCTGCCGCAGCCGGTTGGCCATGGCGGCGCGCCAAATGACTTCGCTGGCCATGGGGGCGTGGGCGTGAGTGTGTGTTGGTGATGCTGTGGACGACGACGACGACGACGACGACGACGTCTTTGCCGGCGCCATCAGCTTCTTGGCATTCATAATCGCCGCCAGCTTCCAAAACCGCTTGTCGCCGGCGGCCACGGACTCGCGGTTGAGAATGTGCGTGGCCGGCTGCGAGAAAGGCTGCGAGAGGCGCGACGTAATCAGGAACCGACGCAGGCGGCGTTTCTTGCAGCAGAGGGCGGCAGTGTTGGGGCCGTCGACGTCGGAGAGAGCGCGGCGGCGCTTGAGAGACGGGCGGGGGAACGCATGCCGTGGTGGTGATGGTGGTGATGCATGTGGCGTTTTAGCGGAAGGCTCTGCCTCCGAGGACAATGGTACTAGTGACGCATCTGGCTCTGGCTCTGGCCCTGGCTCCGGCTCTTGTGACAGGATAATGCTCGGCCCCGGCGTGCGTGGTATCGCGTCTTCGTCGGTTGCCGCCGACGATGCCGTCGACAGTGGTGGCGCCGGGTCGTCGAGCAGGATGTCGGCCTGTGCCGGATGGGATGCCGAGATCCGCTGTGAGGGACACGACGGCGAGGCCGACGACGAGAGGAGAGCCCTTGGACGGTGATTTTCTCTCTGCGCCGGTGGTGGCCGTTCTTTCCGTACGGCATGGGACACGTCGACGTCCGTGGAGTGGGCCTCTGCAGTGGCAGTGCCACCGCTGTGTGTCTCTTGGGCACTGTCGTGTGTCGATTCCAGTTCGGTGCGCTGTCCGGCGGCCTGTCCGGCGGCCGTCTGGTCTCGATGCCGCCATGGCCGGAACGACTTGAATGACCCGCCCCGGCCGATGAAGTCGACCTGTGCAGCCATCGGGGCTCCAGGGCAAGATGCTCTTTGCCTATGAAGGGGACGCAAGAAGACCCAAGTGCCCTAGCCTGTCAACACCGAAAGGGTAGGTGCACAGATCATGTCATGGCGGCTGGTCAGACGAGGTCGTATTTTATGTATTGATGCTGGGGTTATTGAGTGTGACGATTATTATGTCGGCGACGTGAATATATGATATGGCGAATGAGACAGACCGGTGAGAGGAAAGGAGAGTGAGGCGCATAAAGTGTGCGGGGAAGAGGGTGTTATATGAGGTCTGGTGCAGAGAGTGCGTCGTCGGCTGGGAGGGGATGTAAGACAAGTAGGAGGCATGCAAAGAAGGAAAGAAAGAATACACGACGAATGATTCGTAGAGCGTGCGTCTGCTCGGGCTCCACCGACAGAACAAATAAGGGAAGTGTTTCGTACGGCGCAGAGAAAGGCGATGCGCGTCTGGCCAGAGGAGTCGTGTAACGGTCGTGTGCTCTGGGGCAAGTGAAGGACGGGTGGGTACGCAGAAAAGGAGGAGGCGAAAGAAGACAAGGAGACGACCGACGCTCTGGGCGGCGGAGAGAGGAAAGAAGTGGAAAGAAGAGGCGAGAGAGGGAGGTGGTGTGAGGCGGAAGTCGGGTCGATGTCTGGGGCCCAGGGGCCTGACGCTGGATCTGGGGTTGCGCGCAGTTGGCTGGCGGCGGCTGTGTCCGCCTGTGCCCGCGGAGGAGGAGAAGGAGGAGAAGGAGGAGGCGTTGTCCGTGGAGCGCTTCAGCCGGTGTGAACTCTCTCGTTAGATAGAAAGTGCCGTACAGAAGCAAGAAACAGACGGCAAGCGACGACACTGAGCTGCAAAGAAGAACAAGCAGACAAACAAACAGACAAACGAACAAACGAATGGCGGACGGAATCGGTCGCGACTCGACAGGCTGTCGTCGTGCTCTCTACAATCTTCTCCACAAAATCCAAACAGCCGGGTAAGTTGAGAGGTTGAGCAGCAGAAACGAAGAGGAGAGGCGGCGGCGAAAGAGGGGGTGTAGAGTACAGTACAGAATACGTCCAACGTATTCCCGCTGCTGCAGGTGCCAGGGTGCCGTGCCAGGAGGAGCAAACGAGCGGTATTACGTCGTACCGGGGTCTGGAGAAGAGACAGGGCCACAGCAGAGGATGTGCGAGGCGGAGACAGCGGGTCGTTTGTTCACAGGAAAAAAAGGCTAAGCTATTTAAAGATCGGTGACGGGACGCGGTGCTGCGAATGACCGTCGCAAGATGCGTTCCGGCTTCCAAGTTGAAGGAATGTGGAGGCGACACAGAGACTGTCTCATACGGACACGAGATGTCTACGATGTACAGAATACGTTGCAGGCGTACTGAGCAGAGGAGGTACTTTGTACTCTGTACATGTTCGCATGCCCAGGATGCTGGTGGAATTTGTATTGAAAGGGTGTGCCGCCGGCAGACAAACGAGGAAAGAGGAGACGAGGAACGGACGAGGAGGGCAGACAGGAGCAAAAGAGAGGGAGGTCGAGGGGGTAGAACAGAGGGGAGCAGTGCCCAACCTGGGTGAGGCTGCGGCTAGACCACCAGAAGCAGACAATGGCTGGGAGACACGATGCAACCTGGGTCTGGGGAAGGAGGAACAGGGCGGTTGGCATGGAAGACACGAGAGAAGGGCGAGCCACCGAGTCGGCCGTGGCTGTCTGCAATATGCTCGCACGGCGCGCGGTGTCGAGTTGTACCATGCAGAGAGAGACATCGGCAGGCCACTGGCACATTGCAGAGTACATGGACACGGCGGTAGTGTATTGGCCTTGGCCGGCAGGCAAAGAGAACGAACGCAAAGTCTGGTTCTGGTTCTGGACTGGGACGGGTGAGATCAATCCGCTTGTCCCCTCTCCAGTCACACCCAAAGTTGGAAATACAAAGTACTTCGTGCAGATAAAACAGAAATTAAAGTAGTTGCACGGAAGGATACCCAGAAAATGCTCCATCACAACAGACACTTTTCTGCCTCTTTTCTACCTTTTTCTACCTTTTTCTGCATGTTCAGATGCTGAGCTTGGGCGGACAAGGGCACCCCAGAGTTGGCTTCACTTGAAAGTACAACCTACTGCCAATACCAATAACGATGCACCCGGCGATCCCTGCCAGCCACAATATTGCTTTGCTTGCAGGAGGCAGCAGCAAAACAATGAAAACAAACATATTGCAGTCTATCGTTGGCGATCATTCGGCTGTTTGCCACGTTTCGGTCCTACCCTCGCTGCGTTTTTGCCTTTCCCCTTTTATTTGAGGTTTTAACAAAGTATGTCGACGCTGTTCTTTTCCGTTTCGTGCCCTTTGCCCCTTCTTCAGCGACAATCTTCCGTGCCACATACATTGCGAGTCATCCTTTTCTTCATGGGGAAAAACGGACTCGTCTGCCATTGGTAGTGTCGGTGCCGGTGTCGCCGATCTGGAGGTCGCAATTGGAAATTGGAAAGTCCACAGCAGACGGCGCGGCAGAGCGGCATGGGGCGGTATTTTGCGACGCACTGTCGGGAGTCGCAGTCTGACTGGTCATCTTTTTCGCGACCAGAAAATTGGTTCAGCACACCAGCCGGGTCCAGGATCAGGTTTGGGGTCGAGATGCTACCGACCCCTTTTTGTTGTTTGTGTTTGTATTTGCCCCTTGGCGGGAGAGCCATTTTGACGCAGAGAGGAAGCCATGTACACTCCGCATGGGCGAGTTTCCAGCCCGGCCGTTTCTACGACTTACTTTGCTACCATTTGTCTTTCTTTGACAGAGACGCGCGAGAGAGCGGAACCTGAGAGGCCGTGAGAGTGAGTACGAAGTATTTCGTACTCCTTGCAAGGTGCCCGCAAAGGAACGAAAAAGAAAGCAGAAGCAAGACACACAGGACAACGGTACGCTACGAGACAATAATACCTGGGTCCAGGGGGTCCTTTTCTGCCGCCTCTCCCTCACCCCCTCTTTTGTTCCTTTTTCATTGTTTCTGCCCTTCTCTTCTCATCATTTCCCTATTCTGTCCCTCCCCATCACTCGTTTAACTGTTTTGGTCTCGTCCCGGTCACTTGGGTAAAAGAGAGATCTGACAGATGGAAAGGCCGCCAAGGGGTATTACTCCGTACTCCGGAGTCCGAAGAAGAAGGAGGAGCTGTGAACAAAAACCTAAAGAGAAGACGCGCGTGTTTGCTTCCTCATTGGCTGTCGACTGTCTTTATTTGCCCATTTTTGCAGGGCGCGTGACCGCCAAACGACCACCCAAAAGGAGCAAGGAGGGGACGCTACTGTCCGGGCTGTGCGCGTTTGCGTTTGCAAGGCGGCCAAGGCCAAATTGCGACGACAAATGGGGACGAATAAGATATCATATCTTACCTGGGATATGTTGGCTCAGTTGGGCAAGCCGCATCCTCGCTCTTTTGGCTGCTCAATAGTTCCCCAGGCTGCAACGGGCGACTTGGCCGCTCCGAGCGAAAGCAGTTCTGGGTTTCGTTATTCTCGACCTTTGTTATGCATGGCGCAGTTCAGAAGAGAGTTGATGTTGACTTGCCTTTGACCGTTCGCTTGTTGTCGTCCGAGTGACTTACACCAGACAAGCTTACAAACGTGTCCGTTCGCTGCGCTACAGTGCAAGGCCCGTCGCTAGTCGCGGGCGCTCCCTCGCTCCCTTGTGGGCTATTGTGATTGACATGGTGCCCGCAGGAAATAACTGTCTGGACTGTATTCTGTACGATTGTAGAAAGCATAGACTCTGAAAAGAGGGGAAACAGACATGACGTTGGAGCGAAAAAGAAAAGCAATTTACAAATTGACAGCGACCCACTGTTTAACAACAACTGGCTGTTCTTGGTCAAGCTGTTCTCGGCATTGTCGCTGCGGAGAATTGGGGCACGAGGGCACCTATACATTCATAAGGGGAAACGACAGCGTGATGGGTATTGAGTCTGAGCTGATCTGCAGAAGACATCCCTGAGATGGTCGCCGAATGCACTGTCCACGTTCTCCGTACATAATACGACGCGTATTACAGAATACGGACTATCACAAATACAACAAACACCACAAACACCAAACACCACAAATACTCCGTCCCATCGCCGAGAACACACTCGGGCACTCACCTTGACATCGCCGACTTTGCCAGTTGCCCTCTTTTGGCGCCTGTCTGAGCACGTCAACTGCGACGAGAAGCACGGCGTGCAGGGCCCATGACTCGTGCGAGATGACCCCATCGGGCGGGCGTCTGCAGTATACACGTTGTACGGGGTATGTGCAGCACTGCCCGTTTGTGCGCCGTATTGCACCTTTCTTTGTACGGAGACTGGCCAAGCTCGCTCCCAACGCCTTGGAACTGCCGCACAAGCAGATGGAAATGGACCGTCAACCGCTGTCCACGAGCCAGTGGAAATCAGTCGGCATATGTTTTGTCGGTTTGTCGGTTTGGGTTGTCGCTGCGTCGTGCTACGCCAACATTCTCCTTTATTTCAAACATGATACCGAATATGTCAGTGTGACCTGTCATTCTTTTCTCGCCTCGCCTCGTCCCTGGATCCGTGTCCTCTATCCAAACTCTGATGTTCCTGGCGTTTCAACGGTGCTCGTTGTGCTTTATGCCAATACGACGTAATAATACAGGTACGCCGTATTTTTCGTGTGGATCAGCCTTGGCCTCTAGCAATAATATCACGTCGCTTATGCTTAATGTCCCATCTGCTTTGGGATCCATGTCTTGGCTGGGATGCTCTCGTTTGCTACGATGTAATTCGTACTTCGTATGTGTATTTCCTCCTCTCTTTCGGATGTTTCTTTCCTTTTGAATCCCATTGCTAGAAATCATCACCAGTCGACCCCAGGTCCCACTAAAGTGACAATGTTCTACCCCAAAGCAGCCTAGCAAGCACGTAAGCACTGTAAGCACTGTAGCAGCTTCCAACAGGGCGCCAAGTCATCCATAGAACAACGTTGTAGGGCCTTCCCCCCGCTGTAAGTGCACCGGATTGATCTGACAGGGAACGCTCTTGCACCAACATTCACTGCTTTGTGCATCGCAAATATTACTCTTTCCTGCCACATCGCAAGCATCATTTTTGTGACATGTGTTCAACAGAGGCGACAAATATACCAAACTGGGCATGCGCAGCAGCCTCCAACTCGTGTCTCCCAAATCACGTACCCCGTAGGCCCAGGATAAATGTGAACCGGCCCCGATCAGTTTAGCCAGTGGCCGTCAACGAGAATTGGCCGTCACGTGCAAAATGCCTCGGCTCAACAGCCCGCCCGTTTCCTGGAGAAGCTCCTCCCATCCGAAAGGCGCGAGAAGGCGAGCTGGCGGGAGGGTTTGCCCGCAACAGCTACTCGAACCGTTGACTGGCGAAGCACAGTTTTGGAGTAGGTCGCATTTGTAACAAACGCGGAGCAACGTACACTCCGTGCATTTGGGAACACAATAGCGTCCGTTGGACCCAGCACATCGCCTCCAACACATCACACAAGAGACACACACACACGCACGCACAATGGCGCGTCGCAAAACATTCCAAGAGGCCATGGAGCTCGTGCCCCTCCCGGCCGCCTCGCCCAACCCCAACTCGACCTCCGGCGCCTCGTCCCTCACCAACCCGGACGGCAGCAGCAACGTCACCCGCTACATGAGCCGCCGCCCCGCCTGGCTGCCGGGCGCCGACCTGCGCGCCGAAATCGCCGATCTCGGCCGTGGACGGCCCGGGTTCCCCGTGCACGAGGCCGCGTTTGGCGGACACGTCTATGCGCAATCCGTGCTGGCCGTGTGCCAGACGCTAGAGCAAGACGCCGCCGCGACGCACGCCGCGGGCCGCCGTGTCGACGTGTCGGCGCTGGGCCTGCACACGATCCACGGCTACTTTACGGCCGCAGGCAAGCCGGACCGGCCGTTTGTCTACGAGGTGGCCGTGCTGACGCGGGGGCGGTCGTTTGTGACGGCGCGCGTCGAGGCGCGGCAGCCGCTGGTGCCGAGCGGCCCGGCGGCGGCGCAGGCGCAGACGGGTCGCGCGGTGCCCGACGAGGACACGGATTTCCGGGGGGACGCGGCGGGCGACGGGCCGCTGGGGGTTGTGTGCTTCACGGCGATTGTGTCGTTTGTGGCGCCGCGGCCGCACAGCTTCGGCGCGGACTGCCAGGAGGCGCCGGTGCAGCAGCGCTTTGCGGCAATCCTGGGCGAGCGGGCGCCGGCGGCCTGGGCGCCGTCGCCGCCCGTCGACATTGACGTGCTGCTCGACGTGCTGGGCCGCCGCGACGTCGTCGGCACGTTCCCCATGGTGGACATGAAAAAGGTGGACATGACGCGCTTCAACGACGGGCGGCCGCTCGCGGACCGCCGCGAGCTGATTCTGTACCGGCTGCTGGCGCCGCTGCCGCGCGCGACGGCGGCCGCGTGCAACGCGCACGTGCTCGTGCACGCGTACGCGGCCGACCGCAACGGCCTGCTGATGACGGCCAACAACCTCGAGTTCCCGCTCAACGACAAGGTCGCGTCCCTCAGCAACACCTTTGTCGTGCACACCAACGTGGCCGGCGCGGCCATGACGTACTGCCCGCCGGCCGCGTCCGACAACGACCTCGCGGCCGGCTGGTGGATCCAGGAGGTGTGTTTCCCGCGGGCCGGCGCGGGGCGGGCCATTATTCTCAACAAGATCTGGAGCCCCGAGGGCGTGCACGTGGCCACAGAGTACCAGGACGGGCTGTGCATCGCGCATGAGAAGATGCCATTCGACTGGAAGCTATAGGCGAATAGACGGACAGGAACTGTGCACCATTTTGTTTGGAACGAACAGGATACAATACAGCATAGACCGAACCCAGCAGACTGGTACGCTGGGAATGGTATGGACCACGACACGCTGTTGGATGTTACCACGCACAGTGGGAACACGTACATAGAGGATAACAGCAATGTAATTCTAGTGAAAATGTAGTATAGCAAAACATACCCAAAATAGAATGCAGCAGCGCCGACGTTGACTGGCGTTTTTATGACAACCGACATGAGCAAAAATAACATGCAAACAAAAATAAAACAGATCCCAGCCCACCAGCCAGGACACCGCACGGCCAGCTCGTTTATATTGTACGCCAAAGTAGAAAGAACCAACAAAAGACAACCGAAACCACGGCAGAGAGAGACAACGAGACGTAGAGACAGCAAGACAGAGAAACGACAAAAAGACACACGTCGTGGCCGCCGCCGCCCTACTCTGCCTGCTCCAGCTTGCCCGGCGCGGCCAGGGCAATCTCGGGACACCAGTCGGCAATCTCGTCCAGGAACTTGGCGGCCACCTTGTGCACCTTGTGGTAGCCCAGCGGCGTCTTGGAGTGGTCGATGTGCCAGGTGTGCTGGCACGCAAAGGTGATGGCCTTGTTGAAGTCGGGCAGGTGCGCGCCGCTCTCCTCCATGCGGCGCGAGAACCAGACGTCCTCGCCGCCCAGGGTCCAGGTGCCGGCGGCAACCTCGTTCTCCCAGTTGTTGGCCGGGTTGCGCAGAATGTCCAGGATGCGGTCGCGGCTGCGCAGCGAGAGGCCGCCGTTGAAGAACTTTTGCTTGGTGTGCAGCGGCGCCCCGATAAAGTCCCACTCCAAGAAGTCGTCGACGGTCTCGTAGGCGTTGGCGCAGAGCATGGCGTCGGTCTGGAACACGAGCACGTGCTTGGCGGGCGCGAGCTGCTCCCAGAGCCAGGGCCGCGACAGGTAGAGGTTGACGCCGCGGCGCGTCGTCAGGTCGAACGTGTCCGGGATGACGCGCACGTCGATGGCGCCCGACGCCACGGTCTTGTGCCAGATGGCGGCCTGGCGCGTGCCGTTGCTGCCGGCCAGGACGGCGTTGGTCTCGTTGGAGGTGTAAAAGACAATGGGCCACGCGGGGCCGAGGACGGCGTGGAAGTGCAGGATCAGCGGCACGAGGCGGGGCGAGTACTGCGTGTCGGAGATGAGGGCGACCTTGTCTTTGATCTGGAAGGCGCCGGTCGACGCGACGGCGTTGGTCTCCGGCTTGGCGCCGAGGAAGGAGGGCTGGCAGGTCAGTACGCGCAGAGGACGAGCGAGGCACGAGTCACGAGTCATGATGAACAGAGAAGACGCACAGTCGGGACCATATCCTGCGGGGTCAGGCGGACAATGTAGATGACGGCCAGCAGGGCGAGGGCGATGCCGACGAACCGCCGGGACACGCCGTAGTCTATGAGGATGGACATTGTGGCGGGAGCAGAAGACGAAAGGAAACAACAAGAGGGGGGCGAGCAGGACCAGTCGGTTCGTCGAGGCCGTCGGTCGTCTGTGTTCGGGGCAAACGGCGACGGTCACGGGGTCACGGCGGTCGTCGGGCACGGCGCCTCCCGTTGCACACGGCGGCCAAGACGCAATGGAGGTTGGCCGTGAACGGAGAGGGGACGGGCGGCTGTTGAGGGTTGCGGACGTGGGAGACGAAAGAACGAGACAGTTGCGGCGACAAGCGAGACAAAAGTGAGGTGCCGTCAGCAGCGATGGCCAGGTGCCCGGTTCAATTGGGATTCGCTGGGAACAGGGAAAACGCAATGGGCGATGCGCGTGTGGCGTCCCCCAGACCGAGAGCGTGGTCTGACGAGTATAAAAGCATATGGGGACAAAGGGGAAAATGAAGGAAAACGTCGCGCGTCCAAGAAAAGGGATGGAACGGGGGCAGAGAAGAGAGCCAGGGATGTGTTGTCGAAAGGACTTGCGAGGCTTGTGAGGCTTCAGAAGTGTGGAGCAGGTCTGGAAGGGCGCGATGGCTGGACGAGCTAACGAACGAACTAAGGAACTGGCCTGTCAGCGCACACTTGTAGTCATTGAAAAGTACGACATATTCTGTACAAGTAATTCGTACGCAGAAACAACTGAAGTGGAAATACGAGCATTGCCCAAGAGCGGCCCAAAGCGAATGCGCATCGTCCCAGCCCTGGAATGTTGCACTTTCGGTCTTCATTACGAGACGCATGCAGGCAATTCGCGCTAGTGGTCCTGTCCCACAGCCTTACCTTCAGCTATGTTCAATAATTGTGTCTGGTTGCCGATTTGGAACAGGCCAAAGCCAAATGCGACGAGTGGCGGCGCAGGGACGCAGCTGGGCGGCAGGCCAGGCCGTCGGTTGCATTGTCAACGTGTGCGCCACCGGAGTGGGAGGCACCTCAATACGAGCACGACCACGAGCACAGAGGCATCTCGCTCAACAGACGCATAACGCGTGTGCTCGCCGACTGTCGAGATGCCACTGTAGACGAGGGCAATTGTGCCCATTCTGAAACGGTCGGACAGGGGCCAGGACGCCGGCGAAATCAACTCGTAAGATTAGCAAAGGCTGGCAGCGACCGAGATCATGGAAATCATCGTTGCCATCCAGCCATCTTACCTCTCTTAGCTTAGCTGACAGCCTCGGCTCTCGTAAGCACGCCCAGGACCCGTCGTCGACTGATTCGGCATCGTTGTCATGATGACGCCGTACGACGCACTGCAGCTGCAATCGACTGTCGTGCAAGTATGTCACTCTGGCAGATGCCATACATGGCAACCAGGTAGACGGTAGACGGGTCTGCTAATCAATTAAACACAGACAAGAGTTCTAGACGCCACGAGACGGTGACGCCCTGCACGCCCCTGTTTGTTGCCCATGTTCGTTTCTCTTTTAGCCTGTAAATCGTAGCTGCAACCCTCTGACGACTGCCAAGGCCATTTTGGCCGCTGCCGAATGGCCAGATGCACGAGTGCCCCCTCGCACTTGGGGGCCGTTCCAACGCCAAGCAAGGCCCTACCTAAGTGCCGGTACACACTTAAGATACCTGAGTCTCTCCCTGCACATTTAGCGCCGAGCGTCAAGTACGAGTACGGAATACCTCTGCAAACGGACGCGATCGCCGGCTCTAGCACGCTGCAATTTTGAGTGCAGGAACTTAGCTTCTTGTTTCGCGACACGAATAAGCCAGCATGCTGTTTCATTGACTGCCCACATGTCTCAAAACCGTCAGACCGCAGGGGGCCGACTTGCACAAGTTTGGATCGGCATCTCAGCACCCTGAATCAAGAAACAAGGAAGCGTGGGGAGTATTCTGTAAGAAAACAAGAGACCCTCTTCCACAGCAGAGGAACACAAAATGCACTTTGCCCTCTGCCGCTGAGATGGGTGTCGTAGAACATTGCGACATACGCTGACAGCCCGCATACACTCATTTCACGACAAAGCACAGTGGCATGGCCAGCACAATCCCGCTGCAAGCAGCACATTGACGTTCTATTGTCGGTCCTCCTCGGGTCTACACGCGAATCGTCCCCCGCGACACTTCCACCGCGCTGCCGCCGAGGAAGACGCCCTCGATGCGGCCGTCCGTCGCGGCCTGCACCTCCACCAGAATGTCGCTGCGCCGGCCCATCTCCACGCCCTGCGTCAGGTTGTACCGCAGCAGCCGCTGGCCCTTGGCGCCCGCTGTGAGCGTCAGGTAGCTCGCCAGCGTGCACGCCGCGCTGCCCGTCGCCGCGTCCTCCTCGGCCCGCCCAATCATGCGCGTCCGGATGGCCGTCACGCTCTCCTCGGACGCGTCCGTCACCACGTAGTAGTACCGGCTCACGTGCCCGCCCGCTTCGGGCCCCCAGGGCCCCTTGTCCAGCAGCTCCGGCAGCCGGCCAAAGTCGAGCCCCGGGCTGCTCGTGCTGACGACGCCCAGCTGCGCGAGCGACGCCAGCCGCACGAGCACAAACGTCATGCCGCGCACAATCGACACGACGGGCGCGTCGAGCTCGGCCGCCTCGATGGCTGGGTCGCCGTGGCCAATGGCGCCCGCGTCGCGGACGGCGTCGATGCCGGGCGTCGTGCGGAGGTGGCCGGCGTGGATGTGGACGTCGTGGGGCACGGCGGCGCGGACCACCAGCGGGTCGGCGGGGCCGGCGGGGCCGACGCGCTCAATGGGAATGCGGCCGGCCTTGACGAGGAGGGTGGCCGGCGCGTCTGTGGCGGCCGTCTTGCTCAGGACGTGGCTCGCGGTGCCAATCGTCGGATGCCCCGCAAACGGCAGCTCCTGGTCGATTGTGAAAATGTCGACGGGGTAGTCGCGGCCGCCGTCGCCCGTCGCCTCGTGCAGAAACACCGTCTCGGAAAAGTTGAACTCGCGCGCCACCGTCTGCTTCGTCTCCTGCGCCACCGTCACGCCTCTGGGCACATGCACCACCGCGAGCGGGTTGCCCGCGAAGCGCTTGGTCGTGAAGACGTCCAGCGTCACAAACGAGAGCTCGAGCGGCGTGGACATTGCGGCGGGACGAGACGGAAAATGTTGTGTGAATGGAGAATACGAATCTGAAAATGACGAGCGTGAAATCCAGAATGGGCAGACGGCATTTCTTTATGCAATCCGTGAGTCACCTTTTGCACCGTCCTATGGTGCCATCGTTGTGGATGTGCTCTTCTGCCGGACCTGCCCGATTCGGCAGACCAACAGTACTTCGGACATGATGACTAATCGCTAAGGCAGTCAGATGGAGATGCATGGCTCGTCACAGGGCGTAGACATTGTCATCATATTGCATTTATTTCTCATAACTGGTGGTAAACTCCATGTATTACTGGCTCTGCTTGTGTTTATTTTTTTGGACAGTTTCTGACCAATTTTGAATGTAACGGCCCGCCATCAAACCCCGCAGGCCTTACTTTCTCTCTCGGTATGTCGTATTATCTCGCCATTCCCCTTTTGCTTCACATTTGTTGTTCCCGCAGTTCAGTCAAGTACGCCCGCTTGTTTTCACAGACTACCAAACTCCGTCTGCCTTGCAATCGTACCATCACCACCCGCCTCGTCTGTACCCTCCGTTCGCCGCTCTCCCCACAACCCATCCACTGCGTCGCCCGTCTCGAACATCACACGCACAGAACCGGGGTCGTGCTCGATCGTGGGCCCCGACTGCCACGTGTTGGGCGCCACGGGCTGTGCCTCGCCGCGCGCGGCCTCGCTCTGCAGCACGGGGCCTGGGATGTGGCTCTGCCACCACATGTCCGTCACCGGCGCCTCGGGCCCAAAGTCTTGCCACACGGTGATTTCGAGGCCCGCGTCGCTGGCGCGCACAGAAAAGTCCGTCGGGCAGCGGGCGCAGCTGCCGTCAGCCACCAGACGGTCGATCGGCTGGATGGCCTCTCCTGTTTGGGTTGGGGGAGGCGCCTGGCTCGCCTCCAGCCTCTTCCTCCTCTCCTCACGCAGCCGGTAAGCATGGAGGTCGGCCGGGGTGTAGTAGAGAGTATCGGCCATATTTTGCTCTGGCAGTGGGCCGTGTCGTAGGCAGTCATATGTCTCGGGATTGTTGTATACTCCATGGACGCACGTCACCGCGCCAACGAAGCGGAACGGAGCTTGGAGCAGCGGCAGGCCCTCGTGTGTTGGGTTGATTGCACCCACTACGTACGTTTGTCTGTCACGGCGTCCCAGGCGGTTCAAATTCAGCAGATCTTGTGTCGATGCTCTGTACCATGCAGACCAGTTATCATGTGTGATGAGCTGGTGTGGACAAATGGACAGGGGAACATAGAAGAAATCCATGTTGGTCAGGTTCACAATCGTCTTGAGTAGGAGTCGAACGTATGGCTGGCGTTCATGACCTCCAGCGTCGTCGCTGCCACCGCAACGAACGACCCGCGGAACAAATCGGTACTGGACTGTTGTAGGCGCCTTGACTGGTTCTGTGTCCGGCGAGACCATCCGCCGTTGGGCTGAATGCGGTTTAAGAGCGGCTCGTACCCTCGTCTTCAGCGCGTCACGGGCCTTTGTACTCAGAAATGGGTTAATCTGTTCGTCTGAAAGTGCTCTGGCGTGTGCTGTAGGCTGTTCTGTAGATGTTTTCTGTTCTTGAGAAGGCTCCTTGAAAGATGCTTTGGTACGTATCGAAACTTGATGTTCGATGGTGGAGCGGTTCCAGGGCATCCGGTACCAAATGAGTGCAAGTGCTCCTCCTGTGGCCCTCGACATGTTGCCTCTATGTACCTTTTCTGCTTGGAACTTGCGAGTTGCCTCAAGTCCGCTTTGGTCGCGTCTGTCCTTTTCTTGCATCTGTCTGAGCCTCTCGTCCTCTGCAAGCATGCGGACACGCTTCAAGAGCAACTGCACATCACGGTGGGCGAGTCCAGCAAGGGGCGTGCGCCGCGTCGAAGACAAGGCCCCGGTGAAAGTGTGGAGGTTCTCGTCGTAACGAGGTTCATCCAGATGATGCAAGGTAGGCGAACTGTGGCATGGCGGTTCGAGTCCGGGTTCGGTGAGCGTATCGTTTTTGGACGCCTGATCGACGAGTGCCGCATCACGGGCATGGCCCTCGTTGTCCTCTGTACGATGCAGGTGTACGCATTGCTCACACACATAGTGATCCGGTAGGTCGCGTGCGATGGACGATAACACGTTTAAAAACTCAGGACGTGCTAATGTCGAGCGTAGTGTAGGCACATCAGCCTCGCCAGTTAAGCTTCCTTTTAAATTCCGACATGTGAGGGCCAGGGAAGCCTGGTCGGCCGAGCTCACGCGGTCGAGGATATTCCTGCGTATGATCCAATTGTGAAGGGCGTGGAAAAGGCGATCGTTTGATGGGATATCTTGATCGGACAATGCCACTCTTGTTTGGCGTTGCCGGTCCCAAAATGTTTTTGTTTTTGACGGCATGGTAGATTTCTGTAATAAAATGACGAAATGGAGGAATACTTGAAAAAGTTGGAGGGAGAAAATGCCAGAACGAGCGAGAATCCGGAGCATAGTTGAAATGTCGATTTAGAGTTGTTCCGTTTCGGCCTTGAAAGTTGTAAACCTTAGACTGAAAATTGTTTGAAAAATGCAATTACCACAAACAAAATTTGCCATGCTTGCCACATTTACAGTAACGCTCGATTCTGTTGGTCGTTGCAGCTTTGGAAAGTAAGTGATTAAGCTCTCATATGACTTCTTGATGACGAATGTTGCCCTGCACATCTCAGTAATAATGTCCATTACTTGCACGCACCAACACACCGAATGACACACATATTAAATACTAAAGAGACCAGGTCCATTCCCCCAAAAAGATAGCTTGCGTAGTAACGACGACTGGGTGTAAACCCCCCATGGGTTCTTCTCTGGATTTAGTTTTCCTGTTCTTTTCCTTTTCCTTCCTTTCTTTCTTTAGTTGTTGTGTTTGCGCCTTCTTTTCAGTCCCTGTGGCTGTACACATGGTTGGAGTGGCTGGCGCCTGGGGTTTTCACCATGTAATGAATATCGACTTACGCGAGAAATCAATACATAGGATAAATAGTTTGAAGTGAGTAGTTTGTATGTTGTCCCTTACTACCAATGCGCCTTAAGTTTCACGCGCCCACACTCAACGCCCAGTATGTTGAAATCCAGAAAAAAACGGCAGCCAAAACCAAGTCCTGTCCGGGTGCTGTTACAACATACCGAATCAAGCTCCACGAAACCAAACAGCTAGTTTTGTTACAAGTCCATCATCAGCCCTTCGATGAACATACATGATTTGCTCACTCTGATGGCATCTCTGCCTAGCCCTAGTTTCCGCCCGTGTCAAAGCAGCCAACGGCCGCCGTGGGAATCAACTGATGCTCGGGCAACAGCTGCTTGCTTGTCGTCTAATCACTCAAAGTGACGGGTCGAAATGGTGTATGCTCATGTTGGTTTCACCTTGAAAGGCTACTCGACCCAGCAACCACGTTGAGGTATGAGCGTTTGCTGGGTCCCAAGAGCCACCCCTCCACCCAACCCTAGTAATTATTATAGCCTTCGTACTAGAATGGCTGACCTGCTAGGAAGTCAGTCAGGTGTTTCTTGGTTAGGAGGAATACTTGCCTCGCTTCCGCCCTCGCCGGCACGATTTCGACCAGGGTCAACTCCGCGCGGGCGGCCCATCACCTGGGCCTCCAGCAACTTGACCCTGGCCGACTGTCGCAGGTATGCGTTGACGACGGCATTCTTTTCCGCACGGAGCTGGGCGTTCTCGCCTTCGAGATGCTCGATCCGAGCCTCAAGCATCTCGTTGAAGGCGAGCACATCCAACTCCTGTGCGGATATCTTGTCGGGCACGGTGGCCGCTCGAGACGGACCGGCCCTGCTAATAGCACGGACCGAGTCCGGAGCGACCATCGCGATTGGATTGTCGGAAAGAGTACCGCCGGTTGCCGCATATCCTGGATAGTTCGTTACCGGCAAGTGCGGAGGCACTGAGGCTCCATTTGGGCTAACAGGCGCTGTTGCATCGGCGGGTCGAACATTGCGCTCCCGAAACAACGGGAACAGGGCCGGCAACAGCACCTGTGCCCACCCAGAAAGTGCCTGAGAAATGGCGGCATAAGCGGAGATCTAGTCTGCTGTTGTCGCCATTTCGTAGTCGGCAAAAAAGCTTAGATGAATAGATGGAATTGGGTAGGGAATAGTACTTAACTTTTGTGTGTCGTTGATGAGCTGAAAATGTCATGGACAGAAAAAAAGAAAGGAGAAGAGTTGGGCCAGATGATTCTACGGGGGCATGGGACATATACGCGTCTGGTCTGCATCGTCGTTGCTGCCTCGACGCCGTGTAGTTTGTTTGTTTTTTGTTTTGATAGTTCCTTCCTCTACAGATGTTGGATTGGGTTCAGATAAACAAAGAAGGGAAACTGCACCGTAGCTTCCACGCACTGGTCGATGTCTATGGGGAAAGTGCGCCTCTGCGTAGCTGGTATATCATGCCATTTTCCCCTCGCTCTTTCTACCCAAGATGATGACAAGGAGGGCATGGCGGCACAGGTACGTAGGGAAATATCCGTACGGAATAAATGCAGGTGTCGATTTGCATGAAGCCATCGTACTATGGCGGGGTAACATCGAAGTTCGCACCGTAACTAGAAGGAAACAAAATAACACTGTTCAAAGCGCTATTCAAAATCAACATACCGCTCTCTCCTCCATGGACCCAACGTGAGGCTGTATCTCTATCAAGGCGCAATACACCTCCATTAAGTTCCGCCTCAACGTATTACACAGGAATGAAAGTAGCACAAGTCCTCGAATACGATAGCAAAACGTGTACAAGGGAGAGGAAGGCTGTTGATTTGTTGGAGCTATTTCTACTGGCACGTGAATAAAGACGCATCTCCGTGAATAAAAAAATGGCAATGCCACATGCTAATCTCGAGTACCCCAACTGGTTGTCAGCCATTCATTTAATATTGAAATATAAACTAACGCCGTAGACTCCCTGGAGTGCCATTGCGGCGCCAGGAACGAAACCGCGGGCCACTTCCTTTCATGTACAGAAATACCGCCGCCGCCGCCGAACTGGCCCTGCCCCCCCGACGACCTGTACCACCGGCTGCAAGCCGGTCCCACAGCCAGACCACTCCTCCGCTGGCTTATTTGGAGCAACAGACGCCCGGAATACAGTTTGGCGAGGGAGCTTGAGCAATCGACCGACACCAACTTAACACATTCCGGGACCCGCGGGCCCTCCGGTGCCAACAACACTAACACGCACACCCCTACACCGGTCCTCACATCATCTCACCTCACCATACACACCAACTGTTTTTCTTTGTTCTGTTGTTTATTGTGTTCATTCTGTAGTTCACCACTGGGGTGCAACCCAAAAAAGGCCACTGCACACTCGTGGCACATATAAAATGCACGCACGTAAATCTGCGGTAGTTTTATTCCTCAGGAGTGTTCTGTCTAGCTAGACGCCTATAGCCCTAATCACTCAAGGTGATGGGTTGAAATGGTGTAAGCTTATGTCGGTCTCACCTCGAATGGCTATTGAGCGTCCTCTGAGCCCCAGAGCCACCCTTCCACGCATTCTTGTAGTCTCCTTAATAGAATCACCTACCTGCAAAGACTCCAGAAGCGCCGCTCTTAATTAGGAATTGTGCTTACCTTGATACCAGCCTACTGAGCCGAGCTGTCCTGATCAGGATCACCGGCTACGCTTTGGGGTGTCGCCACACGTTGCTCTAGCCTTTTGATCATCGCCGACTGATAATTGGCTTGAGCGTTGTTCTCTGCACGTAGCCGGGCATACCCGTCTTCTAGACACTGGATGCGAGCTGCAAGCATCTCGTTCCATGACCATGTCCATGTCTGCTGCGGGGGGTCTGTCGGCGACGTCGCTGGCCAGGCGGGGAGGGCCCGTACTGCCAGAAGCAGGATTTGCGTTCGCGGGGGCCACTGACTCAACCCTGGCGGAGAGTACGCTCATCTCATTGGAAAGAACAGCAACCTGCGCCTTTAGGTCGTTGACAGTCTCCATATCAGCATGTTGACTTTGCAGAACCAAGGCGATCTCATCTGGGCCGACAGAATAATAATAATAATAAATGCAGCCTAACAATCCGACCGTGCTCTCAATTGGACGTTACCAAGGCCGTCGTCCAAGTCCATGAAGCGTTGAATCCAAAGTTGACAAGCACAGAGGCCTCTTCCTTTCGTTTTTCTTCTCGTCGAACAAGGCGACCTTCTCCGCGAGAACATCGGCCTCTTTGCTTTGGAGGCGTAAGCGGCATATCCAGTGTCTTGTCTAAGTGCGAGGCGTAATTGTCGTTGTACCGATACTTAATTAAGTATGTAATAAGTCTTCGTCATAGTATATATTTTTTGTTAAATTTATACTGCACGGGGTGGGAACGTCCAGCGGAGGACATCTTGGCAAGCCGGGACATCTTGGGATGGCGGCGCGGCCTCGAAGGCCTTAAAGACAATGTGGCTGCGACTGTTAGCTTCCGAGTCGATGGCGGTTGAGGTCGAGGGCGGCGGCGAGGAGGAGGATGAAGCTCACCACTAAATCGTCTTTCTTTAGTCCCTTGACCCCCTTGTAGTCATGCCACATTCTCTTCCTTGAGCCGAAAGGAAGAGGCATCCCGTACTGTTTCCGTATTGGGCTCTCGTAGAAATGGCAAGGAGCAATATTGTAGAGGTGAGCGGGTGCTTAGTTTTTGTTTGTAATCGATAGTGTTGGTGCTGCCAGACGGGATGACGACCATGTATCTTCCTGTGTAACTGGACGATTTCGTGGTTGTGGGTTGAAAACAGTGTATGGCCAAATAGGGGCTCATTGTTGTGTGAAAACAATCTTTGGCTCGCTCCTAGGCTTCGCCCCGGTAACCACCGAATATTCTTTGGGGTCACGTGTATAGCTTTAAAAAGGAACTAGATCGCTAGTACAGCAGTATCGCTAGGCCAACTGGCAAAATAACGAGTTCCTCAAACACCTAGATAACAGGTCTGAAGCACCGTGGACTTCCCACATTTAATGATGCGTCCCGTGATGTCCTTCTCGTTAATACCAGTGTAAAGTGGGGGAGCCATAGACTCACCTTAAACTATTTATCGTATGTATTGACTTTTCGTATACCATGGGTCAACATACAAGCTACTATGCTGTACACTCGTCATCAAAATGTCATGTGAGTAAACTTGGTCATGGTCGACCTCACTGTGCGCCGCTAACTGTGGGTGTAGTAAGTTTTGTGACATGTATGCGTGAAGTATGATGTATTTTGCGGACATATATATACCTTTGTCTTGGTTTCTTAACGTTCGCTGTTTAATGTCGGCATTTTAAATTATCACAATATTCTCATCTGGCACAAATGGCAGCGGCAGCGTCCAGCCAGCATATCCCAGCCAACGACCGCCGTGTCATCCACGCTCTAGGCAACTGGATTATCCGCAGGAACATTTTGGACCGCGTAGACTCGGCCGAGCAGGCATCCTTGGCCCTCACATGCAGGCAGTTGAGGAGCAGCTTGGCTGGTGTGGCTGATGTGCCTACACTGCGCTCGAAACTCCCATACCGTCAGTTTTTGGACGTTTTGTCTGTTATTGCACGGGACTTGCCGGACCACTACGTGTGTGAGACATGTTTACACCTGCACCAGGTCGCAAATGAGAGCCACGCTCACGACACGGCACTCGTCGAGCAGGCATCCAAAAAACACAGGTTCACGGAACCCAGACTCGAGCCGCGGTGCCGCCGCTCGTCCTCTCACTACGACGCGATCGAGAATCTCCATACATTCACTGGCGCCTTGTCGTCTCCTGCGAGACGCACACCTCTTGCAGGACTTGCCCACCGCGATGTGCAGCTTATCTTAAAGCGTGTCCGTATGCTTTTAGAGGACGAGCAGGTCACGTCGGCACATCAATGCGAACGAGACGAGAACAGGCAAGGCAAAGATGCTGGCGGATTTCAGACGAAGGCGGAAGAGACGAGCATCCAGACGACGGTCATATGGGCTCTGACGCGTTTCTGGTATCACATGCCCTGGAACCGCCCTTCCGACGAGGATCGGGCCGCAAATGCCCGCGACACACTCGAGAAGCAGTTGTGCGCGGCTCTCGCGTCATATTCAGCCCAGCGGCGGATGGTCTCGCCGGACAGGATGTATCGACGGTGTTCCAAAACAATCCAGTACAGCTTTACGCCACGCGTGATTCTCTGTGCCGAAAACGGCACGGGTCGTAATGCTCGTCAAGGCAAACGTCAGCCACGCTTTCTACTCAAGACTACGGTCACCATTGCCCACGGGGATTTTTGCAATGTCCCCCTAAGCATCTGCCCGCATCAGCTCCTCAACAACGACAACGAGACTGTGTGGCATCTAGAAGCGAGGCTAGAGGTGCAACTTCTGAACTATCGCGGGTGCAATGGCGGACAGGCCTACGCCTGCGTGGTAGACGAAGTCAACCCCACATACGAGGGCCCGCCTTTGCTGAAATCGGCGTTTCGCTTTTTGGTTGCCTCGATGTATGTGTACGGAGTGCACAACCATCCGGAGAGATACCGACTCGCAAGACAGCAGGGCAACGATCCCCAACTTTATCGCACACCCGCCGACCTCCATGCATACCAGCAGAACGAGGAGAGGAAGCAACAGCAGCAGCAGCTACTGAATCACCGCGCGGTGGGCGGCAGCTGCGCCCGCTGCCCGACGGACTTTTCGGTGCACGCCAGAGACGAGGGCCTCGAAATCACCGTGTGGCAAGACTTTGGACCCGAGGCGCCGGTGACGGATGTGTGGTGGCAGAGCCACGTTCCAGGCCCCGTGCTGCAGTCCATGGCGCCAAACACGTGGCAGTCAGGGCTCACAGTCGAGCACGATCCTGGATCTGTTCGTGCGCTGTTCGAGACCGGTGATACCGTGGATAGCTTGTTACGAGAGCGGCAAAACTATGTGCACAGACGACGGTGGTGGTGGTGATCATGTAGGAGGTAGATAGAGTGAGCACTTGCCACCAAGAAGGGGTCCTGGTCCGAGCTGCGGGAACGAAGGTGAGAAGGCCGAAGAAGAGATGATACCCAAAATAGGAAGAGAAGTATGGTGGATGAGAACCAAGTTTGAATAAAAGGACGAGAAGAGAGGAGGTAACATGTGTTGGAGACAGGAGGGAATGGCGAGTTGTCGGAGAAATGCTGCTGCCTCGGCACGGCGTTTGCTGTCTTATGTGCTCGCTCCGTCCAACAAGAGATTCAAAGATAGAAAATGAGTGAGTCTAGACAGCATGGTTGTTGGCCACAAGTATCTCTTTCCTTCAAAACTTGCTTCTTCGTGACGGATCAGCTTTGCACGAGCCTGTCCCAGCCTGAAATACGTTGTTTTGTTGTGTATGAGACCAAAGCACAACAGGAACCAGACTGCTAGGCTAACCGGCAAAAAGAGAGCCCTCTAACAACGCTAGATAGCAGGACGTAAGTACCGTAGTCCAATACTTGCAGTTCCGTCACGTGGTGCCTGCCGTGGCATGAGATCCACACCAGCCCAAGCTCCATGCAGAGGCCCACTCTACCAAGATCCCGCTAAAACAACCTGAACAGGTAAGCTAAGCTTGCCACAACATCCACTGAAACTTGCGCCTCACATCCCGGAATCCGCTGCCGCCACAGACCACCACCCGATCTTCCATCGACCACGACGCCTTTGTCACGCGCCAGGGATCGATCACAACCCACCGCCGACGCTCATGGCCTCGTTCGGCCTGCCCCCTGTCCGCGTGCTGCGGCCAGCGCTGTGGTGCGCGGGCGCCGTGGGCACAATCTACGTCGGCTCTGCAGCCTACGAGGTGCGCCACGATGCCGCCATTGCGCGGGAAGCCCGGCGGGCGCGACACTTGCCGACCTCGCCCATCAGTCTGCGGGACTTGGACGGCGTGCGGGCCATGCTGGCGGCGTCGGGCGGCCGCAACCCGCTGCGCGTGTCCCATGCATCGTCGTCAACACCCACCACATCCCCCTCGCCCTCGCCGCTTGCGGCGTGGTCCAACCTGCCCGAGGCGGGCAAGCTCATGGTCGGCCTCGTCTCCACCAACGTGGGCGTCTTTGGCCTCGAGCGCTTGCTCCCCGGCACGTCCGCTCTGTTCTCGCACGTCCCCGCGGCGTCCGGCACCACCGCCGCCACCGCCAACTTCACGATGCTCTCGTCCGCCTTTGGCCACGTCGGCCTCGCCCACCTCGCCCTCAACATGTACGGCGTCGTGCAGTTCCTGCCGCCCGTCGCCGCCAGCCGCACGTTTGCCAGCAGCGGCAGCCACCTGGCGGCGTTCTACCTGTCGGCCGGCGTGCTGGCGTCGTACGCGTACCACCTGGCCGCCGTCTGGCCGCGGCCGCTGGACCGCGTGATCCCCGCGCGCGGTGCCAGCGGCGCCGTCATGGCCGTCGTGGGCGCCTTTGGCATGTCGTACCCGGACAAGCAGCTGGGCATCGTGCTGGTCCCGGGCAGCCTGCCGGCGTCGCAGTTCTTGCTGGGCGTGGCCGCGTTTGAGACGTACGGCCTGTTTGTGGGCTTCAAGCGGCTGCCGCTGGCGCACGCAGCGCACTTGGCGGGCCTGGCGCTGGGCGCGGCCTATGTCTACTACGACGGGCGTGACCGCGTCTGGCGGCCGGTGAAGCAGTGGACGTTCCACCAGATGCAGCGACTGTCGCTGGTGTGAGGGGCGAGTATGCCGTCTCTGCCGAGCTGAGGCACTGCTGTTTACGCCGATAGACGTCGATGGATACGGGAAATGTCGAGCCGAGGAAAAGGTTTTTGTCGCTCTCATGTTGATACAACGGCAAAGATCTTGCAAAATACGTCGATTCATATGAGAGCGACAGGACTGTACGATATGAATGCGTGCAGCAGAGGCGTTGGATCCATTCAAGCCTTTTGATGTCGCTGGAAGCATGTGAACGTCGAGTTTAAGAAGATACCCCGGATACGAGAACAAGACAATCCCTACTGTTATGAGAGTTATGAATTAATTTTTCTATGACCCCATTTTGCACCTGCATTTTTCTTGTAAATAAGCTGCCACAATCGGCATTTTGTTTCTGCAGCCCCTGACGTCGATCCTGTCGTCGGTTACCGTCGTTCCTGTGCGGTCTGCCGGTTAAATGGTGGAGATAAAGAAGGCGGTTGTTCTGTGCTCTCTGTGAAGATTAGAAGACTGGTGTATCCATTCTCGACGCACCAGTGGCTATCCAGCGTCCGCCCTGGGCCGATGATCCGGTCGATCACGCATGTACGCGATGTATGATAGAAAAGGACGGTATTGAAAGGGCCGCTTCATCGGGCTGAAGCTGAGAGAACAGGGACAGAAGAAAGAGAGAGATGACCAGAGGATACACGGCTGTTCAACTGTTTGATCACCGTCTAATTTCACTTGGCAGTTTATCAGGAGCATACCGTCTTTGTCTTGACAAGATATAAGTCGTCCCCGGTGAGTATTTCGTAGCCTTGTTGTAGAACAGTATTCAGTGTCCAACACATGCTTCTTGTTTTTCTCCTGTTCTGTGTCTGTGCGTGCTTATTCAGTCTTTCCACCTCCACCACACACCACCACGATGTGGTCCTCCTTCTTTGCCTGGGCCGCCGCCACGGGCAACTTGGCTCTGCGCCACCTCTCGCTCCGCCAGGACGCGGATGCCGCAACCACCAGCACCGAGCCCGTCCTCCTCATCGGCGGCGGTCCGTCCGGCACGATTGCCGCGGCCACGTTTGACGGCACCACCTTTGCCATCATTGCCAACAACACCCTGCCCGGCACCAGCCCCAGCTGGCTGCTCTACAAGGACCCCAACCTCGTCTACGCCGTCGACGAGAACAGCAACAGCACGCGGCTGTTCCAGTTCGACGCGACGACCAACGCCTTTGACCTGCTGCACGAGGAGCAGGGGTCCCAGGGCGTCGTCTACCTGTCCTTCAACCTCGACGCGACGCGCATGGTGGGCGCCGCCTACGGGGCCGGCCAGGTGGACGTGTGGGACGTGTCGGCCGGCGCGGGGGGGCTGACGCTGCTGAAGCAGATTGCGAGCGACGACCCGCTGGGGCCCAACGCGGCGCGCCAGGAGGCGCCGCACCCGCACCAGGCGCTGCTGGACCCCAGCGGGCGCTTCTTTGTGGTCAACGACCTGGGCACGGACACGCTGCTGGTGCTCGACACGCGCGACGACGCGTTTGCCGTGGTCAACCGCGTGCGCGTGCCCGACGCCGGCTGCGGCCCGCGGCACGCCGCCTTCTTCCCGGCCACGGGCGCGGGCGCCGACGTGCCGACCAACTACCTCGTGGTGTGCGAGCTGCTGAGCCTGGTCGAGGTGTTTGCGCTCAACGTCACGGGCGACGCCGATGGCGACGGCGGCAACCTGACGTTCCAGCACCTGCAGTCCATCAGCACGTTTGACCCGCTGCAGCCGCCGGCCAACGCGTCGACGGCGACGGCGGCCGAGATTGTCGTGTCGGCGGACAACCAGCACGCGTACGTGAGCAACCGCAACACGGGCCACGCCACGGACAGCGTGGCGCACTTTGGCCTCACGGGCGCGATCGGGGCGACCTCGGGCGACGCGCTGGTGCTGACGTTTGTGGAGACCATCTCGTCGGGCGGCCTGCAGCCGCGCATGGTGTCGCTGTCGACGACGGACGGCAGCGAGGCGCTGCTGTTCGCCGCCAACCAGGACGGCGCCGCGGGCCTGCTGGCCATTGCGCGGGACAGCACGAGCGGCAACCTGACGGCCGACGCGGCGTCGGCGCCGAGTGTGCCGCTGTCCGTGTTTGGCCCGGCCGGGAACGGGCCGCAGTATGTGCAGCAAGTGCCCATCGTCTTGACGACTTAGGTGTGCCAAGCAGCGGTGTCTTCACCTTCTTTCAGTTTCAGTTGTAGTAATCCAATCTTTTCATTCATTGTTGGCACGTAGGCCATATCGTAATGTGTCATAAACGCAACGTAAGTACAACGCGGCCGATGTCCCTCACAGCGTCTCCGGCAGGAAGGAGGCACTGTCGCTGCGCCCATGCAGCGTGGCTCGCCTGTCTGTGCACGACGGGTCCTGTGCCCCGGGCAGCACCAGGCTCAAGTGCGTGCGGCCGTCGGCGGCATGGGCGGCGGCCCGCCGGAGAAGGTCCCGCAAAAAGACGACAAGACGTGTCAAGTCTTGCTGGTTGTCCTCCTCCCACCGCAGCAACCGGCCGGCCACGTTTTCGACGTGCACGTTGGGCTCAAACACGCCGTGCTTGTGGCCGGCCTCGTAGAGCTGGGCCGTGCGGCCAAAGTAGAGCTGGCTGTCGGGCCGGTAGCGGACGTATTGGGCCGACTTGGCGCCGGTACTGAGCGAGGCTTGCCGCTTGTGCGCGTCAAACGTCTTGACCTCCACAAGATGGCCTGCTGGCACGGGCACAGCCGGGCCACAGGGATAGTCGACCGTCAGGGTGGGTGACGAGAATGCCTCCTTTGCCTCCTCGTCGTCTGCATCCTCCATCAGGACCGAAAACCGCGAACCCTTCGCCATGGATCGTGGACTGGCCGGCGTGGGCGTGGGCGTGGACATGGCCAGCTTGGGCGACACGGGCGGCGACAGCGGGAATTGCACTGTTGCTGTGCGTCCCTGCTGATGCGGGTCGTGCTGGTGCGGGTCATAGTGGCCGTCCGCCTCGCAGTGGACGGCAAAGCGCAGGCCGCCCAGCTCGTAGTACAGCACGCGGTGGTGGGAGAAGGACGTCTGCAGTGCTTCGGGCAGATCGGGGCCAAAGCGACACGTTGCGGCAGCAAAGTTGGTGCCATAGCCGTAGCTCAGGTGGTGGTCAGGGTCGTCTTTCCACTGCTGGATAAGAAGGGTGCCGCCCGCTCCGTCGCCGTCTCCGTTTGCCATACCCGTCGGCGATGGCGGGCGCCACTCCAAATCGCACCGCAACGTCACGATCGACTTGCCGACCAAATAGTTGAACAGGCGGTAGATGGAGCCCGCATTGGCCACAATGTCACAGGCACCGTTCAGGATACCCACGTCGGGACTCATGCACTGCACGGCCCGGACCAGTGGCTCGAGGTCGTGGGTATACGTCGGGTAGAGGCGCTTCTTGTCGCGATCACTGCCGCCGTCACCGTCGCCGTCGCCGTCGCCGTCGCCGTCGTGGCTGACCTGGATGGCGTGGGTCGTCGGCGGCGAAAACCGCGGCGGACAGCCAGGCACCGCAATCGTGTCGTCAGAAACCTTGTTGAAGCTGGCTAGCACCCGGTCGGCCGTGATTCGGACGGGGCAAGCCTGGTCGGTGCTCGTATCCGCCGCATCGCCATCCGGGCCCTTGGTGTTGGCGCCGGCGAGAAAGTCTGGGTGTGCGTCCAGACCCCCCAGCATCTTCCGCAAGCGCTCCTGGCTCTTGGCAAGTAGAGCCGCATGGCGGTGGATGCTGTCTGCGAGCTTCACACGGTCTTGATCGGCGTGGAAGTACGTGCATTTGTTCTTGCGAAACTGGGTGCAAGTGAAGCCATATCTGCAGGCGCCTCTATTGCCGGTGTACTGCCGCGTTGGACGCCAGGGCGTGGACATGGTGCGTTGCTTGGGAAAGAGGGAGAAGCAAATGTCAGGTTAATTGGGCGTTGTTTGAGCGTCGAAATGTGGTTGTGCGAACATCGTCGGCATGACATGGGATCGCGTCGAGACATGTTATAGCGTTTTGGCAAAGCAGCTGCCATCGCACATAGTACGTTCCATGAGGCTCTGCCAAAGGTCAATCGACAAATAAGACGCTCGGCTTTCTTCCATCTAGGCCACCCATCATGCGACTGCCCACGACTGTCATGGCCAACAGACACTGGTCGCCCGACATTGACCAGTCACGTCTGCCAGCCTTGGACTGACGTGGCATGCCTGCAGCCGCCCAGCCTCACTTTTTGCGTCTTTGCGACTTGGTGTCTGTGGTGGTCCAAATGGCAGAAATTCGCGGTGCCCCATTGGTGTGACCGTCAGCCGCCAGTTGGATGGCAGCACACGGCTGTGGGTGGTGTCGCTCGCGGCCCAATTGGCGGACCCTGGTCGCTGCAGCCATCTTCCATCTTCCATCTTCCATCGCCGCCCATCACTGCCCACCATGGCCGTCAGCCTCCGACGCCAGCAGCCACTCAACAAATGAGGCGGCACTCTCCACACCCACCACCGTCGTTTTGTCGCCAGTCGCACCAAATAGCAGGCCCAGAGGCTGCGGGGGACAATCGGCCAAGCGCCGCACCACCGCGTCGTTGCGTTGGCCGTGGCCGTCTTGCCTTGTGGAGATCGTCGTCGTTGTCGCCTCGTCCGCTTGAATCAGCACGGCGTTCCATCCAGCCGCGTGTGCGCCCGCGACGTCTTTGGCCGCCTCGTCGCCTACGTACACCTTGTCCCAGTCGTCGAGGTCGACCGTCTGGGACGCGCCATGGCGGTCGCCACCCAGCACCGCAGGCAGCAGGGACTCTGCCGCGCGAAAGATGGCCGGGTCGGGCTTCTCGACGCCGACATCGTAGGACATGCAGTGGAAGTCAATGTCGTAGGAGACGGCCGAGGATGACGATGACGATGAAAACAACAAAGGGTCGGCCGTGCCATAGCGCAACGGGCTGACGCGCAGGCCAAAGGACGACAGAATGCCGGGCACGCGGTCGTCCGAGTTGGTAATGACGCCGACCACGACGCGGTCGTATGCCTGTCGTTGGGTCCGCCTCGCCTCCTTCCAGGCCCGCAGGCTTCCAACAAGGCCGTCGTCCATGGCGTAGCCGTCGCTCGACGCGAAGCGCGCCAGCAGCTGCGGTGCCAGGCCGGGCGGTAGGCTCCCCGGGACAAACGGCCGGAACGTCTCCTCAATAACCCGCGTCCACCACGCCGTCGCGCCCATGCCGCTCGTCCACCGGCCGTAGTTCGGGTGCGCACGCGACTGCTCTTGGAACGCGGCACGAAAGGCGGCGCGCAGTTTGCTGTCCGGCACGTCCACGGCCACGCCAAACTGGCGCCGGGCGACGTCGCCGTACTGCCGCTCAATGGGCTGCTTGATGCGGAACAGCGTGCCGAACGCGTCAAAGCAGAGCAGGAGGTTACGCTTGGCCATGGCGCGATGGGATGAGTGGTGATCGATGTACATTGGTGTATGTGGCGGCATCAAACTGTATTTAGCTGGTCTCGGAGCCTGAGCTTTGTTGACACCAGGTGGGTTAGCGCTGAAAAGAAGGCTGTAACTTATGGCGCTTACAGCAGCTCAGCAGCAACTCAGCGGGCAAAGCATAAGCTATAAAGATGGAGCTTTAGCGCTGGATCCAGTATTAGCAGGGTATCTCTACAGAACATTACCCCTGTCCTGTCACATGTATTGATTTTCATTGGTCGGCACCCGTCGCATCGTGCGTGCAGGCCAGTGAGATGAGGGGCAAGCACGTCGCAAGTCGGCACCTTTGCGCCCGTCGCTGTCAACAAGGGTTCATGGAAAGGGCCCCGCGAGATGACGCAGCACGGCATCTCAGCTGCACATCCCATCGCAGGTCCTGCTACCAGCACGCTGTGCAACAGGCACGCGCAAGACGACACAGGCAGATACAGACACCTACAGACGCCTACACACGGCCTCGCACGATGAGCCTCTCGGTAGAACAAATGGCCGAGGAGAGCCCCGAGGTGGCCGAGGCGACGACGGCCGTGGGCCATGACGCGCACGCAGAGTCGCATTCGAAGCGGGAGCGGCTCATGGGGCTTTTGTAGGTATCTTATCTTACCAGCTGCATGTGGCACAAAGGCACGGATGACAGCAGCGTGCTTCGCTGACGTGCCACGCAGAAAATCCGGCGTCTCCTACGGCGAAAACGAGCTCCTCAAGGGCAAGCTCAAGCTGCAGCACTCGCTCGGCCTCGGCGCCCGGCCCAATGCCATCCCGCCCGCCGACGCGCAGATCCACGGCCCCGAGCGCACCGTGCGCCTCGGCTGGCACCCGGTCGCCGGGCTGGCGGGCAAGTGGTTTGCGGAGAAGACGGGCCTCGGCAAGCTCATCACCGAAAAGGTGCACCACTACCCGGACCCGACGCAGCACTGGGCCGTGCTCGTGGGCGACTACTGCCACGAGCTCTGGATGGACGAGCACCTCGACGTCATCTACATCAACGAGACGGTCGTCGCCGGCGACTGGCACACGTTCGAGGTCGGCAAGACGCGCTTCAACGACGAGGCGCTGCGGCAGGCCGGCGAGATGGTCATCTTCAACATGCGCCAGAAGCGGCCGGCGTACAACCTCATCAGCAACAACTGCCAGAACTTTGCGCTGTTCCTGCTCGACGCCATCCAGGTCGGCAAGCACCGCGAGTTTGGCACCGCGTTTGCCGTCTACCAGCGCGCCACGGGCCAAGGCACCATCGCCGACCTGTTTGCGCCCAACGCGCCCGACGAGCCCGACGTGGTCGAGCCGGCCGCGGGCGAGCAGGCGACGGACGCCAGCGTGGCGCAGAAGAAGAAGGACTACTTCCAGGGCATTGTGGACTTTGCCAAGAAGGTCATGGACGACAACACGAAAAAGGTGGACAGCCATGGTGGACACTGAAGAGGCGACGACGGGATGGTCGGGGATGGAGGGACAGGCACATATACTTGAGATATACGTTAGAGGGAGCATACGGTGGGGATCGATGACATTGTTTCTGGCAAGACCAGCGGTCCTGGCAGCGTTTGTACATCATAGATGGTTTAGACAGGAATTGCGTGGCCCGGTGTTAGGGCTCGTATGAGAAGTTGAGCGAATCATTGGCTTTATTTTGTTTTGTACACCTTTTTGTTCTCCGATGCTTTACGGGCGACAGTGCATCACACATACTTTACTGGCACGCACCGTCAGGCATGTAACCCTACCTCTGTTCCGTCCGATCAGCCAACACGCCAACCTACAGATCGTGCGCCAGCGCCCGCAGGTCGTCCTCGCCCATCTCGCCGTCCCAGCCGTTCGCCAGCAGGTACTGGCGGAACTTCTCGTCGTTGATGGCCAGGTCCTCGCCCGTCACGTTGGGCACGAAAAAGTACGTCACCAGCATGCCGGCGACGCCGCAGATGGCGGCAATGATGAACGTCCAGCGCTTGCCCAGGTTGTTCTGGATGGGCGTGAAGGCCTCGGTGCCGACGGCGGCGCCCGTCTTGCCGAGGGCCGCGCTGAGGCCGTAGCAGGTGCCGCGGACGGCCGTGGCATAGCTCTCGGAGGACAGCAGGCCCAGCATGTCGCCGGGGCCCAGGTTGCCAAAGGACTGCATGAGGCCGTAGAAGACGATGAAGAGCGGCAGGATCTTGGTGATCTTGTCGTACGCGCAGCCGATGATGAGGCCGAAGACCAGGTAGCCCGAGAAGCCGAGGATCATGGTGTTCTTGCGGCCGATGCGGTCGCACAGAAAGGCGCCGACAAACACGCCCGGCAGCGCGATGACGCCCAGCAGCAGGCTCCACTCGGCGGTCTTGAGGATGGAGTCGCCGGACGCGGGCACGACGGACGCGATAATGAGGCCCGAGAAGACGCCGTTGGGGAAGGTGATGAAGTCGTACAGGAACCACGCGCCGCACGTGCCGATCAGGGTCTTCCAGTAGTAGCGCACAATCAGCCGGTAGGGCACGCGCTTCTTGATGGCGCCGCGGCGGTACAGCTTCGAGTTGAGCATCTTGAGGCGGAAGTAGAAGACGGACAGCGGGAACACGACGCCGATGCCCATGCACACGCGCCACACCGTCGACAGGTGGTCCATGCCGGCCGCCGAGAGCACAATCAGAAAGACGATGATGGCCAGGGGCCCGCCAAAGGACAGCGGCAGGTTCGTCACCAGGATGAAGATGGGCCCGCGCCGCGTGGGCGTGCGCTCGTTGGCGGCCTCCGAGGCGGACGTGCTCGACGCCGGGTACTCGCCGCCGGTGCCGAAGCCGACGACGCCGCGCGCCACGGTCAGCATCCAGAACATGCCCAGCGTGGTCGCGCCGTGGGCCGCCGTGGCCATGATGCCGCCCAGGACAATCATCAGCGTGGTCACGACGATGGCCGTCTTGCGGCCCATGTAGTCGCAGGTGAGGCCGACGACGACCTGGCCGAGGATCTCGCCGACCAGCAGCGCGTTGGACACCTGGGTGCTGACGGCCGACGTGTAGACGGCCGCATACTCCTTTTTGAAGAGCACGTTGCACATGGTCATGAGGTTGTTCTGGTAGCCGTCGGAGATGAGGGCGGCACCCGCGCAAATCTACGCCTGTTAGTAGCCGCAAACTGTGGACGGCGCAACGGTCCTTGGTGGACGCCACGCAAGAGACGTACAATCGTAAACAGGTCCGACATGGACTGCTTCTTCTCCGAGACGGGCGCAACAGCGCCGGCCGCGCCATCTGCCTTTTCGTTGCCATCGCGGGCGTCGGCGGCGTCGGTGGCGCCGTTGTGCGCCTGCGCGACTTGCTTCTCGTCGATCTGCTCGAGGCTACTGGCAGGGGCGATTTCTGCCATGGTGTGCCGTAGGTGTAGGTGAAGGGGTATATCAGGACGATAAAAAAAAGAAAAAAAAAAAAGAAAAAAAAGAAGAGGGAAACGGGGACACCAGCAGGTCTTATCTGTGCGGCCTGAGATCGGCATTCAAACGACACGGCCTGCAAATTTCTGCAAGAACCGTCTGCACGACGGAAACACCGTCGCCGGTCGTCCTCCAACTATCCTTGCGCAAGTCACTTTGTACTTGTTTATCTCCGCCCGTCGTATTGCTTCGTACAAGTCGCCCAAAACGGCAACTTTTGTTGCACATCCAACTGAATCCGCTGTGCTCCATATTCCTACTCAATAGAGCGCTCCTCGTTAGCCCCATGCGCGGTCAGTCAAAGGGCTTTCATCTTTGGATTCGTACCGGCGATCCCTTGTCCGATACCCGGTAATTCGTACTCTCTCGCTCATCCCATCTTTCTAACTTTTGACCCTTTCTGTGCCTTCGTCTTCATCATCGCACCGCAGGCGATTCACCATTCCATCACGCCCTCTCTGTCTGTCGAGGCTACAGTCATAGCCAACAGCCAGACCCGAGTCCGCACTCGTCTCCGTAAGCTACATGGCTACTGCTACGTTGGTGGCCACAAGTACGACGTACTACGACTTTGCACACGCAGGACGATAGAAGTTGACAACGGCCAATCTGAGAAAGCAAAAAGCCCGCTGTGGCATTATTCACCATTCGTTTACTTGTACTGTTCGTCCCTTGGGCAATCCCAGTCGACGCCAGTGTCCCACGTGTATATCTGCTTCACGTAGGAGTTTGTTCACGTCGTAAACTGGAGATACGAGATTTTTGCGTTGACGTTTGGTGGTCAAAAACACTTGGACACCGCCCGGTTACATTTGCAGTGGGTCGACATTACCCGCCCCTAGCTACACGTTGCAGCGCTAAGTCCAGCACCATCGCCAAGACATAAGCCAGTTTTCTTCCACGATCAGCGCACGTGCATCTCAACAGGGGTTTGTAGGCCAACTGGCGAAATAGAGAGCCCTCAACACCTTTGTTCGGGAAGTTTTGCCGAGTTGGGTGGGCAGGCGTAGAAACAAGCTTTTGATGGCACTGTGGTAGCTGCTTGGCGGCTTCTTAGAGAGCATCGTATCGTGTGCATCGTAGACTGCTGCCCTTGGTGAATCAACTTGCTGATTTATTCTGTAAACCTGTGGGAAATCCGTGGTCCTCCAGACCTGTACTAGCCTGATTAAACGGGCACGCAAGCACCATGCGAATGGAAAACGGAAGATGCCGCACGGCAGTAGTCGTGCTTTGTCTTGGTTTCTTCCACTTGTCTCCTTTTTTCGTCTCCTTTGTTTCTTCTATTTTCCAGTCGGGTTATTTCTTCAAACTCGTTCTGTATTGTGGGGCCTCGTGCGAGATGGGCCAACGAAGGAAGCGGTAAAACGGCACGAAGTAAACATCCAAAGTAGACAAAACAGAACATAAACAGATGAGCCTTGTGTGAACACGCCCTGTTACACCTTACCTTGTTGGAAATGGGAGAGAAGTTATACAGAGAAATTATAAAGACTCGCAGGTGGATTGCATGGACAATTCATTCTGCGATAATATTAACGCGAAAGAGGAACAACAGCCCGACGTGTCATAATAGCCGGACGAGAATCCATGTTCTTCGATTCGTAAATTGTGTTTCTATCTGGGTATCTTTTCATCTAAGCCACGTCCCACTCCTCTCTTCCTCCCTCCTCCCTCCTCCCTCTTAGTACACTCATATCACCGTAACACCCTCGTAGCCCCACTCCTCGAGACTTGTCGGCTCGACGTCCGCCTCGTCCGGGTCCAGCATCGGGTACGTCAGCAGCGCCGCAATGCCCCCCAGCCCGTCCAGCCGCTTGCCGCTCTCGTGGTCGCTGCTCAGCAGGTGTGTCGCGCCGCCCTCGTCTCGCACCCGGTCCACAATGCCCACGTACTGCCTGCGCGTGGCCAGGTCGTCGCTTCGAAAGAGCGCATTGTTGACCAGCAGCGCACCGCCCCCGCGGCCCACGGCGCCCTCCTCGACGGCCTGGGCCACATGCCGCAGGCCATACGCGACGCGCCCGTCGTTTTGCCGCACGCGCGCCGCGACCTCGTCCATGACGCGCGTCTCGTCCTGGAACTTGGCCGACTTGACGACGGCCGCCACTTCCGGGCTGCGCAGGGCCTCGTGGAGCGCGTACACGTTGGCCGAGTTGGCGTGGACGACGACGGCGTCGCGGCCCATGCGGCGCAGCTTGGCGTCGTCGGCGCGCACGGCCTGGTCGCTGACAAACGCCTTGAACTTTTGCGCGGCAAAGCCGGGGCTGGCCAGCACCAGCAGGCGCGGCCCGCCGGAAAAGTCGGCCGCCTCGAGCAGCGCCGCGAGCACCTCCCCATAAAACTGCGGCGTGGGCTTGCTGCTGCCCTCCATGCGCGTCTTGACGAGCGTCTGGTACTCCGTCACCAAGACGACGAGCGCCGTGTTGTGCGTGTCGCCGAGCACCACCGCCACCAGCGCGTCGCCCTTGTCGGTGCGCAGCGCCGCGTCCAGCTCCGCCTTGGCCACCGAGTCCCACCCGCCGCTCTCCCGCGCCTTCCACAGCGTAAACGGCCGCTGCAGCTCGAGGTCGAGCGTGTGGTACTGCCCCAGCGACGCCAGCGGGTTCTCGACGACAATGGTGCCGTTGACCTGCAGCGCCGACGACGGCGGGTCGAAGAAGGTCGCGGCGACGCGGATCGTGAGTTCGGTGCGCATGCGGTTGGAGCTCGTCGAGCCCGTCGCCGACTCGTCAACCACCTTGCGGATGGCCGTCGCCTTCAGAATGTCGCCGGGGCGGATGAGGTTGTTGGCGTGCCACATGTCTTCGGGCTCCGTGGGCAGGAGTGTGACGCCGGCCTCGCCCTGGGCAGCGTCGGTCGTCGCCGGCTTCTTTCCTTTGACAAGCTGCATTGCGGGGTGTGTGAGTGGCTGTGTGTGTGTAGGAGTATGCTTTATCGTAAAATGGTGTTTCACGTTTAAAGCGATGTTTGGTATTCGAGAAGTAAGATGTGTGGGTTGAGTGAGTGGTATAATTGAGGAAGACGGGAATGGTGATAGGATGCAGTGTTTGGCTTTTGCTCAACCCCGCTTACGTCAAAATGACTGAATGTGTACCTGCCGAGTTGGCCTCAGCCTTCCAGGCTGTCTTAGGGGGCTCCTTAGCGCAAGGCTGCGCTATAGCCTCTAAGTGACCTGCCCAGGTGCAATGAAATAGCGTAAAGTAACAATGTTAACCTATCATAACATACGAAATACTTTCTTACATTCTGGCTACAAATAAAGCTGAGAGCATTCGTTATCGCTTCATCAATAAAACCCAAAGTGCAAATCCAAGCCTTCGCCGTCTGCAATGCCAAACTCGACACCGGGCACACCCAGTCCCCCGTCCGCCCCGACGCCCGCTCCGACGCCCACGTTGAGAACGTCGGACAGTTCCTGACCCGAAATGCTCCCTGGAAGGCTCCCTGGAAGACTCCCTGAAAGACTCCCTGGAAAACTGCCCGGAAGACCTCCGCTGCCGACGCCGCCTACGTCGCCCATGGGCACAAAGTTCATGCCAAACTCAAAGCTGCCCCAGTCAAAGTTGGTCTGCGCCATCGGCACGTCGTAGGTGCCATCGGCCCAGTTGGAGGCGATCTGCAGGGCTTCCGCCGACAAGGACAGCGACGAGCGAGCAGAGTCGTCCGAGTGCGCCGGGCGAGGAGCAGGGATCGGCACTGGCCGGGCCAGTGTGGTTGGCACGGCCGTTGGAGCGCCCGTTGGAGCGCCCGTTGTAGCCACGGTGATCTCTGGCTCTGCTGACCCGCCGCCAAACCGGCCCTCGACCACCTCCACGCTCTGCACCACCTCCCGATCGTGCGCGTCCCTCGCCCGCTCGAGCAGACCCGACGTGCCGTACAGCTTCAGGTTCGGCGACATGGGCCGCGTCGGCGGCGGCCCGCGCGACACGGGCGGCGGCGTCAGGGGCATCTGGCGCTGGGTGGGCGGCCGGAACTCGTCCAGGTCCAGCAGGTGGCCGTACTGCAGCGCCATGTCGCCCACGGCCAGCAGCAGCTTGCGGATCGGCATGGACCAGCGGGCGGTGCGCTTGGCACACTCGAGACAGGCGGCCATGCCGTCCTTGACGCGCGTGTCGTCGAGCGACAGCACCTCCTTGGCGTCCTCCGCCGCCCGGCCGTCGCGCCCCTCCCGCCACCGCTCCATGACGAGGATGCGCATGGCGAGGCAGCTGCAGATGGCCATGAAGGGGTCGTGCTCCGACGCGAGGCCGCCCTGCTGCAGGCACTGGGCGACGACGTGGGCAATGCCGCACGCGTGCTTGAGCTGCTCGACCTTGCAGGCGTGGACGAACGCCGGGGGCGGCACGACCGACCCCCGGCGCGCACCACTCCGCGACGGGCTGGCGGCGGGCATGTGCCGCCCAACAAAGGTGCCGATGCGCAGCAGGTCGGTGTACACGGCGTGGAACATGGTGTGGAACGTATAAAAGGCCGTGCGGTCGTGCCGCGGCACAGACGCGTGGCTGCGCAGCTGGTAGGCGGCCGGCAGGTCGGCGGCCAGCCCGTCGAGCTGCTGCTTCAGAGCGTAAAAGGCCGAGCCGTCGTGCCACGGCCAGACACGCGTGGCGCCCTTGGCCGCGTCGTGCGCCGCCTCCTCCCGGCATTCTTCCAGCGCCACAGCCGCCGCGCGCATCGCCCACGAGTACTTGAGGATCCGCTGGCGCAGCATGACCATGCTGATCAGGTACGCCCCGATGCTGGGCCGCGTGTGTCGCCCTGGTCCTCGCTCTCGGTCGGCCTCCCCCCGCTCGTACTGCACCTCGTCGCAGGGCAGCCGACTGTGGATCACCGCCGGGTCGAGCAGGCTCTGCAGCGGCCGCGTCCCGCTCTGGTGCACGTCCGGCACCGTGTCCATGACATAGCAGCTCCAGATGAGCCGGCGCCGCGTCTCCACCACGGACGGCGGCAGCCGCACCGTGTTGCCCGTGTTGCCCTTGCCCTCGCACACGTCCGTCGGCTCCAGGTGCAGCTGCAGCGCGTGCGCCAGCCGGTACGCCACCCCAGACAGGAACCACGCGCTCAGGTGCCCGCCGCGGTGCCACTCGTAGCGCTGGAGGAGCAGCAGCGTCTGCAGGTTCGTCGTCGAGATGCGCGCAAACACGTCCAGCACCACGAGGCCGCGGCACTCGTCGGCCCACGCGTCGGCACGGCGGGACCGCTCGCGGCTGCCGCCGACGGCGCCCATCACCTGCAGCCCCGTGGCCAGCACAATCAGAAGAAGCGACCGCGGGATGAGGCCGTTGTCCAGCATCTTCATAAACGACGGCCGGTGCAGAAACGTCGAGTAGCAAAAGTAGTGCGGGCCGGCAAAGTAGGCGTCCAGGATTTGGAGGAGTTCTTGGCGAGGGACGATGCTGTCGACGCTGGCGCCATCGTCTGCTGTATTGGTCACGTTGTCGCTGGCCTTGGTGTCTTCACTGACAGTGGTGGTGCTCAAGGCGGGCTTGGCCTCGCCGCCCATAGACGACAACGCATCACACGTCGCGCCCGCCTTGAGGCACTGTCCACATCCAGGCCCAGACGACGGGGCCGTACAGCGGAGCTGCACGTCGGGCAGGATACGTTAGAAGAGCATCTGACAACGGAGTCGGGAATACGGGAACACGTACCTTTTTATCGCGGCAGCGTGCACAGGCACGCCAGTTGCGGGACCGCCGCCGACCGGGCTCGCTGTCGCCCGGCGTCTCCCAGGTGCAGCGCGCGTCCAGCCGGAAGCAGTTGCGGCACACGTCGCGCGTCTCGTCGCACTTGACCTTGCGCTGCCGGCACGTCAGGCAGCCCCGCCGGCTGCGGCGCGTTTTGACGGGAGAGGTCCTCCGGGCGTCAAAGTTGTCACCCATGTCGTCCGTCGTACTCCACAGGCCTGTACTCTGTCATGTAAATCCGCGTGTCGTCTGTCCGTCGATGCGGCAGTGTCGGTCATCCATTCCTACAACAATACGAGGCAGCATTGTCCTCCGCATCTCCTCACATCGAGAACTAGAGGAAAAGAGAACCAGAAGGGAAAGGGTCTCGACAACAATCAGCCAAAGAGTTGACGCCATACTCATGTGACCCCCCAAAGTAATTGTTCGATGGTACAATCTGGCAATCCAGACGGGATGGTCGCGATGGCGTCAACGGGTATTTGTATGCCTGCGCTGGCGTAAGACCCGCTAGCAACGATAACGACCCTGGAAAACCCTCCGCAATGAACACCACCCCGTCCCCAAAAACCTCCGCTAACGCTCCGCTAACACGCTATTCGCTAGCAGCTGCCGCAGGGGGGGGGTGGCTCGCTGTTTTAGGCGGGGTTTATTGGCGCCTCGGCGACGACTGTTGTGCTTTGGTATCTTACGAATGTACCATGCATGTTGTATGTTGTCACTTTTGCATCATAGCCATCTCCGCCCTCAACCAACCAAACCGCCCCGGCGACGCGCCACGCAATGCCCCCATCGTCTGCTCCGCCCGATCCGGCCGACAAGATGGTCGCCGCTGAAGTGGGCTTCTTTGCCAAAGCCCTGGCCGGCTTTGCCAAGTCTGGCGCGAAGTTTGAGGTTGTTTGCTCCGTCTCGAGACGACATGTCGTATCATCACCAACCTCCTCCTCCTCGTCGTTACCATCGCCGCTTGTGCTGCCCGCGCGCCAGCGCTCCCAGATCCATAACCTCGTCATCCTCGACTCGTCTTTCAACCCGCCCACGCGCGCCCACATGAAGCTGGCCACCTCGGCCCTGCTCGACTGCCTCTGTGCGCCACAACAACAGCTGCTCTCGACGCGCCTTCTCCTCCTGCTGTCCGTCAACAATGCCGACAAGGCGCCCAAGCCAGCCTCGTTTGCAGAGCGCCTTGTCCTGATGCTCGCCCTCGCCCGCGACACGCACGCCGAACTGGCCCAGCACAACAACGACCGCCTCGACATCCCCATCGACATCGGCCTCACCTCCGAACCCTACTTTCACAACAAGAGCAACGCCATTGCCGTCTCGCCCTTTTACGTCCGGCCCTCGTTTCGCTCGGCGCCCGTCGACCGCCCAACGCCCGACCAGCTGTTTCTGCTCGGCTACGACACCCTCATCCGCCTCTTTGATCCCAAATACTATCCCCCAGCAGACGCAGACGGCGCACCGGCAATATCAGAGGGCCTACCCGCCGACGCCACGCCCATGCAGATTGCCTTGACGCCGCTCCTGCGCCGCGCCCGCTTGCGCGTCACAACCCGCCCGGACGATCAATGGGGCGACGAGGCCGCCCAGCAGGCCTGGGTCGCCGGCACGGTGGACGCCCTGGGCGGGCCGACGGAGCAGTGGGCTAGTCGGATCCAGCTGGACACGGGGGCTGACCCGCGCACGCAGGCCGTCAGCAGCACCGTGGTACGGGCGGCGTCACAGACCGGCGACGCGGAAACACTGCGTGCGCTGGTCGGGCCCGCTGTCCTGGAGAGACTGGCGATATTAAAGCCGTATTCCGAGGCGCCGTAGAAGTGCTGTAAAATCGTGTGCTGTAGCATTTATCATTTAGCGTATTATAGCGACTTTCCTGCCCCTGTAATTTTATCTGCAGCGCTTATGGCGTGGGCGACACTTGGTAGCACCTTGTTTGAGGACCCACTTTAATTTATTATGTCATCCTTCATTTTGGTGACGACTTTTCTCGACGGGCTTCGTATCTTGCGATCTTGCGATCGTGACCGTTAGGACTTCTGCATCCACCATCTATCGACGACACCACGCGCCACACAACCCGTCGCCACGATGCTGCCGACTCGAGTTCTCTTCAAGCGGTCGGTCTGGAAAGGTGCGAACTCCTGCCCCTGCGATAGCTCCTTGCCTCACACGACAATGCTAACATTTTTTTCTCTATCCTCTAGGCCCACACATTGTGCCGTACGACTCTCTCGTCCCTCGTCCCTCGTCCCTCGTCCCTCGTCCCTCTCTCCCTCCCTCCTCCTCGTTTTGTTCTCCACGACCCCGCAGCCTACTAACACGTTCAGTCTTGCCATTCCCAACGTCGAGGCCGGCAAGTCGGCGCCCCCGATCCGCACGCAGGCCCGTGCCGCCACCATCCTGCCCAGCTTCATCGGCCTCAAGTTTCAGGTCTACAACGGCAAGGTCTACCACGACGTCACCATTACCGAGGATATGGTCGGCCACAAGCTGGGCGAATTCTCACCGTACGTCCCCTGATCATCGCCGTGAATCTGTCAATTCAAGCAGCCGCTAACTTTGCCAGAACACGCAAACCGTTTATCTGGTCGCGCCGTTAATTGGCGCGACTGGTGTACATGAGCGTATATGGATTTGGATTTTTGTTCTTTTTAATTTTCTTGTTAAAAGCAACGACACGAAACGGCTGGGAGCCAAGTGTTGCTCCCGCCAAATGTAAATATATGTACTAAATACAGCATTGAACACAACCTTCACTTGGAGACAAATTATGTATAATAAACCAACGAAGACGAACAAGATAAACAACGCCGTGTAGATGACCCGTGCAGAACCGAAAAGGTCAGAAAGAAAAAGGTAACGACTCATACAAAAGCCCCGTCCAAACGCCATGCCCGTGTGGCAGCCAGAAACCAGTCCCGACGGCCGTAAGCAAAACACAAAAAGACAAAACGTGCTGACACGCGCACGCCGCCCGGTCTCCCCTCACCGGTAAAACTCACCACGCTTCACATTCACGCCGTACTCGCCCACCGCCATGCCCAGGTCCTCCATCGTCAGCACCGTCCGGTTCTGGCTGCCGCCCTGCCCGCCGCCGCCAAACCCCGGCCGCTGAATGCCCAGCGCGCCGCCGCGGCCCTGGTCTTTGCTGCCCACGCCCGGCGCGTTGGGCTGGCCCGGCAGGGGGAAGCCGGCCGCTGTGCCCAGGTTGCCCATCGGGTTGTTGCTGTTGCCGCCCGTGTTGCTCGCCCGCACGCGGCTGTACTGGTACGCATCGGCGGCGATGTCGGCGACAAACTTCTGCGTGGCCAGGGCCAGCAGGCGCGCGAGGCGGGGGTCGGTCTGCGGCGGCGGGGGGAGGCCGGCTTTGGTCATGTAGTAGTTGGTGACGGCATCGGGGATCTACTCCTCGTTAGTCTTGCACATTTGTAGATAGATGGAGTAATTTGGGTTGGGTTGGATGGGGCAACGCACGATGGGAGCGTAATCGTCCATCTTGTTGAGAAAGTCTTTGAGGGAAATGTCCTTGGCCGTGGTGATGGGCCGCGGCTCGACGGCGGCCGTTAGCGAATGCGGGCCCGTCGCGGCGTCGCCTGCGAATGCGCCGGCACCAGTAGCATGATCATCCGCGCCCGCTCCAGCACCCGCAGCATCGCCTGCCAACGAGGCACCGCCAGCACCGCCAGCCGCGGCGCCGTTTGCCGCTGGAATGCCGGTGCCATTGCCCGTGGCCTCTTGCTCAGCACCGTTCTGTGTTGACGCCGGGTTGGTCGCCATGGTGTGTGGTTTGGTCTAAACAAGAGAAATATTCGAAAAGAAAGTGATGGCGGTTGTGATGGCAATGTTCGTGCAGGTTGTCGTCGAAGCAATGGTCGTTGCGATGCAAGTCGTAGGCGATGCTGACCGAATTGGGCCATTCGCGCATGACACCCTCTTTGAGGAAGTCATGTGATATGATGACTAATATTGGTCATTGACTTTTTTATTCTCGGCTCCATCTCTGATGCTTTCGAAACGTTGAAAATAGCATTCAATTTAATTTCGTATTATTTCAATTTTTTTCAGATAATATTTTATGCCTATCATTCAGCTAAATGCGCCTCGGCCTGTTGTTGTGTTGCTGTCCCAAAACATGACTTCGGAGGAGGCACTACCGACAGTTCAACCGGGGAGAAGAAGATCGTCGCGTTTTTTCTACTGCGAAGACGGACGGCATACAGCGTCCGACGAAAGAAAAAATCTAATTGTGTTCATTTACCGTTTGAGCTCTACGTAATTGCTTTCTGGGAAGTTCTTTTTTTTTTCAGAAAAACGTGAATATGAAAATAAATCGTATGTTTTTTCATGTGTGTTGCTTTTCTTTTCTTTCTATTTTATTTTGTGTTATTTTGTATCACGCGAGTTTTTTTTTTAGTTTTTTTTAAATAAAAAGAAGAGTTCCTGTTGCTACAGTCACATGAAAATGGACGCAGTTAAATACAATGCTATTTCTGAAGAGTGACAAAAACAAACGCGAGGAACATTGTTCCTGCAACGTACAACCCATCGTTATCATGATCCAGGTCCACGACGCTGCGACTGGACGAATAACTTTCGGTTGCACTCGGTCTCATTGTTCTCCACACACATCGTTGACCCTGCCGAGCCGGCTCAACTGGATGAGCCATGTCTCTGGTTGAAATTGCAGTGTTCCCCTCTTCCTTGTCCCCATGTTAGAGGTCCCATCCAGGGAAACATGGTTTCTCATCCTGGTACACCTGGCACGGTATCGTCCGTGGAAAAAAGACGAGGGCGGAAGAAACATTTCCGTTGTCCGGTAGGACGGGAATTGACACGTGCAAGCATGTCAACAAAACAGTGAAACGTTTTTGTATAAATAGAGACCGTGGAGCGTTTAACAAAATGAGCGAGATTCAGAAAAACCAATTCTGTCTCCATCAATTTGTCTCTTCTTGGATGCCAATTCACTGCCAACATGCGCTTCATTGACCTTATATGTGGCGCCGCCGCCGTGACGTCGGTGCTTGCTGCGCCAATGACGGAGGCTGCCGGCACGTCTGCGGCCAAGCAGCGCCGCAAGAGCAAGTTCCAGTTCACGGGTGTCAACGAGTCGGGCGCCGAGTTTGGTAACAAGAACCTGCCGGGGCAGCTGGGCAAGGACTACACGTGGCCCGTGAAGTCGACCATTGACGTGAGTACGCTGCTCTTGTCTCCATGTCGAAGAGAAAGGGGTCAATGTCATCTAACAGATCCAGACTTTGACGGGCAAAGGCTTCAACATTTTCCGCATTCCCATTATGATGTACGCAAGGCTCCGTTGGGACAGAAGTTGTGATATGTGGCATACTCTCCACATACTAACAGACCTAGGGAGCGTGCGATCCCGACGAAAATGACGGGCACCATCAACGACACCTACTTCCAGGGCCTGACTGATGTGAGTATTCTTCGTGTTGTGTGTGTATATGTGTGTGTGTGTTGTCTCAACGCTGACACGGACTGCCTTGTATAGATTGTGTCCTATGTCACGGGAAAGTGAGTCGCTGTCATAAAACAAAACGGGATGACGCGATGCTTGGACTGCATTCTTGTCTAACGCTGTAATGTACATTAGGGACGCGTATGCCATTGTGGACCCGCACAATTTTGGCCGCTACTACGACCAGGTCATCACCGACACGGCCGGGTTCCAGGCCTGGTGGACGACCGTCGCGGCCCATTTCAAGGACAACGCCAAGGTAGTCTTCGACACCAACAACGAGTACCACGACATGGACAACACGCTGGTCGCGCAGCTCAACCAGGCCGCCATCGACGGCATCCGCGCCGCGGGGGCCACGTCGCAGTACATCTTTGTCGAGGGCAACTCGTGGTCGGGCGCGTGGCACTGGGTGTCGAGCGGCACCGCCACGGGCATGGCCGGGCTGACGGACCCCTCCGACAAGATTGTGTACGAGATGCACCAGTACCTGGACGCGGACGGCTCGGGCACGTCGACGGCGTGCGTGAGCAGCACCATTGGACGGGAGCGGCTGCAGGATGCGACGGCGTGGCTGCGAGCGAACAAGAAGCTGGGCCTTGTCGGCGAGACGGCGGGCGGCGCCAATGCGCAGTGCATCGGCGCGCTGACGGACATGCTGTCGTACATGCAGGACAACGCGGACGTGTGGAGCGGGTGGCTGTGGTGGGGCGGCGGACCGTGGTGGGGCGACTACATGTACGGCATGGAGCCGCCGAGCGGCACGGCGTACACGGGCGTGCTTCCGAGCCTGGTGCCGTACATCTAGGGGGGTGGACATGTATGCACGCGGTCACGAAACGAACGAATAGATTGCCGTCGCCACCGTCAAGCCCAGAGACCATCGTACATGAACAACCAGTCGTCCCAGTAGCTTGTGTAGTTGCCCACGAGACGGCTGCGTGCATCGCCACGTTCGTTGACCGGCCATGGTCGCGCGTAGACGCCGTCCGTCTGCGTGTCCGCACGAAGATGCCGCTTGGCGGCAATGGTCATGCTGAAGGAGCTGGGGCTCACGCCGAGAAAGAAGGCGCTGCGGACAAGGACAACAAAGTCGACGACGGCCTGCTGGTCCCATGTGAGGGCGGGCAGCTGCTGCGCCAGCGTCGGCTGCCGGTCGAGAAGGGCGTCCTTGGTGACCACGCGGATGCCCTGTTCGCGGGCGCGCTCGGCAAACTTGGCGGCCTCGGTGGCGTTGCCCGTGGCGAGGTAGACGGCGTGCGTGCGCTCCGCCAAGAGCGTCTTGAGAAACGCGCTGGTCTGGGTCTCGAAGGTCGGCCAAAACGCCAGCGCGTCGCTCTCGGTGCGGAGGTGGACGCCGGCAAACTGGGCGCCGCCCGTCTTCGCCATGGCCGCCGCCACCGCGTCGCCGAGCTGGAGAAGGTCGCGGCGGAACCGAAGCAGCCCGCCAAAGGTGTTGGCAAGCGCCGGGCCGTCCTTGGCGACGGGCCACTCCCACTGCACACCCCATACCGGCTGAAACAGGCGCGGATGCACCGCACTCACCGGCGGCAGGTGGAAGTCGGCGGCCGTTTCGGCGAGCAGCGCATCGAAGCGCGTCCGGAACATGTCGGTGTGCCTGTTCACGTCGCGGTGGTCGCACCCGCCGCGGAGGCCCAGGGCCTTGGGCTCAAGCGGCTCGGCACGCCGGGGCGCCAGGTGTGGCACGGCGGCCGTGTTGTCGTAGACCGTGATGGCCGGGCACGCCTCGCGCAGGCCGCGGCGAAAATGCGCCTCGTCAAAAAAGTAGCCAAACGGCTGCCGGCCGCCAAAGAGCTGGGCCAGGTTGTCTTCCGACCGCGTCTGAATCTCCGGCAGCACAAGCCCCGTGGCTCCGGCGGCAAGGGCGTAGCGCAGACAGGTCAGGACAAAGTTGCGAATGTTGCCGATGCCACCCGAGTTGTTGCTGCAGGCAAAGACGAGGCCGGGCGTCCAGCTGGTCTCGCGGCAGAGGCCGGCGAGGGGCCAGGCGACAAACGGCGCGTCTGGGAGGGAGAGGTCGCTGTTCCGCTGCAACGTGCCATGCAGTGTTGGGCTGGCGATCCGCGGTATGCGGCGAAGACGGCCGACGCCACCGAAGCCGACGAACAGAAAAAGGCCGAGCACGACTGCGACGGCGTAGATGTAGACGAGCCGGAGACGCGGTATCCAGCCTGCACTTGACAGGCGGCGGGCGTGTCGGGCAAGGCTGTTCAGGTCCATGGTGAGTGTGATGGTGATGGCGATGCAATCATGGCGCGCATGAAAGACGCCAGAGGATGAAAAGCAGGTGCAGAGCAGACTCTTGACAGTCGTCACTCGACGACGCAGATGCAAAGAAGTTACAGCGCCTCTGGTTTCCGGCCGGGTAAATGGGCGCGGGACGGCGCATCCGCAGGGGTAGGCACTTGCATATCCGGTCGGTTTTCGTGTTCCGTCCCATTTGGGTCCCAGTTTCAAGATGATCTGTCGGAAGACAGACGGATGTGAGTGGTTGACTTTTCACATTTTTATATAATCTGTTTTTGTTGACGTCGCTCCACAAGGGGCAAAGGAGAAGTAAACATGATGACTTAGCCCCAGTTATCGCGATAACGCTTATCGATAAGAAAACTTTTTTTTCGGTAGGTGTGTCGGTGGTTATGGTGGGGTGTTAGTGGGCTCGGTGGGCTACAGCAGACATCTAGTGGCGATCATGGTTTGCAGCGCACCGAAATAACAAATTCCCGTCCAATCTTGACGGATTCTCACGACTTTCCTCCCAATTCCGCTCGAAACCTTCTTCTTCCCAAACGAGAAAAATACACAAAATGTCCAAGCGCACGGCCGACGACGAGGAGGGTGGCGTGGCCCTCAAGGGTGGCGACCGGCCCATGGACATTGACAACGACAACGAGATGGGCGAGTTTGAGGACGAGTTCGAGGACGAGTTCAGCGACGACGAGATTATCGAGGCCGGTGTCGACGGCCGGCCCGATGCGGAGCGGGAGGCAGAGGAGAAGGCGGCGGGCGCCATGGACGTGGACGGTGCGCCGGCCGGCGGCCCCGGCACATTCATTGTCGGGCGCACGAAGCTGGAGCCGGGCCAGGTGCTGGCGCCGGACCCGAGCGCGTACGACATGCTGCACAGCCTCAGCACGCCGTGGCCGTGCCTGTCGTTTGACTTTGTCCGGGACCAGCTGGGCGACGCGCGCACGTCGTACCCGGCGACCATGTACACGGTGGCGGGCACGCAGGCGCAGGCGGGCAAGGCGAGCGAGAACCAGCTGATGGTGCTCAAGTTTAGCAGCCTCGGCAGGATGCAAAAGGACGGCGGCGGTGACTCGGACTCGGACGATGACGAAGACGGCGACGACGACGGCAACGGCGACGGCGGCGTCGACAGCGACCCCATCCTGGAGAGCCGCAGCATCCCGCTGGCCTCGACGACCAACCGCATCCGCGCGCACCAGGTGCCGTCGGCCGACCCGTCGCGGCCCCCGACGACGCTGACGGCCACGATGACCGAGTCGGCGCACGTGCTGGTCCACGACATCTCGCCGCACCTGGCGGCCTTTGACACGCCCGGCACGGTCGTGTCCGCGCAGCAGAACAAGCCCGTGTCGACGATCCGCGCGCACAAGAGCGAGGGCTACGCGCTCGACTGGTCGCCTCTGCACCCCGCGGGCAAGCTGCTGACGGGCGACAACGACGGGCTGATGTACGTGACGACGCGGACCGACGGCGGCGGGTTTGTGACGGACACGCGGGCATTTGTGGGCCACACGGGCAGCGTCGAGGAGATCCAGTGGAGCCCGTCGGAGGCGTCGGTGTTTGCGTCGGCGTCGAGCGACGGCACGATCCGCGTGTGGGACGTGCGCAGCAAGAGCCGGCAGGCGGCCATCACGGTGCAGGTCAGCGACACTGACGTCAACGTCATGAGCTGGTCGCGGCAGACGTCGCACCTGCTGGCGTCGGGCGCCGACGACGGCGTCTGGGGCGTCTGGGACCTGCGGCAGTGGAAGCCGTCGAACCCGTCGAGTGCAGGCGCGGGCGCAGTCCCGAAGCCCACGCCGGTGGCGCGCTTCGACTACCACAAGGAGCAGATTACGAGCGTGCAGTGGCACCCGACGGACGACAGCATCGTGGCGGTGGCGGCGGGCGACAACACGGTGACGCTGTGGGACCTGGCGGTGGAGCTGGACGACGAGGAGAGCCGCGACACGGCCGGCGTGCAGGACGTGCCGCCGCAGCTGCTGTTTGTGCACTACCACGCCAACGTCAAGGAGGTGCACTGGCACCCGCAGGTTCCGGGCGCGCTGGTGGCCACGGGCGACGAGTTTAGCATTTTCAAGACGATCAGCGTGTAGGTGAGAGGGGTGGATGCGATGGATTGCAGGTGGACGAGTCATATCAAAGCAGGTCGTTGTTATTGGTCTTTTTTTTTCTTTTTCTATCGTTTTCGTTTTCTTTATCATTTTCTCTTTCTTTTCGTCTTTTGTTTGCTCTCTTCTGCTTGGGAGTAACTGGCCCCAAGACTGGCGTCACTCGATTTGAATTCATCCTTTACGCTGTCAGTCTGGCATGTTAGCAATGAGCAAGGTGTATCGTGAGCTGGTGGTCTGTGGCCGCTGCGAGTTTATGTAGTATAAAAGCTCGTGTTCTCGCCATCGTATTTGCCAGGGCTCTTTCATAAGGCAGATTCGCCCCCACGACATTGCATACGACACACATCCACATCAATGCTTCTGCTATACTTTGTTCCTGCGCAGACCATGAGCGGATATCCACTTCAACAAGTTATTAACCCCCAGCTCGCCTACGGCGCCCCGTCGGTCGTCTACCCGGCCCAGCAATCCATTTACACGTCTGTCAATCCTCACATGCCGGGCGGGGCCGTGCTTGTCCAGCCCCAACCGTACGGCATACCGTGCAACCATGCCCCCGGAGCCACGACCTGCTGGATGCATCGTCCTGCCGGTGAGCTGATGCAGCTGCCGGCGCCAGCACCGGGTCGACCAGGACAATGGATCCAATGGTGCAACGGCGCCGTCACCTGGCTGGCGGCACCCATTGAGACTCTTTAGGAGATCAAGTTGCATTACTTCCCATAAGTATCTTACTTCATACTTTGCACTCCATAGTAATACATTGCGTTTCTCGTTTCAGTATTTTCTCCACCGTAGGACCACTCTTGCCCCGTGTCAAGCAGCCATTGCCCTGCTCGCTTGGTCGAACGACGTCACCGTCAGGGCCTGAACGCCGCAAGCTGGAGGCATCGCCGGTCCAGAAACCGAGGATATGGGCCGGCCGTAATGATATCGGTCTGCGGCGAGACAGTAGTAAAGATACGAAGCGAAATATACGAAACAATGTGCGATTCAACACCTTGCACTGCTCTGTGTGCCAATGTCGGTAGACGATCAGGTGATCAGCTAACTGTGCCATGATTGCTTTCCTGGACTGAGTGTTCTAGGCGAGTGGTCTGGCAGAAGTCGAGGACGTTCACGTTCCTGAACAAACGGGGAGATGTGGTCCTTCGCCCCAGCGTTAGGGATTTGGGGTATCTTGACTGTTCCTTTGTCACAGCGTCAGTGAGTTCATGCGCTAGTGAATCACTAGCATCACTGGCACCGAACAGCCGACCCCGCAGCCCGGGAAAGCTTCCCCAGACCCGCCAACGGTCACTGAATCAGTGGCCATGAGCCGCGGGACTGGGCGGCTTGGAGGACAGACGAGGACGGTGGTTCTAAAATGTGCTGCAAGAGACCAGCTCTGCTTCAAAGTGTTATTCTTTCTTTCTTTTTCTTGACCTTCCAATTATCCCCATTATCGTCTGTACGGCATACGACAGCACTATTTCTTTGGTACGTCCATGCACTAATTTTGGGTGCTAATGGGTCAACGGCAGCGTAGTCGTGGGCGACATGCCTATGGACACGCACGCCGGAGACCGCTAAACTCACAAACTCACTGTACTTCTCACTTACACTGAAACTTACACAGAAGCGCCGATCGTCAACAGTGTTGACAGCCCCTTTCTCCCACCGCCCAGACGCACCCCCGTCACCCACCATGTCCCGCCAATTTGTCTTTGCCCGCCTGCCGCTGCACACGGCCCAGAAGCGCGACGAGCTCCTCCGGGTCGTCGCGCCCGTCACGGCGTTTGCCCACGCCGGCGAGCCGGGCGTCAGCAAGTACGCCGCCCTTGTGGCGCGCGACGATCCCACGGACGCGGCCCTGTACATGATTGAGGAGTACGACGACCAGGCCGCGTTTGACAGCCACGTGGCGACGGACAGCGTGGGCCGGTTTGTGCAGTGGCTCGGGGTGCCGGGCCACGTCGACGGCGCGCCGGTCGTCTGGTTTACGGCGCACACGGACCTCGAGTACGTGTCGCCGCAGCTCGACAGGGCAACCGATGCGTATGTCGTGGTCAGCACGTACCGCGTACCGAAAAAGGACGTACGCGAGCAGTTCGCGGGGGCGTTCACGGCCGCGCGGCGTCGCGGCGCGCTCTGGTTCGGCGTGTACACGGACAAGGAAAAGGGGTCGGACGTGGTGGTGACGGCCGAGGCGTACAGCACTGTCGCGGGCTATGCGGGCCCGGCGTCCCTTCTCGGCGCGGGGGCACACGTGGCGTCGACGGCGGTGTTGCAGGTGAAGCACGGCTTTTTGTACAAGCGGGGGGTGACAAGTGCATTGTAGTCGTTTGGTAGCAACGCCGAGTGTACATTGTTTTCCAGACGATACACCGTACTATCATGACGACGTCAACATCGAAATCAAAAGACGAGTCAGTGGTGGCTCTGCCGTAGCGATAGGATCAAGAATAGACGAAAGACCGAGTTCCACGCTGTGCTCACTCCCTGCAGACATCCATCCTGTCGTTTGTCGTGTCTGAGTGCAGTCATCCATGGCGAGTGGATGACCGCCTGGTGAATCATTAGCGCGGCGAGGACGAGTCGTGTTAGTGGCCATGTGTGGCCCAAGACAACACCCAACGGGCCATTCCACAGCCGGAAACGCGGCCATGGGTGATGTCGACGAGACAGAAAGTGAGGAGAAGCTGTGTAGCGTGGGAGGATGGGCGGGAGGAGACGAGAGATGAGATTCGTGTTGAGTGGGCGTTTTGGCTAATGACTCTCGAGACTTGCAAGAAACGACACGTGAAGTCAGATGAGAGCGGCCCTGTCATCTGTTGATATTTAAGCATCATCAGGTCTCTCCCTCCTTGACTTCCATTTTGGTCTCTTTGTTTCTTCCGTCACACATTCGCATTTCTCTCCATCATCTTTCTCTCGACCGCCCATTTCCTTTTCTCTTCACATCCACCCACACCACCACCACCCTCTCACCATGGGTTCTGCCGGTGAGGTTAATGTTGCCAACGGCGCCGGCACGCCCAAGCGGCCCATCCGCATTGCCGGGTGCTCTGGCGGCGTGTACGACCGCAAGCGGGCGATCCACGACATGGCCAAGTACGAGGACGTCGACGTGATCACGGGCGACTGGATGTCCGAGTGCAACATGACGCTGCGCGGGTCCGACAAGCGCGACCGGCTGGCGCAGAAGACGATGACGTCCGGCTCGACCGAGGTCGCCAAGGGCTACGAGCCGTATTTCCTCGAGGAGCTGGACCCGGCGCTGCCCTGGCTGGCCCAGAAGGGCACCAAGATTGTGGTCAACGCGGGCGCGTCCGACGTGCACGGCCTGGCGGCGGCGGTGCAGGCGCTGATCCAGAAGCACGGCGTGGCCCTCGCGGTGGGCGTGGTCGACGGCGACGACGTGACGGACGCCGTGCTCGACCTCTACGCGCAGGGCGAGCCGTTCCTCAGCCTGCCGGCCAACAGGCCCATTTCCGAATGGGGCTTCGCGCCCCTCTGCGCGCAGTGCTACCTCGGCGGCACGGGCATTGCCGCGTGCCTCGCGGGCGGCGCGGACATTGTGCTGTGCGGGCGCGTGGCCGACGCGTCGGTGACGGTGGGCGCGGCCATGTGGTGGCACGGCTGGACGCGCGCGGACCTGGCGGCGCTGGCGGGCGCGCTGATGGTGGGCCATATTATCGAGTGCAGCACGTACGCGACGGGCGGCTACTACTCGGCCTTCAAGGACCTGGGCGGGCATGACCTCGACCTGGGCTACCCGATCGCGGCCGTCGACCACGCGGGCGAGGCCGTCATCGGTATGGAGAGGAACCGCGACGGCCTCGTCAACATCGAGACGGTGGCGTCGCAGCTGCTGTACGAGATCCAGGGGCCGCTGTACTACAACTCGGACGTGACGGCGTCCATCAAAGACGTGCGCCTGGTCCAGGTCGGCCAGAACGAGGTCCACGTCTCGGGCGTCAAGGGTCTTCCGCCACCGCCGACGACAAAAGGTGAGTCCCCTCGGTACCTACTGTGATGTTTTTTGTTTCCTTTTTTTTTATTCTGTATCCTGTTTCATGCACTAACCACAGACCCCCCCCCAGTCGGCATCACGGCCAAGGGCGGCATGCAGGCCGAGTTCCACTTCTACCTCACCGGCCTCGACATTGAGGAAAAGGCGGCCATGATCGAGCGCCAGACCAAGGCGCGCATGGGCGCGTACCTCGACAAGTTCAGCTGCCTCAAGTTCATGATGGCCGGCGCCGTGCCCGCCGACCCGGCCACGCAGGACGAGGCCACCGTCGACCTGCGCATCTTTGCCCAGACGCGCGACCCGGACCTGCTGGCCGGCAGCTCCTTTGTCGACTCGGACCGCGGCTCCTTTGCGCGCTTCTGCATCGAGAACCTGCTGCAGAGCTACCCCGGCGGCACCATGGCCCCGGACATGCGCACCGCCATCGGCCGGCCCTTTTTCGAGTACTGGGTCGCGCTGATGCCGCAGGCGCTGGTGCGCGAGACCGCCCACCTGCCGGACGGCACCGTCCAGCACATCCCCGCGCCCACGGTCACGCAGACGTTCCCGCGCGAGCAGCGCAGCTACGACACGGCGGACCCGGTCGACCTCGCCCAGTTCGGCCCGACGACGCGCGCGCCGCTCGGCTACGTGGCGCTCGGCCGCTCGGGCGACAAGAGTTCCAACTGCAACCTCGGCCTGTTTGTGCGCCGCGACGACGAGTGGGCCTGGCTGCGCACGGTCCTGAGCACGGGCAAGCTGCGCGCGCTGCTGGGCAAGGACGACGTCGGCCGCCCGATTGACCGCTGCGAGTTCCCCAACATCCGGGCCGTGCACTTTCTGCTCAAGGACTTCCTGGACCGCGGCTTCAACTCGACGTCGGGCTTCGACTCGCTGGGCAAGAATCTCTGCGAGTACATCCGCTGCAAGTACGTGGACATTCCCGACAAGTTTTTGGCGCGGGGGCGCATCTAGACGGGGGCGGAGGCACACAGCGGAGGCACACAGCGGACGGGCACGTTTGCGCGGCAGCGCGAGACGGCGAGGGAAGCGACATCCAGCGTGAGATAGATAAAGCAAAAAGAATGGCACATACGTTCTGTTGGTGGAAATGCAAAACAATGTCACAGCGCATCTGAAATAGACGAGGAGGAGACGAGTAAAGAAAGTCAGTATACGAGTGGACAACAAATCCAAAGAGGGTAGTTGATCTGCATGTTGGTGCGGACAAGTGGACAAGTGGAGGGACAACTGGACCGTGGGAATATCCAGACGAAAGGAACGGAAGCGATGGAGACGATGGAATGCACACGGAACGCGGATGGAAGGCCAAAAGAAGAAAAGAAGAAAAGAAGAGCAAACGAGGAGATAATGTGCACGGAAGTCAATAAGATGGTGGAGCCAACGGACATCCCTGAGTTGATTGAGAATGGACAATGTCGGCTGTCCGCCGGCTGGGAGAGAGGGCAGGACAGTCAGTAGAGGGAATATCAGAGGCTGAAAATGTTGCTGACAGGGCCTTGCATGGCCAGACCAGCCTTGACCAGGGGCATTTCTTGGGTGATGCGACGCTGATGGGAGAGGGGAAGAGGGGCTCGAGGCAGACGGAGGACAACAATAGAAAGAATTCACACAAAATCCACGCGTCCCATGGAATTGTAGCTCTGGGACAGCACCAGGATGCAGCGGAGAAATACGACCGTTATATGCATTCAGTGACCCTGCCCCTCTTCAAGCTGCAGGTGAGGCGACAGGGTTGACGTAAGAAAGAAGCAAGTCGTAACAAGAAAAAGGCCGTGATAGCAAAGCAGCAGCGCGGAGAAGGCGGCTGCGGGAGACGGCACGGGTCGAGGAGAAGAGTTGTCGCCGACTGAATGTCTGTTGGGTTGAGATGTCGTTGAGTGGTGAGGAAGGCTGGCTGGTGAGACTGCCCGGCTTGTCCCTTTACGATGTACTGCCTCCATCATACTGTTACATCCCTCCACTTACACACGACAGAAGAAAAAAGGTGCATGCTCAGCTCGACTACAAAATGCGTGCGTCCCGTCTCGTCCCGTCTCGTCCCGTCTCGCCCTGCTTTGTCTTGCCCCAGGTCCCAAAGCTCAAGGATGAACTGCACGGCCTTACCGCCTTGTCTGTGTCGTTGATTTGTTTTTATCATTGTCCTCCCTGCTGTCGTACGATGCGTGTTGAGAATACGTCGCCCCGCTGATTTTTCTTGCTCTCGTCACCGACACTCTACATTTGCTTCCACAATGGTCGTCCTGCCCAAACGCGCACGGGGTGCCGGCTGCGGTCTTGGTCTTCTCGGCCTCGTGTTGGCGGCGCCCGCACTGGCCCGCGTGGTGCCCAAGCACGCCACGCTGGTCGACCGCGCCACGGCCTCGTCGACGACGTACGACTTTGTCATTGCCGGCGGCGGCATTGCCGGACTGACCGTGGCCGACCGGCTGACCGAGGACCCGTCGGTCACGGTGCTCGTCGTCGAGGCGGGGCCGCTGGACCAGGGCGAGGACGCGGTGCGGGTGCCCGGCGCGTACAACCCGGCCGCGTACCTGTGGCCGAACCTGTTCTCGGCGCCGCAGGCGGGGCTCAACGACGGCGTGTACTTTGCGGCGACGGCGCGCGTCGTGGGCGGCGGCAGCACCGTCAACGCCATGATTTTCCTCCGCGGCGACAAGGACGACTACGCCGGGTGGACGGCGCTGGGCAACCGCGGCTGGGCGTGGGACGACCTGCTGCCGTACTTTTGCAAGAGCGAGAACGTTACGTTCCCGGCGGCCGCGTTTGCGGCGCAGAACAACATCTCGTGGACGGCCCGCGTGCACGGCACGGCCGGCCCCGTGCAGGCGACGTACCCCAACTACCGCTTCCCCGGCAGCGGCCACTGGTACGAGGCGGCCGTGCACGCCGGCATCGCGCCCGACACCGACCCCAACGACGGCTCGGTGCGCGGCGTGTTCTGGCTGCCGCTGGCCGAGGACGCCACCACGCGCACCCGCAGCGACGCGCGCGCGAGCCACTACGACCGCGTGGCCGCGGCGCGCCCCAACTACCACCTGCTGCCGGGCACGACGGTCAGCAAGGTGCTGTTCAGCGCCGGAAAGCGGGCGCGGGCGACGGGCGTGCAGCTCGTGGCCACTGACGGGTCGAGCACGGCGCCGACGACGGTGACGGCGACGGTGGCGGCGTCTAAGGAAGTGCTGCTGGCGGCGGGCGGCCTGCACACGCCGCAGCTGCTGCAGCTGTCGGGCATCGGCCCCCAGGCGCTGCTGGCGCAGTTTGGCATCCCCGTGGTGGCGGACCTGCCGGGCGTGGGCCAGAACTTTCAGGACCAGCCGACGATCCCCATGACATACAACTGTACGTTGCGCGGGGGGGAGGGAGGGGGAAGCCGAATGGCAAGCATCTACTGACGTACCAACACATCTGCAGTCACCAACAACGTGTCCCCCAACTGGGGCTCGCTCCTCGACAATGCCACGTACGACGCCGCGCAGCATGCCCGCTACGAGTCGTCCAAGACGGGGCCGTACACGCTCGTCCGCACGCTCAGCACCAACTTTGCGGCCCTCGCGCTCAAGGACATCGCCCCCGACTACCAGGCCATCGTCGCCGCCGCCCGCGCGCGCAACGCCACCGCCGCGCTGCCCGCCGGCACGGATCCGACGGTCGCCGCCGGCTATGTGGCCCAGCGCGCCGTGCTGCTGCAGCAGCTCGCCGGCGAGGCCGCGGTCGGCGGGCTGCACTGGAACACCGACACGGCCAGCACGCTGTACGCCTTCAAGCCGTTGTCGCGCGGCACCGTGGCCATCGCCTCGGCCGACGTGCGCGACGCGCCCCGCATCGACTACCGCGCCGCCACCGACCCCACCGACCTCGCCGTCTACGCCGCCCTCCTCCGCAAGAACCGCCAGCTCATGGCCGCCCCCGCCATGGCCGCGCTCGGCCCCGTCGAGACCGCGCCCTTTGGCCCCGGCGTCACGTCCGACGCCGCCGTGGCCGCCGCCCTCGTCGCCGCCCTCAACCCCACCAACGGCCACGCCTGCTGCACGGCCGCCATGCTGCCGCGGCGCCTCGGCGGCGTCGTCGACGCCGACCTCTGCGTCTATGGCGTCACGGGCCTGCGCGTCCTCGACATTAGTTTCTGGCCGTTTCCCGTGGCCGGCGCGCCGTCGGCCACCATGTACGCGGCGGGCGAGAAGATGGCGGCCGTCATCAAGGCCAAGTACGGGCTGCGGTAGTGGGGGGGGGGCGACTGTATGATGTGGTGAGGAACAACGAGCTGGCTGCTTGGTATGTGGCGTGTTGTCAACTTTGTTGGCGTTGCCTTCTGTTAATGGATACCTCATGGTCGACTGTGACTGATAGTGACAACCTCCCAGCGAAAGAGCCTGACAGTTGGCATTGAATGGAATAAAAACGACATCATCTACGGCACGCCTCCGTTCTGCGCGGACGCCAGGTCTCGAGCATCTCAACAATCTGCACAAGCATGGGCCATGTGACCCCCGTCGACGCTGCATGCACGCTGCCCGATGTCGCTCGTTGTGACACGCCATCTGTCACGTTTACGTTTGCTTTCCTGGTTTGTCTGGCTGTTTGCCACACCTCCACGCCCCTGCAGTGTCAACCCACGCCGCCCACGTCCCACGTCCCACGTTCCACGCCGTGTCCTGCCACGGCCATCGCATGCAGCTCAATTCGGAAACAATGTCTGGTCCTTGACGGAGTACGCCGTACGCCTTCCGTATTCCTCCGCAGGATCGTCACTCTACTTGAACAGGGTACGACGTATGATGTGTGTCCTTGTATCTCTTCCTTGCGTCCCTCTAACCACCAGATAACGGTCAGCACTGCCGGCCCAGAAAGCTTAGCCAACGTGCAATTTCCGTGTCTACCACGTCGACCGAAAGCGTGAAAGGCCTGTACTGGCAACTGAAGCGGTGCGTTGGAATCAAATCAAATATTTCATGAGGAGGCAACGCTCGAAGTAGATTGGCTATGATACTGAATGTATGAAATCCAGTAACGTTGAAGCCGTTTGCGAGGTGTATTGATTGCGACTATCTTGTTTTTGAATTTGATCCTTTATTTTGTGGATTATTTACGTCACGTAAAGATAAGGCATACAAAAGTAATGGCCTCATCAAAATATCTTGAAAAATATTAGATTAAATCAACTTCACAAAAATAAATCCGGCTCAAACAACAATCTCTATTTTTGTATTTATCATATTCACGTATTCATCACAAAATCCCTGAAACAAAGCTGAAGGCTGACGGCCCCCACTCAATGCACGATGCACCATACAACATATATGACACGCAAGGCAACGGAGGCGGTGAACACACGACTGCAGACATGCAAAACAAAGTGGTCATGTGCCCGCTCTCCCGATTTGCTCACCGAGCCTCGCCGGACGTGTCTGTCGTGTTTTGTCTGCATCCATCTGCATCCACCTGCATCTGTTTTCATCTGCAGTCTCTTTTCATCGGCTTGCATGCAAATGAGGCGTCTTCTGCTCACATGACTGTTTGTGCAAGTCGGGGCCGGCGCTCATTGGCCAATTCATTCCAGCAGCAGGCATCCAGACCTCGATCTGCGCTTCATCCCACGCAGTCGTGCTCCAGGCGTGCTCCAATTTAACTCCAAAAATGCCCCAACAGCCTCCAACATGCCGCTCCCACCTCTCTTAGGATAAGATACATCCCGCGTCAGCCTGGCTCCCACACGTTCGGTGCGTCGACGCATCTCCAACCGCACATCCCTTTGGCCCCATTGCTGCATTTGTTTTGCGTCTCCCACGAACGTCCTCGACGCGCACGATGTTTGTCACTCTCCATTGGATGCGCCTTTTCTGCCACTCCCCATCTTGCTTTCTCTTTTCTCACGTCTCACTTCTCTGCTGATCGACAAAACTACCACCACGCCATTGGCCCTTCCTGCATCCACGACGTAATGGACAACAAAG